TATGATCAGTATCTATCGAGGAAGGTGAAATTTTCAACTGTGCAGGATTGATTGTATATGCTTACTCTTCTGCATTATGTCATTTTCCTGTTTTGCTTATACGATGATCTTACTGTTGCAGCAAGTCTCCGACTTTGATCTCTTTACGCTGGATGACATTGATTCTGCTTTCCAGAATGTGATCAGATTAACTTACTCTCAAAATTACCATCTTCCTGGTATGTGATTTCACTCTCTGATAGCAAACCAGAAAAATGATACTTGTCTCAATACAAATTTCATCTGTCATTATCTACGTATTCCCATATAAGTTCACTGACACACGTGGAGAATAACTCAGTTATTTCCTTGTTTTCGCTTCAAAGGTAATTAGGATGCCTCACCTTTGTTTTGTTTTTGCCCTATTAGGAAAGGGAGAGGGTATTGTAATTGCTCCCCATGTTGCTGGACATATGCTGGGAGGTAGCATTTGGAAGATAACAAAGGATGGGGAGGAGGTTATATATGCTGTTGACTACAATCACCGGAAAGAAAGGTACACATGTAACATGTTCAGATTTCACTTGATATGGTATTCGAATTTTGTTCATAACAAGTAATAAAGAAGCAGAATCATGATACTGAATCGTACATCTTAATTCAGGCATTTGAATGGAACTGTTTTACAGTCTTTTGTTCGACCTGCTGTTCTGATAACCGATGCATACCACGCTCTTTATACCAATCAAACCGCAAGACAGCAACGGGACAAAGAATTTTTAGGTTGGCTTTTAGCTCATTATGTGTTATATCTCTTCTATGTTATTGAGGGATCCCGCTTCTAACTGCCAGAATCACGTGCGAATGTCTACAATTATAATTCAGATACCATTTCAAAACATCTGGAAGTTGGGGGCAATGTTTTATTGCCAGTTGACACTGCGGGTCGAGTCCTGGAACTTCTCTTGATACTTGAACAGGTGGGAGAGTCAATTTAGATTTACCATGTTTTCAGTTTATTGCTCAGCTAATTTTATGTGGAGACTGAATATTGATCAAATTTGCAGAGTTGGCCAGCAAGAGGTTTTAGCTTTCCTATTTACTTTCTCACGTATGTGTCATCAAGCACAATTGACTATGTTAAGAGTTTCCTCGAGTGGATGAGTGACTCCATTTCAAAGTCCTTTGAGACTTCACGTGAAAATGCCTTTCTATTGAAGTAACTTTTTTCTCTGAATCGTGTCTTATCTGTGCCGTCGTTTGTATACTATAACGGAATGTAATTTAAACACTCGCAGGCATGTCACTCTCTTGATAAACAAGACTGATCTGGATAAAGCTCCACCTGGTCCAAAGGTTGGTTCATAAGTAACTCACTCATGTTCGGCTGTACAGAGAACTTGGTGGATCTGTTAATTTTTGTTCCATTTTCTCAGGTGATAATAGAACTATATTTTTCTTATTGATATACTGAACCTTCTTATATAGGTTGTTCTTGCGTCCATGGCTAGTCTCGAAGCCGGTTTTGCTCGTGATATTTTTGTAGAATGGGCCAATGATCCCAGAAATTTAGTCCTATTTACTGAAACAGGCCAGGTACGGTTTTTAGAGACCCGACCTTATTTGTTAAGGAACTAAAATGTACGGCATTATTGTAGAAACCTGATGGTAGTTTCTTCCTAGTGCTGGTCAGCTAGTTAAGTGGGCGTGGGATCTTTTTTCTTTGTGTGCGTATCCATCTTGACTGAGAGTTCACCCAGATATTGTCCTACTTATAGATTGTCGATATTGCGCCACCAATGTGTAAAATTTGCAGAAATTGAGTAACTTTAAGTAGAATTTTTAATCATAGGATAAAGCATATAATAACCACCAATTGGCCTGGCTTGCAAATTGCATCTTTAATCTCCAGGGCTGCCATGAATTGCATCCAGTCATCAAAGAATATATAAAAATCAAGGGTTTTGGAAATGGGTATATATCATATTCTTGGAATGGACACTCCGCATGAACTGTCTAATTGGAAGTTGGAATAGCGTACTTCAATTTTTTTCTTTCTAGTGAGACATCATCGTCTTCCCAGGAATTTCTAATTTTTTAATTTTTGTTGTCATGTGTTTCTATTTGCAGTTTGGCACTTTAGCTCGCATGCTTCAGTCATCCCCACCTCCCAAGTTTGTTAAAGTCACAATGTCTAAGAGGGTTCCTTTGGCTGGGGAAGAGTTGGTTGCATATGAAGAGGAGCAAAGCAGACTGAAAAGGGAAGAAGCTTTGCGAGCTAGCCTCGTCAAAGAGGAGGAAACAAAAGCTTCTCACGGACCTGATGATAATTCAAGTGAACCTATGGTTGTAGACACCAAGACTACTCACGATGGTAATGTTTCTCTAATTATTTATAGTGGCCTTAATTATTTATAACTTATTATTTATCTTGTAAACTTCAACTGAAATTGAATTGTATGGTACTGAAATGGTTACGCACGTGGTACCCCTTGTAATGAATTGGTTAGCTGGCCTTAGGAGGCATTTATGTGATCATCTTGGAGTGACGTAGAAGCTATATTTATAAGCCTCATGTTACATTTATGTGTAAAATTTGTTTTAGGTTTTCACTCCCACAATGTGTTTCCTTTTCAATTAGGCTTCATGTTTTCTTCGTTGATGGCTTTTCATGCCATTACGTAGTGGTCTGCAGCTAACCTTTCACGATTCTGACTACACATGCAGTTGTTGGTTCTCACGGGCCTGCATATAATGATATATTGATAGATGGATTTGTTCCCCCATCCAGCAGCCTTGCTCCAATGTTCCCATTCTATGATAATACATCTGAATGGGACGAGTTTGGGGAGGTCATTAATCCCGATGACTACGTGATCAACGACGAAGACATGGACCGAGGAGCAATGCATGTACGTACTCTGTTATTCTGGTCTAGGTTTGGTTTTTATTTAGCTCTTGTTTAATTATCGACCAACTAGCCTCTTATCTTAGTTTCCATGATGTTGTTTGCATACGTGAGTACAATTCTTCAAGTCAGTGCATTGGTTCTACAGTTGCATCTTCGTTTTTCTTTTTACAATTGATTGCTTGCTACTTTGCTAGTAAGGTTTTCTACGCTAAACCACCATTTTAGAATCAGCTTTAGGAGCTTTTATGTAGACTCTTGTGTTGCATATCAAATTTCTAATATAAAATCCCATTTCAGACAGGAGGTGATGTGGATGGAAGGCTTGATGAGGCAACTGCTAGTCTTATGCTTGATACAAGACCTTCGAAAGTCATATCGAATGAGCTCATTGTAAGTAAATCTAATATAAACTTCTTAAGAGATTCCTATCCATCTAGAAACCAAGAGGGTCTCAGCGAATCTTCTCGTTTGTCCTCCCTTTTCTAGAATCTATTATTATTATTATTATTATTATTATTATTATTATTTTTGTTATAGACTACTGATCACTGATGGGCACATGGAATAGTTTTCTCACATCGAAATAGAGATGGGAATCATTGAAATGGCTCTTTAGTCTTCTGTCTGGTCTATAGTTAACCGCTTTCTAGTTTCCCTGATAGATGAATGAATTTGTTCTTATGCTTTTGCACAGGTGACTGTTAGCTGTTCGCTTGTTAAAATGGACTATGAAGGTCGTTCAGATGGGCGCTCAATCAAGTCAATGATTGCACATGTTTCTCCTCTTAAACTTGTACGTTAGCGATTCCTTTTCCCTTGTCTTATATGTATAGTAGTTAATCACTTCAGCTGATGTAATCCTATATATCTTGTGAAGGTTCTAGTGCACGCAACAGCTGAGGCGACAGAGCATTTGAAGCAACACTGCTTGAACAACATATGTCCACATGTGTACGCTCCTCAAATAGAGGAAACCGTGGATGTGACTTCTGATTTATGTGCTTACAAGGTAGAAGTCCCGAAACTAGGAAGATCTTCTTCACACATGGGTTTTGAGTTGTGATTTAATTAACTAACCCCGTATGGTTCCTCTCCATAATACATCAGGTCCAACTTTCTGAAAAGCTGATGAGCAATGTAATCTTCAAGAAGGTACCTTTTTTTCTTTCTTCGTATGATTATTATCCAATGTCTCTGAATCGGGAAACATTTTTGCGATATGAAACGTTAGCTGGGAGATTCAGAAGTAGCTTGGGTGGATTCAGAAGTAGGGAAGACAGAGAGCGACATGCGGTCTCTACTACCAATGCTAAGTGCTGCTACTCCTCACAAACCTGTTCTAGTGGGTGATCTGAAAATTGCAGACTTCAAACAGTTTCTTTCAAGCAAAGGTGTTCAGGTAGAATTTGCAGGTGGAGGAGCTTTACGATGTGGTGAATATGTCACTCTACGGAAAGTCGGTCCAACTGGTCAGAAGGTAATATAAAGCACATAGACCTCATTTCTCTACAAATCTTTCTGCTATTCTAAACCATTAAGGAGCATTTCACTCTCTTGGCGTTTGAGTTATATATTTGTTTTTGGTGGTTCTTCAGGGCGGAGCATCGGGTCCACAGCAGATTCTGATAGAAGGACCGTTATGTGAAGACTATTATAAAATCAGAGATTATCTCTATTCTCAGTTTTACCTCCTCTAATGACACTGTATTAGAGAAAAATGAAGCTTCTTTTTTTTTTTTTTTTTTCTCTGTTACCCAACTCATTTCAACTGCTGAAGTGTGTAATCTTATAGATCAAGGTGTTAAAAATGGCAATAGTTTTTTTTCCCCTGTTCCTGAAATTTGAATGAAAACTAATTTCATATAGCCATTGTCTACTTCACTACTATGTCATTTTAGTAGAAAGTTCTTAAAACGTTTAAAGTAATAAAGTCTTACAAAAAGATTCATCACTTGTTGGGCTTGGCTTTTGCAGACTTGGCAGTAAACTGGTTAACTATTTGTGAAACTTAAGTTTAATGCGTTAAACATGGAGAGATAAAAAGAAAGCATTATAATTAGGTGGTTAGGTGGTGTGTGTTTGTGTGAGGGTGATCACTCCAACAACGCTCTTTCTCTTTTTCGATATTCGATAACGAACACAACCACCAATCATATTTGTTCATATTATTATTCTAATTCCTAAACCCTAATCCTCCGCCATTATTCCTATCTATCTCCTCCTCTTCTTCTTCTTCCGATTATTCATTCTCGCCAGATCTCTCCTATCCTCTCTTACCAACAACCATGGCTTCTGCGACCGCCACGTGGACCCCTAACTCCCTCCAGCTCCGTCTCGCTTTGAGCTCCGGTGTTCGCCGGAAATCGCACACCGTCTACTTACGGCCCTCGCGTTCTTGTAGGAAACCGGGTTGTGGAGTTGTCTGTGTTTCGCAGAAGTCTGATGTCGAGGCCTGGACCGGATCGGATTCGTCAAAGCCACCAGCCGATGGTTTGGCCGGGTGGGCCGATTCCGGTAACGACGAAAAGTCTTCTAGAGCTAAGAAGAAGAGTTGGATTGAAGGTATATGCGGATTAGAGATGCTTGCTCTGTTTTTTTTAATGTCTTTTCCGAGGTTCCGTAAGAACAAGTTAATTCAGCTGGTGAATATCTGATTACACATTGATAATGCTTGTTCAATGCATATTGATTAAGCTTTGACTTCAATCTTTATTCTACTACATGGTTGCATAGTGTAGTTATGCGAGCCATGAGTTTGCTCACGAATGTTGTGTACGCTTTTTTTTCTCTGTTCAATAGTTGTCTTGTAATCTCTTCATTTCTCTGTATCTAGTACGTTTTTTTCTCCGAAAACCACAATCATTCATAGGTTGTCTAAACCGTGCACATGCTTCAATGTATATTACATTGTATGTTAAGATGGAGCTTAATTTTAAATTCTTGAACATTTTGATTTCTCTGTTTGAAGCTTTAGTTTACCGGTTTTCTGGTGGACTAATAATAATCTGTAAGTAGTTTGCTTTCAGGTGTAGTGGGGGCTGGAGTGGCTGGACTCATCTTGGTGGGTGGGCTAAGCTATGCAGTAGCATCTTTTAACAAGCGTAATAATCACAGTAAGTGCAATCCTTTTCTTTTGTTACATTATATAAGTCAAATTATTGTCTTTCAAAATTCTACTCAAACTCGCTCCAGTGTCTCTTTCAGAATTTGTTGTATTGATGTATATGTCAATTAACTTTTGAGCGCAGAACTAAAACCGGAATTGCAGCCGTTGACTTCTCAGCAGGAAAGCGCGCTTCTATCATCTGATGAAACTTTTAGTGATGAAGTCAAGATAGCTAATAGTGAGGAAAACAATCTTAAGGACGAGGATAAGAGTATAGAAAGTAATGATTTAGGTCAGCAAGGCGATAACGCCTCTGATGAAGATAAAAAAATCGGTAAGTTCGATGGTGTCATATCTGATGGAACAGATGTCACAGAAAATATCACTTCCCAAACTTCGCCTGAAGCAGATGTGATGCTCCCTGTACAATCTGATCCTGAGACACCAGAAAGTGAGAAAGTATTATCTGAATCCAAGTCTATGTTAGATTCATCATCTGAGGCTATAGATTCACAAAGTAGCAATCTTGCTGGATCGGAAAATCCAACTTCTGAAGATCCTGATAGCCTTCCAGACACTGAAGCGACCAATGTGACTGATTTAGAAAATCAAGTCAACAGTCAGAAAGAAGATTCCATGTCTTCTTTATCTGACAGTGATGCAGCCACCGGGACTGCAGCTGTTGGCGTTTTAGCTACTTCACAATCGGATTTGACTTCGGATCCTCACACAGTGCCTCTAAATGACACGGGGACAGCATTCTCGACTGTAACTGAGGATCTTCCTGAGGTAAGCGGAACACCCGAGGACTTGGCTGCGGAAAGTATGTCATCAGTCTCGGACATAGATACAACGAAAGAAATTGAATCTTCAAAAACTCCTGTGCCAGAATCAACATATTGGTCAAAAAATGATCTAAACATTAATAGTCAGGACGAGCTTGGCGACAACGGACCGCCTTTGGAAGTACCGAACGGTGGAAGTGCATTTTCTTCAGCTGGAATTCCTGCACCTTCTGTATCATTTCAAGTAAATCCTGGAAAGATTCTTGTCCCCGCAGCTGCAGATCAGGTCCAGTGTCAAGCATATGCTGCTCTGCAAGTTCTGAAGGTAATTTTTTTGTTTTGTTTCTGTTGTGCAGCCCTCACTATGTTGTTTGATGGTGTAGAGCTTTGCTTCGGTCTGGCATTGTAAATCTTGCAGCTTCTGAATCAAATTTTCATATCTTTCAGGTCATTGAAACTGACACCCAACCTAGTGATCTATGTACTCGCAGAGAATATGCCAGGTGGCTGGTTTCTGCCAGTAGCGCGCTATCAAGGTATATTATATGATAGTGCTAGTGTATCCGGTGGGCTTAGAGTGTTCATCTTTGGTATTCAAAAAGTGAAATTCATACATTTATGTGTGTTCTTCAACTCTTTACAGAAACACGACCTCCAAAGTGTATCCTGCTATGTATATAGAGAACGTTACTGAGCTTGCTTTCGATGATATTACTCCTGGAGACCCTGACTTTTCATCCATTCAAGGTGAAACTGGACTCTGAGTTTTAACTCCACCCAAAACGAAGGTAACCTGTGAGGCTAAATTCTGTGTACTCTTTTCAGGATTGGCAGAAGCAGGACTTATCACAAGCAAGCTTTCTAACCGCGATTTGCTTAACGATGTTGAAGGCACATTCTTGTTTTCCCCTGAAAGGTATTTATGTCGCTGGAAAGTGGAAACTCATCCAGCTTGTCAAAAAGAAATTCTCAATTGTATACCGCATTGATAACAAATTAATAATTTCTCTCTAAGATGTTAGTGGTATGTCTTCAGTATTTTCATGAAACAAAACGGCATAAGATCATTTTCTTTCTAGTTTTAGATTATTATGGTACTTCGTACTTTCAGAATACATTTACTTTCATATTTAAGCTTATTTCTACAAGTTAAGCTTGTTTCTTGTCCGACGCAGCCTTCTTTCACGCCAGGATCTTATAAGCTGGAAAATGGCCTTGGAGAAACGACAGCTTCCAGAAGCTGATAAAAAGGTTGCATATCAAGCTTGGTTTTGTTCACTTCGTCTCATAATCTTGCAGATAATCATGAATTCACTTCATCATGCAGATGCTGTATGAACTATCAGGATTTATTGACATCGATAGGATAAACCCAGATGCATGGCCTGCCATTATCGCAGATATATCTACCGGGGAACAAGGAATCGCTGCTCTGGCTTTTGGTAGGCGCAGATTTCACATCTAGATATGTTTTCTTGCACAACCATGGCCGTATTGTATAATGCACACAACTTTTTTAGGTTGTACAAGATTATTTCAGCCTCATAAACCCGTCACTAAAGCCCAAGCTGCCATTGCTCTCTCAAGTGGTGAGGCTTCTGACATAGTCAGTGAGGAACTGGCACGCATCGAAGCAGAAACAGTGGCTGAGAAGGCTGTCTCTGCGCATAACGCTCTCGTTGCAGAGGTCGAAAAGGATGTGAATGCCAGCTTCGAGAAAGAGCTTTCCATGGAACGAGAAAAGATTGAAGCTGTCGAGAGAATGGCGGAACTGGCGAAAATGGAGTTGGAGCAGCTGAGGGAGAAGAGAGAGGAAGAGACTCTGGCTTTGGTAAAAGAACGAGCTGCAGTTGAGTCAGAAATGGAGGTGCTCTCAAGGTTAAGACGTGACGCGGAAGAGAAGTTGGAGGATTTGATGAGCAACAAGGCGGAGATATCTTTTGAGAAGGAGAGAGTATCCAATCTTCGAAAAGACGCTGAAGAAGAGAGCCAACGGATTTCAAAGTTGCAGTATGAATTGGAAGTTGAGCGTAAAGCGCTGTCCATGGCCAGGTACTTCTTCTACTGTCCGAGCTTTGCATTATGTTTACATTGTCAAAATATGTACCTTCTTTCTGTTATCTAACCAATGAGTGTAAAGCCTTTTTCGATCTGTCATCTGTCCATGACCTTATTTCCGAGTGGCTGAATCCTCATATGTTATTTGTTCAGATCATGGGCCGAGGAGGAAGGAAAGAGAGCTAGCGAGCAAGCAAGAGCTTTAGAAGAGGCTAGAAAGCGATGGGAGACAAAAGGACTCACAGTTATTGTTGATAAAGACCTTCAAGAGAAGAGCAGTGGAGAGATGGAACAAAGCGTATTGCTAAACAACGTTGAGAGAGCTTCGGTTGGAGAAACTGAGGAGAGAGCTCAAACCCTAATGGATAAGCTTAAGGATATGGCGGCATCTGTGGGAGGAAAATCCCGGGAAGTGATCTTCATTGTGATGGAGAAAATACGTTTGTGGATTATGGTTTTGAAGGAATACGCAGAGAATTTGGGGAAGCGAGCGGGGGAAATGAGAGAGGCAGCCATTGTTAGGGCAAAAGGAGCAGCAAAGGAGGTTGAAAAAGGGACAGTTCAGGTGAGCGATAAGGTGAAGAGAGTGGCTGAGGAGTGTAGAGATGGAGTTGGGAAGATCTCTCAGAAGTTCAAGACCTAAGAGAGTCCTTGCACTTAGCTCTTTTTGTTTGTATCTTTTTTGTTTTTAAAATAAAATAAGAGAAAATAATGGGACGGCCATTACATTTACAGTATTGGTCAGTGATGATCAGAATTGAAAATTGTATCATTTTGTAATTTTTGTTATGTGGTTACTATTTACACTAGTACTATATGCTATAGTTGCCTTAAAGTTCATATGCAAATAACACTTCATGATTTATACTGTTCGCAGCAAACAGTACCATCCCAATGATGTCATCTTATTTTATAATCGCCGTTGATAAATCATGTTTTGGACATTACGTGATGGCTTGTCTTATTTTATGTACAAATAGAACTAAACATCAATGACTGAAAGATAATGAATAAATTTTTTATCATTTAAGTACGAAGGATCGTGAATAATAAATAAAGTTAAGTATATAGAACTTTTAGTAAATCAGAAAACCAAGTACAAGAAAAACTGGAGATCACAAGATCAAGAAGAAAAACTCAAGAATGAATAAAGCCTTAAAGCCAGCATTCTTATTTCTTCTCTTCTTTCTCAGCATCGGCAGCTCTCTTGGCTCTGACACCTGCATGGCGTTGGTTCGTGCGCTCTAGACGGATCTTATCATAAGCCTTGAATGCCTTCATATCAGCAGTCACCTTCACAAGATCCATCGGAGCCTTCTCTCTAGCAATAGGCATGTAATCTCCTTGGACTTGAGTTGCATTAGCAAGCTCCTCTGGAGTAGAATCACCAGCCTGCGATCAACAACGAAGTTACCAAAATTGTTATACATATAACAAGAACTTAGGAATCAAGATGATATCTCAATGCATTAGTACATAAAGGATGATACCTTGACTTTACGAGATCGGCGCGGGAACACAACCAGCTTGGCCTTGTAAGTCTTTAACCTCTGGACATTTGATTGAAGACCCTCCAAGGAACGGTTTTTACGACGGTGATCAACTGAAATTCCGATCGTTGGAGCCAACTTCTTAGGGATACAAGCAGCCTGATTCAATCCGGAAATAAATACGATACACTAGTATTCAATCTTTATATCTTCACAGATTGACGACTAATAAAAAAACCAATAAGAGTGACATTTTCAGACCTTAAGCTCTTCGAGAGTGAAACCTTTTCCGGCTCTGAGTTTCATGTTGTACTTAAGAGTCTGACCATGAACAACGGGGCGGAGAGGTCCAGAGGTAGGACGAGGGAAGATCTTCACGGCTTTCTTCTGTCTCGCTGAGAAAACACGTCCCACAAAAGAAGAAGATTAAGAGACCATAATACATACATTAAACCGTAAGGAAAGACCTGATTTAAGGAGAAGATTTACTAACCAACTCTTCTTCTGGTTTTCCTGGCAGGTTGGTTGAACCATGTCTTCACATAGTTCTGCCAGTGCTTCCTGAAGTGTGAGTTCGGGATCTCATTGTTGTGCTTCATTTTCTTACCTCAGCTGCAAAAAAGAAAAAAAAAAAAAGACAATTCAGCACGAGAACAAGTCTGTGTGTGTCAATATGCATTTTTAGCTACACACAAAATCAGACATTTCAATACTGATCAGGTACAAGAGAATTTAGATTCTACAGATTCCAACAAAAAAGACTATGTGATTAACCACATTCTAGCTAAGAATGATCAGACCAATCAAGCTACACTCGTAAGGATAATCAATCAAAAGACAGTAAAAGAATTGCTTCATTTGATCCAGAATCCGAGAGAGAAGTTATATTATGAATACATACAATGACGAAATTTTCGAAAAAGCTAATACCGATCCCTGAGAGAGACAAGAAAACAGAGTGGGTATATAGACAGAGAGGGACTCACACCAGCTTCTTCCTCGAGCGGCTGGACAGAAATGTCTAGGGCTTTTCGAGATTTCTATATCGCATTCATATACAATTGTAAAAACCCTAACCGGAAGAGAGGTTTTCAGAGCATTGGGCTTCATAAGTTAAAATGGGCTTATCTCAAATAAGCTCATTAAAGAAACGCTTCTATTAATGGGCCCGTCTATAGCCAAGCTGATCCGCGAGTTTTCAGGCCTAGAACTCTTTGATGGTAAATGGTAATCCTAATTTACCATAAACTAAGAGAAAAAAAAATCAAAAAAGTTAGATTACTCACTCAAAACGGCACGCAAGCTTCCTACATACGCCCCATTATGAAGTGAAATGGGACCCGTTTTAAGTCTTCGAAGGAGGAGCGCCAGAGCTAAACGACGATAATTTGAAATTTCTACTTAACCGCCTACTCACTTTTATATTTTCTTTCTCTCACTCTCTCTCTCCCAAATCTGAAAATATATTATTCAAACCATAAGAGAAAAAGAAAGAAAGGAAACGAATTTCGAATTCAAACGTTTTCCCTTATCTAGAGATTTCATTGTGTTTCGATTAGTGAGAATTTCTGGGTTTCTGGTTTTGTGATTATGGAGAGCAAGTCGGCGAGCCAGGGACGGAAGGTGGTTCGGGTGGTTGCTAGGGTTAATCCATCGGCCGATCCGGTTTCACAAGCTTCAACGAATTCAATATCGGTTCACAAGCCCAATGGAGACGAATCGGAGACTGTTTCGATATCTTTTGGAGCTCAATTCGCTGGGTAATGTCCTACTTCTATCTTCATTTCTCTTCCTCAGTGACTTTCACTGTTCTACTATTGATATGTTTTCTCATTTCTCTGATGAAACTGCCGTGTCTCTATGAAGTTTTGAAAAATAGAATTTCGTTTGGTAAAAAGTCTGATTTAGATTCAAAACGACCAAAAATGGCCAAAATGCTAAGAATGGGATTTGATTGCATAAGACTGACAAGTTCAGGTGTTGAGACTAGAAATGCTTAGTGAACTCCATATCTTCTTGGCTGAGGTCATTGACTCGGCTTAGATTTGTTTCATCTGTTTTTGATTCAAATTCTCGAAAGAGAGTTACATTTGGAGATTCCGACTTTAGTTTTACTCTTTAAATCTCAATCTTAGTTGATTTCTCTTCTCTAATTTGAAACCGTTGAAATGCCCAGTCCTTGGAAATATACATGTAAGCTAGAATCTTTGATTTTGATTTTTTATTATGATGATTTGTCTCTGTGTCTTGTTTAGCTTGTTTAGAATTGTGGGAAAACGAAAGTTTTGAGAATTGATGTGCCATTTTGAGTGGGAGATTCTTTTAAAGATCAAACTATTTCCGTGGTAAAAGTCTATACATTCATAGCAATCCCAAGCCTAATTAAGGAGTATGTTTTCTTTTCTGTGTTGTGGCAGCTCGAAAGACTCATATAAATTGGACTACTGCTACGAAGAAAATGAAAGCACAGGTTTGATTATCACGAAGGAGATAAAACCTCTTATCTCTACTGTCTTTGAGGGTAAGGACGCAAATGTGATCGCCCACGGAGCAAGGTGTAGCGGTAAAACACATCTAATCCAGGTAATAAAAGAAATGATACTTGCAACATACTGATCATCATTTATATAAAGTACATGGAAATGCTAATTGGAGTTATGTGTGATATGGTTTAAAGGGATCTGAGAGGGAACCTGGTATAGCCATCCTTGCAATGACTGAGATGTTATCCATGGCTGAGGAAAGGGGAGAATCAATTTCGGTATCAATTTATGAGGTCTCTCATGAAACCGTGTATGACATCTTAGACAGAGAAAAGCGAGTGGTTTCTGTACTAGAAGGTGCACAAGGGAAAATTCAACTAAAGGGGCTTTCCAAGGCAAGTCAGTTAGTGTTCTGGAGCATTAGATCTTTGTACATCATTCGTGTTTTACAGATTAACATCATTAATATTTCAAAGTTTTTGTTTTCAGGTACCTGTGAAGTCACTCTCAGACTTTCAAGACTTATACTTTGGTCTCAAGAAAAACCAGAAGCTGACCAGTGACCCTCCACTTAGAAGCCATAAGGGTGTGATGATACATGTTAACACTGGCAACGCCAATTCAGGCTCCCTTGGGAGGATGAACTTTCTTGATATGGCAGGTTGAGTATTCTTTATCACATTGTTAGTTATTTTTCCTATGTGATAACCTTCTGTCAGTATTTGATGGGTCTTGTCTTCCTCTGATAGGATATGAAGACTCCAGGAAACAAAATAGTGTTGTAGCTCCTCTAGAGATTACCAGAATAGATAAGTCGATATATGCATTACAGAATGTCATGTATGCTCTCAATGCAAACGAATCTCATGTGCCATATCGGGAGAGCAAACTTACTCGCATGCTGAAAGATTGTTTACAAGGGTGCAACAGAACATTGCTGATCACTTGTTTGGTAGATACTTTACTGGCTGTTGAGTTGTTTTGGATTTATGCTTCACTGTATGTCATTGTAGGCACTAGGCAATGCTAACGATTTAGTTTCTTGTTTCAGCACCGGGAATTTAGCCAAGACTCTTTTTACATGCTAAACTTAGCATCACGGATCTGTCTAGGCAGTAACCGAGTCATGACTAGTGTTACTAAGAAGAGCCACGGTATTGCAAGATCTATTTCATCATCCTCTGCCGCTCAACGGAGACAGACACCTTTGGCTGTGTCTGCTACTTCTAAACAACAGACAGGACTCAGGGGAAATGTGACAGAGAGAAAGACTAAACTCAACACTTCCGCTTCTGCAATCAAAGGAAGGTAAAACTTTCCTAACCAACATGGTATCAGATCTAAGCCTCAGTATCCTTGGTGTGCCTGCATCTGCTCTGTTGTTGAGTTTTTACAACATCAAATGTTGATGATACTTTTCTCAATGATTGAAGGAAACTGTTCGCTGAAGCAACTAATTCGGTGAATTGTAAAAGTAACCGTAGGAAGGTAATTCATTATTTGTTCTTATTCTAGTGATTTCAGAAAAAGTTTAGTTAGACTTGTTTTGTATTTTGTAGATGGAAGGCAAAGCAAGGATGGGAGTGAAAAAGGTAGACCTCCTCATTCTAGATTGTTAGAGTAATGCTCTTCAGTTTCCTTTCTCACCTCGAATGACACTTGCGGTTATTTTGATGCAGGAAATCTCTACTTCAAAGGTTGTCTTAAAAGTTCAGGCATCCTCGTCTGAAGAAGTAAATTCTTACAATCTTGTACTAACTGGAGCTGCATTGATATATATTACCAAGGCAACTTACAAGTTCTTCTGTTCTTTAATGTAGGAAGTTTGCTCCTCGTTTGTTGTTTCAGATTTGCAAACTTCTGTGGCAGAAGAGGTATATTAACGCTTATTCTAAATGAAAATAATCAAGAAATTACTTACATTCAATGGTTCATGACCGATGGTGATTTCTTTGCAGGAAAACTCTGCTCTGGACTTCTCAAGTTCTGAAGTAATCAATAGTATCGACATTTCTACCATTAATCTTCAGGAGACAACCCCGATACATGAGGAAAGGTTTTCAGAAGCCACTTATTGTGATGAAGGTACCGCAGGCAAAGGTGAGACTGAATAGTTGATAGAGAAGGGTCTGGTTTAAAGAAAAAAATGGCTCTTATATTTTAATTTTTTGTTATGGCAGCTCCAATAGTAGAGAAAGATGAACACAATTCAGCCATTGCAGAAGATCTGAATCTGGTTAATGAAGGTAGGTTGTATTTCTTGTGACATTAATTTAAGAATCTAATATAGGGAAACCTTTGTTTAATGGTTGGTCTTTCTATTGATTGTAGGTGAAAACTTGGACAAAGAAAACAACAGTTTGCTAGCCAATGAAACTTCATCACCACCTCTCAGCCTGCGCCTTCAAGAACTATCCAACACTTTGAAGTCGATATGCAAAACCTCAAACCAACCATCGGCACCTGAGAAGTATCAAACTGCCCTATCTAAATTACATGTGGAAGAAGAATCAGAGAATAGCGACATTACTGCTGAAGCTGAAGAGCTAAGAACACCGGAGAAAAGTATGCCTTCAAATATTGCTTTTAGTCCATGGAAGACATTCAGTGCACATAGCTCAAAGTTGAAGGTAAGAAGAATTGCAAAGCATGGTTAAAATTGTTTTGTTTTTGGTTGAACTGAAATATATCATATCTTTATTAACATAAATATGTATTATCTTTATATATCTGATAGCTGGCTAATAGTTTGTTTCGGAATTAGCATAAACCTCTGGGACAAAGGGTAACAATTTTCTTTTTCTTTCTGGGAATGCTGCAGAATTCTGCTGTTGGAGAGTATCTAAAGTTCTTAAACACAGCAGATAAGTAAGTTATTTTATCTCTATGGTAAAAAAATCAGCTTGTTTTTTGAGTATCTGAAGCTTTCCAAATCTTGATATTTTCCCGGTATAACTCATTGAATCCACATGGTTGTGATAAGGAAGTGAACTAACCTAAGCTTTTCTCTTCTCTTGTGGTATTACAGAGAAGATCTAAAGAGGCTTAAGGTGAGATGACTAGCCTGATCCGAAAAATATCAAATGTTGGTTTATGGTATAGTACCTAACTTGTAGACACGGCTTACACTGATGCATTATATAGGGTATTGGAGAAAAGAGAGCGACTTACATAGTTGAGCTCCGCGAAGAATCTCCTGAACCATTCAAGAAGGTAAGTCTTATCTCACCATTGCCATTTTCGAGACTTCTCTTAATTTTCTCAAAATGCCATGAAGTTTTATAATTGAGAAGTTGCATCTTTATCACGATGGATTAGCAACAAAATGTTGATCACTATTTGGTAACGTATATTCATCAGCATCTATTTTGGTCAAGTTGAAGGTTCATTTGGGTTGTTTATAAGCTTCTTATATCTTCCATTTCAGCTTGATGACTTGAAAGACATCGGTCTCTCAGAAAAACAGGTTAGCTTTATAATCATAGAGTCCTTCAATTTCTCTGTTTCTTTTATTTTTTTCTTTTTGGGTCAGAAGTTGGTTACCAGATCATGATTATGAGGATATCGTCTGAAAACTGAAAATAAAGTCAACTCTAAAATCTAGATACTATAAAATTGCTGTATCAAAATCAGGTTTAGATGGATAGTTTGGTAGGGATATTTGAGACTTCTAAGATGAGGTTACCTAATTTAAGCACATATGTATGTTAAGTATACTAATGAGACACTCTCTCATTTAAATTAACTTTAAAAACTGTAAATCGACGAATTGTGTAATGGATTTTTGCATTGACAGATTAAGGGATTGCTGAGGAAAGAGATTGGGGATATTTTCGATTAGCTGAAGAACATTCTCTATGGTCACAGCAAGGTCTGATGGGAGGCAACACGAAGTTGCTCTAGTAAGAGTTTGAAGATTCTATTTGTAATCAATAATTAGCAAGTTATGTCGTTGAGTGTGTGTTGCGTTTTATGAGAATTGTGTCCTGAGTCCTGACCTTTTACTGTTAGATAATTTGTGTTTTTCATGGCAATGTGAATTATCAAATTTCTTCTCTATTTGTCTTAACTTACATCACTTTTCGTTAAGAATATCAATCATGACGTTATAACTAAACCATCAATCTCTCTCTATGGCCACCAATATGGTCATCATTCACTGGAACATGAACAACCTTTCTATGTTTTCCAAAACTCGAACATAATATTTTAGTGGTGAGAAATTTTAACTTACGTCTCACCAACTTTATGCTTTAGCCAATTCAATTTTCTTCTAAGTTTTACTAGACAAAAACAAGTTTTTAGTTTCATAATCGCGTTAGCATAAGATTTCTGATGATTTTTTACAAGAATATGAAACTTGGGGTAAAATGTGAAAAAACTCATAAAAACACATAATTTAACCCAAAAAAGTTCTTAAACTGTCGCTTATATCCGATGGAAACAAGACACAAAAGCACTAAACAAACAACAAGTATCCTTTGAGATTTTAAATTAGATTAGAAGACAGAAACTACAAATCAATCTCCTTTACTATCGCCGGAGAAGTAAATCTCACAAGACCGAGGAAGAAACACAGGCAACAAGAGACCGAACAGATTATAAAACCACATCGCCGTGTTAACCGACGCAATCGCTCTTCCCCCGTACAACCTCACCGGACCACCGGGACGCTGAGTATCTGAGAATTCGGCTTTAACCCAATCCAAAAGCGCGAAAATTCGACGAGCGTTGTAGAATACCGGTCCGAGGATACCAATCGGCGTCGAGAACTTTTCGGAGAAACCAATTGGTTCGGTGAAGGCTTGACCGGAGAGGAGAAATAGATGCGGAGCGGCGGCTCCGGCGCCGTGAATGTCTCCCCTGAATATTCCGTCTCCGATGTAGCAAATTGGTAAGAGTAGGCCTGAGTCAGAGAGCGATTAAGTATTTATAAGAAATATAAAAAAAAACATCGGAAAAAAATTCAGCAAAGAAAAGATTAATAACCGATAATGGCAGTGGCAAGGAAGTAAGCTTGAAAGAGTTTGTTTTTAGGGTTTGAAAGTCTCTTCTTCTGCTCGGTTTGCTTGCGAGGGAAGGCAAATCTGGAGAGGAACTCATACAAGTAGACATAAGACAGTATTACAAACGCTACTTCTCCGATCCCGACGAGTCCTTTTGCGATGAGTAAAATCATGAGAGAGAGAAACACGAGCTGTCTCTTGCGACTGATGAGACCGCGTTTTTGTGGCGGCTGCTGCGGCGGAGATGGTTTACTGTCGGTGGTGAGATTGTGGTCTCGTATTTCTTCCGACATTGAAGAAGTCTTTTGATTTCGAGATTTGTTTTAGAAGCTCTGTAGATGAATAAGAAAAATGGCGACTTTTGGTTTGGTAAGGAAAGAAGAGTGTAGGTAGATATGGAGTGGTTAACCTTCTCTGTCTTCTTATCTATTTCTTCGCCTTACAATTATTATTTTATTTATACAAAAATGAGAAAGAATAAGAAAGAGATGTTTTGAGGAAAACAATGAAGATATTATTTGTAGCGTTATGACAAGTGTTCCGCTTGAGAGCTCACATTTTTTGGAAGATCTTGTGAATCCTAAAAAAGGTTAATAGAACAAATTAGAAGACTAATTTGAGATAAATACTAAACACCCTCAATTTGCAAATGACCAAATTTATTTTTTAGTAACTTACCATATAAGCTTGTACTGCTCTCATTTGTTGTTTATTCTTTAGAAAGTGTTTCTTTACAACAAAAAGTCACATTTTGGAAACAGAACACACTTATAATGACACAAATCATAACAAACTATCTTTGATGTTGGGTCTTGTTCTTAATGATGCTAACTAATCTATTGAAACGCAAGCTCCGGTGAAGATAGAGTTCAACTCAGGCGACACTTCCTCGTGCTTCTTTACAAAAACCTTCAAAAACCTGTCCTTAGAACTCGTCAACACACTCGAAATTGCTGGGACTCCACCGATCAGCCCTTTCGACACAAGAGCTTTGATTACATTACACCTCGGATAAATAAACTTCTCCAAGCTGAATCCAAGTACAATGGGGGTTGAAGCAATGGCCTTTAAAGGCCAACCCATCTTCTTCACAAGAAACTCAGTCTTGGTCTTCACCGTATCTGCAGCTAAACCAAGGCACTGAGGATGTCGCTTGATGATCATTAAGAACTCGTCTTTCCTGAATCCTAGACCAAGAAAAGTCTCAAATGAATTCACTATCTTCTCCTCTGAAGTGCCTACACATTCCGGGTACTTCTTCAGAATCGTGCGTACCTCTTCCTCCGTTAGACCACACCGTTTCAGTGTCTCAAACGTCTGAGTTATCTTCTTCTCCGAGTATTTCAGAGAGTAAGGCCATTTCTTGAAAATTGCCCAGACTTCATCCACAGAAAAGCCTAACCTTTTATAGGCATCCACTTTCTGTTCTAACGTTTTTTCACTCAGCTCGTAGAAAACGTAGAGAGCGTTGACAAACTTTGGTGAAGTCGGATCAAATCCCATCTCAACGATCTTCTTGACTGATCCTTCGAATCTTTCTTTTCCGCAGACTGGTTTAGCTTTGGAGACTAACAAATTGAGTAACAGTCTCTGAGGCACTCCCAATTCTCTCAAAACCGATACATTTCGGGCTCGATTCGTCTGGTTTCCCTTTGGAGACTTGGAACTCTTACCTTGATCCTGCAGAACCTCTTTGACGTAATCAAAGTAACCAGTGGTCGAGAAGTGACCTCTTCCTCCCAAGATTTTGGGAACTTTTGTAACAATCTCTGTAAGCTCAGAGCTCGAAGCTCCGTTTAGCTTCAGAAGATGAAGTTTGGCACGAAGGGTATTCTCGGGGTTTTCTATAAGGAATCGTGGGTAAGTGGCGATGATACTGGAGATTTGGAGATCTGTGAATCCGTAGCTTCTCAGAAGTTTCAGCACCGAATCTGGGTTTCCTTTCTCCTCGAAGCTAGCTTTCACTGAGATCGATTCGGCGAGTTTTGTAGTTAAACCCAACGAATCAACAAGGTAAGAGACTGTAAAACTCTTCCTTTTTCGTTCATCTTCCGGACTCAGATCTGCAGCGGTAACAGAAGAGAAGGAATACGCAAAAGCTGATGCGTTTTGCAGAAGAAGATTCAACACTGGAGCTTTGAGATTCCGCCATCGATGTAACTCGCGGGACCTTCTTCCATGGAGTATCAGTGAAAACATTGAGAATGTAAATGCGATTCCTTTCAAATGTCAGATGAGAATAGATCGATTATCTGGCGCGTGTTTCTCAATTTCACGGGAGGAAAGTTGCAAGAAACGGAAATGGTGGAGATAGGAAAAGGATGACGGCAAAAACGCAAGGAGCCGGTTCGGGTTCGGGTTCGGGTTGGGATAATATCCATTTGCTAAGGAAAATCACAAGCAAATTCATAAATTTATTGTGTGGGCCTGGCTTATCAAGTCTTGTGGGCTCTCCAACTTTAGATATACGTACAACTTAAACCTTGAGAAGATGCCACCTGAGTTCCATGTCACATACTCACAATCTTAAATATCTTAAGATATAGAATCATATCCAAATTTATAATTTCAAGTGTAATTAACGAGAGTTTAACAAATGGTAACATGCTTATATCTCAAAAGCTGGTTTTGGGTGGATGTGCCGACTAAGTCGCTGCAAGTATTTCCTACGGGGTAAATTAGACTTCAAAGTAGACAGATGATTTTTGTTCAACAACAAAAAAAAAGTAGACAAATGATAAACCGGTAACTAATTTTATTACATCTCACTCAACTTTTCAAGATTGGTTAACAACTAACAAGTGCATTTTAATATTCAACAACAAAAACACTTAAAAACATCGTCCAAACACTCTAGAGTTCCAAAAAAACACATTACATAATCAACACATCAATTAACCACAATACACAAGCAAGCATTCTGCTGATTTATTATCAACATATGAGCAATTATTATTACCATAGCTTAAAAAAAAACATAGGTTTTTTTCCTTAATGGAATCACTGAAATTAATCAGCTAGTTAACCCAAAACCAAAACTCAAGAGTTTGGATTAATTAACTAATTAACCCGCTGGATTGACTCAAACAAATCCGTTACCATTAGCATTAGCATTACCATTGCCATTGCAGAGCTTCTTTCCATTTTCCTCCTCTTCCTCGACGAGTAAAAACTCTTTGCTCTTCTCTAGCTTCTCCATGACAGAAGCTTCGAGAGTGATCTCCACATCGATGCTTATACCTCCAGCTTTTCCTTGGTACAAATACATCATCCCATTGAACCGATTATTCGACCCGCTCCGAACCGTTTCGGGTTTTCCCCACCCGAAATCCACCTCGTAAACCCGGAACCTCGGCGAGCTCCCCACCGCCACGCAGTTCACTCCGGCGTCTTTGAACTGAAAGATCTTCGGCGATTTCTCCCACTCCTCGTTCCTCGCGTCTATCGCACGCGCGTCGTGAGCCACGATCGCTTTCTGTATCACCGACGCCCCAAACTCCGGCCCGTGCGCCGCCAGAAGCCCCGCCGCCGTCCCCGTGAAGATCGCCTGAATCAGGTTCCCGAAATACTCCTCCGGCAACGGAGGATCAACACGGCGACGACAGTCGGCGAATACGGTGAAGACGGTGATCTCCTCGGGTTTAAGCCCACGCGCGAGGGTGACGTGGCGCCAGATGTGTGATGTGAGGGACTGGAAAGTGGAGAAAGGTTTCGAGCCGTCGGATGGGATGACCGAATTCGCTCTTGACTTGATCGTGTGGATGGCGGAGTCCGAGAACCTGAAGATCTTCTCCACAAGCTGCGGCGGTTTCGACGTGGCGTCGCCGGCGTCGTCGCCGTTGGAGGCTGCGTTTGGGTCCTTTGGGGAAGTGAGGTCGAGCTTCACGCGCGTGTCACGTGCCTTGGATCGGTCGAGGAAAGGTTGTGTTGAGATGGACTTGACCCCACAACAGATCTCGGCCCATGAGCTCATGAAATGCCAGGTGGCAGTACCGTCCAGGACTGCGTGATTGAAGGCTAGGCCCATTGCGAGCCCATCTCTAAGCTTGGTCACCTGTTGGCGAAACGAAATAGTGGGTGAAGAAAGATTACAATTTTTAAGTCGAAATTGAAGTATTTTATTGGACGATAGTTTCGAGACCAGAAAATAACAACAGAAACAATGACTCCTCCAACGACCACACCTATTTTCAAAAGCCTTTACATTGATTGCACATTAAATGTTTGTCGAGATTTTGAATAACCATCCGGCGATAATGAATTTAGTAGGTATTGTATGCATGTAGTTATGCATGTAGGTACGTATGAATACGACGTATTTATATATATTATATATGACCTTAAGGTTGATAATGTATATTTTTGTTAAGTGTTTTATTTTTTAACAACTAACTGAGTTGAAGACGGAGATATCTTCTTATCCACTATATCTAGAATTCAAGTCAAAGCGGATCGACGAAAGAAAAAATGAATTTGAAAGCCATGGGTATATTGACAAAAAAAACGAGTATATGATTATGAATTAAGAGGCGCTAACATGCAGTTTGACATAAAGACGTCACCCATTTTTGTTATGGATTCGATTGATAACGACGACTCATTAAATTAGGTGTACTATACTAAACTAATAACTTACTTAGGATTTGATTGATAAGTCTATATTTATATTCTGAGTACTTATTCTGTAGTACATGCATGCCTACATGACGTTATCTCGCTACTTACCAGTTAGTAGTTATCATCCATAAAAATATCACTGGTCAGTCATTTAATGTTGTATTTAATGGTTGTGCCAGTTAAAATTTTCTCTTCTTTTTTTTTTTTTTGAAAAGGATTATATATCTAAGTCCAACTAATTACAGAAGCATGTGAAAACCGAGTTTGTCAAATTATTGACTTATTAGTAATTGTATATAAGCTTCATAGAGATGAACATACACCAATTACTAGCAAATTACAAAGATTCAGATTTAGTTGTATCCGATTTAACGTTGTCCATGTGTGTGTGTGTGTGTGTTATAAGCATAATATATGCATTCGATAAAAACGAAAACTTTATATGAAAATCTTTTATATGTGCATGTCAAGGTGGATTTTATTTAAAACAAATATTTTGTTTGGTGACCATTTAAGTCGTATAGAGTGTTTTTACCACCTAATCTGTATTCAGTAGTTGTTGTCCAAAAAAAAAGAAAAAAAAATGTATTAAGTAATTAAAGAGAACCTAATAATGCGAATGTATTTTTCCCTATAGTTTATAGATAAGTTTATCTTCTGTTAGAAAAGAATTAATGTCACCATTTTTAGCTCGGACTTGCTGAAAACATGCAATTCTACTTTTGATTTTCTTTCAACGGTAGAGTTTATAAGTCTTGCACGTCACGTGATGTTTGTCCTCAAATGGTAATATTTATTCTGCTCTCCATTCTTAATTTCGATGGTCGTTTGTCTAAACTTTACAAAAATGTTATTAATATAAAAAATGATTTAAATGTACCGCATAACTCAGAGACACCACAAACACAACCACATATTAACATATAATATATGAATAATTCAGACGCGCGGGAAATCACTACTAGCTAGTAGCTACGTTAGTTGTTTTTTTTTTTTGTTGTTACTGTGATTTCTATATCTAATCCTATTTTATTTCACGTGAGAATAAAACAAGATAAACGACAAAAATACTAGCATAGAAATAGAACAATATATGAAATAATTAAAAACAATAACCTGGACAGCAAGGAGAGGCCTGCTCAGTCCTTCCAAGTTCAAGATCCCATTGTACGGAACCAACTCCCTGAACTTAGCTGTTCCGTCCTCAGCCGTCAGATCATCGACACTGACGTCAGCAGCATCAGCAACCGAGAACTCCACGCCGTTGATCTCTCCGTCGTCAGCGTCGTACTCAACTCGGAAGACTCCTTCGTCGTCCTTGGCCAGTTTACCGGCGAGCTGATAGAAGTCTTCAAGAACCAAACCCAAACCATCCTTGAGCTTCTCCACGACGTCGTTTTGGAAAGCGGCTTCTTCGAGTTCTAGAAGGTTCTGGAACTTGTAGAGCAGAAACTTCTGGTTGTAGTAGAAAGCAAGGTAAGGAAGATCAAATGTGGTTAGCTGGAATTGTTTCTTCCCTAGTATTGGTTTGTTTGGTTTCACATGTGTTTTGCTCTTTATCTTTATCTTCATTTTGAAAAGGAGATTTTACTTGGCCTTTTTGATCAATGTGTGACTTGTGATGAATTGCAAGAATAAACTAGAAGTCGTATTTTGTTTGGGGGTATGAGATTATAGTGTGGTGTGGGGTGGTAAAGTAAGAGCTAAAGGCTGTTTTTTATAGAGACGTACAGTGTGTAGTTGGGTTAGGCATTTAAGGTTTCATGGAAGTAGTTGCGATTCAATTAATGACTCCATTAATCTCTCTCTCTCTCTTCAAATTTATATGCACGAATTGTTAAGTTAAGTTAGGGTTTAGGGTAGAAGAAAAAAAGATACAAAAATAAAATAAATGTGTAGGACACTATAACGCCGGATAAGATGGTAAAGAAACATAAAAGTAGTCGACCCAAGCAAACGGTATTATTATGGGTCGTACCTGGATTCACAAAGATTCTAATTTCCTAAGCTGTCAAAAGTTTTGCATGACCTTACTTTTTTTTTCTTGTCAAGGCATAAATTTTAATACTTTAAATTACTTTATAAAGATACATCCTCTAAACTCTCTTTTTGGGGATAAATTACCTTCTGTAAACATTACACATATGAACCACTTTATTGGATCTAAAGGACTCTACATTCCCATATTTAATTAGTAGTTAAGTGGAGATACATCCTCTAAACTCTTTTTTGGGGATAAATTACCTTCTCTAAACATTACACATATGTACCGCTTTATTGGATCTAAAGGACTCTACTTCCCATATTTAATTAGTAGGGAAGTGGAATTGTGGAAGTTGAACAACGACTTTTACGGCTAATAAAATCCTATGGGTTCTAATTATTGTAGAGAACTTACCCAAATCAAGGATGCATTTGTTTTATTTTTTCAACAACATGTAATATATAGATTTATTTGAATAGTGACAACACTAGCACAACGCCCAAACTATTAGATAAAATGTTCTAGTCGTGACATGTTGTGTTTGACAATTTAGACAAGCTAAGTATGAAATATTATATAAGGCATGAAGTAGTTTAGAAGTCGATTGTCACTATAACGTTGTCTAAGAAATAGGAAAACGTCCTAAAACTACATTGGATATAAATGCATGTATGTATATATTTTCACATATATTCGAGAATAATTATGTCTGAAATTACATCAGGCCTACGAAACCGTATTTTGCCACCACAAAATATATAGTTACGACCTAAAACCTTAATTATCTGATAAACGACCGTTTAAATGACAGACAAATGTATTGATATGACAATGCCACAGTGTAGAAAGCCACCAAATCGTCACCTCATGCAGGACAAATTTAATGAGAAAATTGTCACTAAAGTTTAGCTACTGAGTGAAGTGTTGAAAGTTTATGATTCTCTTATTGTAATCGGATTTTTCGTAGAAGCCTTGGTATGTTTTTTCTTAGGCGTGAGTGAGGATTTGAATGATTATATGTCTCTTTGTCTCAATAACGGGATGCTCTCTGATTTGGTCTTATATCTTGTAACTGTTAAAGAGTTTCTCGCTAGACGAATTGCCAGTTTTAGGGCTTTATTCTTGCAACATTGGCAAAATTACAACTTAATTTTGGGTATGAACGTCCAGAATTCAGGATAATTTGGCGTCTATGTGATTGTATTATCAAAGAGTTTTAGAGAAACAACGTAACTCGAATTGTTTAAAGCTATTTATATATTGATGATTTAAACTACCTATATCATAGCTCCTGCTTGATCAAAATTTGAAAGTTTATGCTTTTTGACAGTTTTCTCTAAATTTAATGAACCAAGCTCAGAATTATTTCTGTAATGACTTACTTATGAAGGCCCAATAATTACAAAACCAAATAAATCATAAGCGGAGGAACTGAAAACGCATTTAAGAGAATATTGGGATTTTTTTTTTTCAGTTAACCAAATCAGAAATCGAGATATCACGGCAGTCTAGTTTGATTTTATCTAAACCATGGAAGTTTTCGGTTGTCAGGTTCTATTGGATTGTTTGGTTTTGGGTTTACCAAATCTTAATCAAGATTTGAATTTTGGTTATCATTTTTCCGTTCTTTTATTTATCTAAATTTTGTTTTCAATTTGGTTTTAGTTCTGATATCTGAAAGACTGAAATGATGTTGGACTAGCGCAATGCCTCTTATCATTATATGTGTATAGAATTTTTGAAGAGAATCTTAATTAGTTCAAATTCTAAAAGATCCTTTTTTAAATTTGTGGTCTGATTTTAAAAGTACAATTAGTCGGAAATTTAACGCGTAGACGAAAGATGACTTTGGACCGAGTAAATGGGACGTGCTGGCTCCGTATTTTCAGTATTCTTTTTTGGGTTCTACCTTCCTCTCATAATCTGATGCATATCCCTAGAAAACTATTCATTTTATTGGACAAATTATCTTTTGCTTTTGTTTATAACATAGTGTACATATTCCCGTATATTTTCGGTATGAAATTCAAATTATGACATGGTGACAATGACAACATTTTAGTATAAAAAAGACAAGTATCCCTCTACAATCTTGATCAAGATCAATGGAATGATCAATGATCCACCCACAGATATTATAAATTTCCAAGTTTTGACTTTGGTGCAAAGAAATTTCCAATTCTACCCTCTAGAAAAATATGTTGTCCCGTGGCCGAGAAGTGGAAGTGGCGATTTCATCGGCAAAAGATATCAAGAACGTGAATTGGCGCAATGGCCCAAACAAGCCATACGCCGTCGTATGGGTCGATCCGAAATACAAGTCCTCCACAAGAGTCGACGAAGACGGCGACACGTGTCCCTCCTGGAACGAGACATTTGTCATCCCTTTGCCTCTGGACAACTTATACGACGATGACAATAAGGTCTACATCAACATCGTACACGCAGGACGTGAAGAGAACACAAAGCCCCTCATCGGCTCCGCCTATCTCAGCCTCCGTGACGTCATCGATGACGTTGGCTTCGGCGTCGCTAACGTGAAAACCATCAACCTCAAACGCCCCTCCGGCCGACCTCACGGCATTCTCGACGTCACCGTCGCCGTTCGAGAAACTTGGCACCACGCGCCGCCGCAACATGTTTATGGAAACACGATGATGTACGGAGAGACGGGGTATGGATATACGCCGGAGAAAGAGAAAGGGAGCAAGTTCGGTGGGATGGGGACGGGACTGGCGATTGGGGCGGTGGCCGGAGTTCTTGGTGGGGTTGCGTTAGCGGAGGGATTGGAGGCTATGGAGGACAACGTCGCTGAAGAAGCAGCGGAGGATGATCTTGATTCCGGAGAAGAAGATTCTGACGGCGGCGATGACGACGGAGACTTTTAATCTTCCTGGTAAAACATGCACAACATTAGCCCATAAAACCATTGAACTAACTCATTTCTTCTGCAAATTGCCCCCAAAATATTTTATTAAACTATTGGCTTTGAAGCACATGCTTTATAAGCTTGTGCTCAGGCACGGCTCTGAATATATTTCACCGATAAAAAAATGTGAATGTATCATGTATGTATGCATTGCAAAAGAAAATGCATAATCTAATAATTCTATTGTTTTCGACATGGCTCAATTTTGTCAAAAATATTTGACAAGTTTTTTTCTTTTTTACCGGAGCCAAATGTACAGTTGTTAAGGGCGCTTGTGTTTTAAGAAATCACAACGATTATCAAAGTACTATAGATTCATGGTGCCAGTGCCACGTTTCTAAACACAAAAGGAATACCATAAATACCTAATTCTATTGTTTCGTTTAGGTTTTTCTAATAATTATATTGTTTTCAACTAAATAAATAGTTAATCGCTTTAGCAATAGTTAATCCACAACTAAATAGTACATAATTTTATTACTCTTATCTAGTATACAGATCTATTTTTTTTTCACAGTGAATTTGAAACGTTAACAGATTTTAAGAAGTGTGAAAAATACAATTTTAGGGATATAAAATTTTTTTGTAAAAAGTGTGAAGAAATCTATAAATGACACTTGTTGTGAAATTGAATGTGTATTTTGCAAACTTTCGAATCTATTGTACATCCAGATTATGGAATGCGGGCCAAGCATCATGTAATAGTACACTTAAGTTTCAATACTCAACAATATTAGGCGGATATTCAAATTCGTAAAAGCAGCGGTGCCGAACTCTTCTTTCGAACCAACATAAGTACACATTAAAGTCAAAACTTCTGTACAAAACGCTGAATATTTAGCAAAATCACTAAACCACGAACCAAAAAAGTACCAACTAAGGAGAGTACTATTTATTAATATCGTCGATCTATCCATCGTGTCAAATTCATATGTCTATATAATGTATTTACATTACCGATATGAGCAACTCTCAAACGCCTTCTAAATATTTTGTTCAAAAGGAAGAAATGGCAATGAAGCTAGACTATTTAGGCAAAGAAGTGATCAGACCTGATTCACTTAATCAGACCCTTCATCTTTCTCTCTTTGACCAGTTTCTTCCTTCAACTTACGTTTCCGCCATTTTCTTCTACGATGATCAAGCAAACGTCCAAGAAAAGATTCTCGTCCAGAGGCTCAAGAAGTCACTCTCTCAGACTCTGTCTCTCTTTTATCCACTCGCTGGACGGATCAAAGAAGGCGTTACTGTCGACTGCAACGACGAGGGAGCTCTATTTACAGAGGCACGAGCCGATGTACTTCTCTCCGACGTTTTGAGAAACCCATCAGATGCTGATTTGGTTCAGAAACTCATTGTCTCTCCTGACCCTGCAGATCCAGAAACTTGGCCGCTGTTGCATGTCAAGGTCATTTTCTTTAGAGACAGAGGACTCGCGGTTGCGGTTAGCGTCTCTCACAAGATATGCGATGCGGCCTCGTTGTCAACGTTTGTTTGCAGCTGGACAAAGGCTGCGAGAGGGTATGCTGACATGGTGAATCCCGAATTTGCTGCGTCTGTTTTCTACCCTCCTGCTGACATTTCTATCGAGTTTCCTCCTTTACTCGTACATGAAAGAAAATCCAAGACAAAGAGGTTTGTTTTTGGTCCTTTGATGATAGAAAAGCTAAAAAACAGAGCTTATTGTAGCAAACGTGTGCCACAAGCTACCCGTATTGAATCCATCACGGCGCTTCTGGTAAGATGCGCGACAAGGGAAAGGCGGTCAAAGGCGAGTGCGGTCACGGAATTTGCTATAACACAGACAATGGACTTGCGCCCTAGAGTTCCGTCCTTTCTCTTGCCACGCAAGGCAATTGGAAACTTCTTCTTTTTACCTTTAGTGAAAGAGACATCAGAGAATAAGATGGAGATCCAAGAAACGGTGTCTAAGCTACGAAAAACTAAAGAGGAGCTCAATGAGCTTATCACAAAGGATACTGAAGACTCAAAGAGAAGTATTGATGAGGCCAAAGAGAGAATCGCAAGCGCCATGCTGAGCTCGTTGCTTGAGGTAAGTCCTGATACAGAGACATTTGTTGTGTCTAGTTGGTGCAGAATGTCGTTTTACGAGGCGGATTTTGGATGGGGATTTCCGGTTTGGGTTGCCCCGGATTCCGTTGACAAGACACATGTTGTGTTAATGGACGCAAAGGATGGTGAAGGGGTTGAGGCATGGGTGACATTACTTGAAGCCGACATGGCTGCGCTTGAGCTTGATGCTGAGCTGCTCGTTTACGCTACTCCAAGTCCTAGTGTCCTCATGATCTAGTAATAATTTTTTTATATCAAACAAGTTCAAGTATGGTAAGATAATTAAGTTTTATGTTTCAGTTTATAATAACAAAGGCATGTGCTGTAAGCGAATGATATGTGTTTTTTGGTACTCTTTTGATTAGGGTTTTCTTCTAAAATTTTCCTATTGTCGTTCTACTCTGGTTCTGTTTTAGTTATATGTTTTTAAAATTTTTATTATGCTTTGAATTTATCTGTCCCAGCTCTATCAGAACTCTGTTTTCGGACATGTGCGCGGACGAAAAATTGTATCCACTATACTGTATATCAAATATTTTATATTTTTATATTTTTAAAAATGTAACTTTACAGATGTTCAAAACCTTAGTAATTATATTAATCTTTATGCCTATATAGGCATAGCGCAGATTAATTCTATCCATCTATTTTTGTTCCTCCTCTCCATACAGCAAAACCGATTATTGCGACCGACAATGACGATGATGATGATAATGATGTGGGTGAAGGGTAACATGTATTAACATTCCATTTTTACATTGAATTAACAGAAAATATAATTAACAGCAAAGCATCAAAGGTCATTATAAAGTTTATAGAAGGAATCGATCACCAGTTGAAACTAATTGCCTCAAAGTGAAGGTTCTTAGCCAAACCAGATGAACATATCCTTGCCACCTCATGCCTCATCTTTCTTGGCCCGCACACCATCACACCTACGTCTTCCGAACCTTCCGCTTCAAACAGAATCTCTGCATAAGGATAATGTTTGTAGTATCAGATTCATGTATGTACATTCACTTAAACCAATTTTGCCATATGCATGTGATGCTCACGTGGTGTAATAGTGTTGTAATAGATGACTTACTTTTCAGGTTAGGTTTAGCGCCGAAGTGGACTGAAGTGGCTTGTACTATAGATTGATACGGAACGCTCTCGAGCTCTCTCTCTTGGCCGCAGAACCATGAACCAGGAGAAGAAATAGGCGTCTGAAAATCTACGCTCTGCACCTGCTTCTTGGATTCCTTATCTCCTTCCTTGTTCATTTTCTTGCGCCACAAGAACACTATGCTTGAAGAAATGAAAATGCAGACGCATCCTAGGAACATGTCCCAGAGCGCTCTATACGAGAAATTGTAGATCTTTCCTGTGTTACGATCAACAGGATATATATAATAACGTGTGACAATCGCTATGAGCAAGAGAAACATGACGAATGATGACAAGATCACGACTCCGAGCCAGAGTAAGTTGTTGGGTCCAAGGACAGGTGAGATGGGAGAGTCTTGAGGCTGCGGTTTGAACCATTTTGTCTGCAACAGTCTGTGATCATCAGATGTGTCTGGCTTCTTGTCTTCTTTTGTTATATAGGCCTCGATTCGGAGATTCAGCCTGGAAATGTCTGAGACTGATATATCTGATGGGAAAATTAGGTCTAAAAACGCAAGATCATGGTAATGTTTGAAGGCACAAACAAGAAGAACATCTGGTAGTTTTGTGCCTTGGTTTTGGCTCTGGAATATGAGCTCTCTGATAACCGAAATGAAGGGAGTAATTCCACTTCCCCCGCTCACTAGTATTAAAGAGTCATGCCTATAAAAAATGAGAAGGATCACAATTAGACAAAAAATTAATTAGATAAATTAGTAAGTAAGAAGCTGAATTATAGGACCTTTTAAGTTCTCTTACCTCAGATCCAAGGAGTTAGGGCCATAAGGACCTTCAGTAGAAACTTCTAGAGAATCGATGGAAGAAGAGATCTGGGTGTACAGCTTTTGAGTCCAACTTCCTTGTTTTCTGATGACAACACTTAGTGTATCTTTCTCCAAGTAGCTGCTTGAAGTTATTGTGAATGGATGCCACTGTAGCTTGGAAATGCTCGGCACATGTAGAAACAATAGGCTCGTTGGTGTATAATGTAGCCCTATAGTTAGATAATACTAATGGTTACAACGCGTTACCAAACTCGGTAGAAAACAATTGAAGCATGTCTCTCTTAAGCATGGTATTGTGTTTAGATGAAACATGACTTTAGTTTTGTTTGTTTTAACCGCAAATTTTTTTGTGTTTGCTTTGTTGTATACATCTTACATATGACATTTTTATGAAATAATATATTAAACTAAAAAAATTTCTTTTTTTGTTAAAAAACTAAAAAAAAAAATTCGATTGAAAATATCTGCAAACTGTAAAGCTAAAAGAAATCCCTTAAGAATTTTCATTTCGTTTGCGTTTTGCCTTTGTATTTTTAATTTGAAAATTAATCTTTAAAATTAGATAAAACCAAAACTATCATGGTTTCATTTGAATGTAAACGTACATGGAGGAACTAGCTAGTAACAAACCTGGGGTTTTGGAGAAAGTGAGTTCGAGGTTGTCTGAAGGTAAGATCCGAGCAGAGACAAGTCTAGATCTCTTGGTGGATTGTAAGAATCTCAAGTAGCGGTCGATGAAGAAGAGGAAGATGTTGGGCAAGATCATGCAGAACCATGAGTCTCCAACATGGATCACGTAGAAGATTATGTAGAGACCGTACAGATGGTGAGTGTAGAAGAAAATCTCAAACTTCTTTCGTCTATAGTATGGTAAACTCGTCACCCACATCGCTATTCCAATCACCATCGCTATTGTACCGGCTAGATTAGGCACATATGTTGGATTCCATGCAAACGTCTTCACGCATATAACAAAACATTGTAAAAAAATAAAAATCAGTTTTGGAATAGAAAAAAAATTGAACATCTATGTCTTGAATGAGCTAGCTTCAATTATTATTTGTTTTTAAAGAAAATTATAATCTGGGATGTTCTAAAATAAAGATAAGATTAAGTTAGATCAAAGATGTAACAGACCTCCATCAACTGATTGACCATGGCCCAGTATATAAGGAAAACGACGGTGTGAACGAGGAAGAGAAAGTTTGAGATATGTCCGAGCCAAATGTGATATTTGATGCTTGACTCAGAAGTCAATCCAACAAGTGGCAGAATCGTAGAGGCTCTTGTCACGGGAAAGAACAAAAAGGCCCAGCAGATGTGGCCAACGTATCCTATTCTCAGCCCAAAAGCCCTAAACTTTGCCTGCCATCTGCACCATTTCACTCAATGTTTTTGTCAACTCTCTACAGACCAAAACACATAATAATCTCGAGAAACCTGTGAAAACTTGGATATTCTTGATTTTAGTTGCTTACATAGTCGCCAACCATAATTGAACTCGAAATGGAAAAACTCGAAATAAATCATCATGGCATGGATTGAAATGAATTTGGCTATTTAAAGGCATTCAAATAAAATGTAAAATAAAAGGAGAAAACAGATTTAGAGAGTTAAAAGTAGAGACAAGAAAACTTACATCTTTGCATTGTCGTGGTTATGAAGTTTGACGTGATAGCTAATGTACAAATAATTGGCGAGAGCCCAAGTCAAAAGAGCCACAAACAATAGAGAAAAAGTAAGCTCTGTTGCTGTCACTATCCCCAATGGGTTCATCACCATCATCACCCTCCCCATTCTCCCTTTTATCTTCCCTTCTCTGCATTTACATAAATAAAAAGATTTGTTGTAATTTGTTACAAATATTCACATGGAAATGTAGCCACCATATAGACAATGAAATTACAACACGACAAACCTTTGAGTTTGGGTGGATTTCTTCTGGATATGCAAATAAACACAACTCAGAACCGCAATGAACATCATTGGAACGGTAAGAAGCACTAGGTTTATGCCTACACATTGATGATAAACTTTAAATACTAAGAAATAAAGAAATCTATATTATATTGAAATAAAATGTGATAAAGTTGAGAAATTAGTACCTTGGGGACCAAAATAAGTAGTATTGAGATACTTGGCGATTTTGGGCGTCCAATTGTTTTTGAAAAGGTTAGTTGAAATCATAATCCAAACAAAAACCCATCCAGCAAATAGAACCATCATTAACATCTTTAGACAGCTTCTCATATTCCCCATTTTTACTTCTACAATAGAGTTGATGGAAGCGTGTGTTGATGTGTGTTGTATGTATGGAAATTAAGATTTTAGGATTGGTTATTTATAGAAGAGGATAAGCGTACTATCGTAATTGTACTATTTATATAGATGTTATATGTCTAAGAAGTACGATATGAGACTACTTCCCCTGTTTTTAATTATCTTATCTCCCGACAGTTCTTTGCCGGCAGAGAAATAGAATGTATATAATTTAATATATACGCATAAATCGAAAATGTATGGCTTGCTAATTGCATCAAAGTTTATGCAAACATAGATAGGTATATGCAATTGAAAGCGTTCCTTTGATCATATTGTATATTCAGTTTCGATAAATTATTTCTAACTCAAGCAACACATTTGACTATTCAATTTTGGATTTTGAATCATATGTATACATGTGGATATAAACGTTCTCTTTTATGTTACCAACATGCATTATGCAAGTTTGATCCTGAATGATGAACCATCGATATATATTACTTTTAAAAAAAATCAATATATTTATTACTAAATATTAACGATTAATCTTCGTTAACTTTTTAAGAAAATTAGCTAGGGTTTCGTACGTAGGGAGTTGAGATTTGAGAGCAGTCTAAGGCAAAGAGCGAAAAAGGCATGATTCATGCGTGGACAAATTGTGGTACTTGGTGTACTACATCTTTACTTATTCTTGGCTAATTATTAATTAATCTCTGCATTAAAAAAAGTTTACACTAATAATGCTTTTTCTTAGCAAAAGTGTGCTCTCCCTGTAGTCAAATCCAATTCACGAGATGGTATCTTGCACATTTTTTTTTTGTATCGAAAGTTAAAACTTAAACACAGACATATTTTCATCAACTTTAATCTATCCGAGTTTGTACAAACAAAAAAAATGAGAAATCTGACGCTTTTGGTTATAAATATTTCAGGAGAATCTGATTGATCTGGTAGAGTTGACATACCATATTTAGACACTGGAAGTACATTTGACTTTTTGAATAACGAACTCAAGTACAGTTGACTTGTATCAAAGAGCAGTACAGTACTAGTACAATCTATAGTACCAAATATATCGAAAATATTTTATCTAAATTTTGACAAGTAACCGATGAAAATGATTATCGTTTATTTATTTTTGTTTTTTTAGTTGCCAAAAAGTTTTCGTTTACTCATTTATTTATGAGATAAATGCATAAGAAATAATTGAAACGTGTGTATTAGTTTTAGACGTTTGTTATGCATTTAATTATTTGTATGTAAAGAACACTTGATTTTTGGAAGAAATAAAATTCAAAACTAATAAGATAACAACGGTTACAATTTACAAGGAGTGTGGCTTGAGAAACCTCCTTGCATAATGTCCGTTGTTAAAACCCGTTTAGAGTTCTATAATCGTTTGAGGACAAAAACTCCACACCCAATGCCAAGAAAAGTTGCTATGGAGACACCGAAAACGCCAGAGAGAATCCCGGGGACGACAAGTGAAGTCCATCCTTTTGCGGTTGCCATTGCACAAGCAGTGGTTGGTCCTCCTATGTTAGCGTTTGATGCAAGAAGCAGTAGCTTCATGTCTATACAGAATAGCTTTCCTAGAACCAAAGTCACTGCGAGATGAACCATTACTTGAATTGCAGCAAAGAGGAAGATACTTGGAGCAGTGTTGATTACATTCCACACACTCCCTGTGGCTCCCAGAATCGTGAAAAATAACTGAACAAAAGATATTCAAAAATTAAAAGGGAAATGGACTACTTATTGGCTCAAAACAGGCCAGTGATAAACTGATACATCCTTAATTGGTTCGATATAGATAAAGTATAAAGAAAGAGATACCTGCATGAGAATGAGAGAGATGGTTTCAGCAGAAGGTGCCAGAGAGTTGAAGAAACCAGGGAAAGAAGTTGCCAAGATGATGGTGATGGCTGTTACTGCAGGAAGCATGCCTCCTTGGATCTTCAATAGCTCTGTCATCGATATTGCAGCTTTACATATTAGGAAGGAAACTGACAATGCAACTGAAGTTGAAACCACTCTGTTCTTGTCCTCAACTTTGTCATCCTTCTTCATGTTGTCATCTGCCAGAGGACCACTAGATGAATGATTTCGCATTGCGACATACCTTACGAAAAGAAAAACAGTTGCAAGACAATATAAATTGTGACCAAGATGAAGTTTACCAGGGGAAGATGCTGAGGTGGTCTTCTCAGGAGGTATCTTTGAGGCCAACGCAAACAACACCATAAAGTAAAAAGCGCATATGACATTGTCCACAGCCACACCAGCTGCTATAACAAATGGAGAAATCTGCAGCGCCTCTGATATCGCAACAAAATTAAGAGCTGCAGAGAAAAAGCAAGAGCCAACAAAGATTTGTTCTTTCCTCACGAAGTTGTGAGAAGCATTTTACAGGCCAATTTAGTAAGATTCTCATCTTTTTTTTTTTTTTTTTTCAATAAGCGAGAATCTCAACTGTTGAAATCGTGTAAAGCTAGAACCTTTTGAACAGAGAAGATTAACATGGGCACCTCTATGTGTTAACAAGCCAAAGAAGCAACGTGGAGGCTCCAGAAAACTTACATCCACCAATGTAGCTGCCCATAAAAGCAGCTGCTATTTTCCAGTTATCCGGACCAAGCGATCTCATCGGTACTAACATATATGCCACCACAGTCCCGACAATCGTCGCAACTGCCACGAACCAACTTTAGATTAAAAACCCACAAAACACGCCATCAATGTAAATGTGACTTCATAAACTACTTGTTTTTCAAAGACAGGACCTTTTTTTGGTCCAAAACATGAGTCCAAACTAATCCTAAGCCTAGAGCTTACATGTGAACATAGTCGACTTTAACCACCACTACAAGCAGTTTAAAAACAAAAATCTTGGCTTTAAACAAAGGCAAAATCTTACCCGATCCAATTAAGAAAGCAAGGAGCAGAGACCCAGTGGATCGGATAATACGACGGAGATCAGCTCTAAACAACAGCAACGGAATCGTATGCGGCAAGAGGAACTCCATAAAGAAGGAATACGACGACGTTTCGAACGGTATGAGCCCTAAGTTGCTCGCGGCGAGTCCAAGCAGCGTGCTGGTCAACGCCCCACTCACCATACTCCCAATCTTCGTCTTCTCCGACCTCAAGAAGTCGCACATTTCAACTGAATCAGTCATTAATACAAAATCCCTAAAACCCAAGAACTCGAAAGTCGCAGTTGAGCTGATTACCAGACACCGAAAGCGCCGGCGGCGAAGAGAGCGGCCCATTGAGCCCAGTGATCGTCGGGAGAGATCAGAGGGAGTCGCAGCTGAGAGAAGACCTCCACACGCCGAGATGATACAGGACGCGGTGGAGGAGACAGCGAAAGGAGCGTTTCCGGCGATTTGTTTCGACGGATGTGAATTGACGATAAGCCGTTGCGGGAAGAAGACACGTGGCGCGATGATAATGCGGGTGACAGTGGATTTGGTGACACCACTGTAAATACAAGTGCCATAGATGGAAATTGTTAGGAGTCCATAAGCTGTAAAGAAAAAAAAAAAAAGGTTAAAGAGTCCATATATAATCTGGAGAATTTAAATTTTGTTTCTAGGGCCTACGGATCGAGTTCAATGGCCCATTTAAGCCCACACAAGAGGAAGATTGTGAGTACACTCTCTTGTAATTTTGTCATCTTGTTTTCTATAATTTGTAAAAGAAGGTGGGTCCTCTATAGTCTATACTGTATATAAAGATTACTTTTGATTTATAATAGTTGGCTTCATTCTGTTTTTAATCTATTTGACCTCTACATGTGTCAAGACCGCAATGATCCGTCATTCGCAATAAGTTAATCCGCCAAGTCCACTGCTTTTGGCCTTAAAAAAAAAAATTAGTAATAATCTTTCTTGTCAGAAAAAATGATTTATATTAATCTGCGATTTCAAGCCTACAGTGACATCTCTAGTAATACCGTATAAGAAAACGATTTTTTTCTTTTGTCTCTAATGTAATGATTAACTAAAGTTCTGTTCTTTACCAAGTCAGTAAAATCTATTATTTGAAAGGCAAAACTTTTGAAAATGATTGCCACCGATTACAACAAAAGCAGGTTAAGCTAGTTTTGGTTCAAAAAAGAAAAAAAGATAAAAGGAAGCTAGTTTTGGTTTCCCATTGTGATTGAAGATATTCGCTGCCTAAATGATTTGCAACACTTTTCTCTTTCACTGATCTTAGTGGAGAAAATACGAAATGAATACAGAGAAACGCCAGCGAAGACGCACTTTCTAGTTTTCTCTATTTCCTTTTTCCCATCTCTTCTCTTGTCTTCCCTTTTAACATCAACAAAAACTTTCTCAAAACCTTCCCAAATCTGCCTCCAATGGCGTTTCCAATTCTGATCCTCACCCCTCTCTTCTTCTCCCTTTTTCACCTCTTTCTCGCTGCTTTCACTCCAACTGATAACTACCTCCTTAATTGCGGCGCTGATACCAACGCGTCTTTCTTCTCCATACGCTCCTTCCTCGGCGACTCTTCACGACCTGGCTCGGCTTTTCTCTCCGCCGATCGATCCGTCTCACTTTCCGACCCGAACCCACCTCCGGATTCGCCGGCTTTATACCACACGGCTCGTGTCTTCCCCGGCGGATCATCTCCATCTCCCGCCTTTAAATTCCGCGTCACCAGCAAAGGCACTCACTTTATCCGTCTCCATTTCGCGCCTTTTAAAGCTCCAGGCTTTAACTTGGTGTCGGCGAAATTCGGCGTTTTGGTTAATGGGTTCTCTGTGATGAACAGTTTCGCTACTAATTCCGTCGTCGTCAAAGAATTCATACTGAAAATCGATGACACTCTTCTGGAGATTTCGTTCACTCCCTCAAAATCATCTGGATTTGGGTTCGTCAACGCTATAGAAGTGTTCTCGGCACCTAACGATTACATAATGGATCAAGGCACTAAGCTTGTAGCCTCTGACTCCGCTCAAATCTTCGGTAACTTGTCATCTCAAGTTCTTGAGCCAATACACAGAATCAACGTCGGTGGGTTGAAATTGACGCCGTTTAACGATACATTGTGGAGGACTTGGCTTGTTGATGACAACTATCTTATGCTTAAAGGAGCTGCGAAACGTGCTTGGACCACTAAGCCTCCGAACTATCAAAACGGTGGTGCGACGAGAGAGACTGCTCCGGATAATGTCTATATGACTGCACAGGAGATGAATCGAGATAGTCAGGAGCTGCAGGCGAGGTTTAACATCAGCTGGGGATTCCCTGTTGGATCGAAACGAGTTCTTCATTTGGTTCGTTTGCATTTCTGTGATATCGTTAGTCCATCGCTTAATCAGCTCTATTTCAACGTTTTTGTTAACGATTATCTTGCGTATAAAGACGTTGATCTCTCCACGCTTAACTTCCATGTGCTTGCATCTCCGTTGTACATGGATTGTGTTGCTGAATCTGATCACTCTGGAATGTTGAGGATAAGTGTTGGACCGTCTGATCTCAGCAATCCGTCGAGGGCTAATGCTTTGTTGAACGGAGTGGAGATCATGAGGATTCTAAATCCTGTGAGTTCCAAAGCGGGAGGTGGAAAGAAGAACGTTATCTGGATCGTTGTTAGCTCGGTGTTGGGAAGTCTTGTGCTCTTGTCTCTGCTCGTCTTGTGTGGTTTGTGCTTATGCAGGCGCAAGAACAATAAAACCAAGAGTTCAGAGAGCACGGGATGGACACCTTTGAGAAGGTTCAGAGGCAGTTCCAACAGTAGAACAACTGAAGGAACTGTTAGTTCTAGTGGCTACCAAACGCTGAGAATCTCTTTCGCTGAGATACAATCCGGAACCAATAACTTTGACAGGAGTTTAGTGATCGGAGTAGGCGGATTTGGTATGGTATTTAAAGGGTCTCTCAAAGACAACACCAAAGTAGCTGTGAAGAGAGGCATGCCCGGTTCAAGACAAGGCTTACCGGAGTTTCTCTCTGAGATAACCATCCTCTCCAAGATCCGTCATCGCCATCTCGTTTCACTTGTTGGATACTGCGAAGAACAATCTGAAATGATTCTGGTTTATGAGTACATGGATAAAGGCCCACTCAAAAGTCACTTATACGGATCGGCTAATCCGCCTTTGTCTTGGAAACAACGGCTTAAGGTCTGCATTGGTGCAGCAAGAGGCCTTCATTATCTTCACACTGGCTCTTCGCAAGGAATCATCCACCGGGACATAAAATCCACCAATATCTTACTAGATGACAACTATGTAGCCAAAGTTGCAGACTTTGGACTCTCGAGATCCGGTCCTGTTCTTGATGAGACTCATGTGAGCACTGGAGTGAAAGGAAGCTTCGGATATCTTGATCCTGAATACTTCAGGAGACAACAGCTCACTGATAAATCCGATGTTTACTCTTTTGGAGTTGTTCTGTTCGAAGTTCTTTGCGCTAGACCTGCTGTTGATCCGTTGCTTGTGAGGGAGCAAGTGAATTTAGCGGAATGGGCAATTGAGTGGCAGAAGAAAGGAATGCTTGATCAAATCGTTGATCCGAACATTGCGGATCAGATCAAACCTTGCTCGTTGAAGAAGTTTGCGGAAACTGCTGAGAAATGCTGTGCGGATTACGGTGTGGATAGACCTACGATTGGTGATGTTCTGTGGAATTTGGAACATGTGCTTCAGCTTCAAGAATCCGGACCATTGGACAAGCCTGAAGAAGTTTTTGGAGACGTTACTGGCTCGGGAACAGCTCGACAAGGTCTGTATAGTGGCTTGAACACAGAGAGGGATAATGGAGATGGAACTTCAGGTATAATCAATAGTACCCAAGTGTTCTCTCAGCTGATGACAAAAGATGGCAGATAAAAAATAAAGTCATTGCTATATAGGTGTTCATTGACAAAGCATAAACCGGGATACCAAATTGGTGTACCGGTATTTAAGATTTTGGTTTGTATGCTTGTATAATCTGTTTGTAACTTGTAGAGTCTGTGTAGAATGTATTGGGGTTCATTTGTTTGTAACTTTTGTAATACGGATGAGGCAAAATCGGGAAAACCAACATATTGTTTGTGTGTCTTTTGGTTTCTATTTTGGGTTAGAGATTCTTAACCGGTATACGAAGGAGAAATTATAAACCGGAATCTGAAAAGTTATTGATAAATGCTAAAACCTCGCAAGCCACAACGCTCAAAAATCATTCACCGTCTCTCTGGAGACAGCCAAAGAGAGCACACACTATCAATGGCGTCTCTGCGAGTGTTCTCCACGAATCATCAATCTCCGCTTCTTCCATCATCGCTCTCCTCAAAACCTCTAATATCCTTACCACGATTCGTCAAAAGCCCAAGCAGACAGAGTCCAATTCGATCCGTTCTTCAGTTCAATCGCAAACCGGAGCTCGCCGGAGAAACGCCGCGTATCGTTGTTATCACATCCGGAAAAGGCGGGGTTGGAAAGACGACTACCACCGCAAATGTCGGTCTGTCTCTTGCTCGTTACGGCTTCTCAGTCGTTGCCATTGACGCAGACCTCGGCCTCCGTAACCTCGATCTCCTCCTAGGGCTAGAGAATCGAGTCAATTACACCGTCGTCGAAGTCCTGAACGGAGACTGCCGCCTTGACCAGGCTCTGGTACGCGATAAGCGTTGGTCGAATTTCGAATTGCTGTGTATCTCGAAACCTAGATCAAAACTTCCAATGGGGTTTGGTGGAAAAGCATTGGAATGGCTTGTGGATGCCTTAAAAACAAGGCCAGAAGGTTCTCCGGATTTCATCATCATCGATTGCCCTGCAGGAATCGACGCCGGATTCATAACCGCCATTACTCCGGCGAACGAAGCAGTCCTGGTGACAACTCCAGACATTACAGCGCTCAGAGACGCCGATAGAGTAACGGGTTTGCTCGAATGCGATGGAATCCGAGATATAAAGATGATTGTGAACCGAGTGAGAACTGATATGATCAAAGGAGAGGATATGATGTCGGTGTTAGATGTGCAGGAGATGTTGGGTTTGTCATTGCTCGGCGTGATTCCTGAAGATTCCGAGGTAATCAGAAGCACGAATCGAGGGTTTCCACTTGTTCTGAACAAGCCTCCAACGCTTGCGGGATTGGCATTTGAGCAGGCAGCTTGGAGACTCGTGGAGCAAGATAGTATGAAGGCTGTTATGGTGGAGGAAGAGCCTAAGAAACGTGGATTCTTCTCTTTCTTTGGCCGCTGAATGGGATACAAACCGGATGGAACCGAACTGATCTGGACTTCTTCGGGTATGTATGCATCAAAATCTTTTGTACAGGAACTAGGTTTTTGAAGATTTTGTCTCTTTTGTTTGAGAATTTAGATTCGTTCCTAGGACACTTGAAATTCTACTGCTAGTTTGCTGCCGAGTTCAAGCTTTGATTCTATGGCCTATCTTTCTTGAGGTTCTTAATTTCTGTTTCTGTATCAATTTCTGTAAAATTGAGATTTTTCAATATATCTCGAGTTCTTATGTCAGATGGGTTATGAGAACTTCAATAGCTTGGCTTAACTTCTTCAGTATGCTAATACATCAGCTCATTGGCTTGAGTACTAGGGCTACTTCTTTTTGTTGTTGTAACTTTGACCGATCTTGAGCCCTCTAATTCTTGATCTTCTTGACATCTATTTATATCAGGATATTCCGGTATCCAATGAGTTGTTGAAATTGAAATGCTTGTGCAAAACTGAAGCTCTTAGCCGGCTTAGCTGATCTGACTAGAACCAACATGACTGCACTTCTCTAATAGGGTATACATCGTAGAAATTACATTATACATGACTATTCTGTTGATTTGCCAAGGGTACAGATTCTTTTGTTGAACTTTTTAGTCTTACTCTGCTTGTTGGTTGTTGTCTTTTTAAGTTTGAAGACTTTTGCCCATCATAATTTCCAATGCCATTGATACAATGATAAGCCCTCAAAACTTTTTATTTATTGGAACAAAACAAGTTTACATACTGTACTCTGACAAAACGCTAACACGTCCATTTTAAGAGATATCTATTTCGTTTGGATCGTTTCACCACTGTAGATACCCCTTACCCTTTGTTTACTACTTGTATACACATGCTCATTAGAACCATAGCAACGAACACTTACGTTACTAGGTTCCTCACTTGTGTCAGAGACACGGACAACAAATCAAAACCAACACTTGGATACTACTATCTATTACACCAGGGGTTGTGAGAACTGTATATGATTTTTCGATTATGCCGAATCATTCTCTTGAGTTTTGCCGTTGGCAGCTTCTAGATCATTACCATGACTGCTGTCAGAGTCTGTGAATTTCAAGTAATTCTCGATGTTCTCTGAGCTTACGTTTCTGAGTTGGTCTAGCCACCGATGGTGGCTACTCTGTTTGGGTTTCGGACGGTTGCTGATGGCTATGGCGAGATCATTGGGAAAAAGATCCCCAAGGACAAAGACATGGATGATGGTGGTCACAAGCAGTGCGAACACGACTAGCGTTGCAATGGCACAGAGGACAACGCACATGACTTGAGTCATAGTGCTCCTCACAACTGTTGCGTACCTGATGGTTGCAATTGCAGCTCCGGTCATCGGAAATGTGTAAGCCCACCAAGAGAGCGAAAATCTGTTAAAAACGATTAGAGGAAGTTAAGCTAGCGGATAACTAAAAATAAATAGGAACATAAATCAAAACATTTCTATATATCTTAAAACTTACTTGATTCCACGGAAGAAATTGATCCGAACAGCCTAAATAAAAGAAAGGAAAGATTTGTGTTAGTGAATATATAGCATACTTCTCTGAAGGAAGGAAAAATGCATGATCTAAAATTATATACGAAACGTACCAAAGAGAAATAGAGGAAAATGGCGACAAAGTAACAAACTTTGGAGCCATAATCGAAGGAGCCAGTGACCTTAGCCCAAGCCATGGAAGCAACACTTGGAGCCGCGACGAAAAGGAAAAAGACAGGGTGAAGATCTTTAGGCAAAGTCTCGTTGGTCGGTAATCTTTGGTAGAGAGTCACGAAGAGAACCAAGTAATGAGCCATCCCAACTGCGTAAAAGAATATTGGACCTTCTTTAAGGCCCATGGACGCGCCAAGCAACGCCCCGACAAAGTTCCCAACGACCGAGAGATGGTTCGTCGGGTTGGCGACTCGAGAGAGCCGGCGTTGACCACCGGACATCCATTGACCGTAGATCTTGAGCTCGAGACAGATGAAAGGAAACATGAGGAGGTACCAAAGGAACTGTGGCAAATCAGTGACTATGGAAGGTGGGACACCGAGGGCTAAGAAGAGTAAAGAAATGAAAGGAGCGAAGAAGAAGTTGACTCTGATTGGATGGTAGTATTCACGTCGAACAGCTTCGAAGTAGAGGATGATTTTGAGGAGGTAGATGGAGGCAATGGCGAGGATTAAAGCGACTGAGATGAACCAGAGACCTTGGTTGATCCAGAGTGGAACGTGGAGGAACTTGGTTGGCTCTGCGGTGGCTAGGGTTTTCCACATTATGGCTTGGCTGCTTACTCCAAGGCACATACCGAAGGTGGAGATCGGATAACGTAGAAGAAACGGCCACGTTTGTTCACTTGGTAGAACGATCTCTTCTTGAGGCTGCAACGTTAGGGAAAATAAAAGAGAATTCAAAAACATGTCACTTCTTCTAAATATAAGTCTCATTGGTTAATTTGTTGAATGACAAAAAAATGCTTCCACATGCTTTATTTAATGAAAGAGTTTGGTATTTATTTTTGTTCGTCAACAGGAGTTTGGTATTTTTCTGGCAAAAATAAATGAAAGTTTGATATATTTTGGCATTTTTTCTCCTAATATATATTCCCGCGGAAACGAAATGTACGCAAGATTAATAACAACAATTTACCGCAATATTAAGTTAAGCCTTTTTTGGCTTAATGTTTCCATGTTTTTGTTATTTCAGAATTGAATGAGATATACTGCTTAATATATGATAGAAACTAGTTAAATGGTATTAATTCAAATGTGATAAAAATAAATGTAGGAACGTACCCGGAGAGTCTCTAATTCAGGACCTTCTAAGGCATCATAGTAACGGTCCACAGGCATGGCTTCATTGGTATGAAGATTTTGCTTATCCCGGTTTGGTGTCTCCGGTTCAATAGAAGCTGGTTTTCTTGTGAATTGTCTCTCGAGTCTCCCCGACCAAGTCTTGAACGAGTTGTACCTGTGATCCTTAAGCTTATGCATCGCCGGATTTTGGTTTTGAAGATGACCACTGTGATGATGTTGCTGCTGCTGATGATGATGATGATTATCATTATGACGACGATCATCATCATCGTTTCCGGTTTCTATGTAGAGAGATGTGACTTTGGCCATCGGCTGAGAGAGGAACTTGACGGATTTGCCTGTGGACCCACCATTATTGTTGTTGTTGTTGTCGAAAGACGAAGATGTCGGATCGGAGATCATGAGATTATTTGGTGAAGTTGGCATTGAAAGTGATGGCTTTCTTTGATGATTGATCGTCCTCCATGGTGTACTCTCTTTGATATCCTCATTGTAGTTGTGATTACCATCCATTGTTTCTCCTGATGATCTTGATGCTTCTTGCAAATTCTATCAATATATATATATATATGTAACATGATTTGCTCGGATTTAGTTATATAATTATTTATATAAACCTAATTTTTGCAAGTGTGGAGTGAAATAAATAAAATAAATATACCAAAGTAGTCGTGGAGGCATGATGAGAAGGATGAAAACGACTGACAAAGTGAGGGTGAGGAGAACTATTCTCTTTGTAATTGTCAAAGCCAAAGCTAACCATTTCTTCTGTTGTGGCTTTTCTCAGTAAAGTTGGGAGCTCCTCTTCTACTTGTATCACAGAATTTGATCTTTCCTCCATTTTTAGTTTTTAAATTCCCCCTGAAACAAAAACATTAATTGATTATTGGTACATTCACATTAGTTGGCACCTACGAAAGTCAAATTTAATTTTGTTATTTTCTCTAATCTACAAAAACAAAAAAATTAGTCTTCTGACTTGGCTTCTATATTATTGATTCATTCATTAACAAAAATGATTGATAAGAATAACCCTTGAAGTCAATTCAATTGCATTTATAAAAATGTTGATGTTATTTAAAAGCATATGCGAAGGAAATAAAAAACTTATATCAGAGAATATTCAAAATCACCATAAAATATTGGCCACCAGAGCGAAGAACTTATGGCGAGTTCTTGATTCTAGATTATCACCTTTTTCCCTCTGTTATTCCTTTCTTTATTCTCTATGTATGTAAAACATCTTTCTAACATCTTCTAGAAAATGGCTCTGGGTTTTACGTTTTCCAAAAGCATAATTTGATTAAAATAGAATCAGTTTTGCTATATAAACAAAAACATTATATAACCCACTAAATCTATCTAACCTAAATTCTCCACCTATAAACATCTACCTAAATAGAACCAAAAAGCAAAACATCTACCTAAATAGCATTATATTCAAATTCTAGTGGTCTACCCACTAAGCTAGTTCTCAGCTACACTTACCCTCTATTGCTAATCATGGGCTACAATAAACCAGTGCTTTATGTTAATCCAAAACAATTGCACTTGAAAACTATGAATATAAATATGGGTATTTGGGAGCCCTTAAAAATCTTCCTCAAATCAAACAGAAATCATTAAAAAAAAAAATAATATGGCGTAGAATTTAGAAACAAGAGAAGAAATATCTATGGTATAATATAAGTTTTGTTCTTCAGAATTTTAAATTTGAATTGGGTAATTTTTCGAAGAAAACGTACATGTAACTTGTAATTTTAGAATTGTATTAATAAGTCCTTGTATCGATTTTTACATGGTTTTTCCTTTATTCATTTTCCACGACATGATCCATGCTAAACCAATTTCAATATGAATATATCTGGTAAGTAACCAAACTTCCTATCAAAATTGACCAAACTTCCTAGCAACACCGTATTTAAATGGTGTATTTCTCTTTGGTGTGATTTAAATACGTGTATAATCCATGCTTATAAAAAATTTGCACGATAATAGTTCAATTTATTCATGATTTCGCCATCCATCCAGCGTTTTATCAAAGAAGAGGATATAATTTGCCAATCTGGTTAGTGCATAGTTTTTTCTTTAAACACCGTAGTTTCAACAGTTTTTTCGAGTATATATTAAGAAAAGCTAACTAAATTGGTTTTAACAAAACAAAACTCTTACACCAAAAAAAAAAAGCTCCTGTAAACAACACAAAATATAAATTTTAATTTTGTTAAAAGTAACGATAGATGTCAAATCTATTTGTGTGGTGAGCTAAGCTATGCCAATCAACCTCCTCGGGTCCACTTCAAAGTTATGGCCCAACCGGCCAACAAGGCTCATGCTTATTTGCGCGTGTTACAGGTCTAATCCGATTAAAATTCAATTCACTACATATACTAGTAAACCGGATTGAAAATCTGTCGAAACCTATGTAAAATTTGTAAATTTCATCACATTGGTAACAGCTAATCCGTTAAAAACCTATCGGCATTTTGGGGTTTAATTTCAGGGTTTAGGAAAGAAAGAAAGAATGATGAGCAAAAAGGAGTGAACAAAAATAAAATTAAGTAAAGAACAAATTCAATTATTAGTTTTCACAGTTCGTAAATCGTAATTAGAGCCCTAAGCTGCAACAAAGGTTAAAAACAAAAGGTCAGAAAGTTATGTTTCTTTTTGGTTCATTCAGAACCCTAAGTTGAGAGTTAACCAGCAGATAAATAATCGCATTGCCAATGCATTTCCGTAAGAAAGGATGAGAAATTAAAACAAAGATTCTAGATAAAATAAAACCAAAGGAATTGCGATTAAATGACACTGTCAACAACGAGCCTAAAAGGAAAGGAGAAATAAAATCACACTAACCTGGCGATTCTGAGATTTGTAGCCGTAGAGCTTGTTGAATTATCTGTGAAATTCTGTGAAATTCTGGGGGAAAATATACGAAAATAAATAAATAAATTAAGGAAATGCTGATGAGATTTGAAATCTCTAGATCTTCTCTGTTTTTTATGGAGATAAAAATGGAGCTTTTTGTTGGAAAGAAGCGAAGACGAAGGAGGAGAAAAAATTAAAAAGAGCGCGTTGGTTTGGGCGAGAACAAAACACGTCTTTGTACTAAATATATAAAGAGATGTGTTCACGTAAGTACAGTTACGGAAATCTATAGTGTATGTATTTGTTATATGTATAGCTGTAATTCAAAGTTTGTCAACGTGGCCGTCTTTTTGTTGATTAACTAGTCATGATTCACGTCATTGACAATCTCAAGTAATTTTCTTAATTTTTTACGCATTTATTTAGTTTTTAAGCTTCGGTCATTAGGTGGTGGACCACATTATACGAAATGGACCCAAAAATAAATAAATAAATAAACAAAGCAACTTGGAAAATTTTCAAATAAATTTACGAATTTGAAGTTGATGTTTTATAAAATTATTTATACAAATGAGTTATAAATATTCTCATTATTAAGAAATATATTTCGTTAAGTTTTAATGGAACTGAAGAAAAAAGACGATGCTGTTTGATGAAGAAATTCTACAGATAAAACATATGAACATTTTCATAACTGTTTCCTCGCTAAACAATTTATTTTTAAAATGTATAAAAGAATTCTCAATGTAAAAATATATCCCCAATTAATATAAGGTGTTGATATTCATAGTTCGTTTTTCAATTTTTTATGTGAAAAATAATTGCAGACTATCAATTTAATATTATTATTTTTTCCAAAAACTCAGACTCACTAATGTAGAGCTCTTACAAATTACTCCCTCCGTTTCACAAAGAGTGTCGTTCTGACACTCTTTTTTTTGTTTCAAAAAAAATATCATTTTAGAATTCCAATGTAAATTTTGACATAAAATACCATTTTTAACTTCAAAAATAAATTCAGAAAACTAGTTATAAATATAATTCCAAAAGTCATTTTCTGCAAATTAATAAGGGTATAAAAGATATTTTATCTTATTTCTTAATTTGTGTAAAGAATGTCAGAACGAAACTCTTTGTGAAACGGAGGGAGTAGTAAATTACAATACAATATGAGGTGCAGTCCCATGGAAATTGACCAATGGGCTATTGTGCATTAATTAATATACTTATATTTGTATTCTATTTTCTATCCTTTCCCAAATCAATATGAGGCTTCATTTTATATGTGACACTTCAACAAAACACATATATATTATTATTTTTGTAGCTCGAATTGAGGCCCTTTAAGATTTTTGAGGAATTAAATCTATTGCACCAGCCAATGAAAATTTTTCCTTGCCCCCATTAAATTTGTTGTCCAATTAACCAAATTTACGGTAAGGAATTAAGGAGAAGGTAATTGAATATTTATATACGTTTTCGTTTCCTTTAGTTAATATTACATGACTGTTTTTTTTTTTTCTTCAGAAATCAAGAACCATAATTTTTCGGTCTAAAATAATAGTACATAATTTATAATTTAATGATATGGTAAGAGACGTAACAAGTGTAATACAAATTACGACTAACCGGACAACCATTATTTTGTAAATTGCACAAAGACGTAGGAAAGAGGAAGAAACCAAATTGGTTTATATACCTTGATCAGTCCTTCACAAAGATTGTGTTGTTAGTTAGGTACCGTACATATTTGTCTGATTAGTTTGATATAGGATTTTAGCTGTCACCGAACTGTTTTTGTATTATATATGTTGTCCCGTTATATGTAAGTTCATGTTTTGGTAAATAGATATAATATTTTTCGGTTCCTATCTACATGCGCTGTACATGGAGTTTGTCTTTAGAGCGGACAAAACTTAGGTTTGACCATAGAGCAGATTGATAATGCCAGAGATAAACTTAACGAGTTACAATAATAATAAAAATAAATTAGTCACCCGCAAACGTTTCGTATGATGATAAATTCATAATATAAGGATTTCCTATTAAAATAATTTATCATCTATCGGTTGGTCTATATATACTAGGTTGATGTAAATTACGAAACTGATCAACCATTAACCATTGATTGACGCTTGCTAATTATTTGTGTGATCTATGGAGCGGATACAGAAGGGCATAATATATTTAAATGTAATTTAATTAGCTAAAATATATTATGATTATAGAAAATATTACATAATTGGTTTAGTTTTAGTCTCATTTTTGAAAATTTAAAGATTGGCGCCAAAAAAGAAGAAAATATATATTTTTTATATATCCGCATATAATCTTTTGTACGTTAATGGTTTTTTCTATCGTTCTCACACATATATTTGTTTATTAGATCGAGTTCATAATAATAATTAATACACATTACTTCTTCAATTATTATCTCCATCAATTTATATGCTAATATAAATTATCGTTTCCTTACCACGTAGATGGTCTATATATAGTTAAATAGCTAGCGAATATACTCTGTAATCGGACAAAATTCTTAATTGTTATTTGTTAACTACCCAATAGTTTATATAAAGAAAATAACTGTACAGTGCCCATTATATTGTCGAGTATTCGTCATTGTGAATTTCTCTACTTAAAATTTGAGACAATTTCTTTCATTTGTTTTTGCTCCAAAAGACAATAAAACAATACCAAAAACTAACAAGAGAGAAAACGGATACATAATTAGTTCCATATAGTTTAAGAAAGTTAATTTCATCTAGTTGGCAAAAGTAAGAGCTTGACAACAACAAAAAAAGTACGCAATACGAATTCGAGTACATGAAATAAACGAGGCCGTGCATGCGGATCAATATCCCCGGTCATGGGGTTTACAGCGTCATCGAAAGATAAGATTTCACAACTCAACAATTTGGTTATCTATATTATTCAAAGTATATCAATTTTTCATGTGTTTTTATTATAAGTTTTCAAAAGTCAAGTGTGTTTAATCTAAAATATTTATAAGTTGTGATCTATACATAAAATAATTTTCAGTGTCAGTTGAATAATTAAAAACAAAATATGATTTGAACTTATCTTTAACTGCTACGTACTCTTTAAACTTTTTGAGGATAGACATAGTAAATAAAAGTTTTCTAATGGGTAAGGAGATAAATAAATAACTGTTTATTAACGATTAATGATTAAAAACATGGAATTTACAAACGAAAACAATTAGAACACTACGTAAAAGTATAATGTTTTATTTATCTCAGCAGAGAGAGAGATTATCAAATTCTGAAAGCAAAAATTAATCATTCATCTGAAGAATCTTTAGTCAAATTATTCACAAAAAACATTGTTATTTATTTTGATTTCTATTGATGAATCAATTTTAATTTTTTTTTGTAAATTCTGTGATATTTTTTTAATAAACTATTCAGCGTTAGAAAAAAAATACAATCAACTATTATTTTTTGTTTTTACATATTTTACGCTGAAAAAAACTTATAATAAGAATAATAAAGAGGCGGGCAACTAGAAAGATGCCAGCTTTACTTACGATAAGGACTCCAAAACTCAGAAGCCATTGACAATTATAGAAACAGCACTTATCAAGACATATGGGTCCATGCCCTATCAACAGCTCCATATTTTATCAAATTTTATTTTCACTCTTCCCCCAATTTTTGTCGTTCACTCGTTTACAAATTGGTAGGAAGGTCGAATAAATTGCCTGTCTCCCTCTAAATATCTTTCGCTAGTTTTGTCTGCTACTATCCATCTAACCAGAAATTTTACTTTTAAATCAGAATACGACATCTAACCCAAAAAAAAGAGACATCCAACAAACCATATAAGAAAATCGACTGTGCTAAATAAATCGAAAACAGGGATTCTGGAGGAGAAAACTGAAGAAGCATAGATTTTACTATTATTACGTCACCATCTGGATTCGGTTTGATTTCAATCATACTGTAATATACAAAAAAAAATCTTATAATAAACGTTTCAAGTTGTTGTGCATAGACAACCCAGTCAAGTTGGAAAGTAATATGTATAACATTTGAAAACGATTTCATGAAATGATACCATACTATTTAGTCTTATAAAATGTTGCCAGGTATACGATTTTTTTGGTTCAGTTTTAGCATTTTTGTCAAAGTCAAACTATGCAGAACAATGACTTTTACTTATTTTTTTTAATCTTTTGTTGACACCATATGATATGAGTTTTACTTATTTACAGATTTACCACCAACGTTATTTACTTAGATAAATGTTACAATAGGGTAATTTCGCAAATAAAACCATCTTTTAAAACCATAGCAAACTGAATTCATTAGTTTATACAGGTTTTCTTAAAAATGTTTGAATGATTTTGTGTAACAATATAATTCAACCTTAATTATACTTGATAAGGTACACGATAAATTCGCATACCAAATGTATCTTCTTCAAGCTATTTTGAAAATATATGTTTAGAGCCGTATAAAAATAAAAGAGTAATTAGAAAATCTCAAGTCAATGCCAAATCACCGGTACATGATATACATTACAAACATAAATCCAGTGCCATATAAGGAGAAGTTAACATATTATGATGATGCCAACATTTTTTTTTTTTTTTTTTAAAATTATATTTTGTGTTGAATCAACCGTTGGAAAACATCCATGGGGGAGATGGAAAAAGTCGAATATACTCAGGGATATCTCCAAAAGATCTAAAGCCTTGCTCACCAAATTCAAACACCTCAAAACTTTCATGCCGATTTGTATAACATCCAAAAATACCCATGAAGATTATAGAGTTGGGTCTGAAACCCGGAACTTGATTAGGCAAGCAAGACAAAGAGCAATCGTAGTCCAAGAACAAGACCCGACCACCCAGATCTTCCACTTTAATCCAATCGTTTCTCTCCTTGTTCAACTCCGAAACCTCGAACCATCCTTTTTCCGCTAGGAGTTTTGGCGTGACATACTCATTTCGGTTCTTGGTGCACATCTCTACTAGTAGGAGTTTGTCCTCTGACTTCACAAGCTGGTATATAGACAATATATAATAAGAGATCATTTTAAAAATGTGATTATGATTATGGAAATATTCAATATAGTACTAATTAAATGGAATATTATATATATAATTTTTATATTTTAAAATTTTGATGAAATGGAAAGAGTATTATATTTGTTTTACCCCAAATTAGGAAGCAAAGGATTTCTTTTAAAAAGAATTGTTTGATAAAAAAAAAGGATTTAAAATTTGTGTTCCCCTTACCCAACGTCTCCTTGTCTTATCACAAGGCCTCGATCGCTGAAACGAACTAACTTCTAGAGTTGGTTTTACCACCAGCGTTACTCCGGCAGGATCGATGACATAAAAATTTCCGTTAAAAGATGTAATCCTGTGTGCAAACAGAGGAGTTGTTGTTTCGATCTCGGTCCAACGCTGCTCAAATGACCTATACATGCCAAGACCCTGGAAAGAGAGCCTTCCCAAAATCATAAATTCCTTGTTCTCTGCATCCAACTGCATATAGCCGATAGATTCTACACCTTTATACGGATAACCAACTTCATCGAATAGGTCGCACCAAGAGGTGTAACAAGCGACATGTTCTTGAGCTAGCTCAGTGACTTGAGAGTTGAGCAAGTCAAGTGACAGACTTGGATATGAACATCGAAACTCAGAGGAGGTTCCACTACCGAACAAACATTGAAGAGCAAATGCTCCATTCTCCTCTTCTTGTAGTTTAAACAACCTGAGATCAACAAAAAAAAACACAATACAATACAATAATAGTAAGAACGGGACCAAGATATATGGTAAACTGTTTTTATAAAAGAGGATTTTGATTTACCAAAATCGTGGAGGAGGATCACGAGAAACAGAGGTGATCAGATAAACACGGGTCCTCAAGATATGGCAATCATCTCCACAACCACCAACATCTGCAGGAAGAGGACATCTATGTGATGGAACTGGTCGGAATGTGGCTAGACTAGAGGATCTCCACCACGAACATACCGATCGAAAATGGATCAGATCGAATGGGTTGTCGATTCTCAGAGAGATCATGTGGATGATCTCCGTTGGCAACTCCGACCAGTCCCACATTTTCGTCTTCTTCTCCTCTTGACTTTGATTTAAAATTAGAGAGCTTATACTCTATATATATATTCTCTTTGGTGAGGAAATGTGTTGACTTTCTTGCTTGCCGTGCAGTCCAAGCGTTATATCTGGTAAAATTATTAACACGCTTCGCTCGACTCAAATTATTCTCCTTCCAATCGATTTTAATTTCACTTGTCATCTTCTATATCACTGCCATTTCGACTAACTAAACAAACATTCATACATCTTGTTTTCGTTTCTTCATGTTTTTATATTCACTTAGAAACTATTATATTTTTTTTAACAGAAAATCTCTCTTTTAATCTTCTACAATATGAATTATGTGACCTTCAATTTTATAGTATAATATATTCTTGTAAGAAATTAGGCCCTAAGCCAATGTTTCTCAATCCATAACATAGAGACACGGCCCTGATCAAGACTTATGCTATCAATCTCTAACAAGCCAACACTAAAAATTTCTCTTAGAACGCAACGTTGATAGCAGTTCCTTCATGTGTGAGGATAGATCTGTTGATATGCAAATATTGCAGTTGAATCTGTTTCTTGTTGCCTTCTGTGGTTTTACTATTTCATCAAGATTCCTTCTGACTCGACGTTTGCTTTGGTTTCTGCGGCGGCTTGAGAGGTGTCGAAGCGAATAATAATTCTCTCAACTGTCCCTCAGCACTGTGTACTGATGTTGCCTGCAATACAATACCAAGTTCTCAGGATCATCGATCACTAAACAGAGTTATAAGAAGATAGAAATGGAATACCGAGTTACCTTTATCGAGAATGCAAACCGTAAAGTCTCAATTTGCATTCCTGAGCAAAGCCTGAGGTCGAAACCAAGTGAATCTATACCGATGAGCTTCACTTCCTACATTTTAAAAGCATATGGATTTATAACATGACCATGGAAACATAGTGCTCTGATAGCGTCTTGTCGAAACTCCCGTATGTAACATAAAGTTCAAGTTTCCTTTATTTTACCTCTGCTTGAATCCCCTTATGTCTCCAACACATAGATTTGAGGGCTTCAGTTAGTTTATTGCCATCTGCTTCTAGACGATTCACAATACCGTCTGATGCAAGAGCAATAGCATCAGGTTGTGCTTTCCTGACATCTTCCACTTCCACTTCAGTCTGTTCAAAAACAACCGAGCAAAAGCTTGAGCTTATATAAGAATTGACACTAAAAAAAACGGGACCTGCCCAAATTTAGGACTAACAAATCAACAGTACAGACTTGACATAATGCAGTCCATCGATAGAAAAAGAGACAGCTCTTAAGAACATGGACAATTGATGTTGTTTGATCTCGTAATTACCAAAATATGACAAGGACAAAGAAATTTGCAGGATGACAGTAAATAGTAAAGATGGAGGGGTTTTATCATTAACCTGATGCCCCTGTGCCGTGATGAGCTGGATTCTTATCATCTCCAGCTTGTAATACGTTGTGGCATTTCTCGAATTATCATGCTGCAATATCTCAGATTCATCCACACTTGGCGTACCAATGTTTTCAAGTTTCTCTTCTGAGTTTTCTCCCTCCAGATTTTTGTCACTACTTGTAGACTTGTGACCAGTGATATCTAAGTGATCTTTCACAAAGACACGACTCAAGAGCCCCTGGATAGCAAGGCCAGCAGACGGCTGCTCCATCCAATTTAAAGGATCATTAGAAGCAACCTATTTTAAAACAAAGAAATGAAGTTTTTATAATCTTTCACATGGTGAATATCTCATAAATCATTAATCAATTTATGGGACTGCAAGTAACCTCGGCTGTCCTCCGGGCAAAATACATAGGATGGCAAGATCGCATCGTTTCCAAGTTTGCCCAGTCTCCAAGAGATTCATCAGAGTCTGAAGCATAATCAGAGTCTTCATCTCCATCTTGTAGAACAGCAACCCATTCCTGAAGTCACGGTCACAGTACCTTCTTTAAGTTTTTTAATTAATGAGCACAAAAGATGAAATAAAATTTACAAACCTCATCATCTTTGTCTTCTTCTCCTTCATCCTCATCCCCCTTGATTTCATCCTCCACTTCACCAATACCACCTTCGATTTCTTCAATTCCAAAACCAATACCAGAGGGACTACTCAGCTCCATATCCTTGATCATCTCCATCGTATCGAAACCTACTATAACTTGCTGCATTGCATATGTAACTTATTATAGCTCCAGCTCCGTACAAGTGAATATAGTAGCGTAAACTGAAAAGACTACACCGTGCAGCAAAGTAGTATCCCTATGCATGTCTAGATTCAGAAGAATGGTAAGTTATCAAAAAATGAAAAAGCAAGAGAGCAGCTTTAGCAACCGAGAAACAAATAACTTCTTTGTGAAAGCTACGCTTAAAATGACGTTAAAGCATACAGTCTCTTAAGAATCGTCTATAAAGTACATGTGATGTAACAGGATATGCATGAGATGCATGAGATGCCTGAAAAGAAAAAGTAAGATACCACATAATTATTATCAGAAGTAACAACAGTCTGCATTATGTCCTCATTTTCCTTTACTTGAAAGTATATATCTGCAGTGTACAAGGGTGATTCAATTCAATGCTTGACAGTGATAAGCCAACTGAATACGAAGAAAAGAAAAAGACTTTTTTTTTCTTACTTACTTCCATGCTGATCTGTTACATAAGGAATATTCGGCCAGAGAATATTCTCATGAAGTCCAATACCAAGTAAACCTGAAAGGATCAAGGTTCCCTTTTTGTTCACCTGAACAAGACACACTACGGGAAATGTCAGATGCGCACAACCAGGTCTGCATCAATAAGCAAGTAGGGTCAAACTGAAAATGGTGGAGCACATAAGGTTTCTACAGAGGTCTGCATATAAGGTTACTGAAGAAACCTACAATGAGGGACATGTGACAATAGCTATTAAGACAATGGTCCTAGAAATCTGTTCTTTTTTTAATAAAGGGTCCTACAATTTTGTTAACCAGAAATTGAGCTTATGTTGATTGAAAGATGCCATATAATACCTCAATGATGGTTCTAGCAGTTTCTGCAGGTGGAAGCCTAGAATCTTTAGGGTTCTCTGGCACATATGCTCTGATTTCCTCTGAAGGATGATAACTTGACTTCCCAGTTGGCTTCTTTGGATCTGAAGCTGAACCAAAATACTCTGCAATGGCCTGAGTCCTATTCTTCCGCAGGCTCTTTCTCGTAAAATAGTCACTGTTACACTTGAGAAATCCACTCCTGGTAATGTGCACACAAGTCCATTTCAACATTTGGTAAATTATAATTGAGGATTCATATATAACCAAAAAAGAAAATGCAATTACTCTCTTCAAACTTTTTCAACATCTTACAAGGTTACTCTGAAACTCATGGGTGGCCTCTTTAGTATATTACTAAAGATGAAAGTGTTTTAATGCATCAAGTAGTACAAAATCACTATTTATTATATTCCCCAGTTCAAGCAACCGATGAGAACTACGATCTCAACTAATAGTTTCAATAAACGGAACACTAACACATAAAGATAAGTGAAAAAGTCTCAAACTTTGTTTCACACAATCAATAGTAATGAAAGAAAGGCATCCAACAGTACCCAGAAGTGGTGTTGAGCCGGTGAGAATGAAAAATCCGTCGAGGGGCGACATGGAAGCAGCTTCCTTCCTCCTCCAGATTCGGTACAGGTCGATACTCTGCAAGCAACAAAAGTAATAAGCTCGATTCAATGTGAAGTAATAGAAAACAAAATTTCTAAGGAAAAAATCAAAAGGAATGCAAGAATGAAGCTCCCAATTAGAAGAAATTGTTTGCGTCTCAATTCTCTAAAAGTCATTGAGAAAGTCAGAAACTGAATAGCAATTACAAAGCGAAGAAGGCATATTTAAGAAGAGAAGGAGAGAGAGAGAGAGAGAGAGATTACGGAGGAGCGCCGTCGAAGAGAAGACTCCGGTGGAGAGGCGGGCGGCCATGGCGGACTCAATCATCGGGGAAGGTGAGGCCAGAAGGGAAGCCACAGCAATTTAATTATCTCTTTCGGATTTTGCTAACTGGTGATTACGTGTCCTACAATCATTGGCTATTACCCGAGATGATGTAATAAAGCGTCCAAAAAGGTTATCCAAAACGACGCGTTTCGTTCTCATTTCATTACATTACATGCATATTAACCTTTCTTTTGCTCCTAATTGCTTAATGTTTTCTCAAGATGGTTGACATTAAGGAGAGTTTATTGATTTGTGTATTTAAATATGCATTTTCAAAATTACATGTTATTCTATTATAAATCGTTTAAATTTTTTTAACTCTTTAAAATTTTATTAAAATCTGTAACTTTAAATTTTAAATCAATAATCGAGTAACAGTAGATAGTAACTTTAGCCCAAGAATTATCTTAAGGAATATCGTGAAGTTTGAGGGAAGAACAACATAATTATTGATTAGTGTCCGTGTTCAATCATAACAACACCCAGCAAATTAATTACATCTATAGTAGTAAGTAGTAACACCGTTTTGTACGGCGAATAATAGTATAGTTCTTTCTTTTTCATAGGAATTTGGTTATAAACCTATTACAAATTTACAAGAGATAAAGTATAAATAATTGGATCTCTGTTATTTATTCTCCATCCTTATTGAAAATAACATTATCAAAATAATTTATATTTCTTAATTATATTATAATAAACACAAACATATAAAATAATGTAGAAAATAGTTTAAGCCCCGTAATTAGCGTTAGTAACTCTGCAATCTCGGCGAATCTCTCCAGCATTTCCGGTCAATACATTGATAGATCCCATCCTCGACATTGCCAATGCAAAAGACTTTCTGAAATCTTCGAAGCCTGAAGCGAACTCTTGCGTGATCTCCTTCGAGTCATCGTTGTAGAGCAACTGTTGGTCCACGCCCAAGACAGCGTTATGAGACAAGACACGAGAATAATAGGAGCTGCTGAATCTGTTGCTCGATCCTGTGTCTGGGTTTAAGTAAATCAGTGGATCGGTTTGGCCTTTTTGTGTTCTTGGAGGACAAAGATTTCGAAGTTGTGACACCAAGGTCGTGTTCATGGTCGGATCTGGTTTCCCTGTACTCTTGAAGTTGTATAGTCTGTTCACTATGTGGCTGCAATGTGTCTTCCCCATCGAGTGTGCTCCTGTTCCCATTACAAATAACATAATTAGAGGTTGTTAGAAAGACGACAATGTCAGAGACCCAATAGGATATAATTTAGATCCACGTTTCTATTAAGTAACTGTCTTGCATGTTTACAGTGATTTAAACTTTATAGTAGTTACATTTTTTATGTAGTGAGAAGATCTTCATCTCTACCAAACATTTTTTAAAATTACAAACTTTAGGGTTTTTTTTTCATTTTACATACAACTGTTTAATGCTAATTAGATCTCAGATTGTTTCAAACGCAATTTATGTGTTTGCATTTGAAAAACGAAAAACAAAAAAAAACAAGAAAAGTTGACGTATAATAAAACTAAAACATTTGTGTATCACAAAGGATTTTTCAAATTGCAAACACAAACGCCAAACACAAGTGGAAGGAATTCATTTGGGGTATACATTTACAATTAACAAATGAATTTTGCTCAAGATGCTTATGGTTTTGGGAAAAAATAGACTCTAAATATAAGTATTTGAGAAAACTCAGTATTAAACAATTAAAGTTTTAGTAGTAGCATTGCGATTAGTCGAAGAAATGATAAAAGACGCCTGAGTCTAATTTGGAAAGAAGGAAAAATTGATGAGTTACCTAGAAGAGTAGTCATATCCAAAACGTCAAGACCTTTGGAATTGAAGTATGCCAACGACTCCTCGACTGAGATGGACGGTGACGGAAGATCCACGGCGTCTGGATTTAATGCACCACCGTCCCTTCTCCCCGTAAACACAGGGTAAGAGGGTGCTCCGGCCTAATCATGATATTATCAAATTAATCCATCAAAACAACACTAATGAGTAAAGAGCATTACAAAATTAACCACAATAATCGAATATCGATCCTCTCGTATTAGAACATGCACTATATATAAGAGTGTACATATGTACCATATGAACAGCATCTCTAGTGGCAAGGTTGAGGATATCAGCGCAAGAAACGACACCAGGACAACGTGACTCAAGAACTGTTTTTATCTTATCGATTATCACAAAACCCGCAAGTCCTCGATTCTGCGGAGCCGTTCTCTCTGATTTTGGTCCTTGTAAAAGAACCGAAGCATCACATCCCTACATATATATACACACATTTTACATAGGTTATAAAAACAAAAACAAAAAAACAAAAAAATGAAGGTAATGTTCTTGTTGCTATTATTGTGAAGAAAATTAATGGCGACATTTTACTTACATTAACCATACAATCGGAATAGAGGAGGCGAAGGAGCTTGGGAGCAATGGTACTGTCACTTTTATAAAACTTCTCGACTTGGTGTCTAATATAAGCCTCTGCATCATCACAAGTGTTAGTAACTTTGTAATAATGCCAAACCAGCTTCACCGGAGGGTTCATTCCCGTCGCAGCCTCTACTGTCGCCTTTCCAGCTAAGCTTATGACTACGAAGGCCAATAGTGGGAAAAAGTTCACAAACTGCCTCATTCTTTTTTAGAAAATGACAAAAAAACGAATCAATTCCACCAAAAAAACCCTTGACTTTCTTTCCTCTTAATGAAAATATCAAAAGTAGTTTCTTATTATTTGTGTATAAGAAAAAACAAAAAGAATGAGGAAATATAAATGTAATGAATTAAGAGATATGTGGATTAGTAGTGTCGATGAGTGAGGGATTATATAAGGTTTGACTAGGGTGGCGGGTCCACGTGGGTGCACCGGTTATGTCGATATAAAAAAAATATTGTTAAGTTCTGACTTTGATCGTTTTAGTGTATAGTCAAAGGAAGCGCGTGTAAGGCAAACGCGGATTCACATGTAACGATGTCCTTTCCACGTTCGAGTATGATTAGTCCTTTTCTTTTCCGACTAATTATGTGGGTTGTTCTTTTTTTTTGTGATAAATACATACTTTGTTAGCGGTAAAATTTTATGTGGGTTGTTTACCAGAAAATTGTAACTAAACACCTCTTCAAAAAAAAAAAAAAAACTATTAAGAGTATGTAGAGATCTTTAAAATATCACAAATTGGAAAATATTATATATTATAAAATTTCCACTAATAACTCTTTTTTGTCCCATTTTATATACCATATATTTATCACTTTATCTTATATTTTGAAAATTGCAATCAGCGACTTGTGAGACAAACTGGTCGGCGAAGAATATTGATAATAAAACATTTCGCTTGCTTTTGTTATGGAGTAAGCTTCCATAAATAGATATTTTACATGTATATAATTATGTACGAGAAACACAAAAACCTGTTACCAAAATCTAGCTGTCAGGACTGGCTAACGTTATCAGCCAGCGCATTGCTGAAATTTTGTCCTTTCTTAACCGTCAATTAATCGAAAAACTGTATATATCATTTCTAATGAATTTGTGTAAATGGTTACGTGAAAAATCAACTACGTTATTTTATTTTGTATTTTATTCACACTTACATGATTACTTTATAATTCAACTACGTTAAAAGATATATACGAAGAAACTAAAGCAATTCATTTTGCGTAGGTTATTGTATCCTATTTCTTATTCTCGTTCTCATCGAATTTGGTGATATAAAAATGAAATAGGATTTGACCTTCTCTAGTCCGTTTTGACAGGATGGATCCCGCTATATATAGATAAAGATCCGATGATCTTTTAAGAACCTAGATCATGGGGCTAGGAGCACCCTCAACAATGAGATGTAATAAGGGGCTCTAATTCTATATTTTAATGGTTTTAATTGTTTTGTTGGTTTTAGAACCTTAATTACATCTTTATCAAATTTGAAACTCCAATGGTAAGATGTAATGAGGGGTTCTAAAAAAAAATTTGTTTTTTTTTAATTATAATTTTTTAATTATAATTATTTCTGATCATGACGCAGTTCTCTCCAGCAGTGCTCCATGGTGAATTTGTGTTTGTAATCATTGAAAAAGATGTCCAATGCCAGCTTCATTACATATTTTCATTTTGCCCTGATGTTTTTTGAGCTGAAGCTGCCTCATACGACCCAACAAACTTACACACAGACTCATTTATCTTGGCCCATCTCTGCTTACAGTTAGTTGGACCTCTCTTGTCTTCAGGAGACACCTTATCACTCGCCGCATAATAGATGGCTATCCTTTTCCAGAATGCATCAAGCCTTTGCCCATTGCTAATGATTGGATCCTTGCTTGTATTAAGCCAGACGCTTATGAGCACAAGATCTTCAGTGGGAGTCCATGGCTTCCTGGTCGTTTTGTTTTTGGCTTGTAAATCACCTGGACTTGGAGCATCACTCCATTGGGTTCCAAACACTGGGTATGGCTCACCGAGTGCAATGGTTTGTTGCATGGGTTCAAGGCTATGGGTATGGCTCATTTGTTGGCTGGTTAGCAAGGTCATGAAGCCTGAAGTGTCAGAAAAAGGATTCCTTGAGTCCATTTGAAGCAATGCAAATGTGAATGAAAGAGTAAAAAAACTGAAAAGGAAATGAGAAGGGAAGAGTTTAGGCGAATGAAAAGGAAATGAGAAGAAAAGAATTGGCTTCTCTTGGCTTGTGTTGGGGTTTTGGCGAATGAAAATGAATGAAAAGAGGTGGCTTCTCTTAAAAAAAACTATGTCTCCACCGTTTTATAAAAGCTCAAAGTATTGAAGATATACTTAGCATTGAAGAAAGACTTGGAGTTAAAATTGTAGTTACATTGTGTTTTAACTTAAGCGAATGAGGAAGAAGAGGTTAGCATTGATGAAGGAAAGAGGTTAGCTTTCTGTTCTAGTTAGCATTCTAGTTAGCATTCATTGTAAGTTAAACTACTTTGCATTGAGTCTTTTAACTAAGAGGAAAGAGTTTGTGGTGCAAGGAGAAAATCTTGAGTTTCAGTTTGAGTTTAAGTTAGAGTTAGAGGAACAGAAAATTTTCTGTTTTAGTTGTTAGCATTGATTGTGAAACTAGTTAAACCACCACACCTAACTCTACTTTCATTCAACACAACATGACATAAAGCTTGTTCTTCTTTGCATTGATCACTCTCTAATGCAAACCTAACAAAAACAGACCATTGATTTCTTGTCTAATCATCAGTCACAAACCATCGAACATCATCCATCACAAACAACAAAAGCCACCTAAATCAATCTATGCTTAATTCTCATTAACTCAAGCGGCAAGTTTTGTGGAGAATTTCTGAACTTTGCCTCACCAACAAATTTACCAGACACACACACAATTTACACTAATTCAATCAAACACATGCCTAATTCTTTACCAACAAAGCCAATGAATCAAGGAAATAGTTTTACCTCTTTAATAATCCAATGAATGAAAGCCCTGAATCAAGTCGCTAAACTGTTCACGTTCATAAGTTTCCGATTAGAAGAATCCACCGTTGTCGCCGTCGTCGGAACGCCGGAAAAGAAGGGAGCTTCGGTCGCCGTTGTCGATCGCCGGCGGAAGGTTCTGCAAATGGTCGATATCATCAAAGAAAGGAAATATAATTTATCTCTCTTTAAACATTTGAAGACTCTCTCTTAAGCAGAGTCTTTGATTAAAAAAAGAAAAAAAAATAAATAAGCAACCAATCATATGGTGCCACGACTGAGGCTCAACTCAATCTCCTAAAACTCTAAAATTAGGAACGGCTCAGCATTTATTATCCTTTTAATCATTTTTTTAAGCCCTAAAAATAATTACATCCTCCCCTCATCCCAGCGTTGAGGGTGCTCTAATTAATTTTTCAACCATTTCCAAGTCGCAAGTACCATTTCTTATTTATTTTTGTTTGTCAACACAATTTCTTATCATTTATTACTCATTTATGAACCCAATAAGGTATTATAAAGTCAATAAGATGGTCCAATCTATTATTTGTGTCAGGTGCTATATAGCAAAATGCTTACTCCAAGTATTTGGGTAGAATGCAGTCAATGCACTAGAACTTTAATGACATTTTTTTTTTTAACTTGCACCTGACTAGTACTCTGTGTATACCACAAATGTATTTTAATCAAACAAAAACACAAAATGCTGAAGAGAGAGTGCGAAAATCACATTTTAATGAATAGCCCAATAGAAAAGGAGAAATGATCCCAAACTATTAAAAAAACAAAACTACCTAGGAGACATTGAAGAGTAACTACAAGTAGCATGAGACCGAGAGGAGGAAAGATAACTCCGAGAGGTTGTGATGGTATTAACAGTGAAAGAGCTAAGCTGATTATTAATCTCTCTCCTCATCGCTCTATACACATCCTCCAGTCCTTCCTCTATAAGTTCTAGAATCGTCTGCGGCATTGGCGGCAGGTTTATCTCGTCCGAAGAACCTTCTAGAAGCTTCACCACCTCTCCCATCGACGGCCTCACAGATACTTCGTCTTGTATGCACCAAAAAGCCACTTTAAGGGCTTTTACTACTTCTTCTTCCTCTGCTACTCCTTGAAGCCTTCTATCCACAACTTTCAAGGCCGTCCCGTTCGTTAGTTCCTAAACATTTAAAAACTGTTAGCCATTAATCAAACTTTCTATTGCGGTCTAGCGCTAGACAGACCATCTAGACACGCCAATTAATTTTATACTTTTTTTGAAATATCTATTTTGATTTTTCTGAATATCTTATATGAAAAATATTACAAATATATATTTAAGGGGTGCCGCCTAGAACTAAAAACTGTTGATTTTGTATTAATTTGTTTGATTACTTCTCCAAAACCAAAAGCAGAGCATTTAGATACTTTTGACCGCCTAGACGGCTTGACTGCCTCTAATACAACTGATTATAATCACCAGGAATAAAGATTATAGTTACAAATTTAGCTATAGAAAAAAAGTAGTTTATGATGTTACCTTGTAAGCCCATCCAGGGTAAAAAAAATCCTCAGCGTCAAAGGACATATCAAGATTTCTCCTACCACCAACGATCTCAAGAAGAAGCATTCCATAGCTATACACATCAGCCTTCACTGTGATGGGGCGATTACTCACCCATTCTGGCGCTAAATACCCTCTCGTCCCTCTTATCATCGTAACCACTTGCGAATGCTCTCTTCCCATCATCTTTGCCAACCCGAAATCCGATACCTTAGGACAAAAATTTTCATCCAACAAAATGTTTTCAGGTTTAATATCGCAGTGAATAATCCTGTTCCGACACTGTTCATGAAAATATGCGATCCCCTGAGCAGTCGCCACCGCTATCTCAAAACGTGTTTGCCAATCAAGCAGCCTCGCAGTCCGATCCGAAGAAGAGAATATCCATTTGTCTAACGAACCATTAATCATGTACTCATAAACTAGAAGCCTGTAGTATCCATATAAAAACACATATTCTTTGATTAAAGAACAGAATAAATTTTGTAAAAGTCTTTTTTTTATGGTTAATGTTTTTTTGTCTTACCGGTGTGAGTCTTCGGAGCAGTAACCGCACAAGCGAACGAGGTTCATGTGATGCATTGAACCAATGGTGTTGACTTCAGTGATGAACTCTCTCTCGCCGTGTGATAATACTCTGTCTAATCTCTTTACCGCGACCAGCGTTTCACCCGCTATTATTCCTTTGTATACTGTTCCAAATCCACCTGCCACATAAAAAAAAACAAAGAAAATACTTAAAACACTCGTAAATTATGAAATTGTTATAAAATTCAAATGAAGACTTCTTAAATTCTGACCTGATCCAAGAAGTTGAGAGAAATTGTTAGTAGAGTTCTGAAGATCGCGGTAAGTGAAACTCACAGGGGAGTCACAGAGGATCAGCGAGTTCTTTGCAGCTTTCTTTAGTGTTCTTTTTCTATCTACGTTATAGTATAGCAACATCCCAAGTAGTGCCACAAGCACAAGCATCCCCACAACTATAGGAATCACCAGAACCTTTTGTCTCAATCCGTGGCTCCCATGCGACTTAGAATCATTACCATGATGATTCGAATTCGAGGGATATGACTCATTGGCTCTAGTCTTCACGAAAAGGGTCGAACCAGGATCTCGAAAACCGCCAAAATTCAAACTCTTTAGAATCCAACAATAAGGCTTCTCATCATCTAAACCATAAACCGAAGCCACACATTTGCAATTCGACAAACACATATCACCGCACTTCCTCACGTTCCCGATATCACTGTAATTCTCGATAACAGAACGTTCTGAGAAATAGTAGTTGGTCTCTTGGACCGTCGAGATCTTAAACGTACCGTTACGATTGATGTTGCTCTCACATTCTTGGACCAAAGATGAGTTGTCTGAACAGAGTTTAGCGTTTTCTTGATCAGGAAGCTTAACCGAACCGGGCAAACAGAAACAATCGGCGTGTTTCTTGGTTCGGTCCAAATTGCATACTCCGTTACCGCAAGTCCCGGCTATGTCACACGGGTTTGATACAGCTGCCCATTCCGGTACCCATTGGCTTGAACCGTTCATGTCGTTGTCCCATTGGTACAACCGGAGATTACCGTTGTCCTCTAGTACCAATCTCCGCAGAATCGGTTTTCTCGTTAACCGGGAATTACTACTATTGTTATAGTTCCGGTTTTCGTCTGCCGGATTCTTGTAGACGTACACTGCTCCTGTAGAGGATTCTCCGTAAACAATCTTGAAGCTTCCGGTATCGTCAAGAATGGCGGTAACATCTCCGGTAACATTCGAAATCTCTGGTCCGGACCAGTAGGAGTAGTTTGCGTGAGGGTCAAGATTGATGTTGTAGGTTAGACCGAGGCTAAGCGAAGTGTGTTGCTGCAGCATTTTCAGGGAGTAATGGCCGTGACGCGACGGAGAAGGATTAGAGGTCAATTCTAGAGAAACGGTTAACTGTTGGTTTGGTAGGAGAGTGTCGGCAGGTTGCGAAAAGCTCTGCCAAATGGCCTGAGCGGCGGTAACTTCGGTTCCAAGGAGGAGGAAATTGCCGGATTCGGACATAACCGCCGATTTGACGCCGTGGTTTGAGGTGTTTGAGGTCCAGACGATGGTGGTTTGGTCTGAGAGTACGAGGTTTCCGGTGGCTTCTAGCTCCAAGACGGCTTCTTTTGAGACTGGGGAGTTTCTATATTTTAGAATTTTGGATTTTTGAGTGAAAATAATGTGGAAAAATTCTGATTATTGGCAAATCGACCGTTGGTCTAAATAAATTATCTGTGTCAGAAAAAATATTGTATACAGTATATACTTGCAATAAACTAAAAATCAAAGGAGTGTACCTATTGGGAGACCAAACGATGGCGGGATCACCAGGAAGTTTTGCAAACCAAATGCTCAGTAAGAACCGGTTGGTTGATTTTAACCGAGTAAACCCCATTGTAAAAGTACCGTTATCGGAAGCCCATACCCGGTTTGGTTCACTAGCTATTATTTTTGAACCCAAACCGATATGAGGTTCAGTGGCCAAGCCAAATTGAACCGAGCTAACTAAGAACAAGCAGAAGAACGAGAACCAGAGACTAAAAAATGAAGTAGAATATAAACTAAATGAAGACATAGTGGAATCTAACGAGAGAGAAGAGGCTAAAAAAATCGTTATAAGATATGTGTTTGTATTCTTTATATATCACCCAGTTATGGTTTGAACGCATTAGAGAGATGGTTTGGTGGGAGAACTTTGAAGAAGGAGATTGTGGCACGTGTCTTTGTGGGTGACCTAAATTTTGACAAAAACTCTTCGTTTCCTTAAATGGTCGGTTCTAAATACTTGACAATGTTGGATGCTTGGATATGGCGGCACCTGCTTTGTGCCTTTTTTATTTTTAGTAATCTTTTTACTCGTATCAAAATTCCAACCTTAATGGAAAATATGAGTGTTTAGTCAAACTATTTTTTTACAAATTTTTTTTTTCTATAAAATTTGTGAATATGTGTTGTGGAACGAAATATTGTTTTGTGTCGCATAAATCAGCAAAAATAAACCATTTTTTTTGCTTTTCATTATACTATTAGTCTATCTAGCATAAATGGACTCTAGAAACTGCAGATTTTATTTTTGTTTTTCATTATATTATAAGTATAGACTTACTAGCACGGCCGAATCTGAGATTTTGGGAGCTTGAAACAAAAACAGAAATAGGGGCCTATAATTGGTTATGCAAAAAAAAAATTGTGGGCTAAATTAGACAAGAAATTTTGGGGGCTAAAACAAATGTTTTAATGGGCTTTGCCCAAATCCGACCCTACTTACTAATATAAATGGACTACTGGCTGCAGATTAAACCATTTAAAAAAATATATACTATGAAAAACAGAGTCGACTAATATATCTTTTGAACTAATCTTTTATATTTACTAATTACTACAAACAAAAAAAATATGAAACTACCATAGTTTTAACTGCAAGCAAATTCGTCAAAGCCTTAAATCGATGTTTACGGATTTTTTTACATATTTTCTATATGTCCATAATTAATGAAAAATTGTATTATGTGTTACTCATCTAAAATGCCGAGTACATAACATATAGCATGTATGAAGCGAATAATGGATACATCATACACTTGCAAACTCTCGTAAGTCGTAACCAGGTCGACCCAGAACTAAAGCCCGTGAAGCAATGGCTTCAGGACAGCCCAAAAATATTATTTTTGGGGCAATCAAAAAAGTTCAAATTTTTTTTTATAAATGTGTATAAAGAAGATTGTCCCACATCGACCAAATATAAAAAATAGGAAAGAAAAATTGTCTATAAATAAGAGTCATTATCTCATCAAATATTTTTTTAAAAATCAATTCTAACTTATAATAATCGATTTTGGGCTTCAAAAATCGGTTTTGACTTATAAAAATCGATTTTAGGCTTAAAAAAATCGGTTTTGACTTATAAAAATCGATTTTGGGCTTAAAAAAATCGATTTTGGTTTTTAAAAATCGTTTTGGCTTTACAATATTGATTATGGACTTCAAAAAATCGATTCTGAGCTTAAAAAAATCGATCTAAAGTTTTAAAAAATAATTTTGGCTTTAAAAAATCGATTATGGGCTTTAAAAAATTGATTTTAAGCAGAGAAAATCGATTATAAGCAAAAAAAAAAATTATGATTAAGATTATCATTTTTACGGTACGCTTTAGGCGTCAAATAACTTTGGGCCGGCCCTGATCGTAACCCATGAGAGTTGAGATCAATGACCTTGCCTCCGAATGAGAATCGCTATGTAGAACTGTAACATTTAAAAGCGTGGAAACACTTTTTAAAAAATGAATATAATTAGTAAGTAACCGTGCATTTGAAAAGTTAAAAAAAAAAAAGTTACCGTGCATACCAAGGCAACCCTTATTTTCATAACTTGAAGGTTGTTGAAGTATATTGATATAAAATAATTGCAAATCACCAACACCACACACAACAATACTTCATAAACCATATACGAGAGAATCGATATATACATCTACATGTCATTAAGATTCGTCTCACACACTAGCCAATACAGATGAACTGTATCCATTTTTATCATCCCAGAATTTAGACCAAAGCATTATACCCCCATATTTTCGTGACTTCTTTAGAATTGGAAGAATCTGCGAAATCAATACATCTGGCGGAATATACCCACTTCCTGCAGCTTCAGGAGCCGCCGGAAGACCTAGTAAGATTTTCTTGGCACTGATCGAAGTGGTCCACGTGTTCCATGAATCAAATAGGCTTTTAGTATTACCTGAAGTGTATTGACAAGGTGGATTGTTGTAGAATTGGACCCAAACATAATCGAAAAGTCTAGTGTTAAGAGGACCTCCCATTAATCTGTCTGGAAATGGACACTGAGGAGCTCCTGTTAGATACACTTTTCTACCTCGGTGGCTAAACTTTGAAAGAAACCTGTCCAAAATTACAATATATATTTGAGTTATAACATCACAACAAATATGATTTTTCTTTTCTTTTCTAGAAGGGTACCCTATCCCTACAATATGTTATAAGCATCTAGTTTTGATAAATAGACATTTCATTTTTCAACTTTTATCACAAAAAACACTTGGTGTTTTTTTTTTTCAATTTTCAATCAAGCTAATAACTTGGACAAAAAACAATGAATCCAAATGTTTCCCAAAGAACTACCTAGCAAGATCATCCCAGTGTTGAGGGGAGCCAAGCTCGATATTGAAATCGATACCGTCAAGAACAGCATCACCTAAGGGACGTGACGATGATTTTCCTCCCAAAAAGTTGTTCCACAGATAATCAGCGACCACTTTCGCGTCTTCCCTAGACCCAATAGAGTAGTTTCCTATCCCGCCACCGAGAGACAACATGACCTTGTTGTTATTAAAAAAACAATTGATGAATTTGTATTTAGCAACCATGGCCAAATCTAAAATAAATGTGGCTTTTCAAGCTAATTAATTATAGGATCAAAATTTGAGGGAGAAGAAAGTTGTTTGAGATAGAAGGTTATTGACAAAATAATTTCAATAGCAAAATCGTAAATAGATGGAAATCATTGCAGGATGTCATTAAATAAAAATTTGGGTGACATCATGTAAAATAACTTATCAGTAGGTAAACCTTAATTTGTTTGAAAAATGCGCGAAATATATACCCACATATTTCCGATTATTTTGCTAATTGCCTTCTAACTTTGGCTACTCTAACTATAAAAATTTGACATAGATTGATATTCAATTTGCATAAAAAAAAAATTAATCGGTAGGACTTGAATAGACCGACCTTGATGCTACGAGATTGACAATCTTTGATCTGAGAGCCAAAATGGGTGCAAGTGTTGGCCGCAGGGTTGCAGTGTCCGGCAAGGTTGAGCTCCGGCGTTTGGCCGTTTCCGAATTTCACAAGAAAGGCGACGTTGACGTAAGCATACCTGCCGGTGGCACACGTGGCAGAGAGATTACCTTCGTTGCCGTTTTGGCCCCAGTAGATGGCTATGCCTCTGGATGCAGCGGAAGGTTTGCTAAAATAGCAGCTTATGACGAAGATAAAGGATATAACAGGCTTGAGAAATTTTATGTTGCTCATATTTTTGTTTTTGATGTTTTTTCTTCTGCTTGGTTGTGTTTTTTTTTGTTATTGGTGAACCTCCGTTATAAAAGACAAGTTTCTTTTTTGTTTGCTTTTCGTTTATTGTATTTTTTAAAGTCTTATTATCTGTGTATTTTATAATGTCTCTCACACACATTGCATGACTTTAATTGGTTGTCTATTTTTTTCGTCAAATTATATCGCGCGCTTTACGACTTAAACTATACAGATTTCAACTCAAACATTAAGAAGCCATCTAGAATCTCTGACCACTAACTGTAGTTTTTAAAAATAAATAAAACAAGAATGATAAAATATATCAAATTTTGGCGATAAAATCAGTAATGAAACATCGGATTTCGACAATCATTTTAATTTCGGATTATGCAAATTTTTATTCGCACAGGCCGGCGTAAACAATAATGGTATATTGTGAATGATATATCTATGTGGAATAATCCACTTACTAACTATAGATTGACTGTAAAATTAATGTGTGTGTTTTTTTTTGGGGGGGTGGGGGGGGGGGGGTCAAAAAGACTATTCAATTTTGAACATCACCTATACTAGTAGCAACTATCTTGTCACTTTCCCTTTCAACGTTTGAATATTCAATGTTGTATATGGGATAAAGTTTTTTAGCTCATTTAAATAGTGAGATGACCATACTAAGCAATTGGGAATTGAAAAAAAAAAAATAGTTTTAGTCCTACGTAATGGAGACAAAAAATGAAATTGCAAAAATTATTCCCCGTTTATATGATTATATCGGTCGTCGACTCGTCATCGCTCCTTGGCCGCACATGTAACACTAATAATATACGCACACCAAAAAATATATATTAGTAAAATATATTAACAATAATTAATTAAGGCGAGAACTTTACGTCAATGATTATAAGATGCTCGTAGATCATGTGAAGTTACATTTCCAAACACGCATAAATATATGTTTTAATTGAATAATACGTTATATTAATCACTAGAAATACAATTTTTTCATGCAGGTGCATGTGCGTGCATATGGACTTTAAATAAACGCATATCTATAGGCTTATATAGCGAAAATGTCCTTACATTAAAAAGTATTCCATTTTTCCTCTACTTTTAAATTGGGAAAGCATGGCAATATATGAATTTTAAGATCGGTAACTTATCTCTTAACCGACAAAAATGAATGAAAACACATACTATGTTCTTTTCGAAATTGAAGTCCGGGAAGAATTGCAAATTTAGTAATGCATGCAAAACTCAAACTAACATATATTTGAAGAATAGAGTTGAGAAACTGAAAAATATGAGGAGTTTTACGTCAATAAATTTAAAAAACAAAGATAAATGAATTAACAGCTCATATTCCCTAATAAATTTCTAAGTTATATAACAATTCTCCATCATTACCAATTTGTCACCATCACGCCCCAACTAATTGTACTTTAATATCCAACTTCCGAATCTTTTATCTGAAACATTGAAGCACACTGAACCGGAAATGTGCCCAATTAAACGTCTATTAGCATTTTGGTGTTGGTGGTATGTGATTAACTAATCATTTTATACAGATAACCGGTTTGGCTTTCCTAAACTATATTCTCTTTTATGACTCCCTTCAGCAGCTTCCCTTACCTACAATTTTGCCTCATCTCTGTTTCTCAATTCTCGTAACTATCTTTTACATTCTCTCCTCTCAAATTCAAATTACATCAAACCGGAAATTTCAGCCAGTCGTTGATGAGATTCCGCATTTGAACTGTAAGTTTTTTTAACATTCGCTTTCTTTGCAATATTCTTCTGGAGAATCCGCTTGGCTTATAAATTTTTTATAAGTAAAATTTGGATGGTGTCTATCTGAATATCATTTAGCCATGAATAAGTGGAGGTTTTTTTCTTTTACTTTGAAACCATTTTAGGCCGTGTACATAGAACTCATTTGGCAGATTAAATTTGTTCTAAATAAAACATAAGATTGGAAAAAAATAATGAATGTTTTCTTTGTAAAATAGTTGAAAATTTACATTTCTCATCAAAGAATATCATTGATTAATATATGTGCTTCTCTCATGCAGATATATCCAAGTCTCCAGTCACAGAACCACAGAATTTTCTCCAGAAGAATTGAATTTTTTTTTTTTAGAATAATTAAAGAAGAAGAAGAAGATGAGTAGAAGATTTTACATCTTTTACTCTGTTTTACTTCTCTTCTACGGATCATCGACTCTGTTTTCTCCCGTCACCGGTGACCTCGCCGGAGACAGACAAGCCCTTCTTGACTTCCTCAACAACATCACTCACCCACGGTCTCTAGCATGGAACGCAAGCAGCCCGATATGCGCCACGTGGCCAGGCGTCACGTGCGACAGAGACGGCACACGTGTCACTGGCCTGCGCTTGCCCGGGGCGAGTCTTCTTGGAGTGATTCCTCCGGGAACTATCAGCCGTCTATCGGAGCTTCAGATTCTCAGTCTCCGATTCAACGGCTTACAAGGCCCATTCCCCATCGATTTCTTGCAGCTCAAGAAACTCAAAGCGATTAGTCTCAGCAACAACAAATTCTCCGGCCCACTACCGTCGGATTACGCCACGTGGAAGAATCTCACCGTTCTTGATCTGTTTGGTAACCGATTCGACGGTCGGATTCCCAGTGGGTTTGCGAATCTGACAGGACTCGTCTCGCTTAACTTAGCTGAGAACTCACTGTCCGGTGAAATCCCGGATCTTGATCTCCCCGGTCTACGCAGGCTTAACTTCTCCAACAATAATCTCACCGGATCAATCCCAAAATCTCTGAGACGATTCGGAAACTCGGCTTTTTCCGGCAACAATTTAATTTACGAAAATGCCCCTCCGCCGGTGGTTTTCCCTACGGAAAAGGAGAAAGAAAACCGCGGGATCTATATCTCAGAACCGGCTATTCTCGGGATAGCGATTAGCGGTTGCTTCGTGATATTCTTCGTAATCTCGGCGTTGATCATCATTTGCTATGTGAAAAGGCAGAGGAAGAAAGAAACAGAGACAGAGAAGCTGAAACCGGCAAAGGAATTAGCGTCTAAACTAGTAAAAGAGAAGAATGTAGAAGTAATGGAGGAGAAGATCGAAATTGACAGAGTTATGTTCTTTGAAGGAAGCAATCTTGCTTTCAACTTCGATGACTTGTTGGGAGCTTCGGCAGAGTTTCTAGGGACAGGCACTTTTGGGATGACATACAAAGCGGTTCTAGGCGATTCCAAGGCCATAGCGGTTAAGCGATTGAAGAATGTGGTTGTGTCGCGGAAAGATTTCAAACATCAAATGGAGATCGTTGGAAACATTAGGCATGAGAACGTTGCTCCTTTAAGAGCTTACGTGTGTTCCAAGGATGAGAAGCTTATGGTCTATGATTACTACCCTAAAAAAAGTCTCTCTGTTCTTCTTCATGGTACGTTAACGCAAACGCAACTGATAAACGCCATCAAATGATTTCTGTCTAAATGACATCTTAAGAAACTTGATTATGTCGGTTTCTTGCATGTACTGAAACTTTATTTTTTCTCCGGCAGGCAAGGATAGCGATAAGGGCCACGTGGCCCACGTTCCGTTGAAATGGGAAACGCGATTGAGATTCATGATCGGATTAGCAAAAGGATTAGCTCACATACACACAGAACACAAGCTGGCGCATGGTAACGTCAAACCGTCCAATGTATTCATAAATTCCAAAGGATATGGATGCATATCGGAAACCGGTTTAGCTGTTTTAACCAACCCTTTTAGGAGGGGAGATGAATCAGCTAGAGCTTTCAAACGTTACCGTGCCCCGGAAACAATCGACGACACGAGGAGATCGACGCCGGAATCAGACATATACGCTTTGGGAATTTTGATTCTGGAAATTCTAACCGGAAGATCGAGTATGCATGATGAAGAGGAGGAGGGCATATTCATAGAACTTGTGACTTGGGTGAATACGGTTGTGGCAAAACAATGGACAGGTGAAGTGTTTGATTTGGAGCTTGTGAAGACTCCTAACATTGAAGCAAAGTTGCTTCAGATATTACAGTTAGGGCTGGATTGTGTGTCTAAGACTCCGGCGAAGAGACCGAAGATGGTGCAAGTGGTTAAGACATTGGAAGAGAATGAGGGGGTTTGAATTAATCAATTGTTGAAACTTTACTTTTATGGATTTTGGCATTAATGAATTAAAGTAGTATATCATCTGCTGCAGATATATTTTAGTCTAGTTTTCAGCTCCACTTTTTTTTTTTACCTTTAAATATATCAAACTTGAAATTGCCATTTCTAATGGAACTTGAGAGAGAACAAATTTGAAGAGAACTTTGTCTTTTCAAAAAAATATTAACCTTGAAACAGCTAAACAAAGTATTACTGCAAAAAAACGAAAAGTATAATTGATAATTTGTAAATTTGGGTTCTAATTATTGTTTTACTGTAGATACAATACTTTAATTCATTGAATACGTATTTACATGCAGTTATAAAAAGCTTGAATCCAGGACATTACTAAAAAAACAAGTATTCAACTAGTATAATAAGCTTGAATCCAGGACATTACTAAAAAAACAAGTATTCAAATAGTATTTTTGTTTTTGGATTGCAATAATTGCGAGAATATTGTATTTGTCCAAGCTAGACACAACAAGCTGGATGACAGATTGACAGTCTAACTCTAACCTCTCTTTTGGGCCAACCAAAATTTGGAGTACGTGATAAATTATTACTGTAATTCAAAGATATTTCAAAATTCAAAATATGACAGCTTTTTCACATTCACAAATTTCAATTTTCCATTTCCAAAAACGGTATATTGTGAAAAATAAGTATCAATAATTGTGGGGGCAAAACTGAGTTATTCCGAGAGATGCGGGTCGTCCATAAAGTAGAAAATAATTGTTCAATAAAATGCCAAAAGAAGCTCTGATAATTCTCATTACCCTTTCTATCGCTCTGCCTAGTTTTTCCTTCATTTGCCTCACTCTTGTTCTTCCCTCTCCAAATCATCACACAAAAATAATCAGGAATTAAGAGAGGGAAGAACGTTAACAACAAAATATAAAGAAGTGAATATATATTTGTTATATTTCACAATAATCAAAGAGAAGAGGGAAGTTAAGGGAGGAAATCAAAACTCTAAAATGTCGGTTTCGAGGCTTTTTTTCGGAGTTCTTACAATCGTATCGATAGTTTTCTCCATTTTGTTGCCAATGGCACAGGCTCAATCCACAGCTCCTGCTCCGGCTCCGATAAGCGACGGTAAGTTTATAGAATTATAGTTATTATTCTTTAATCTTTAGTAATCAATCAATTGTTAATTTAAACAAATACAAGATCTATTAGACAATTGTCAATTGTTAATTGTTAAAGGCATATGCCTTTACTATTAAGGAAAGATGAGTAGTTACTAGTCATCTCTTAATAATGCCATGTTCACCATAGTTCCTAAAATAGAATCAAACAACCATGAAGCTGTAACAAATAAGATTTTTTTTTTTTTTTTTCAATTTCTCCCCTGGATATATATTGCAATTAATTATTATATTTCTTTCGGGTAGTTAATATTGGAGCAAAATATTGCAGGAACAACAATAGACCAAGGAATAGCATGTGTTCTCATGTTGGTGGCTTTGGTCCTCACTTATCTTATCCATTAATCCTTTTTTGTCATTTTGATGGTCTCTATTTACTTTAATTATAAGTTTTCATTTTGATTATAATTGAATAGAGACCAGAAACGTTTGTATGTGGTAGAGAGTTTGAAGAGGGCTTTCTAAATTTTTGGAGTGATACAATTTTGAAGTTCATTTGTATAATTAAGTCGATGTGAGTTTAAACTGCTGGAAATACATTTCATCGATTTACATCTTTCTTCATTCACATAGTATCAGTATCTTAAATACCATTCTTTTTGTTTTTTTTTTGGGTGCAAGTGACAATATTAACTAAACAATTTTCATAGCTCCAACTTTAAAATTAAAAATCTGAAACTATTATCAATGCCATTGTAACGACTGTTAAGGAATCGCTTAGTAAAGGTGAATCTGTAGCATTAACAGATAAATGTTTAAGCTAAAAGAAAACATAAAGTTTCAATAAGAAGATTCAAATTTGCTACAGCAATATTTGGTAAAGAAAAAACATGGCTTACATGCTATGTAACAAGAATAATACGGAGTACAAATCCGCTTATTTAAACATCGAACTCAAAATAAGGCCTATATAAAAAGCAAAACAAAACAAAAACAAAAATCTCGATTAGGAAATTAAGTAAAGGATTATTGAATAGGAATTTGATTAGCTATTATTAAATAACTATCTATCTCTTTAATCAAGAGATCACGTAAATTTCTTTCCCTCTTTTAGTGATTAACTATGAGTAGAACCTTCCAAAACCTTCGAAGGGATGATTTGGATCAAAGCTTTCATACGGAGATTCCAAGCGGACGTTGGACGGAGAGTTTGATGTAGAGTGAGAAGCCGAGCCAACATCACGAGAAGCCATAAAATCGTAGTTGACATTAGTTCCTAGATCACTATAACTCCTAGATCCAAAAAGATCAATGTTCTGATCTCTCAGTTGAAGCATATACGCGTTGTCACTCTCGAGATTTGGGGTAGAGGACAAAGGATAGGGGAAGGATTGATGCAAATGTGCTTCATGGTTGTAGTTGTGATGACCAATGTCTAGGCTTTCCTTCACGATCTCAAGATTTTCGTGTTCTTGTGTCTGGTTCGGTCCAAGATTTTGTACCGGAATGGTTGAACCAACATTAGCGGCTTGGGAGCAAGAATGTATTCCTCGGTAACTGATCTCAAAGAGCATCGGATTTTCGTCAGATCTCTGGACTTGTTTAGTGGCCTCACATCCTTGAGATTTTCTATACGTGCATCTATAGTATCCTCTGTACAAAAAAAAGAAGAAAATACTTGATTTTTCTTTTCCTCGTATGATATTATTATGTTAATAAAAAAATTGGTACTTTTGTAACACTGTTTCTTGTCACAACTTTGTGGGTGGTGTGGAATAATTTTTTTTTAACGCCTAATTTTTATAACTTGTATAAAACGAACGGCTAACTTTTTTTTTTTTTTTTTTGTAACAAGGGTTACGAACGGCTCCTGATGTTATTACATTTTTAATTATATGGGAACACTAATTTTATTGACGAGACTAACCTTGGGAATTTGGCTCCGAGGATATCCTTCTGGCCGTATTTTCTCCAACTGAACCCATCGTCAAGCGTTCTATCAATCCCAAATCCAGGGGTAATACTGACTTTTTGGGTCCACCTTGGCATTGACTTCTTCGAACTTGATTTTATATATGATTTCACATTTTATAATAATGAGTTTATGTAAAATAAATAAACAAATAAGAAACATGTTATATAGTCTGCTGGTTTATGCTATCTAGTATCATGACCACATTCAAATCCGTATAATATATGTTGTTGACAGACAAAAAAGCAATACGTTAGTAATACTTATAGTTAATAGATATGGGGTACCTCTTGACGACACGGGGTTCTTGGTCGGAATCATCGCTTTTGGGGCTTCCTCCACTGTAGGAATACGGAGAAACTTGGTCGAGTTCACCGGAGTAGTTCATAATGGTGAGAGACTTGTGGTAAGATTCGAGAATCTTCTTGGCCAAATGTTCACGTGTTTCTGGTGATGAAGACGACTCAAGCTGAGACTTGAGCTGGTGAGCATAGTCTCTTCCTTCTGTCATCAGCTCGTTAATCTCCTTCTTCATCTTCTCCCACTCTCCACTATTACTACTCTTCTTCTCCATTACGTTGAAAGAGTGAAAAGGATGGATTTAAAGTGGTATACAATATTTTGAAAATGTGTTTTCAAGAGCATGTAGTATGTATATCTGATACTATGTTTATTGTGCATGGCTTAAGGAAATTTTGAAAGTGGGGAATATAAAGAGGAGGATTGTGTGAGAGAGAGAGAGAGTTTGACTTTTTGACTCAAGAAGGGAGAAAGCTGATGTGGAGGTAATGGAATCGAAAGGTGAGACCAGTCTTTGGTCAATGAATTTGGAAAGTCCAACCTGCTGACCAGTTCTATACTTCTCGATCCTTTTTTTAGTTTTTTTTTGGATTTTTTCTTTATACGGTCTGGTTTTATATTCGGTAAGAAATCATTGAACTAACGTTCGAAAGGTAATTATATTAATAAACTATAAAGTAATCGACAAAAAAAACTATAAAGTAATTTTGTGGTAATACTGAGTTCAGAAAGCCCAAGCTCTCGAATAAGAATGATAAGGACCGATCCATTATATAATTTAACTTTTTAATGTGTGTTCCTGATTATATATTATACCTGAGTTTGAATCCAAATGGTATCTTAGAGACAATTAGTATATAAATTAGAACACTAAACTACATGTCTCCGTAATAATTTTGAAGTCCAGAATAAGATCTAATAAATCAATCAGTACTCCATATTACTATGAAAATAAAATGTATATTACTTCGGGTTCAATAATTAAAATTAAATTATATTCCGTATTGACCTATTGATTACCTACAGTTTTCTCATTGACTGAGACTGAGAGCTCGAGTAGATCATAAATGGATCGCAAAAACTATAAAATACTCTAAAACAAGAAAAAAAAAAACACTTAACGATTTTTATTTGGAGTTAAGACAACACCGTCATTAGAATAATAATTAGAATAAATATGGAAGTGCGAATACGATTTTGTGATGATATTGGCTTGATCATTTAGTGTGAGCCGCTGAAAATTCTTTGTATCAAATATTACGTGTCAAGGACACATCTAAATGTTAAATCATTTTCTCATTTGATATAATAACTTTTACAAACAAGAAAATATTACCGGAAGATAATATCAAGCTTCAATTTTCATATGTATAAAAAAGTATAAAAGAACCCTTGTTACAAAAACATTTCATATGTAAAGAACTATAGATGTAGGGATAGAGTTTTGTTTGTTTATAATATTTAAGTGGACCTCAAAACCAATTATGATTAATGGACTACGGCAGGGATATTATGAATAGAAGAGGCAAAGACCCAAAAGCTCGTTCGTTGCCGTGTAATAGATTCTATGAATCAACGGTGTGACATTACTATCAACTCTTCTACGAATCTTCAGCACCACTGAAAACCGGTTTTAAGCTATTCGAAGTTCGAACTAACCCGGACTCAAAATTGGTTACATTAGAACTTATCTCACAATTCACACACTGTTTCAGTTTTGTACATAAATTTTTTTCACACCGGTTCTGTTAATTCCGCATGCTTAGGTTGAAAGCTCTCTTAAAGGAAAGGAAACAGCCGGTAATATCGGTTTAATTTATAAAACTAATGCATACCAAATTCTCAGACTTTACATGTATAACTTTTCGGTATCAGTGTAGTATAATGGATATAAAATACAACGATTACTATTCACGGATTTTTGATTTTACGCAGCTATAAGTAACTCTGATATTACATACATACACAACTATACCAACGGTTATAAGTATCTCATATATTCGGGGAATCGTACCAAGTATGCTCGAACAATTGAGTGGGGCGGTTCACTTTGGTTTCAGACGATGTATTGACGGAGGTAATCAACTCGGGCCTGATGCTTGAGTTTCATCAAGGCCTTGACTTCATGTTTCCTCACCATTTCTCTGGAGATGTTGAGATTCCCAGCTATCTCTCCTAGAGTCCTGTCGCCTTTCCCGTCAAGACCGTACCTTTGTCGAATAACTAAACTCTCTTTCGGCTTCATGATCGAGCTGAAGAATGGATTGTGACCAATTATTTATTCAGTATACATATAGAGACTAAAGCTAAAAACTGAGAAAGATGAGCCAATATAACTAACATAAGTCTGGTTCATTGTGTAAGGAGATGAAGGATTGAAACTTACCACGTCATCAAGAGCAAGCCTGAGAATAGCAGGTTGTCTCCGGTTATCAGCTCCTACGCCATCAACATCTGTGATTCCGTTGATGAATTCTTCTTGAGTAACCGAATGTTTTGAATTTAGTGAGAAAACCGGTTTTGCGGCCCTCAATACTTCACGGTATCTCTCAGGTGAAATCTTGAGTCTCTCAACTACCTCGTCCTCTGTCGGGAGCCTTCCCAGCTCAAACAATAGTTCCATCTTTGTTTTGTAGATCTCCACTCTCACCTGAATGGAATCAACAAAGAGTAAGTGTGTAAGGTCCCTGCTACACACTATTCCTGAAAGAGAGCCAAAGAGAGTAACTTACTGATTCAAGTCCAAATGGGACACGAGTAAAGTTTGAGGTTGTCATAGACCGTATGATGGCATGTCTTATCCAAAACAAACCATAAGTCGAAAGACGGAACTTCCTTTTCGGCTCAAAGCGGTCGATTGCTGTGATAAGCCCTCTCATACCGGCTTGGCACAGGTCTTGAAATTTCGGTCCGTTGGTAAAATCTTGAAAATATTTGTTCATCACAAACAATACAAGCCGGAGATTGTGCTGAAACGTAGGAGCAAAAAGAACAACAAGTTAGAAGATTGATGTCTCTAAAAGGTAAAGAAAATCTTTTGACTTGGTATTGTTACACTCACCTTAATAAGCTTGTTTCTTGCAGCTCTACCAATTTCGATTTTCCTTTTCACTTCAGCCGCGCTCATATTGATCTCCCCAGCTATTTCAGTTTCCCTTGGCTCTCTTCCCAAACTCTTTTGCAATTCATCTTTCACTTGAAGAAGAGCCTGCATTGTAAAACCCAAAAAAATTGAGCAAATGTATTGCAACTGTGATAACCTCGGTCCACAGAACAATCAAACTATTGAAATGAAATGCCGTTTGGCCTTCTCTGATTGTAAGAATACACAAACCCATTTCCACTTAACTTCAACAGTGAATCATCCCTATATAGACAATATGCTGGATTGAAGAAAATTGACAAAAAGAAAGAAGAATACCTTCATAGGTTGCATCAACTTAAACAACCAAGCATGTTCAGTGGATGGAAGAACAGGAGGTATCTTCATTTTTTTCCAGTCCAAGCTGACTATATCATGAGACGCTGAATAGTCCCTCACGAGCCTCTCTATCTTCTCTTCCTCTTGCTGCTTCTTTGTTACTTTTTTCTGAGCAGAAGGAACAAGTGGTTTCTCTTGAATGTTTCTCTTCAAAGCAATCCGTTTATCAAGACTCAGTCGCTTTTCCTTCATCCCATTATTCCTTACAACAACTTTCTTTTCTTCCCCACCTTCTTTCCTCCTTCTCCTCCGTGAAACTTTCACTTTGGAGCCATCAATATCATCCTCGACTGATGTTGCAGGACTAAGCTTGTATATGCTTTCTAGTCTAGCAGCAGCTTCGTTGTAGTCCACTCCTAATGAGCAAGAAGGAGCCAAATTGTGATCCAAGGAACTCGGTTTTTTCGGGGTTTTACAGGGTTTCCTCTTTGTTACTACTCTCTTCTCCTTCTGCTTTTCCGCGGGAATCAAAATTTGTTCACTAGGAATGATCAAAGCTGAATTGGTGGAATCATCAGCTTTAAACGCAACAATGGATGGCTTTTTAAGAGAAGACCGATGTGTCAAAAGATCGCTGCTTAACCCAAGCGGAGATCTTGCAGCTGAACTTGAGATATACACAACTCCCATCACAATCTAAGTTTGAAAATGAATCTTTCGAAGCTCACTTCTGGTCAGATTTTGCTGCAGCAGAAAACATGTCTCATTCTCATTTTCATATTTACGTGTAAAAAGTATCTCAATTGTTGACAATAACTACATAAGTTTTACAGTAGAAAAGATCGCAGAGGCATAAGAATCACTGATCTAAATCTATTTAAAGCAGATTTAGATTTCTCTAGCCTGAACAAACGATGAAAACTTCAGAGGCGAATTAAGAAATTCAACATTTCGAATTAATTGAAAAATCTGAAGAGACAGCGAGAAAAACCCAATTCAAATTTGTTCGAATCACTGAGAACCCAAATGCAAAGACGAAATCTTTCGTAAGCATCGAATACGAACACACAGAAAAAGAGAGGACATAACTGATCAACAAATTTACAACGAAGACGAGACAAGAGTTAACAAAACTTCTACTGTTTAGATCAATTCAGAAATCATTACTCAATAAGTAAGATCGCATGATAATACTAATGTTCGATATCGACGAAGCAAATCGCTAAGCATACCTTTGCTGTAACGGAGAGAGAGAATTTTTCTTCGAGCGAGAGATTCTTCGTTTGATTAGATTCTGGTTCACGAAATTTTAAATAAGAAAGATGAAAAAATAAATAAAATTGGAGTGGAACACTACGGAAAATTATGGTGTCCACAGATTAATAACAAACTGCCGCCGTATATTTCTAGAATATATCAATAAACCCCTAGAACTTTTCATATATTCAAATAAAACCTTTCTGTGCTAGAGATTACGTTTAGGAATAAACAAAGTTGCAATGTCTAGTATACCATACTAATTCTATTACCATGTTAATAATACTTTTTTTTTGTTAAAAACTTATTTTTAGTTTCTATTAGATTTTTCAGCTTAATCTTGTAACATTTGAGTGTTGCTAAATCAATGGAATCTGCGGTTTCATCCTGATTATTAAAAGTTTACTAATTGTACATGTAGATCTGTATTTATCAATCTATATAACTGGATATTTACTTATTTTAGGCATAGATTAATTTAGCTTTGAGAAAATAATTCGAAGATTAGAGTCAAAATGCCAATATTCTGCAAGTTTGGCATCTCAGGAAGATCCAACGGCCAACAAGGCTCAAAAATAATCCAACGGTTGCGAGAATGCACAAGCGGAGATGGCGAGAGGGGTGACGTGGCCAAATTATAGTGGAGGTGAAGATATTTCCTAAAGGGAAAGACTTGTGGTTATGGATCAGGTAATATACACGTGGATGATCTTCTCAGCAATAGTAGGACCCAAAGTAAAGTGGTGGCTTGAAAAGCATCAACGTAGCCTTATTGTAAACCGATTAATTTTGCTTTTCAAAAATTTTAAGTCAATTCACTTAAAAATAATAATATTGTAATACTATTCCTAAATATTACTCAAAAACTCCAATGTTTCGTGAACTTTAATTTCTCCCCCTTACTCGTTTTTGTTCAAATTTATATAATTCTGAACTCCCTTTGTAATTTTTTTCGTTTAACGTTTACATTTATCGCCTCATTAGTCGTTAGTTATTGGCTAAGATCTCAAAAATTTCTCCCATGAAAAGAATAAAATGTCAAAATTTGGCATGCAATTGAAATCTCTAATTCAATCACACCCAAATAACGAATCTCTCAAAACAATTAACTAGGAAACTAACAAAGTCTTAAACCCCCAATATAATAACTAAATTTACCTATAGTTAGTTATTTCATCTAATATTCACGACTTTCTATAAATTTAAAAATTTTGGTCTCAATATTTTCGTTTGCATAGTTTGTTTCAACGAGTCAGAGTAATATCGAGCGCATTAAGCTTTTTTTATTAATACTAATCTGTATTGAATAACATATATATATATATATATATATTACATTTTTCATTGAATAAACATTAAAACAAAATATCTTAAGCATTTTAAAATATCAACTCCAATAAAAAACACTAGAATCGATAACATCCCCTAAATCAGTAAACAAGTAATAATTGAATAACCTCTATTGTTTTCACCTCTAATGCAATAAACGACAAAAAAAACTGTAATATTGCCTAAGCTCGGCCCAACACAAGGCCCGACTTAAAATACTAACTGGAGGATAAAACGACATCGTTGTAGCAAAGTCAGCCATTCTCCACAATGTGCCACGTTCCAGTGAATAGAACTCCATGCACAAAGCCACGTAAAACTCTGTCTCCTTTCCAGATCCCACTCTCTGCAGACGCATATTCTGCACTGCAATCAAATGGTGAAACTCGCGACGGCGCGTGAGATTAGAACGTACGGCCCTCGGCTCGGGAGGAGCAGAGCCGAGTACATCAACGCAGGTCTATACCTCTTCGCCACCGTGGTGCTCATCGGCGGTTTCACGGCGACAGGTTTCTCATGGGAGCCGAGATCCGGTCTCGTCCTTATTCTCTTGGCTCTTGCTCTTATAATCGCCGTGAATATTCACGATCTCGTGGCTCATCTCGCCGGAATCGATTACCGGTATGATATGCTATTTAAATGGAAAGACAAGAAAGCTTGCTTTATTTAGTTATTTGACTATTAGCTCCCGGGAAATACTGTCATTAATGATATAAACTCGCATAGAAATTATGTGATAGATAATAAGATAAATGCTTCAAAATTTGGAAGCTAATTGCCTAATTGGGAGGGAGATGAATGTGTCCCATTCGACTTGATCACCCTTAAACCCAAAAAAATTGTATTTAGTAGGTCGATGGTTTGTATAATCTTTTTTTTTTTCGCCACAAATGTTCGAGGATTAAGAAAACGTTTAAGACTTTTAATTCTGCGCTAAATGTTTATGTCATATGTGATATGTTACAGGCTAAGGTTAATGGAGTACGATTTGCAATTGGGTCTAGTGGAATTGGCAGTCCCTCTGGTTCAGATAGCGGGTTCGGTCGTTTTCTTCGTTGGAATCTTTTTCGTTTTCAATCAGGTAAAATATTTTTTTTGTTACAACAAATGAAAGACTGAAAGGTTCGTAATTTCATTGAACATTCACTTGAGGTTTGGATTATAAACAAATTCTTACATTTACGCCTAGTTTATGTAAAGAAGTACTACAGAGAAGAGAACTGAATTGGTATGTCCCCGTGTGATCACATTCTTTTAAGTTTTGACAAATATAGCTAGTATTTGAAAAGGCATGGATTAGGTCATGAGCAAATAAAGCAAAAATATTGTGGCATATTTACGTTCATTGTGGTTCATGTCACAAAACATAAGTACCAGTAAAATGTTGAGAATAATTTTTGGTGTGCATGTGTCTGACTAATTGCACGTATAGTCTTGTTGATCCGCTCTGATGGTTTTTGTTTGGAATATTTAGGCGGAGAAAAAACTAGGATACAGTGGAAGAGAGAAGCATGCGCTAAACATGCTTATAGCAGGTCCGTTGCTTTGGGCAATAGGATCGGTTCACAACTCGTGCCAAATCTATGAGAGAGCAGATAGTCATGTCCAAATACTACAACAGTGTGTTCACATCCCTTTCTTGGTTGGATCCCTTCTATTCTTGGTTTCCGCTATTCTCAATAGCTTCGACCAATCCGGGTCATCTCATAGTGGCTTAAAGCTTCTTGTAAGTACTTGAAAACCAAATTTACGGCATAAAAAGGCCTATTTTGAAAATCGCCTCTTATGTTAAATGGCAATTTTGCAGGGGAAGAGATGGATATGGCTTGGAATTTCTGGAGCAATATGTTTGTTTGTGGGAGGATTGATGAACGTTGTTAAGGTTTTTAACTTCGTTCAGATCAGTGGGCTACGCCTTGAGAAACTACGGGGCGGAGCACAAGACCGGCTTCTTGAAGGAAGAGAAGGATATCTCCCTCTTGTTGCTGAAGAAGAACGAATAAGGAAAATGGAGGCTGATGAAGCTTTTAAGAGAGCCATACCACGTGCCCAATTAGCTAATAAGTCGGGACCAGGAGCTGCAGAGACCGTGGAGAGATCTTCTCCGACACCTTACAAGGATGTTCTTGTCGGACAGAGCTGAAGATATCGGAGATTAGTCACGCTTAATTAAGTAGTTGTGTACTACGTACCTTTACCAAACCATTTTTTTTTATATGTAGACCCACCGACCGTTTTTATATGTCCTCTACTTAGATCAACAACTTGGATTTTGATACTATATTATTTTTCAATTACAGAATTTCCTTTCAAAACTAATTGGCAATTATAACATAATCCGATCCGATCACATTTATGATGTGAGATCTCTAACATATTATATAAGTCACTCCATCAGTTACCATGTTTTTCTTTTTTAAAAAGGAAGTCTAAATGACATTTTACAAATTTAAACAAAAACCAAATGTACATCTAGGAAGAAAACTGGTTCATTTCCATGGTTTAAAATTGGTTTAACAAAAGCCATGCCTAGAGCAAAGAAGGTTATGAGATTGTGGGGACCTTAGGAGAATCAGCAAAGAAATTGGAACATACAGAAAGCAGAAAATCAAGAGTCATCAGATAGAATATAACGAATCAACATGGAACACATTACATATCAAAGTTTCATAGCCATTATTCCGGATGTTCTGAAACCACCACTTGAGAGGTAATTAAAGCAGCCTTGTCGCATTCCCTCTCTTGCTTCATCCGTTGTAGCCACAAGCGCTTGTGAAAATATATTCGCAAGCGTGTTCACCGTCACTGACATTGGCTTTTGCCATCCAATATCAACACAAGGTAAAAAAGAATGTCATATATACATACACTTTATGTGAGCATTTTTTTTTTTTTTGGAGTTCAATTCCATCAAAGTAGCATTCATTAATTAATCTGTAAGGACTAATGTTCCGATTGGTTATTTTGTAGTTTGTGAACAATGCTTTGTACACAGCGAAACAGACATAGTGTACGTAGAAAAACTACAATGTATTGTCTAAGTGTGCCCAGAGCCTAATTTTCGCCAGGGAAATGCTTAGACTAATGCAGTGTCTAAGTGTGCCCTAAGTGATATAAGGCTAGTCCAACAAAACCTGGTAACAAAAATATGACCTAATCTAGCGTATAAGTTAAATTATACATATGTCATTCCATTTACTGCCAATTGTTTTTTTTTTGAAAGATAATTTCATGACCTTTTACGCATTAAACAAACTACCAACGCCATATATATATATATATATATATATATATATATATATATAATTATTAAAATTAAAAACTAAGAATGGCAGAACACACCTTGCGGATGATGTAAAAGGACTTGACAAGCTCCGAGACTTTCTTAGTATTGCCAAGGTTAGGCAATGGCTTGAGAAGATTGCGTAGAATGAGAATGTCCGAGAGAGCAACCATCATCCCTGAGGCGATTATAGGATGACGCATGTTGAATGCATCTCCCAACACAATCACTCCTCTCTTTTCACACGGCCTCGCTGGCATACTCTTAGTCGCAGTTGTTTTTACCTCTAGTAGTCCATCCTCAATCCCTTTCAAAAATGTCGCACGGAGATTCCCAGTTTCAGGTATCTACAACACGAGAGTGATTGATGATACAAATAAGCCACATGAACAAAATCATACCATTTGATCAATATCAAAGCAAATCCCTATGATTCCTTGAAAACGTTAATATTTAAACCATCCATACGCTCAAAATGTTATATTTTGAAATTAGTCCTTATACGTACCTTAGGAGTCACAGTTTTCTTGAGAAAGTTAGCCATTTCTCCATTCGCCACAGAAGGAATACTATCAGCAGAAATCTCGACCGCACAACGAACCTCATCGCTGGTTATTTGATATATAACAATAGGTAAAGGCTTAGAAAAAAGCAGATGTAGACTATGTGGATCTTCAAGTCGGCTATTCTTCGAGACGTAACCCACAAAATACGAGAGCACTTCCTCCTGTATACATATGTAGGTATATGATCATGATCCTAGCTCATACGACGAGGCTATCTTTCGTTGAAATTGAATGACAGTATATAAAAGTCTTGATAGAAAAGTGTATACTCACCTTATTATTGACGAGTGACCGACGAAGGTTTGAATAGCAACCGTCGCACACCACAGTAAGAGGTGCATAGGCCTTTATTTCTTCCCCTGTGCTATTCTTGTATATCACTCCTTTAACCACTCCTTTTTCTTCTATCAAAGACTTCACCGTCCCTTCTTCTAAATGCACACTGCCAATATTTTCATTGCATTGTATTAAGAAGATGAAAACATATGATTTGAATCGAAAATATCCACTAGAAAAATAATCTCTACTACAAGTTCCAAAGATTAGTTTTGATTTCGTTTTGAAAATTCCATGTTAATAACTGATATGTAAATATATGTACGCACTTGGCAAGAGAAGCTGCCTTTTTGCGTAGACGTTGTACGAAACGGCCATTACGTAAAAGTCTACCGACTGGTTCATAAGGAAACTTTTTATCTTCCGGAAAAGGCAAGATCGCTTGTTTTCCGTCCTTATAAATTGCCAAGGACTTCGCTGCTTGAGCGTCTATCTCCTCCAAACATTCTAATAGATGATATACAAACCCAAAACCGCAAATTAAGATTAAGCGACACGTATCATAACTGAGTTCATTGTTTAGATAAATCCATGCGCGTACGGCAACAAGATCATGCAATATTTGTGTAGTAATGAATGTTGACCTTCAAGGCCAAGCTGAGCTAACATGAGGCGGCCTCCTGCTTGCATCAGCTCTCCCATAAATCTTTGAGGTTCTTTCAAGTCCCTCTCTATTACATGTACACGTCGTCCATCCTGCACCCGCATTCAAGTTAATAGGGGACAGACAAATCGAAAATAATTAACCCTATCGCAAGAAAAAAAAACTTGAAATAACATTTTTGTAATAAAAAAAAAAAATTATAGTACTTTAAATGCAAATCGTTTTTTCCCCTGCACCCGCATTGTTTTTTCTTTTATTGTATTATTATATATTTTCAACTCATGGACACCATTTAACCCCAAAAAAAAAAAAACTCATAGACACCCATGCCTTTAAGCCTCTTTAAGTTTAGGTCTACTTTTCATATTTTAATGATTTCCATTTTTTCTCATTCTTTTTCATTTTTTTGATAATTTTTTGAAATTAGCAAACATTTTTTAATAATAATAATAATAATGTTGGACGAAAATCTAAATATGATTCCGAAAGCCTGAAAGGTCACAACATTATTATTATTACTAAACCATGTATCTTGATTTTTTCTATATATATTCGTATAAGCGAAAGCCTGAAAGGTCACAAAATTTTTTTCTTGAAAAAACTTACCACGTAATTATTTACCTTTGGCCTTAAGAATACTAGTTCTGATAAATAACTTTGTAATTGACAATATGATCATCTTTAAAAAAAATGACCATCAGGTAATTTTTTTAATCGAAGATACTAGTCTAATCCATATTGATCATGCAAGAGAAAACTAAATAGAGAGCTTCTCTGAAAATACTTTAATACTCAGTAAACCTATTTGAAGTATGTGTTTGGTAATACGATTTGAAGTATTTTGACTCTGATTAATGAAACTACACAACACATGAGAAACTACCAAAAACACACTCTAATCGGTTATGTAGAGTATGAAACATCAAGACATCTTTGAAGAATCATCTCTACTGATGAGCTACAAATTAATATGACATATCTAAACTTCTTAGATATATAAATAACGACCAACCTATGCAAAAAGACCGTCATGCATCAAATTACGCCTTCATGCGATTGATGAATGCACAAAAATGCGCAAATATACCTTAGCAAGAGCATAAGCTAGAGCCGCGCCTGCCACACCCGCCCCAACAATGATGACATCAGCGACACCATCGCTTCTCTCTTCTGCTTCAGTCTCTGCCTCCTCTGTTGCCGTCTTCTTTCTCTTGATGAGGTGAAAAATCATCCATGTCAAAACGAAGGCGAGAAGCGTCCATAACCACGTGTACGTCGTTGCCATTACCACTTCGTAGTAATATCTCTGAACTGAGATCATTATATAGGAGAACCCCAAAATAATGTCAAACCAATAAAAGATTTTTTTTTTTTTTTGCTAAACAAAACCATTAAAAAGATTTGTAAAATAGACTTTCACAGCTTAGCAAATCGATATACAATTCGTTGTTGAGAGACATGAGATCAAATCATAATCACATGTCATATTTGTAGTTGTACGACCATTTCTAAATATGCAATAATTTCATATACTACACTGATTTTATATTGTTTTCTTGTTACTATATATCATTTAAACCCTAAAACAATTTAACGGGATTGTGTTACATCACTTTAATTTGTCTATTCTAATTCTATTTTTAGCCAAAAAAGCCATAACTAGCATGATAATATAAAAAACATAAAAATTTCAACGCCCTGATCGATTGCAACACCCACTACAAGAAAACATGGCTGTTTCCTACAGAAAATATCGTCAGTTAATCGTAGGAAATGGCTGTTTACTACGGAATTCTGACCAAAATTAGTCGTAGGTTATTGGCCGTCGGAAATAAGAAAAAGAAGGAATTTCGTCGGAAATTTCCTACGATAAAAGTGGTAGGAAAAATTCGTCGGATCTTTTGGTAGGAAAACCGTAAACAAACACCGACCAATTTACCACTGTAAACCTTCGCATTATTTCCTTCCTAATCCTGACGAAAATAATTTCCTACGATTTTCGCCTTCCATTTTCCGACCACAAACTTTCCTACCACAAATTTTTTATTATCACAACGTAGACAAAGACAAACTATTTTACCGCTGTTTAAGCATGTTTCCTGGTTTGTTGCAAAATGCATAAACTCAGTAAGTCCTATGGCAAACTCATTTGTAATTTTCCCGGTAGATGTATTCCACCTATCATTATACATCCACGTTCGTGAATGAATATTTTCCATGTTTGAAAATAGGCTCAATTGATGTATATTTTTCACTATAGGTCTTACACTTGACAAAGTGAGTGTTAGATGGAAGAAATAGAAATGTGTTATTTATAGTGCAGTTTTCTCAGCTTAATTTTATCAATTTTCTGATGTGGGACAAAGCAAAGTTAAGTTTTTTGCAACGTCAGATACATTCCTACAGATATCTTACGATAATCCTACAAAAACATTTTTGTCAGAAACGCGTAGGAGAATTCCGACGAAAAACTGACAAATCTAAAAGTCATAACCTAACCTACGACATAGCTACCATAATCCGACCTGTTTTCCTACGAAGTTGAGTTTGGTAGGTTATAGGAAGGAAGTTTCCTACCAGTGTTTTGACGATTTTTATTCGTAGGTAATTTCCTACGAATTTCTTTTAACCTCTCTTTTTCGTCGTATTTGCGTAGGAATTTGATGAAAAAAATGTTCTACCAAATTTTTAAAATATATAAATTTCTACATGACTATCTATCCATTTTTAAAATATATAATCCGATACGTGTCAAATTAACTACCATTGAATAGTCTCGGTAAATACCTAACCCATATATTATCTGTTGGGCAATCAGAAGTCGGACGATCATTGAAATATCAGTCTAACTCATACACGTGATGAGCGTGGTATACAATAAAATAATAATGGAGCAAGGAAAAACGCAGAGCTGGAAAAAGAAAGAAAAAAAAAAATATATGAACCCTATCAAAATCGTTTTCGGCTTTTCGCAGAAGTCGCTGCTATAATCTGCTAATGACCCACCTTTTTTTAATCATAATGACGTTTTTCAATACCGTGATTTGAATAAGTGAATATGACTTAAAAAGACATTGATTAAAAGCCGAAGTAATGTTTCATTTACAAAAAAAAAATTAATAAATAGTTCGACTTTAAAATTAAAATAAATTTAAAGATAAATATTGGAATAAACTTAGACTAAAAGAAAAAAAAAAATATTTATGTGATTAGGTGTTGTTAGTTCGACTAAAGCGCAGTATTACAAACAAAGTCTAGAAATCAAAGCGCGATTATTGGATGACGCATGTTGAATGCATCTCCTAACACAATCACTCCTTTCTTCTTATTCAACATAGTTGACATGCTCTTAGTTGCCACCACGTTCATCCTATAGCTCCATCATTGATAACTCAAGGATTTTTGTAGGTATCTGAGATTAGAATGAAAGTTACTGTCTATAATATTCGATCAGTCACATAATTATACCCACAATTTAACTAAAACTATGATGAATGCATGTCTATATTTTGCATGGACCGTTTTCAAATGTCAGAATGTGCTCACGTGTATGTCTCATCTACGTACTAGTCCCACTAGCTTAATTAGTAATATCAATTCTCTGTAAAAGCTGATCACAGATTAAGCATCTATTAAACTTGATGCATACCGCAGGAGCCATACTTTTCTCGAGGAAGCTAGACATATTTCACCGACTGTTATAGAAGGAACACTATCGGCAGGAATCTCGGCAATACAACGAACCTCCTCACTGCTTATTTGATAAGTAATGCAGACAATTGGTCTAGAAAGAATAAACGGCCAGTGAGTTATGTACTTAATTATCTCCACTCATGGACATGGACCACATGTTTAAGTGATGCATCCTTTTTTTGCTTTGTTATAACTAAATGGTATAGAGACTAGAGCAACTCTTTCTTGGCTGTTTTATATGAACACGACAACATAAACCTCACGACATAAGTTCGTCAATTATTGGGACGACTGCACCAAGAAGTTAGTGATGTCTACAAATTTCACTAAATTCAATTTGTTGAGAAAATTAGTTTGATTAGGAGTGGAATGAAAATTAGAAAAATCAATTTAGAATTACATTTAAGAGATTAATAATCATAAAACAAACTAAAAGTATGAAGTAGCAAAACGTGATTGCAGATTCTAGGTGATACCTGACTATGTCGTGTTCAACTTGATTAAAAAATATTTTTATTTAAAGGTATGTATTTTTCATGTACTTAAAAATAAAAGATTTTAAGGGAAAAAAATTATTGTCTGAAATTACGTGATCACATTTTAAAAACTCATTTTTGTTAAATTATTGAGCTTTTGATAAAAATAAATCTGGCAATATTATGTGGTAAATTGTGATAGTACTATTTTCATAGATTCTACTATCGTACAACTTCTATTTCCGTATATTACGAAAAAAAATCATGTAAGAGAATTAATGCCAGCAATTGTACGAGAAGTCGTTTTCTTATTACAATCCTTTTCTGTCTACAGAATATACCGACATGTATATATTCCAACTATATATATACTAAATAATAGTAAGCACAGTGCAATACAATTTTAGCAAATGCACAATCACAAAGCTGAACGCTCCATATATGTTGTTATATTATTCGCGGTTCAGAGCATCGATGTTTAAAGAGCTGTTGTGGCCATATAGCTTTTGCGATACGCGATTGCATATGATGGAGACAACATTTGGCTAACCCCTTCAGCCTTGAGATGAGGAACCAACATTTTCATAGACAACTAAGGATTCACATTAAAAACAAAAAAAATCAATATCAAATTGTAATATGGTAAACTAAAAAGATCAACACTCACACATTTACGTAGAATTAAATTTCGACAAAAAAACAACTAAAATATAAGGAGAGACATAATGACTTACACCAAAAAGTCTGAGGCTATGCCAGATGCTAAGAGGAGAGGGAAAAGGAGAGAGAAGTTGACCAATGGAGGATAGTGTAATGGCGCAGAGATGAAAGATGAGAGAGAGTGGACGAGGGTTCATGCCGCCGAGCAGAGCCATCAATCCTGACGTGCGAAAGCCGCCACTAGTGAGGTAATCGTAGCATCCCTGTCTCATTGCTTCTCTTGCTTCGTCCGTCGATGCAATCAGCACTTGAGAAAATGCATTCCCTAGTGTGTTCACCGTCGCCGACATTGGCTTCACAACACAAAATCATGTAATCTTTTCAAAACACCTTTTTGAGGTTGTATAAGCGGTTTTAGGATTCTCATAAGATTAGTATGTGACGTATTACGTATATATGCTCACCTTTCGAATGACATAAAATGACTTAATAACTTCTGAGATTTTGTTTGCATCACCGAGGTTGGCCAATGGCTGGAGAAGGCGGCGTAGAATGAGAACGTCAGAGAGTAAAACCATCATTCCAGAAGCGACTACTGGATGACGCATGTTGAATGCATCTCCCAACACAATCACTCCTTTCTTCTCGCTCAAAGTAGCGTCCATTCTCTTTGTTGGCATCGCTTTTATTTGTGCTCCCTCTTCGATCCCTTTCAAAAATACTTTGCGGAGATTTTGAGGTACCTAAGAAAACAAGTGCAAAGAGATGTTCAAATGCATATATATTCTGCATGGATTCATGAACCGCTTGCAATTGTTAAAAGTGAGTACGTATATTTGGTACAACTAAGTAGTAACACCAAATTAATAGTATTGATATCAACGATTAATAAGTCCACAGTGCATACCTGAGGAGCAATAGAATTTTTGAAAAAGTCAGCCATTTCACCATTTGCCATAGAAGGAATATTGCCGGGGAAAAGCTCCGTAAGACAACGAACGTCGGTGCTGCTGATTTGATACAACATGGTGAAGGAGGGTTTAGACATTATCAACTTTAACCTTTCTGGATCTTCAAGCTGACAATTCTTTGAGATGTAACCAACTGTGTACGACAGAACCTCCGCCTATATCAAATTAACAAAACGAATAAAATTGAATAGTATCCATTATATTCTTAATTTGTGAGTAAAAAATGATAGGAAAATACTATTCAATTTAAAGATATACTCACATTGTTGTCGTTAAGAGAGCGACGGAGGTTAGAGTAGCAACCGTCGCATACCACAGTGAGAGGTGCAAAGGCAGTTGTTTCTTCGCCTGAACTGTTCTTGTACGTAACCCCTTTAATCACTCCTTTCTCTTCTATCAAAGACTTCACCGTCCCTTCTTCAAGTCGCACACTGCCAAATAATAGTTATTGTCAAGTTTAATAGTAGCTTCAAGTCAACGGAACTATCTAGTAATCAATTATAAATTCCAAAAATATTGTATTTATTTACCCCATAAAATAACTTTATGACTAAAAAAAAAGTCTTGTAAGTTTGGTCCGAAAATAAGGTATTTTTGTTGTAAATGAAAGTTTGGTCGAGTTTCTAGAAATTTCATTTTATAGAAAACAAAAAATAATTGTTTGTCAAGGTTTATTAATTAGGTTTTGTCTAAAAATCAGTTAGCAGCGATTTTGATTCATATTTTTTTTGATATATTAGATTACATCACTTACACACCAATTCTTATTTTGGGTCAGCTTTAGTTCTCATAATTCATGGTTTTCCATCTCAAAACAAACAATTAGTAACGTAGAGAATAGTTCAATTGTTGTATATGTTTAACTGAATCCCTTTACCTTTTCTATGTGGTATTTTTAACATCTTAGTAAAAATGGTGAATATATAGAGATACATACTTGGGGAGAGAAGAGGCCTTTTGGCGCAGTCTCTGGACGAATCGACCATTGTGAAAAGTTCGAGCAGATGGTTCATAAGGAAAGTTGTTGTCCTCCACTGGAAAAGGCGCGACTGCTTCTTTACCGTCCTTATAAACTGCTAAGCCGGTGGCTATCTGTGCATCTATTCCCTCCAAACAATCTATATATATATACGCACAAATATATTATCATGAAACGAAGACAAAATATGTCTTACGTTAATTTATGTAAATGTATAGATGAAAAGTGAAGCGTAGTCAACATACCTTGAAGACCAAGCTTAGAAAGCAAGAGTCGTCCTCCTGGTTGCATAAACTCACCCATCATTCTCTCTGGTTGTCTCATGTCTCTCTCTATCACATGTACTTGACGCCCGTCCTTTAACACAAAATTAATAAATACAACTGTTCATTCCAACCTAAATATTGCAATCATATTGTAACTGAGCTATATATTGTATAATATTGTTATTCTACCATCCATGCACAAATAGTTTAAGAGAAAAAAAAAATTAGCATAAAGTGCGATTTTACGTACCTTAGCAAGAGCATAGGCGAGAGCTGAGCCGCCGACACCGGCTCCGACGATGATAACGTCAGCACCACCGTCTCTTCTCTCCCCGGCCGCCACATCCACCAACTTCGCCGCCTTCTTCTTCATGTTGGTGACGTGGAATATTGTCCAAGTCAGCACGAAGGCGAGTAGCGTCCATAAACAAACTTGCGTAAAAGCCATGTCCATATCTATTGTATTATTTTTCAATATGCTTTATGAGATGAGAGAGCTGAGAAAGACGGACTCACCGATTTATAGTCGCCACGGACGTGACATCACCACATATGCTAATTTATAATTATTAAATAAAAATGGCGAGATATCGATATTTTTTGTTGTCCATAGGATTCTTATCAATTGTGACTTGTCTAAGCTGACAAAAACAAACGATATTTTCTTTAGATACAAACACAAGTTATTGTCCACCCTAATAAATGATTATGTTTGCTATATGGAACAAACAAATAAAAAGCACCGGCCACTAAAACTAAAATTATTGACATTTCTGTAGCTCTTGAATGATGAATTAAAGAGTTAAGAAATGGCAATTCATGTTTTGATTAAAAGAGGAACGTACCAAACTGGTTTTTTATAGGAAATTTCATATAATTTTCTCTACCACCAGTTTATATGCGGACAAAAATCAACTTTCATTATAGCTGATGGAGTTTTTTTTTTGTTTTAAATAAATTAGGTCTCATAACCATAATTCTTTTTAACAGAAATATATTGACCATCGATTTAAAAAAAAAAATTGATGACCATTTGATGAACAAGATAGGCGAACATAGTCAAGAGCTTAGCCAGGGGTGGTTCTGTGGGTGTGCAAGAGGAGCACAAGTTCAGGGCCAAAAAAAATTTCAAAATTTTCCACTAATTTGAGGGTCCAATTTTCCAAAAATACAGAATTTCCTCTAAATAAGTGTCCAGATTTATTATCTGACACATGACCAATCTTATGTTTGAGACTTAGCTAAATGATGAATTCAACTCTTGAATGATGAATTAAAACATGTCAATCAATGTTTCGATAAAGTGAAACGTCCCAAACAAGTTGTTTAAGATAAGAATTTGATTTCATATGATACACAGTATTCTCAATCAGTTTATATGCGGACTAAAATCAACTTTCATTTTAGCTGATGATGCGTTTTTTAATGAGAAATAGGTCTCATAACCGTAGTTACTTTATAATTAACAGAATGACCATCTATTTGAAAGAAAAAAAATTGGATGACCATATGATAAAAAGTATAGGCGAAAATTTTCTAGTACCATATGTCAACGTTTTGCGATAAAATATATTTTATTCCCTCTCATTTTGTTTCTATTTTTTCAGAAAAATATGTCTTTATCCGTCCTCTTGGAACATTTACATTGCTATATAGATATGGCATCAACATTTAGAAAATAGTAGCGTCCATAAAGGTTTTGCGATACGCAGCTGCGTTAGCTGGAGACACCGAGACAGCATTTGCCTCCCCCATTCAGCCTTGAGATGGGGACCCAACATTCTCAAAGCCAACTAGTAATTCAGATTAACACAAGTAAATAATATCATTAGTGTAAGATTATAAAAATTAACTAAGAAAACTATATAGAGTTACGTAAAAAACAATTTCTTATACAAAAAAAAAACTAGTAAGGAGATATCTAATAAATTACCGCAAAAAGTTTGAGGCTGTGCCAAATGCGAAGAGGAAAAGGAAAGGGAGAGAGCAGATGGCCATCAGAGGATAGGGTCAATAGAAACTCAGAAAAACGGAGATACAAACGCAGAAACTGTATATAAATCAATAGAAGCTTATAAAAGATCCATGCAGATTTGATATGTGAAAGAATTATACGAACCTTAGCAAGAGCATATGCGAGAGCCGAGCCGCCAACACCGGCTCCAACGATGATGACATCAGGACCACCGTCTCTTCTCTCCTCCACCGCCTTATTATCAAGCCAACTTTGTTGACGTTATCTTACTCCGGTTGGCCACGTACGTGGAACTCCGGTTGGCCACGTACGTGGAACAACGTCCACGTCAACACGAAACCTATTAGCGTCCATAACCACAAGTACGAGAAAGCCATATCCATCATTACCGTTTATTTATTTTTCTATTAATTGCGTGATACTTTAGTCTTTGATCTGATCTATAAGACAATTCAAATAAGCGGAGTGATATATATATATATATATATATATATAGATCATCTTCAGTCGGCACAAGCGTCACGTCATCACATTATAAATATCACTTCTGATAGTTTAAAAAGGAAATCACAGTGAATAAATATACTCATAATTAAATTAATTAAAGAAGTGGCTAGCTAACTATCTTCTGAAGCACTTGAAATTGTGTATGTGTTAACCGAAATTGTAACACAGTAAAAATGAATAGTGTATTTTCGATGATTTGAAATTTGATAATATATTGTAAAAGAAGTGGCTTTGTGTATATAACGATTAGATATATATATATATATTTTTTTTTTTTCCTTCTTGTATCTGATTTTGGGACATATTATGGATTATAAATGTTTATAATATTATTTACTCAGTTAATAATAAAACTTTACACACAAACCTATATTAGTCGTCTCAATTATCTATTCTTCATTGCGATTTTATAACATATACCAATGAAAATGCTATATAGAACAACGAAATTCCAATTATATAATTTAAAGTTGACAATTGTAGGGAAATTGGTTACTAGAACGTGATACTTAATATCATAAAAGTCATTAACCCACAATTGTTAGAGCATCCACAACGCTGTTTCTTAAGCGTTTTTAACAAAAATTTATTAATATAATAATTGAAATGGATTGGATAAAATGTTGAAATGTTTTTTCTCTAGAAACAATTAAAACCGTTTCTTCTGTCACGTGTCAATTTTTAATTAGTTAGCAAAAAAAATTCTTCCTTTCTCTTTCTTCTTTTTTTTCTTATCAATTTCTCTGTCCTTTTTTACCTTTTTTAGTATTCCTCAAATTTAATAATATAAAAATTAACAAAAAAATATATTTTGCATTTCAGCGTTGCGGATGCTTTTAGTTTACGTGTCCTACGTTTGTCTGCCAGTCAATTCGTTATTGCATATCAGATTAACAGCACGCATAATTTTCGTGTTTTTGTCCCTACTTGCACAGAACACCATTTTCTTCGTATTATTCATCTTAAAATTCCTTAAGGTCAAAAATTTTACTAGGAAATCTTATCATAAAAAATAATCAAAAACACTTATGCTATAGATACTTAAACACTTCACAACTAAATATTTCTATAATTAAGCCGATGAAATCATCATACTTAATAATCACTTTTTGGATAAATACGAATCTAACATCATCCACGAAACCGAAACGATAAAGGTGAGAGTTGTTTTTACTTGCGTAACCATATATGGTCATCTTGAAAGAGGAGTTCAAGGTCAACGAATGATGTCACTCATCGTTCCACGTGATCTATAAAATTTGGGTTGCCATACATTTTTAGGGATGAGGTTTAACTCCTTTTTTTGGCTGCTTTCCATAAACACGTCACTTCAGTTCTCACCACATAAAACCTTATTACAAAATGAAAAAAAAAAATCTCACCACATAAATTCATCAATTATAGAATGAGTACACTGTATCTATCTACATATATATATGTATATATATTTATGAATTTATTCTCTTGAAGTTTCCTTCTTCAAATTTACATTCTCTTCTGAAAATATACAAACGTACGGGGAGAGAAGTAAACCAAAAAAAGGTTAAAAATATTAAACATTGTTCAATTCTAAAAGTTTAGTTTTATTTAATGTATAATATAATTTTTAGTTTTTATTATAAAAATTAGAGAAAAAAATTGAACTGTTCAACTCTTTGATTTAAGGTATTTCCTCTGTTTCGTTGAACTTACTGTTTCCTCTGAGGAAATACTACAATTCATTTTGGCTTTCTAAATAAGTGAAATATAAAACTGTTAGTGTTATTTGAACCAAAAAAAAGAAAAACTGTTGTGTTAATTTACAGAAAGCCCAACCCATGAAGACTTCGTCGGGCCCATTAGCCCATTAAGTTCAAGATAAAGATAAGAGCTTTAGTTCGTCTCTATGGAAAGAAAAATCAGAGCAAGAAAACAAAGCAATCATTAATTCAAGAATCATAGGAAACAGAAGATGAAGAGAATTCCTCGTATCAAATTTCCTCAGAGACACTCTACTTCTTCCTCCTCTGCTATTTCATCAGGTTTACATTTTTCTTTGAATCCATAGATCGTCAAAAGAAAAAAAAATCATTTCTTAGTAGATTCTCTTTCACTACTTTTTGCTTTTGTTTTTGTTTTTGTTTGGTTCTTGCTTTATCAGATGCCAATTTCTTCGCATCAATAGCTTTATTTTTGTTCTTCTTTTTTGTCTGTGACATTTCTCAGGCTCTGGACCGGTGCCGGGATCAGTTGCCGGCGGCAAGAAGAATGTGACGGCGAGTTCGGATGTTCCGGCGGCTCCGAAGAACACTGCTGATGGAGGAAAAGCATCTCTTCAGCCGAAACGCACACCTGTCTCCGACAAGGAAATTGAATCCATAATGGTGAGTGAAATTAATAACTCTTAACAAAACGCTTTCATTACGAAAATGGAAAGAAAAAGAAAAACAATTCATAATAACTCAACTATGAATTTTGCAGTTGGGTGGTTGCATCTGACATTCCTGTATTTGAAGATATGATCGACACTTTGGGTTCTATCTCTTTTCGGCTGGTGAAGTTTATTATTATATGCTTTTTTTCCTTTTTCTTTTCTTCTTTTAATGTAAAGAAAGAAAGAACTAATAATGTAGAGAGATGATTTTGTATGAATGATGCTCTTTCTCGTTGTCAAAAAAGGCCGTCCTAGTTTCTACATTATTGTCTTCACAATTTTTTCTTTTTATATGGTAAGTTGCACACTTGCACTATAGTAAAATGATAAATGTTGCATTCTAAAAATAATTAGGTAAATAGCAAAATACTTCAAAGTCAGATTACTACCTTCATCTTCGAATAATTTATTAAACCATAATAAACACAATTCTAGGAATTTTTATCATTTGGGATTCATTGCTTGTAAATTAAAGTTGAAGAAACTGTACTCTTTTAGAACCAAAACAGAAAAAGAAACTACTCATAGCTCGAGTTTAAGCTCCCAATAATTTTCAGCTGGCGAACAAAAATCTAATACTAATATACTGTTATTAGGTTGACCAAAAAAAATATATATACTGTTATTAGAAAACTCATCATCAACTTATTTTAGTTGGTCAATGTATAAAAACCATGTAAATTGAGAACTCCGATAAGTTGTTTGAATAGAATTACTATTTGCAAATCTGAAGCTGCAAAAGAGCTTCAAGCAACAAACTACACACAAGAGGTTAAGACCCCAACAAAAGAAAACCAATCCGCATTACTCTGATTCATGTGCAAGCAAACCACCGGATCAGGTCAAACAAGAGAATAAAATAAATAACAAACAAATAAGTACGTTGAAGAAGAATCAGATCTCAAGTTCTTGAGACCAGCAAACTGATATATGTGCTTTGTGTTTGCTGCCAGATGGTCTGACTATAGCTCGGTGTCGCAGAGACGGATCATTATTTCAGAGACCATTCTCCGTGCGAATGGAATATAACTGAGGCTATACCTGTCATTATCATGTGATGTGTATAAGAAGAAGATGTTCAATCCATAAAGGCTCAAGAACCTTATAGAAACAAATCCGGTTTTGGACTTAAACTTACCAAATAAGTGCACAGGTCTCGCATAGGATGGCAAGCACCGTTAAAATTTTGCTGTGGATCTACAGGAGGTGAGAAAGAGTTTAAAAAGACTGAAATTTCAAGCTGAGAAATATTTGGAACAAACAAAATTGCAGGCTTTTGAGATTGGCTGAGATTAGATCTTGCAGTTACTCTAAGCATCTAGTTTTGGAGCTAAACATGGTCATTGGTTGTTGCATGAGAGAGCAAGAAACTCACCAAGAGAGCGCAAATGAGTGCAACAACGACGCATCCAATATAAATGGATGTAGCGTAGATACGAACAGGGTCCAACATCATATTTATCTGTTGCTCAGCTCCCATGAGGAAAACTGTGCTGCCAAAGAAACATTGATCTCTTGTGGTTTAAAATATAACAATGTGGATATAGAAAAACTGCAAAAGCTTTTGTTAGATATAAGACAATATCATCAGATTCTGGAAACAACGTCTAAATTGGAATTTCACCTAAACAATATCAATGGATAGAAGCAAATGACAGTAAACATCAGAAATCAAAATGACAAAACCTAACTGAAATCCATCCTACGCACACACACACAAAAAAAGAAAGGACTCAAAGATCAAATCTTTGAAAGTTTTAAGAATTGAAATCCCATGAAACCGCTAGATGTTAGTCAACACAGCAAGTTCTCTCCACGACATTCAAGCAAAACATACCTTCCAATAGCGAGTACATTTCCAAATGTGAAGAGCAGTGCAAATTTGATCGGGATAGCAAATACAATCATAGACTGCAGAAGAAGAGTCATAAAACACGAATTACTTCTAGAATTGGCTTCATGATTAACAAAATTATACCAGTTCGATCCATAGAACGTGATTAAGAAGAAGATCAATAAACACAAGCCAATACGAATAAGAAATCGAAACCCATGACATGAAAAGCAACTACAGTCTCTTAGCTAGCTGAGTAGAAACAGAAAATTTCACATTCTTCCAATAAAACAAAGGCATTGATATGTCAAATTGCTCTTTTTACCAGAAACATAAGCAGCAAACCAGCGGCCAAAGACGCTGCGAATCCGTACATTCTCTGCAATTCGAAGAAGATTAGGAAGGTACACAGACAACAACAATCCCTAGAAATCGCGAGGAGAAGACAGGGAGAAAGAAACCTGGGTCGGGGAGAGAGAACAGAGACCCTCCGATCCATCTTCAAGGAAGTTATCGGTTGTCCCGTCGCCGTCTCCGTCTCCGCCACCAGAGAAGAGTTCGTTCAGCTTCTGCATCTCGATTACTGCTTCTGTTTGTTCCGATGATCGGAGAAATTATTAACCAAAATCCAATCAACGACGTGCAATCATCTCTCAAATCTGGGCCACGTTAAGCCCAAAATCAACAGTGACACATATTAGGCTTTGGCATTCGGGTTTTTAGATGGTTTCGGATCGATTATTTCGGATAAGTCGGATCTATTTATTAAATATTAAATAGTGAGGAATCGCGTATATAAAAAAAAATTTCTTGTCACTTGGATTTTATGTGTTGATTTATCCAAACTAAAGAAAGTTAATGTTCATGAATGGAATTTAATTTTCACTTACAATTATGTGTACATAAAGCCAAATGGTGTAAGAAAGTGAATTAATATAATACTACAGTCAAATCCTTATATTACTAAAGCACAAGTCACTTCACCAATTATATGGTGACATGTGGCAAAATTTTACAAAAACAAATAACAGAAAAAAAATCTCAAATAATAAATTCTCAAATTTTTTTTCTCAATTTCAAATCCCTAAAATTTCTTCCTCAACTCCACTATCTCTTACATTAACGACGATGGATGTCAATATTTTTTTTTTAATAAAAGAAATAAATGTGTGAAAAATCATCAATTTATGGAAAAAACTACCCATGATCTCTACTTCTACGGTTATATTTTACTGCTTTACAACATATTTCACGTAATCTACACAGAATAATCATCAGACAACACCACTCACTTTTGTTAAATATTTAAATTAATCCTTAAGTAGATATGTCTCTTCTCTAAATGACATATACGTTTCAGAGGAACTTGGTAAATTATCAGAACCTTATCACAAGATCTATGTATGATAAGCAGCTAAACAGTGGAAGAGGCACTTTGCTTCACCTGTACGATGAAGTAATCCAACAAGAGATGCTAACCAATAATTCCTTTCTTTTTTTCTTTTTTGTATGTCATCTTCATATGTTTTGCTAACAAATTTGATCAAATGCAGTCATCAATTCCTTCTTCAGGCTGATAAAGCAAGGGTGTCCCACGAGCATGCAAAACGAAGCATTCATCAAAGAAGAATTCAACGAAAGCTGCAATTTTCATGTGGATGATGCTGTCAAGAAGCTTGAAATGAATCTCTGCGTCTCTCTTCTATAATCTGAACGTTTCTCCATATCTAAACTAATATTGTGAAAATAGAAAGGGAGGTGTGAATATGAAGGAAGTAAACGAGACCATGGGAACAATAACAGAATAAATCAAAGATGGTGCTGGAGAAGAGGTGGTGAATACAAAGTTGAATAAGAGGCAGCAGAGATTGATACTAACATGCAAACCTAAAGAGTTAACAGCAAACCACCCCAACATTTAGAAAGCAAACCACCTCAATAACTCAAAACGTAAGTTTGTATCTGAGTTTTTTGTTTGTTTGTTTAATATATAATGTCACCTTCTTCAAATTAACGACTATGTTCTAATAGATTTTTTGTTTTCTTTTTTATTGAACCAATTTTCTTTTATTAATATTGAGACTATTGTATATAATAAGGAAATGAAATGTTAAAAAAAAATTATTTTAAATTATTCACAGATTTTACATGCAATAATTGATTGATATAGGTAACGTTATCGGTGCATAGCACCAGGTATAATCCTAGTTAATTTATAATTATAAGAAACCAATTCAAATGATGAGCAACAATAAAAAAATTGTTGACCATAGATATTTATATTAATAATATTTATTACGTTTGATAAGCTATGATATGTTGATATTAGAGATTTGAGTTTTCTTTCGTCTAAAATTTGATTCGTTAGCGTCTTTGATATTGAATTGACATGATATGAATTTAGATTTGGATTAAGTGAATATAATATCGTTGACCTGATATATAACACTCAAACTCAAAATTATTTTGGTAATTCGGAAAGGCATATTTAAGGGAACAATGATTGTGTGACCTCATTTTCACTAATCCAATCTTAATATATCAAAGTATCATACTGTATATTCTAATGCAATGTTAGTAAATCATAGTGCAAACCATTCACTGCAAATCATAGTGTCAGCGTATGGTTTTTAATAATATTTATTAACCATAAAAAAAATGTATTCATTTTATTGACATTTTACTTAGTAAAAATTTGTTGTTTTTGTGTACTCAAACATGGTTTAGAAATTTATTTTAAGATTAGTCGATTGTTTCGATCTTTCTAATAGGTTTGAAAATCAGATGAATTATTTAATGTTCTATTATAGGGAAAACTTTGTAATATTGTTTTTCTTAAATTGGTTTGATGATGTAGCACTGTAGTCTGTAGATAAAGAATGCTTCTTTTCCTTATATGACTTGATAAACCGAAACACTTGTACGCGGTCTCGGAGACTTATTCAATCGATGTATCGATCGATTCACACTTCTTAATATGTTTTTAATTGTTAATTTGTAGAATTTTTGTCAATTTGTAAATAAAGAAGCAGTTGATAAGGTCTGGATCCAAAATGTCATCTTATTTTTGTCAGTGCTTGTGTCAGTGCTAAAGGGACAATATCTCTGGATCCAAAAAGTCTTCTTATTTCTAGCATCCTATATATTAGCAAGATGCTTTGTCTCATGACTCATGAGTGTAACGACTCCTTAGTTCTTTTGTTGAACACTTGTTGTAAGAACATCAAAACATTCAGTTCAAAAAAAAAAAGAACATCAAAACATAAAACAAAAGAACACTTTAGCTAGTTTCACTTCATCAGATTTCGATTAAATTCGATTCTGATTGACCTGTTAAACCACAGAAAAAGGGTATGTTTTTTTTTTCCTTCTTTCTATTTTCACCATTTTCTGCAATTTCCCTGCTTTTAAAAATATTTGTAAAGAGTGACTGATACTTTTGACACAAGGCAATGAGTTCCTACGATGTATTTATAATATGTCATCTGAGAAAACACATAGGTATCAGCTTTTTCTTTCTGTAGTGTTGATTTTTAGTAATAGGAGGAGATCTACACCAAAATTCAGATTAATCAACACAACATGCATTACTATGAGAGTTTTGACAGTGGCCAAAAAGAGGGCATCCATTAAAATTGATTTTCCTGAGTACTTTACATTTTCTACGTGTGTTTTTAGTTAATTTTCTACAAAATATTTTACACTTATGGAATTCATCCCTCGTTAACCTCATGGCTCATGTTGCTAAATAAATGAATGTGAAACTGATATATGTAATAGTGTAATACGTAAAGACCTAACTTTTTTTTTTTTTTTTTTGTAAAGACCTAACTTTGTAGTATATTTGCATTTTGTTCTTCACCGTTTAACTTTAAATTTGTTTGATTACTAATTGGCAATGTTATAGGAAGAAGAAAAAAAAATGGGACTAGGAGCGAGAAACCCAGATAGAGAGATCTTCAGCAATTTTGGCCCCTCCCATCTTACATCTATTGATTGGTCAAAATTTTACTTTATTATGTACTATTTTAAAAAATTTGGTTTTAAACTTCGAAAACATTGTTTCGTATAGGAGTGTAAAGTATAGGAGTTTAAAAAACAAAATTTAAGGAGAATAAACAAGATTGTGAATTGATGTGGAAAACAGATTATAGAACGTAAAGCGTTAACAAGTGTTTTTAGGATAGACAGAGTATGCAAGTGATATTTACTTTTTATAATTTACTTTGAAGAAGTAAATATGTCAATCGAGCTACAAACTTACTATATGAACTCATTGTGCCGTGCACGAGTTACTAAGTCAATATTGACCTTTCAGAATTAGTATGGATAAACACTCATTTTGTTTTTGTTTTTGTTTTTTTCCAATAGGACTAATTCGTACCATCGAACCTCAGTGGCATCAAGTTTGGTAAAAGGAGTGTACACAATGGAAACAGACAGGAAAAAGAAACGGGTAGGTCGCGAGGCTAGAGCGAAGCCCTGGTGGGACTTTTTCCACTTCACTTTACTCGAAGAATTGTTTGACCCAAATGACAAATCCATATACGGTGCCGTTTACGAATACGAGCTCTACAACTTATACCAAAATACCCCTCATTTGAGAGTAGCTCCACGTTACGTGATTGCATTCCGTGGTACGAGCTTACGATTAAAAACAATCTACTGTGATGTGAAACTTGACCTCCGATGCTTCTTCAACTGCCTCCACAGAGGCGCCAGGTTTGTGCATGCTATAGAAGCAATCACAAATATGGTAGGTAAACACCAAGAATCAGCCATCTGGCTCGCTGGACACTCTTTGGGAGCCGGCCTAGCATTGCTGGCCGGCAAGACCATGATAAAATCTGGATACTTCCTCGAGAGTTACATATTTAACCCTCCAATCTCCTCTATTCCTCTAGACCAGCTACTTCAGAGCCAGAGGCTTAAAAGTGTGCTTCGAATCGCCGAGAGTGTCCTCAAATCCACCCTAACTCTGCTCTTGAAGGATCTACAGGTAAATAAATAAAATTTTATATGAAACTCAAATGTTGATTTTCTTATAATAAACTATAAATCTTTTCATTGATTTTTTTTTTTTTTAAATTTACAGCTTGAAGAAGACGATCCAAGACTAGCATCGTGGACACCTTATTTATATGTGAACTCACAAGATATAATCTGTTCAGAATACATTGGTTACTTCAAACACAAAACTATCATGTCTAAGATAGGAGTAAGCAAAATCGAGAGCAGGGGTGCTAGAAGCTCAATTAGGAGTCTATTGGTCCAAAGAAGAAGAACATCGTCACCGTCCGATTTGTCAACCGAACCTCTTCACCTTCTTCTATCAGCCGATATGACTATAAACAGGAACAATCCGAGTGAGTCTAAGACAGTTCATGGGCTTCACCAATGGTGGGAGCAAGATCCGGCCCTGAGGGCAAATTGGGAAAGTTGCTGCATTAGGCCCTGCACTGAAAGCAAAATGGTAAAACTGTTGAATTAGGTCCTAGAATAATGAATTGGTTTCATTAAATCTGTTCAAGTGATCTTGAACGCGGAACCCCCTAACAATCCTTTTCCATTTTGTTCTACTTTTGTGTTTTTTTGTTTTCTCTAGTTTTCCTTCCATTTTGTGTTGCTCTCCCTTCCCCGTTTTTTTTCTTTCTGTTCTTGTGTTTGATCTTTTTTCATGTAACTGTTTATATATATGTTCTTAAAACTACATTTATGTTTACACAACCAAGATGATTTGATATTAGAATCGTATAGTAAAAGTTATAAGTAATTAGCCAAAACCATACCACATTTATTTTAATATATGATATTTAAAATTTACTAGAAAGAGCTAATTTGTGCACTAGCCATATTTTGTCTAAAATTAACCATGTATTAATAAAAAATTAAGTGAATAACACTTAATATACAATTTATATACGAGTGAATACCCATTTGTAACCTCTTTGGTAAAGAGGACATAAAAACTCTCTCTCGACTCTTCTTCAACCCTTCTCTCTCTCTCTCTTCTATGTGAACAAAGAAAATACTTATAACCCTGTCATATTTTCTTCTTCAATTTGTTTTGTTTTGATCTCGATAGACATGGTTGGTTCCATATGGTCGGCTATTTGTTATTGTTACTATAACCTGATATTTTTCTATATATATATTTTTTGACAACCCTGCTATTTTTTTCTATGTACAAGATCAATTCGACGACAAAAAAAGATCAATTCATGGTTTTTGATACAAATTTTCTATATATTTCTTTGATTGACAATTTGTAGATAAAATAATTGTTGATACACTTTTGCACGTTTCAGTGTTAAAGAGATGGTCCTATTTGCACAAAAAAAAGAGAGAGAAGATATGGTCCCATTAATGTCTCCAGATGACCAGATCCATAAAATTTCAATACCCACAAGAAGAAGATGGCCATCTCATCTGTACAAAAACTCAGTTTCTTCCATCAGATTCATTTTCAGAACTCGACTAGTTTTTGATAGATCTCCAAATACCAAAAAGGAGTATGTTGTCTATCTTTCCTTGTTCATTGATTTCAGTTTTTCTCTAAACAAATTTCTCTCCTAGCGATATACTATAACAAATTTACCAATTTTGATGTTTTTTTGTGTGTTTTTGTGTGTGTTTTCCTCATTTTCTCTGCATTCATCAAAGAAAAGTGATTGATGATGATAGACGCAAGAACTATTAACATTTCTTTACAATATGTATTAGATGATCAGGTAGAGAAACAATGGAAGAAGAAGATGATGATATGGTCAAAGAGGGGCTAATGGCCTCTCAAAGAGAGATCTTCAGCATTTCTGGTCCCGTCCATTTAACCTCCATTGATTGGTATTATCTAATTCCATCTCTTTCATTTTATTGCAACCACATCTTTTCTTCCAAATTTATTTCACAGCAAAAAACTCATCACTAATCAGTTTTTTTTTTGGCTAATTCAACGGTTTAGCCATAGTCAACTATCAAATTCTTTATTCTTCAAACTTCCACACCATACATATACAGTATTCTACATTTAGCCAAAAAAAAACAAAAAAAAAAAAAAAAACTAAAAGTCAACGTCATTGATAGGAACAATTCGTACCATAGAACCTCGGTGGCATCATGTTTGGTACAAGCAGTGTACACATTGGAACGAGACAGACAACAAAACCGGATTGGTCTCAAGTCACAAGCCAATCATTGGTGGGAGTTTTTCAACTTCACTTTAGCCGAAACCCTAATCGACCAATCAGATGGCTCCATATACGGCGCCGTTTTTGAGTACAAACTCTTTTCCTACAATTATTACCATAATACCCCTCATTCGAAAACGCCTCCTCGTCACGTGATCGCGTTCCGCGGCACGATCATGAAGCGGCACTCTCGGTCACGTGACCTTAGGCTCGACATACGCTGCATCCGCGACAGCCTCCACGACAGCACAAGATTCGTGCATGCCATAGAGGTGATCCAAACATCGGTGGCTAAAACCGGCAACGCAGCCGTATGGCTCGCCGGACATTCTCTTGGAGCCGCCGTGGCTTTGCTCGCCGGAAAGATCATGACGAGATCTGGTTTCCCTCTCGAGTGTTACCTATTCAACCCTCCTTTCTCCTCTATTCCGATAGAGAAGCTAGTGAAGAGCGAGAAGCTTAAACATGGTGTTCGATTCGCCGGAAGTCTAGTCAAAGCCGGAGTAGCTATCGCCGTCAAGGGTCGCCACCATCACAACAAGGTACTCTTATCCATTAATTATAAACTAAATGTACTTTTAATAAGTTCGTGAATTAAGAAAAAAGTTAATCTGACGACATTTATTGGACCACGGTTGTCTCAGTGTAGTTTACTAGTTTGTCTTAATTAGTGTCTTGTGTATGGATATTATAGACAAGAAAAAAATGCATGTTATTGACATTTTTTACTAGTTTCTCAGTGCCTTGTGTCACAATCCAGATTCAAACTCTTATAATGCATGCATCATGCATGTTAGTATTGTTGGACATAAAAAAAGATACAAGAAACTGGAGGAAGGATATAATTTTGTTTCGATAGGAAATTGCAATTTTTGCTCTTTTACTGGTTCGAATCTGACAAGAAATTGGATCTAAATTATTGACAGGGTCAAGAAGACGATTCGTTTAAGAAACTAGCATCATGGATACCTTATTTGTATGTGAATCCGTCAGATCCAATCTGCTCAGAATACATTGGTTATTTCAAGCACAGAAACAAAATGTTTGAGATCGGAGCTGGAAAAATCGAGAGGATAGCTACGAGGAACTCACTCAGGAGTCTGTTGTCCCGAGGAGGAGGAGGAGGAGGAGGAAGCTCGTGTTCGGATTCTTCATCGGAACCTCTTCATCTTTTACCATCGGCGTATATGACGATAAACACTAGCAAATCGCCTAATTTTAAAAAAGCTCATGGGATCCATCAATGGTGGGATCCTATGTTCAGTGGTGAATATGTTTTGCACCAGTTTAATCAATGACTTCCGCTTTTGTTGCTTCAAAATAATGCTTGAAATCTTTCTACTGTTTTTAATTGTTTGAACTTTTGTTTTTAATTGCTATAATATGTACCTTGTGCGCGATTTGAAGGACAATATAGAAAAACGGAGTCAAAATACTATGAAAGTTTGTATGTTCGTCGAATACTTAAAGAGGAAATGTTATATATCATAGTCGACCAAAAAAAAAAGTTTGTAACATGAATTTTTTTTTTGCTTATTTATCTGACTCTCTTCATTAGAGTAATCTTATGTCTGTATTTAAAGTTCAACATAGAGGTGCATTGCAATGCAAGGAAGCATACTTACGTTATGTTATATTACAAGAGGTTAACATGAATATAAAAAATGTAAAAGGTGTCACTTGGCATGGGTCGGCCTCTGGTTCCGAGAATACTGGTCGAGGCAGCGATCCATAATGGCAGAGACGGTGCTGATAAACTCCTCTTCCGTTGTCTCTGGGGACACAATGGCCTCTGCATCATGGATGATTTCTTCGATCACAGATTCTTTCTTGAGTGTTTCTCTGCACATTATGCTTCCGATGGCAAAAGGTGTGAGACCCTTAGCAGCACCTTTCTTGAGAAGCATTGTCGAGATCCGGAAGACACGGGCGCATGAAGGCGGAATCTCCCAACCGTGGAATCTCAGAAGTTTCATGTCTTGCTCCGGGTCCAGGGAATTGATGTATTCCAATGTCTCTGAAGAGTATGGCTCTTTTGCTTGAGGCCAATATAGCCACTCGAATGTGCAGTCTTCAAACTGTAACAAATAAGATAGAGCTTTAGTCGAATATATTCTGCAGCTGATTTCAATTACTTTTTGGTTGAGATTTTGGAACAAAAGAATGAATGTCGAATTTTGTATATAGTAGACTCGTTTACCTTATTTGGAAAGCAATAGCCGTGGTCAATTGGAGTGAGCACGATTTGACCATCTTCTCCGTCTCGGCTAACCAGAATGTTGCCACCGTGACGATCTGCATTAGCCAGCCTAATGTCCAGAACAGATATCTTGTGAACCTGATCAACTGGGAATACTCGGTATCCCATATCTTCACAAGTACCAACATTGCTCACAAACATCTGCAATGAACCAATCTTTGTGTTCTCGGGAGAGAAACTGTAACCATCGGGATGGTTGAAATCTTTGTGCAAGCATGTGACCATTGTTGTTGGTGGAACTCCAGCGAAACCGGTTTGGTCATGAGGAAACGTTTGTGGTCCAGTCATGGGATAGTCCAAAATGTACGCTGCTACTTCTCTAAAAGCTCCTTCACCAACCCGTGTGCCTTTCTTTAGTCCCTCCCCGTCAACTGAAACAGGCAGTCCGTGCGGATTGTTCACAGCCATTGGCTCCTCGTCAATGGGCTTGAAGACAGAGACATATTTGTGTCCAGATGAATCTTGCATGAAGTACGCTCCCCCTGATCCATCAGATGATTTTATTGGGCCATTTCCCTTCTCCAAGCCCTCTATAGTGTCACTGATAAGCTCTTTGAGCAATGAAGGCAGTTCAGTTTCACGATTAACAACAACAGGCTCCACTAAGAAATCTTGAGGCTTTGCTTGTGGTGATATGTATCTTCTTCTACCATCAACTGAGTTGTGCTTGTGAGTTACATCTTCGATAGAAACCTCAAAATCCTTCCCCACTGGTTTTGCTCTGACTTTAGCGGATTTCCTAATTAACAAGTGAATCACATTCTCTCCTTTTTTACAGAGATCAGTGATGAGTCTCTGGTCATCTAACTCTTCACCATCTAACGTGAGTTCATGATCACAGGGTTTCCCGAACACGATTTCCTTAGAAGCTATTTTCTGCTTCACGTAACCAACATTTCTACTCTTCTCAACAAAGAGCTCAAACTCCTTCCCGCCAAAAGTCTTTACAGAAATGGCTTGGAGATCAGAAAGCCTAATAACCAGATGCAACAGTTTATCATCAGTAAGACCACAATCTCGAATATGGGAATCATTTCGAGCTAGCTCTCTACCATCATACACCAGCTTCTGCTTCTTCACAAAAAATCCCTTGATACTCTGAATCCTTAGCTTCACGGATGCTATTGAATCTGACTCCATGACCCGCATCGGGTTCAGAGATCCCGCAATAGCCAGGAATATCAGGATTGGGTCGTCTAAGTTCAAACCAAACCGTCCAAAAACACCTGGAAAGTTCACAACTTCTTCCAGGGCTGGACTAAGAGCTACACTAGCAACTAACATTCCAACTGTACACTTCTAACCTAAATCCTGAAGGTCTGGATTCCTCGGAAAGAAGAAATTCTAGGAGATCAACAGGAATAAAGGCTGAAATCCCAGAACTCAACCCTTATCTTCTTCCGTGTGGTTTAAAGGACCAAGTTCCTGCACGGATTCAGGAACTCTGAACTGAAGGGCTTTGTAAATCACATCTTGCCAAACGCTATTTCCCAAGTGTTCATATTGAAGTTAAGACAATCCACAACCACCTATGGTCAGGCTTTCATTCGAATTACGGTAGCTAAAGAGTATCTTGTAGTCGCATCAACTGCAAAGAACCTGAACGACCAATGATCACAGGAATCAGCACTGGACAAATGCAAAGGGAAATTTAAAATATAAAAGAAAAATCCAATTTGTTCACAAAGATCATTCACTATCTCTAATTAACCACAGCATATCAAAAATGTAAAATATTCAGATCAAACAAGCAAGATTACAAAAAAAAAAAAAGACGTTCATGCCAACCTCTCCTCTGGTATGGATGATGAACAAGCCTCTAATTTTATCTTCCCGGAATATATAAACCTTAATTTTTTTTGTTCTTCGTCTACATAATTAGAAATCTCTGTAGCTAAAATTAGCTCAAAAGCATAACCAAACAACGGCCACAAATAAGTTTTAAGTCAACGTCTTATTTCGGATTTTATCAAAAGCCAAACAGGCTGGCCTAAGTTTTGAAAGTTTAGCTAAGAAACAAAGTTAATTTTAGGTTGATAAAGGAAAGGATAAATTGGATTTTACCACTAATTCTCACACTTTTACATAAGAGAGACGTTCTAGATCAGAAACGCAACACGCAAAATAATATGGTTCAATCCACATCAACAACAGCAACCACTACAGTTCTCACTTTTCTAATTTTTTTTTTCTTATCACTAAGAGAAATCACAGATCATCTAACGAGCATCCAGAATAAGGAACCGCTACAGAAAATCTCAGAAAATAAAATTACTCACATTTCCCGATCATCGAACAGATACAACTAGTCATTCATGATCGGAAGAGACAACGGTAAGAAAATCGAAAACAACAAATAAATCGATTCTTCAGGGAGATCGAAAATTGAAAAAAAAAAAAAAAAATAATTGGTCCATACCTCGGAATCAAAAACCGTGAAGCGATGAATCAACCGAGCCGGAGAAATCGAAACTAGTTCGTCAAAACCTAATTTCCGCCAAGTATTCGAGAATCGGAAACCCTCTCCATTATCCCGAGAAAATTTGAGCGTACCCAGAAAGAGAGAGACAACCCAGTGACAAGTCTTCTTTGAACAGCGACGAAATTTGTGGGATCTATTTATAGAATTAGACCTCGCTGACTTTTGACGGAAGTTTTATGAGATGTCAAACGCCGTGAACTGCTCTCCACGGCTGATACCGTTTCCGTAACGGACGCAATTGCTTACCGTTTCAGACGACTCTACAAATTCAATAAACCTATGCGATCTCTTTATTAAAAAAAAAACTACAAAATGTATATAAACAATGTGTGAAGATCGTATCATTTTTTCAATAATTATCATTTAATACTATTTGTTTTGGGTCAAGATACTAAAGCTCACATTTAGATATGAAAAAGTGACAAATTAGAAAAAAATAGGCATCTGTTCATTTTTTTTTAGTGCAACCAAAGAATTCCATAAAAAAAAAATCACAGAATAAATATCTTGGTCGACAAAAATGATAACGATTCTCATATTTGTCATCATCGATTACAAATATGAACTTTTTCTTTTAACCACATCACTAAGCCTCTAGCTGTTGTCTAATAGATGGAATAATTAGCATAAAATTTAGATTTACCACGGAATCGGATCTTATAAGTTTTAGTGTTTTACCATTGAATGTTAGTGGCCAGCGCGGGGCCGTTAGAAATAGAAATCCGTCAAAGCTAACGGCGTTTTGGGGGGGACCAGTTGTATATAAAACCGCTACATCGGTTAGGTTTGGCTTGATTTGGTTTACTTTTCACTATACAGACTCCAGATCACCGATAAATAACCGGAAATGTTCTAACATGAAATCAGCCGGTTAAATTACCAACCTCAGAATGAGACTTGAACTTCCTCCAAACACAAATCCAACAGAAACCTTAGGTAATAGCCAGATAAACCAAAATTATTAACGAATTAAACCGTGTAAGATAGTGAACTAATACTTAAACCTATTCAATAGGAATGAGAGATATATCATTCATTATTGCTGGTGAAGAAGAAAAAAACAAGAATGTGAAAACAAAAACAAAAGAATTATGAAAGTATCATCATCATAAGCTCTCCTCTATAAACTCCCATATCCTCTGTTCCATATAAACACGGTCCTTCACCTTCCGTGGCATATGCCGTTCATCTGGAAATATCAACAACTCATAACGCTTTCCCGCTTCAACAAGCGCGTTCACAAGCCTAGCCGTGTGCCTGAAATGCACATTCTCATCAATCATTCCATGTACTAACATCAGCTTCTGCTTATCCGTCAAGTTCCCGACATGGTGCATCACTGAGCTCTTCAGGTAACGCTCCTCAGAGGGAAGGTCCATGTACTTTTCTGTGTAGAATGAGTCATAGCCATCCCAAGATGTAACAGGCGCACCCGAGACTGCGCATTTAAAGATCTCAGGGTACCGAGTCAAGAGTGTAGCTGAGAGGTACCCACCGTAACTCCAACCATACACCCCAATGTGGTCCGGTTTAGCAAGTCCTTGCTCGATAAGCCATTTGGCTCCGGTTACTTGATCCTCTGCATCAACATTTCCACAGTTATGCTTGATCCAAGATTCAAATTTCAGCCCACGCCGTGCAGTTCCTCTGTTATCAAGCTGCCAAAAACCAATGTAAATATACATATCAATTCTAAAGCCTCATCCTTTGAGTGAACCTTATTCAATACTTTCCCAAAGAGAGAGGATAAAGAATTTCAAGAACCTTCCAAACTAAGACGCCTCTGCTTCTCAGGTACTGTGTCCTCATGTCGACTGTATTAATCCAAGAATCATGGACCAACTGAACGCTGGGACCTCCGTAAACGTTGATCATCGTTTTATATGGAGGAGGACCAAATTTCGAACTGTCCGGTTTGTAAACGGCGCCGTACAGCGTTGTCGCTCCATCATTGGCTTGTATTTGAACAAACTCCGGAGGCTCAAGTTTAAGCCTTTTCAGTATCGGTGAAGGAGATGTCTGCTCGTAGAGAATCTTGAGTACAGTCCCGTCTTTCAAAGAGCAAAGAGTAACCCGTGGAGGCGAATCAACTGAATCATGAATGTCGACGAAGTTCCTCATCTCGTGATCAAGCACGACGGTATGTTTTCCTTTCCCACGTGTGAGCCTCAGAGGTTGACACCGAGGTGCATCCCCAGCTTCCAGTTTTGTGTAGTAAAGATTAGTGTCAAGCGGTCCATTGAGAGTTGCAGTGAAATAAACCAAACACGTAGCCTCATTTACGCCTGCGATTTGCTCAACCATCCATTCACCGCTAGTAATGGCTCCAAGGCATCTCCCTCCAGACTCATAAAGATTTAAATGTCTGAAACCGGTCCTCTCGCTGGCCCAAATGAACCCTTCTGAAGGGACTTTCTCCAGAGGAGTAAAACAGTCATGTAAAGTCACCCAAGCATCGGATTCTTCCGTCAAAACTATGTTTGCTTGACCAGTCTTTATGTCAAATCTGATGATTTTCAGTTTAGTATGTGACCTACTCAGAACCTGCGCCATGAGAACGTTACCAGGCATCCAGTTGACTCTACCAAGATACTCGTCCTCCATGTTGCTTCTTCCTCCGCACACAAGATTCATCCAAGTGGTCTCACCGTCGCCAGCTGAAGAAACTACCCCGAGACGGACTGTGGTATTGAGAGCTCCTGCAAAAGGATAAGCATGATCTTCTTGTGCCTCTGAACCAACCGAGCTTTTTCCCTGATGCATTATTCTGAACAAAGGAATCTGTGAGGAGTCGACTTCTGTATAGGCGATATACTTGCTATCTAATGACCACCAGTACCCATTCCTCCGATCCATCTCCTCCTGACATATAAAAAGTTTTCAAGAAAATATTTTCAGATATAACAAACGATTTGTAGCATTAAATATAACAGGGGAAAAGTTTATCACCTGAGCTATGTACTCAGCAATACCATGAGTCTGCAGCAACAAAACATATCAAAATTATCTTCCCGAGAGTATGTTTTCATGGACAAATGAAGCTGACAAGACCACAAGAAAAGTCATGTAACAAAGCTTTACTTACCAGACTACTTCCATTGGCACCGTTTGTTAGCTGTTGCGTCTGGTTCTTTAACAAATTGAGGACATGCAACTCGGAGTCTCTTACGTATGCAAGCAATAAACCATTAGGAGATAGACGAGGATCAATGATTGGAGAAGTGGGTGAATTAGGAAGCATGAGCTCCGGATCTGGTGATGAATAAAGGTCCTTCACATACACCTAAACATGGTCACAACAGTAACCCAAGCGGAGTTAGATTATCTCAGGATTCTACAAAAAGAATGTTACAGGTAAGAAAGACCACTAATGCAGCTGATAGGATTCAGACTCTGGATTATAAAGATACAGAAACATTACCTAATTATTATCATTGAATCAACGATTACAAATGAAGAACCGTTGACAAAATCCTAAGAAAAGAGCCCCAAAGTATCTTGGAGAGTAGTTGAAGAGATTTCCTAACTCTCCCAAAGCCAAAAGGCTCCTAACTAACCACTTGGCCAAAGACCCCGGATATGTTCTAAACCTATTATCACATTCTAGTGCCTATCAGCAGCTTGCAAAATCCATCTCTTTTCAAGTTCAAATACAGCTGGTTGCTCTAAAAGTGACAACTTTAATAAAACTGTCCAAAGGGTTTCAGGATCTAACAAAGAGAGAAGTATTGATAAATAGAAGAAAAGGAGTAAAGGAACAAACCCCGGCAGGTAAAGGCACCAACATGAATTTCATCTTCAAGTTTGTCTTGACCCATTCATACCGAGTTACTCCTAAGCCACGCTCTCGCAACCTCTCCCTTCTCAGCTTCTCTTCCGGTGAAATGTTGCTCTCATCAACTCCACCATGAGGAGGACTAAAAACCAAACTTGTTTCTCCTTTCTTAACATCAAACGCGTACACCCTCCTAGTCAAATTCTCTTCAGGGCTAAACAAGTAAGTGACCAAAGAGTCATCAGGGCTAAAGCTGACTGCGGTTGGGGCTACACAACCGGGTAAAGGCGTCTGAACAATATCTTCAACCGTGAAAGGAGCGTCCTTTTCAGGCATTTCCGCCATAAAGGAAATCTTTTTTTGCTTCTCAAAGGAATTTGATTCGTTCAAGGCCTCGAAGCATGAGATGTAATTTTCAACAAGCTGCAAAATATGATCGAGATATTCATTACTCCAAGCATCAAGCTTTCTTGATCACATAACAAAATTGACAATGTAATATCAACCCTTTGGATTGCACTACAGTTTGTTACATACACAGATACACACACACACAAAAAAGAGTTAACTTTCATATCCGATGATCTGATTGTAATAGAAGGGAAGATAAAGCCTGCAAATCAATCAAATTTAACAAACAGTCTGTTTAATCCTGATGGATAAGATTAAATTTGACCTCAATGCGTACAATCTATCACCGCTCCAGAGGATTAACATCGTCAATGTTTATCCTTTTAATCAGTATCTACTCAATCTCTACATTTCCTCAAGACCAACAAGAACCAATTATAAACATGCGCATGAACAGAGAAAGTAATCATGAACTGAAGTATAAAAGAGGGTCAATCGATGGAAAACCATACCAATGATTTTTCGTAATTGACCAAAAAAATTGTCAAAGAGGAAGAATGAGATTAGAGTTGAAGATGGTAAGGAGACCCAAAAGAATGAAGCTGGTGTGGTGAGATAAGAATCGGAGGAATCTCGATGGGAACTGATTCAGCTATCTGGGAGATACAGAGAGATTCCTCTCCGGTGTAAATTGTAATTACTGAAATTAACGGATGAAGCCTTTTTTGGTCAATTGTTATTATTATATTTTTAAGGCTTTTTTTATTTATTTGTTTTACCAATTTTTTTAATATGAAAAAAAAATACTTCAGAACGATCGAAGACGAAAAATAATAAGTTAGATAAACCATATAAAATATAAATGTTTATGATAAATTGATAAGCTTATGAACTGGAATTTAATCAATAATAAGCTAATTTAAATATTAAACTTTTGTCGACAAAAAAAAAAAATATATATATATATATATTAAACTTTTTATGTCAAATAGAGAATCGAATGGTCCACATAAAATGAAGGACTAAAAGTACCAAGGATATGATCTTCTTTTTTTTTGCTAAAAAGAAAAGAGTACCAAGATATGCAAAAATGTACAACACAAGACAAGTCCAAGAACCTTATCAAGATTGATTTTATTGCAACTATTTCTAAAGAGTAATTGCAATAAAGGGTAATAGATGTTAGCAAAATTAAGAGATATCTTTTGAGTGTAGGTCCTATAAAACTATTCACCATAAAAAGATTATATCACCCTTATTCTCCAAAATTTTGTTATCAGAGTTATCATGATAATTTTTTAATTATTATCAATAAATATTCTAAATAAATTACTGTTAATATACATATTATGCTGATATTATTGTTAATATTTTATATAAATCATGTATTAATATAAAATTGTCGTAATATTATTGTTAACGTGCTATATTTCTCGATTATTAGTGTTAATATTTTATATTTAACAAATATTATTGTTAATATGTTAATATTTTATTACAAAATTTTGGAATTATCGCGTTATAATTATCTGATATATTTGTTACCATTTATAATTATCATATATATATTTGTTAACATGTTAATATATTATATGATAACAAAGTTAACACAAATTTATAGCGATAACTTTCATATTAAACATAAACTTTCATATTTATAGCGATAACATGTTAATATTTTATTACAAAATTTTGAAATTATCACGTTATAATTATCTGATATATTTGTTATCACTTATAATTATCATATATATTTGTTAACATGTTAGTATATTATATGATAACAAAGTTAACACAAACTTATAGCGATAACTTTCATATATTTTATGTTAACTAAATAGTTATCCAATAATAAAAAATATCTTCTCTTAGATGAATAGTATCAACGATGATGAACAGTATCTACAGTAATACCATGTGTAAAAAAAAAACTAATGGCAATTTATGTAAATAAGTAAAATTAAAAGGATAGTAATGGATAAAACAAAAAATTTTTTTTGCTACTTACTTAATTATTAATTTATGAATACTATATATTTAATTTTTTGATTAACCATTGATATAGAATAAATTCACTCATTTCTAAATCCTAACTTATATCTCTATCGTCCACTTTTAAGGAGATTTTGTACAAAAAGATTCAAAAAAAGAAAAGCAGAGAAAGAAGTTGGGGCTTTTTTTTTATCTTCTTTATCTGCAATCTGTATTGGGTTACTTAAAAATTTAGTTTTTGCAACTCCAATTCATCGTCTTCACAAGATGAAACAAAACTTGGAAACGCCCCCTTTATGTCCCTACATTTTACAAAGAAACTTATCATCAATCAAACCGGTCGGTTTGGCTCAAGAATGGGTTCTCCTTTGAGCAAACATTTTATAAATCTTTGAAGTAGTCAATGTAAAACTCACTTTAGATACGGCAAAGTCATGTTTTTGATGAGCGACGGATTCTTGGACACGAAATCTTTCCATTCATCTATATCAATTCTCCCATCGTTCTTGCGATCTGCTTCGATAAAAGCCTGTGCATATAATACAACACCATCTCCTTATATTAAGATTAGAATCTTCAACATCGAGTTAATATACTATAGTGATAGATAGAAAAATAAACAAATAGGTAATGGTGTGAAAAGATGGAGCACCTTATCCACCATTACTTCAATCATATCTTCGGAAAGTATAAGTTCGGATTCGTGAAGAAGAGCGATTACCATCTCTTTCAGCTATACGTAAGAACAACACACAAAGTTATGGTGATACATAAACTATAATCTTGCAGGTTCCAAGAAAACAACCGTAAAATGGACTCACTTCTTCCCGCTCGATGAATCCAGTTTGCCGTAAATCGTACAACTTGAAAGCAACTGCAAAAATTCATGGATAAAACTCATTGTTAGTTAACATAGAAAGAACACTTTAACACATAGAATGAATGTGAAGCAATGTGGAGGGGTTTAGAAAAAGTTACATTTGATTTTTTCATGGACAGATGCATCTGGATGGAAGACACCTAAAGACCGGACAAATTCCCCAAACTCGATCACTCCATTTCGCTTCACATCAAATACATCAAATATCTGCGGATAAAATATCATAAAACAAAACGTCATTTACAAAATACATATGTTTCTTTTGTTAAAAATGTGTAACTTTTTTGTAGCCTGTAGGTAGTTGATATATACGTACCCGATCAGCGAAAAGGTTCTTCCGATTCCTATTTCTGAATAAAGCCAGCTGAAATTCTTCCTACAACATCAATCACACTTTAAACTCTAAGCCAATATATATATATATATATATATATATATATATGAATACAAAAGATCTCAAAAAGCAAAGCAGAGGACTCTGTTTTCGATAATGTTAAAGAGTATATTGGATGAAAAAGAAAGAATGAAACCTTATGAATAAGACCGTCGTCGATAATTGAACTGCTTAGCTTCATGAACAGTTCATACAAAGCCTCCACTTCTGCTACCGTGACTATTGTCCCTCCCAATATCAAAAGTAGAATTAGATTGGAGTTTTGTCCGAAGTCTATTATGTGTATTTTCTAACGAGTATCATATTAACAAGATCAAGAACTTAAAACTGACATGGCGTAGCGGAGGCGAGAAGGTTAGGATCCTCATATCCCGGCGGTCGTGTTGCCTTCTTCCTCTTCGACGGAGAGCAGCCCATACAAACGCAACTTTGATTCTCTCAAACTGTTTATTAGTCTTTGCTTTCACTCTACAACCAAAAATATACTAATCTTGGTTAGAAAACCTTTCCTTTCTTCCTAATAACATGGTGAATCTCTCGGTCGTTAGTTTTACTAAAAAAAAATTAAGAACACGCCAAATTTAATCGTGTGCAATCAATAATATTCAATAGACGTCGACGGCTATATGAACGATTATTTCGTTGGTTTATGAATAATAAATACATAAGATGTAAGTTGGCCAAGTTACCAATTAAATTAAAGATAGTTGTAGCTTTCTCGACAGCTATAATAAGCTCGATTTCCCCAAACATCAAAACACGTTTTGTATACTAATCGAATAGCCAAAACTAGAACATAACGAGCTTTTTCATATTTAATCTATAATTTTTAGAAACTATTCCAATAAACAAATTGAAACCGACACAAAAACAAAAACTATATATTCACATAGACACGACATCGACGTACGAACAGACGTATAGATAAGAGAGAACTTATTTTTCCCTCCTAGTTATCTTATCTGAAATAACAGAGATAACTTATCAAGGTCTCCTATGCTATGATATATATGCATATATAAGATAATGGCATTAACAACAAAGTGCAACACAACCACAAGAACACTTTTAAGCGACCAAAAGCATTTAGAGATCTCTAGAAGTAGTACACTAATTCAATACAGCCATGTAATCAGTAGTCATATGTCGGAAAATCATATGCACGATTTTATTTTTCATCTTTCTCGTACCGAGGCATCTTAACCAAAACCAAAATACAAAAACAATTGTTCAAAAAAAAAAAAAAAAAAGAAAGACAACATCTTGTTACTTTCTTCCATAATTGTAGGAAATTTTATGTATATAATTAAAGAAATAAAAAAGAAAGGGGTTTGATTACACTACTGTCCATAGAATATATTCAGTATTCCCTCAAGATACAATGTCAGGTATGGAATATTGAGGACCCTATACAAATACATAATCATGTTCAAACTCAATATATAAGTAATATCTAAATCCAGATGCAGCGTTTTCATCTCGTTATCTGTAACGACAAAACTGTCCAATATTTTGTTGCTTATTCAAACCGGCCATGCAGTCAAGAAAGATGACGTTTGTTCATTAATTAATATCTCTACAAGTATTTTTTTAAAGGTAAATTTAAATACAACTTGCATGTGTTGACTTTTAATTATTTGTTATATATATATAAATTTATTTTCTTGCACGGTATTCACTCAAGATACAATCCGAAGGTACGACGAGTCTTTGCTTTAAAATTGATTTCTAAGTAAACACCCACCTACCCCCAATTCGATAACCTGGTTTAAGCTATATACCAAATCAAACCAAGCTAAACCGCACAGTCTCTCCCCTTAAAATGATTGGACATAACGGAACTGAAACCAAAGCAAAACCATATTCCATTGGATTATAAAATGGAAACTAGACACTCAATTAGATGGTAATATAAAATTTCAAACGGTTCAGTTCATCCCACCTCGCTATAAAACTCAATATAACCGGATTAAAAAAAAGGGTTTGGTTTGGTTTGTTTTTATTTTTAAATAAAATTAAACCGAACTACAACAATAAATCTTATAACTAGATTCCTTGAGAACCGGACCTATTTTTACCCATTTTCTTCTTTTTTTTGAACAAGACCTAGAAAAACCCAAAAAGGGGCATAAACTTCAAATTGTGAAGCCTCCATTTTTGAAAATTTTTTTTATAAAAAAAAAATCGTTTAGTCTGATTGGATCCTTGAATGTGATTATGTGTGGATGTTATCAAAAAAGCCATTGGAGAGAGAAGAAAGATTTTCTCAGCAGCTTCCGTTAAAAAAAATCTGTTGAAAAGTATTTTCTCGGGGAAAAAAGATTTACAAATACAAGCAACACAGTTGCATTTTGCCAGGGTCAACCCAAGAAAGAAAAAAAATAAACTAACCGAGGATGTGTGAATCTCTGCTCTTCTCGCCTCTTCGCTTCTTCTTAGCCTCTTCGCTTCTTGATCCTGAAAAATTGTGTGGGAGAGGAAAAGAATGGAAGTAATTAAATAGTGTGTTGGGTTTCGCAACACCGGTTCGGTTTTGTATCTATCCGTGCGTGGTGGATGGATCGCGATGTGATGTCATTTTCCAAAATTAAATTGATATTTTCTATAAATCATATATATTGTAAAACGGGTTATAAAAATATGTATTTTTATCAACCCTTCCTTTCCCTTTATGACAAAACTTAAAAAGGTATACTATTGTTTTGAAGCCCCACCGTACTTTTCTTTTTCCTTTCTTTTATGACAGATGATGACAGATGTGAATGGTGACAAATAAATAAAAAAGATTATGAAATTTTTTGAGTATTAAATTTTTTTGAAACCAATACTGTTTAGCCTAATAGCTAATAGCCTACTACAAATTATGTTTAAAATGCTGACAATATTTACTTAAAACAAAAAAATTCTCGGGCTTGGAACTGTTCAGCTCATAAAATACAAGAGCGCTTTGGCTCATTCAAATGTAGATTCCTCTTACACTTTCTTGCAACAAAAAGACATGACAACACTAAGGCTACATGTAACATGTGCCTACTTTTTCTTACCCTTCATCATGATCAGTTTTTCTTTGCTTTCTTAAACATATATGATTTTGTTTTTGTCTCAGGTTAATTTAAAGTATTTCTTTCGATATTATAGTCGACCCATCTTGTCATTTACTTTTTCAATTTAACAAAAATTAGGTTGTGATATCCATCGGGTTCATTAATTACGCATACAGCCTATAGATTTCCTTTATTTTGTTGTCGGTTGAATGGATGCGTAATAACCGAGCAGTAGAAAGGTGGTTTCACTATGTTGGAGAATAACTATGAAACTGTTGCGAAAAAACATTGACTATAGCTGTGGCTAATTTTAAGTTTTGTATTTACCTATAGGCTTTCAACTTAACAAGAGATAAAGTAAAATGTTACTTTTAATTTGTACTATTAAGCCTTACAATGCTGTCATTTTTAGATATCATCCATTTAGTTGGAAACTTACAAGACTGAACCGACCACTATCCAGATTATATTCACAACAAAATATCCTTAAACAAAAAACAATGAAAACAAAACATTGAGAACCAAAAAACAACCCAAAAAACCAAACCGATTACCCGAACTCGCAATACCAACTAGTAAGCCACAATGTTTAATCGTTGTGCTCGTAAGTCCCTTTAAGGCGGATATTCTCTGAGTTAGTCCTCAAAAGAAATTTTTGTTGTATTGTCAAATGTTTCATTAGTCTCCTTCAATTTCTTCTCTAACTTACACAAAGAAAACCTGTCCTCCAGTATCTTCTCTTCCACCATTCTCAGTCTGTCTTTTGCTGCTTCTAGTTGTCTCAGCTTCTCTCCTTCATTTTCCGTTACTGTTATCGGGAAATGAATTTCCGTTTTGCTGACACCCAAAAAAAACCATTAAACCAATGATCATATCAACATCTTCAGTCACATACCCAAACTTTATCTTGGAAAACAAGAAACGAAGATTAGGGTTCAAGTTTCGAGCTTTACTGTCAAAAAGCAAGAACTGAAATGGAAACGAATTAAAAAAATCTCAAGTACCTGCACCCAGAATAAAGAAATCCGTTTCCTTTTGCGATAAAACCATCTAAAGATACTGCACCACCACCATGAATGTGTGGAAGAGCTTCTACAACATGTGCTTGGGTCTCGTAAACTTGTAAATTCCCAAAGAGACCATAATACAGAGTCTCTCTAAGCCCGTGACCCGCATATGTTTTTATGTGCAAGTCCTCAGGAGCTAGATCAATCAAATTCACTGCATAGCCTTTGAAACCCGGTATAGGTTCCCCATCGGGCAGCTTTGGATCATCCATGGCTAATTTCCTCTGAGGATCGTTCTCCACAAGTCCATCAATCCAAGGTCTAAACATCACCAAAATACACATGTAAGTCTGTCAACAGCGTTATTAAAGGTTTTCCTATCAAAAAGTGTTACCTGATTGCATCAAGACATAGAACAAGAAACCGATTGCTTATCGATCTTCCGAGCCTAGCTGCTTCAGTTTGAAGCCTGAGATACTCAGCACTATTAGGTACAAATCGTGACGATCTGCATACCAAAGCTAGCATTGTGTCTTCTCCCAAATACTCAGACAATACCCTGTCATATTCATACCAAAGAACTTGAGATACTCAAGCTTTGTCCCGAGTTTAAGACAATATAATCATAGGAAAAAATGTGGCTATAAATTGATGTCGCACCTGCTAAGGGAAGTGGAGTCAACTGTAGCAAGCGTCACGACCAGGCCAAACACTCCTTTCTTCGACAAAAACAGAGACCTCGGAGACGGAGCATTTCGGTACAAAGAACAGAAAACCGATGCAGCAGTGTCTTGATGCATCTCTTCGATCTTTTTCATGATTATTTCTTTGGTCGATAAGCATTCTGGGAACGCAGCACTGAGATGTTCCAGAGAAGCTGAGACATGGAGGCAACATGAGTAAGACTATGTTCTATCAAACATTTTGTGAAAAGAATATCCAATCTAAACCAAAATAATAGTTACCTTGCAAGGTACGCAACTCTTGCTCAGCATGTTCTTTTTCAACTTCCAAACATTTTAGACGCTCATATGTTTCCGCTCTGCGTTCGATGTAACTACTGAGATTTGCTTTTAGCATCTGCACGAAAAGGAGCATTTTCACACACAAGGCCGAGGCGAGAACTCCGAATACAAGTTGGATCTTTCTTGAATTCATTATGCTTTCACTTAGGCATACATAAAAAAGAAAAAGATCAACAAGTGTGGCTTAAAAAGTGATATATGATCATACCCCAGTGTACTGTTCCATATCCATTGGGCTAGTTTGGCTACTGAGAGCCAATGATGACACTGTCCTCATGGCCAAAACTCTACACTGTGAGCTTGGAGTCTCTTGAGTTGGAGTCACCAATGGATTTGTGGTTGAACCCATCTTTGATTGAGGTGTAAGGCAAATCCTTGGATAAGGTGTTGAACACCCAGCTTCATCAATTTCAAATGTTTGAGGAGAAGTTAACTGAATCTGAAAATCAAGGAGTGAATATCAAGAGGGGTTGTTATCACTTATCAGAAGCAACATGCATTTTCACCTCACTGGTGTATATATATTCAGAAAATAATACCTTTAAGATCATATGAAGCTCGGGATACCTAGAATGGAAAACCTTGAAGGAGAAGGCACCCTCTGTCTCAGGCAGAGAGAGAGAAGGAATTTTGCAGGTACCATGGAGAAAGGCATATCTGACTCCACTCTCAACGCTGCTTGACTCGGATTCAATGCTCATTGTGTGGGAACATCCGGATTTTTCGTCATCATGAATACTTGTATCCAAAGAACCATCTGATTCCGTAACTTTGAAAATGAGGTTTGTAAGATTTGAACCAGCAGTACAGTACTCGGGCAGCTGATCAAAACAATCAGTTTCAGAATGAGAAAGGATTACAAAACATGACAAGTGTGTAGGCAGAGAGACAGAACTCAGAACAAGAGAAACAAACTCAGATTCCGTTATTGAAACAATGTAACTGTTGTTACAGTTACAGATATTTACCTTTGTTAAGAGCACGAGCTCTCTTTTCTCAATAAGAGACTCTTTCTTGAAGATCTCTTTTTTGCCAGACATAACAGCGAGTGAAACTACAGAGAAACAAATATATTATTAGACAATCAGATGATATATTCATTGTTACATCTTACAAAACAATGGCACCAGATGTTACCAGATTTTCCATAGCCTGCTGTGACTTTGAGAATTCCAGACAGATCAATGCAGCCATGACTATCAACCTATGAAATGATCGAAGAAATTCAAAGAAAACTAATGTGGATCCTAGATAATTATTATCCACTGCATACATGCAAAACATTGGAACCGTTAGTAACACGAATTGAAGCAAAGAACCTTCACATACCTTTCGGTTTAAGCCCATCGAGTTCGAGTCTTGGATAGAATAGCCATCAATACAAATCTTAACATTGGTACCTTCTGCAACATGGTTATTATATCCATCTAACATCTGCATAAAAAAGATTGTTCTCAGGGTGATTTGATTGAAATATTGAATACTAAAAAATCACATGCCTAGACCTTGATTGTATATATATACCTGCAAGATATAATCTTCAACAGTAGAACCTGGAAGCAAATTTTCCAAAGCCTGTGAATTATTCTCGACAACACGCTTCAGAGGCCCAGGATTAACTGACATATGAAAAGCTCATTAGGCAAAAACATCAACCTACTCAAACTCTACTGAATCAGGTTATCTTGAATTTCAATACCTATCCTGCTGTTGTCAAATTTTAGTATAGAAAGAAAGCACATGTTACAATCCATAATACATAGCTAGAAGTAAAGTTCAATTGTCTCAGTTCCTTAAGCAAAGCAGTAGTTAAGTGTCTCCCACTACAAGCTTACCTTTACAAAATCAAAACATTAGGCTTACCTTTACAAGCAACCGAGACAGAAAATGGTTCGTCCTTTGAGCATATCTCTAAGGTTGCTTTATAATCTGGTCTGATCTGATCTAAACCATCAGTCTCCACGAGCATATTCTGCATTAGTTTTAAGAAAAAATTGGAAAACTTAAGAGTCAGCTGTGGAAATTTGATTAGTGCTTGAATAATGGAAGGAGATAAATACCTTGACTTTGAGAATTCCACGGTCAATCAGGCTGGCGTCAATCTTTTCAATGGGGACTTCGAATCCCTGGCTGGCTTTTAGTTTAACTTCCAGACTTGGAACACAAGTGAATGGTATATGATTCTCATACTCATCCAAGCAAGCGATAGAGCAAGGAGGAAGAGACGATCCCACACTGTAGATACACACATTATATCAAATGAAGGAACAAGAGAAAGGTGTAATATGTTTACATTTATCAATCTTACCGGACATTAATGGTCTCCTGGTTACTAGCAAGTTTCCAACTTCCCACCTTCGAAGATGATTTGACAACCACCTTTTTCTTACAAGTAATTGAATTTCCCTGAAAAAAGGAAAAAAATAATTTTAGATTATATGATAACAAAAATGGCAGGTAAAAGATCCATAGCGTTACTTACAACAGAGAATGAAAAATTGTAAGTCCCAGCTTTCTTGAACATGGTTGGGAACTTGGACTCAAGTGGAAATATGTAAAGACCATGAAACCCTCCACGTGATGTAGGAAAAGAACAATCCGTATACAAAGGTTCTGCATTCTTTTCCTTTGATTTCATATTGCAGTCTTGTATATATTCCACTTCCACGACCATCTCTCCATCCATCTTCACAATTTGCTTCTGATCCAACTTTTTCGACATCTTTGAAGATGTGAAGCAACCAGGTCTAACAACTGCAACAATCTGTTGCGGAGGAGTTTGTCCGGCACACATTGTATCAGCAAGTGTTGACTCCTATAACATAAGTTCCAAGGACAAGTGCTTAGTTTCATGGAAACAACAGTTTCAAAAGAAGGCCACTTTGGAGTCCCAAATATGCAAAACCATCCAAAACAATTAAAAATCTTTGTAGACACGTAACAGTCATTAAGGTTATTACGGAAAGAAGCAGTCCTACCCCATTAAGGTTCAATGCAGAGCAATCTCTGTCGTCTAGCAAATCGATTCTGGATGGATCTTTTTCCTTTTGCCTTTCGAGTTTTTTATTCCATTCGGTTTCATCCAGATGTACACACTACACAAAATCATATTTCAGAGTGAAGTTAAAAGAAGAAGAAAAATTTTGGTTTCAGGGTTAAGTGATTTACATTTCCAGAGTCTATAATACTGATTGGGAAAGATGAAGACTTTCTAATTTCCAGTCTTGAAATTCCTTTAATGATTGAAAGCTCGCATCCCTCAGACTCAGAGAAATTGATTTGCCTAGATAACCATAAAAAAAAAAAAAAAAAAATTTACAATACAACTAATGATAGTGTACTCAAATTATTCAGAAGTAGATAAAATATAAACAATCACCTGCATATAATCCGGGCATCACCTGCTTAAAAGAAACATAAAAAAAGAGCTCAATCCACAATAACTACAAAACCATGTTTCTCATTTGTAGTCTATATAGAAGTTTACTTACCGCCAGTTTCGTCCTCGAAATTTTCTATAAGGAAATAGTCAATAGTCGCATAGACATCGTTCTTGTGAGCTCCTGTACATGCTCCTTTGAGAATCTTGATCTTCTGTCCACGTTCCCATGACATCCCTTTTCTCTTCATTACATTGTGCACCCTCACAGCTACAAGCTCAAAAGCAGTTCAGTTACAAAATAAACGATTTTATACATTATCAAGATCATGAAGTGTTTGCAACTACATACCTTTACAATCAAGCGAAATGCCAAGAGCTTTGTTATCCAAAGAATCACATATAACAATTGCGTCATCTTCACCTGATGCATGTTCTTCATCATAAGACTTATGCATATCAAGAACCCAAGCCTGAAAACTCTGTTCCAGTTGCACGTAATTCATGCATTTTCCTCCTTTATGAATCACGATACTGACATCTGTAAAACCGAGAATTAATATCTATTCTATAGCCACAAGAAGAATAGCAAAACATGAGATTTTCTAAAACTGACCTGTATCCTTCTCTTTCAATTTACTACCAAAATTTTTCAGAACCAGAGTGAATAGGTTTTGGCTTGCAAGGTCAGTCTGCAAAAAAAAGCATGATCAACAATCGAACAAATAACGTACTGATTACGTTAACTAATCTAGGATAGTGTTTGGCTCACTTTTGAAGGCGATGGGCTAAACCCCGCATCCAAATCTGTAACCACCAAGAGTGCACATGAAACATACACTCATTAACACACAGACATATGTAAAATTGACTATGTATGAGAGAGCTTCTTACCAACAAAGCATTTCACCCTTTGGCAACATTTCTGTAAGGTCGAGGCTCTGGCTCCTCTTTCCATAAACGGAATTGATTTCTATATCACAGTTATTGGTACACACAAACAAGGGATTGGTCAAATTCTTTTAGTCTGAAAACAGAAATGTGAAAAGCGCCAAGCTGACCAGATAATGGGAAACCAAAGAAGACTAACCCAAGGGACTTCTGGGAGTAAACGACCGAGCCTTCGTACAGAAACACGACCAAACGTTTCAAAGCTTTGAGAAACTTTGTTCCCATCCTTCTCTAAGGTTTCCAAAATTGTATTAATGCTCTCCTTACCCTGCAACATGCAAAGTTCAGAGCTTTTAAAACTGTTCAATTCAAGAAAGGTCATGTTCACTTCATTTTGAATAGATTTTCATACGTTGATGATTGGAAAATAAAGAAACTTGAGTCGAGCGTTTGCCTCTTGTGATGTACTCCCTGCACGAAAAAATAGATATATAGCCAGACCAATAATATAAGATAAACGTTTTTGGATTTTTTGGTCTTCTGTATAAGTTCAGCATTCTACAGCACATATATGTTGTGCCAAAGTTTTCCTTAAAAATTCCGATGAAAACAGATATTTTATTCCTATGCAAATGGCTAGCAACAAACATGACTACATTTTTGTTACAAAAGACTCATACTTTCTCCATTCCAAACAAAATATATGTTCATTGGAAAGATGTGATCTCTGGCTGTTATCTAGAAAATGATGATGCAAAGCAGCTAGAAGCATCTTGAACTGTTAAAGATGTGATCTCTGGCTGTTATCTAGTACTCAGTACCTTTTCTTTTGTCAACAAATCGAATCTGAAACCAAAATTCATCACCCTTGGAGGAGTTTAGGTTGGTGGTGGCAACCTCTCCACCAATTACCCCAGCTAAATCTTTTCCATTGACCTTGAAAAAATGTACAAGAAAAATTACCAAGGAGAAGCAAATATTGCATCTAAGAGCAGAGTAAATAAGAATGATAATATCAAACCCGAAACTCTACAGGCGTTAAAGTCTTCCCCGTTTTGGAGATTTCATCACACTACATGTTTACAAAAGCAAAAATGAAAAACTCCGACCAAGAAACGGTAGAATAAAGAGAGTGTCACATACAGTATTGTTATTTAATATTAGCTAGATACCTGGATGTAAGGAAAATAAATATCCTTAAGTTTGCACCGAAGTTGATCTATTTCTGGGATTCTACCTTTGGGTTCAAATATCTCAACCTGGAAACGAAATATATTAGCAATTGAATGTAGCCAGATAAAGAGAAATTCATATTTCAGTTTTCAGAATCTCTAGTCCAAAAGAATCCACGAACAACAATATAAACTAACCAAAGAAATATTGGTAAGAAGTGAGAAAATTACAGAAATCCATATAAAGTTAGCAGCATAGAAAATTCTATGTACCTTTGTGAAGCTTCCATGAGGAGATAACGTAATTTCGTCATCTAAAGGATCCCTCATTCCACCATCCACCTTTAAACACAAAAGTTTAAATCCACTATTTAAGGAAAGGACTTGTGTGCATGACAAGAAATGAAGAAGGCAAATTTACAAATGAATAATTTTGTTACCTTCCAGTTTTTTCCTGAGTTAGAACGATTGCCAATCAAATTTTCTTTATTGAGTTGCAAGGTGAATACTTTCTTTGACTGTTTAGTCTTTGAAGACACCAAAGTACGCCTAATCATGTAAATGTCAAGTGAGTTAAATGCACACACAAAAAAAAAAAGCACATTCAATGGTCGACTTCAACAATGATGGGTGGACAAGAACTGAACACTCACCTTCCCAAATGCATACAAGCATAAGCACCTCCATATCCAAACATCCCAAAGAAAGGCTACATAGAAAGATAGTGAATCTTCATCAGATCAGTAAAATAGTCAGTTTTGGCTCGGATTGAACAATGTATTACACTTTTCCAAGTTCTATACTTATCAATTCAAAGATGTTTTGTTGTGTATAAAGACTCATGCAAGAAGAAAACATTCTGAGATTCTTTAAGCATAGTTAACTACCATAAGATATGGAGGTTTCCCTCCAATAGCTTTGGATTTATGAGATCTATGTATGGACGCCCCTATTTTCCCCCTGCACAAATGGTTTAAAAAAAAAAAAAAATGCTCAAACTTGCAGTATCAAATTGATTAAAGAACATTTGATTGTAAGAGTGTGTGGAGTTATTTGTTTTATAAGTGTCTTACTAATATTAATATTTTGTAATACTGGAAAAAGGCCTCACCATTTAGCAATAGAGTTTTCCTCGCTACTGTCCATTCCAGGACCAGAATCAAAGACTGAAATACGATCTGCGAGAACATCCACGCTGCAAAAACAATCACATGAAATCAGAAGAACAAAGATAGAACTCAGTCTTGATTTTCTGACCTGTAATGACAAGAACAAACCTAATCAGTCTTCGTTCTCCCGTGGAGCAAGACCACACAGCTTGCAATGAATTATCCTGTGATATAAGCAACATGAGAATAAACTTGAAAGCTAACACAAATAAACTTACAATAAGGCAATTCTACCTTTTCAGGTAATAGTTACTGAAACACTTACAATAAGATCCGCAAGAGCTGTGTCGAAGCTATAATTTTGAGGTAGTTCTTTAAGCAGATCAGTGTCGGGTGTTAAGTCCCACATATTCTGCAAAAATGGAATTTTTTTAATCATCTTCACTAAACCAACTTAAGGAGACAATTATTTCCGTAGCATAGTTGTATACAGTATAATACTGACCTCATACATAATGGAAGCTTCTCCAGAACCAGACCCATCCTGATCAAGAGATTAAAATTAAAGAAAAAAAAATCAGAATAACAAAATTAACTACAAATTAACACATAAAAACAGAACAAGCGAAAACAGAGCAAAAAAAGAAGAATACAACTCACATCAAGACGTAGTATATTACACCAGTCAGGCTTAAACATCTCAAATCGAACGGTTCCTTTAATCTTTTCACCGTTAAACTCGAGAAAAGACTTAGCAGCCCTCTCCCAATCAACCTGTTTCCTCTTCTTACCAGACAAGACACAATTTTTCCTAGTTTTTTCAGACACTTCTTTCACCTGGTTAACGAAATTCTTCATTGACATTTCGGATTCTGTGTTAGTGAGTTCGAGTGTCACATTTGTGCTGTTTGGTAACAGAACCTTGAGCTTGTAAAACTTATCTTTTTCTTCATCATCATCGCCTAGATCCAATACTCTCTTGAGCGATCTCTTGCTACTCATCTGAAATGCAAACACATGGTTCAGAAGAAAACCGACCATAAAAAAGATTAAAACTTCCAAATAACTGGAAGCACCAACTACTTCAAAAATCAAAATAAAATAAAAAGTCCCTTGATTTCAGAAGAGTAACGATGTATAGTTGTAAGAGATTAGCCATGAAGAAGAGGTACTATAGATTACCTTTCAAGGGGAAAAGGCAGAGAAAGAAAATGTAAACTCAACCAGATTGGAAGAAGAATAAGAAGAAGCAGAAAGAAGAAGGAAGAGAAGTGAGTGTGTTAGGATTGGAAACAAGAAGATGAAGAGCCGAGGCGTGAGGGAGTAAATGAAGAGTCTCCTCAAAGTTTATATCACACGCTTCCACTCACTAAATTTTTAAAATACAGGTTTTACAAATAAATTGTGATATTATTGGTTTTTTTCATTGGGGCTCGATTTCCCAAGAGAAGCAAACTATTTCAATAAGTCATGATGATGATTGTTGACTTATATCAAATATCTTTTGCTATTAACGTAGATACCCAAATTTTTTTTGTTACTAATTGAATTGCTCCCAATCTTTTGCTATTTACACTTACGTTCTGCTAAATTCATAGAAACCCAAGAAATTTGTTAGTTTACTGAGTCGCTCGATATGTGCCAAAATACACAGATCTTTTGATAAAAATGAGAGAAGTGGGATGGAGCCGACTTTTCTTTCCTTGTAGCTTAATATTAAATGAAAATAGGCATACGAATAACAAACATGCTTTGAAAAAAAGAAGCTTTTATAAACATGGGAAAATATAGACTGAACCAAACAATGCAGATCATCATATTCACAACAGACCAGCCCTAACCGAAATAAGAAACAAGTTTCAGAACTAAAATCAATGACCCCTATAACACCAAAACGATCACCTTAATCTCCATATCTTCTTATGTCCTGAGAGACTGTCATAGCTGCAAAATGTTGGTATTTTTTCGTTGTCTTCTTCAACTTTTTATGTAGCTTCCGCAACGAACCATTCTCTTCCACTATCATCTTCTCCGCCTTTCTCTTCTTGTCTCTTGTTATTTCCAATTTAATCAAAGCCTTTTCTTCCTTCTCTGTTACTGTTATCGGAAAGTGAATTTCTGGTTTGCTGTGACAACCCAAAAACACAAGAAGCAAAGATCATTCAACAGTCACAATAACCAAAGACAATATCTAGAAGGTTTGCAAGTCAAGTCTCGAGCTTTAAAGTCCATACCTAATAACTTAGATGGTTCTAAGGATAAAGATAAAGCAAACGTACCAGCATCCGGAGTATAGATATCCGTTTTCCTTGGAGATCCAACCATCTAGGGACACAGCATTTCCACTATTGATGTAAGGAAGCGCTGCTTCAAGATCCTTTACAGTCTCGTATACTTGTAAGTCTCCAAAAAGTCCATAGAAAAGCGTCTCTCTTAGCCCGTGACCAGATTTTGTTTGTATATTCAGCTCCTCTGAAGCCAACTCGATCATGTTCACAGCATAACCGACGAAACCCGGTATAGGATCTCCATTGGGATGGCAAGGGTTAACCATGGCTAATTTCCTCTGATGATCATTTTCCACAAGTCCACTACTCCAAGGTCTGCATGTTTTGTATTAGAACACCACAAAGCATTTGGCTAAGCAACATTAAGTATTAGCAACAAATCCAAAAAAAAAAAGCAAAAGAAGAGTCCAAATTACCTGGTTGCATCAAGACAAATTATAAGCAGAGGACTGGTTATAGCTCGTTCAAGACTAGCTGCTTCAGATTGAAGCCTCAGGTAATCAGCACTATTCGGTCCAAATTTCGATGATTTGCATACCAACGCAAGCATTGTGTCTTTCCCCAAATATACAGATAATGCCCTGTCATATCAAATAACTTGAGAAATTGAAGATTTGCCCCAGCTGTAGACACTGTGATCAGTAAAACTGTGGCTAGAAATTGATGTCACCTGCTTAGTGAGGTGGATGCAACTGACCCAAGAAGCGCTACTATGCCAAACACTCCTTTCTTTGACAGAAATAGAGACTGCGGAGGCGGAGCCTTTCTGTACAAAGAACAGAAAACTGATGCTACAGTGTCATGGTGCTTTTCTTCTATTTCTCTCATCAGTGACTCTCTGGTGGATAAGCACTCTGGCAACGCTGCACTGATAGGTTCCAGAGAAGCTGAGATGAAATTTACATGAAAAGGTGAGAATTGCCCGTTTATATTCGCCATTCTTTTGTGTTAAAAAATTGTTGAAAATGAAACGATGATTAAGTTTGAATTGTTTCTAAAGTTAAAGATGTAGGCAATGTTTTAGACACCAAATAAAAGGGGTAGTCTTTAAAAAAAACGAAAAAAAAACAGAAAGTGAAAAGGACCATCAATGCAGCTTCAAACCCCATTATAGACCATCAAATTTCAGGAAAAGAGTGTCAAATAAACAATATCTAATCTTCACTGAGATAACAATTACCGTTCAAAGTAGTCAATTCTTGCTCAGCCTGTTCTTGTTCAGCCTCCAAATATTTTAGGCGCTCCTCGATTTCCACTTGGTGTTCTCCGTATATACTGATTTTTTGTTTTAAACGCTGCAGGAGAGATGAGCATTTTTCAAATACGCCGTAAAGATGAACGTGAAAGACAAATGTTAGATCGTTCTACATACTGTATTGCTCTTGGTAGATGAAACAAAAATAAGATCAATATTTGTGGCTTAAATTGTGATGATGATACCTCAGTGTACTGCATTATATCAACTATGTCGGTTTGGCTACTGAGATCCAGTGACGATATGGTCATAACATCAAGCTGTGAACATGGAGTTTGTTCCAACCCTAAATTGGGAGTTGGAGTCAACCCTGTATATGTGGTTGAAGCCATCCCTGATTGAGGTGTTGTAGTCGTCCTTGAATAAGGTGTTGAACACCCAAACTCATCTCTTTCAACTGTTGGAGCAGACGTTAGCGGAATCTGATTACCGAATACAAGAGAATCAGTGTGAAAAAGTGAATTAACACGAGCATCAACTGAAAATCAGGAAATAGTAAAATAGTTCTACCTATGGTAGATACATGTTGCAATATATAACCCAATTCACAAATAACTACCTTTAAATTCACATGAAGCTCAGGATATCGAGAATGGAACACTCTGAAAGAAAAGACACCCTCGTTCTCAGGTAGGGAAAGAGTAGGAACTTTGCAACACCCGTAGACAAAGGCATATCTGATTCCACTCTGCATGTTTCTTGAATCTGAATCGATGCTCATGGTGTGGAAACACCCAAATTTTTCGTCATGATGGATGCTAGTATCCATATCACCATCTGAATCCGTCACTTTGAAGATGAGGTCTACGAGATTCGAACCAGCAGCACATGAAACAGGTAGCTGATAGAAACATACAAATTCAGGAAGAGAATTCAAAGTTTGTAGGAAGAGAGACAAGTTCCTGACAGAAGCTTGGCCGCAAGGTAGTAAACCATAACAAAAATAAATAAATGAAAAGAACCCACACTTCACCAAAAGAATATTTACCTCTGTTACAAGCCTTAGCTCTCGTTCCTCGATTTGAGACTCTTTCCTGAAGATCTCTTCATTACCAGACATAACAGAGAATGAGACTGCAGAGAACCATTAAAGACACTACACAATCAGAAAACAATCGTAAAAAGGAATGACACTAGATAAATATAGAAAATGAAGTCGAGATCATGTTACCAGACTGCCCATAGCCTTTTGTGACTTTGAGAATGCCAGAGAGATCAATGCAGCCACGACCATCAACCTATCAAAATGGTCAACGAACTTTAAAAAGTAATTGAAACGGACACCCAAATCATCTAAGAAACTGAGTCGTCATCCACAAAGTGTTACAATGGCAAGAACGGTATACGATAAGATTCACTCAACAAGTTAAACAGAGAATCCTATAATTTATTAGAGTAAGCTTCTCACACCTTACGGTTGACGCCCATCCAGTGTTCGATACAATAGCCATCAATATGTATCAGAACATCGGTCCCTTCTGCAACATGGTTATTGTATCCATCGAACATCTGCATGAAAATTATGGTCAACTTGATTTGGATGAAAAAGTGATTACTGTATAACAACGTGCATATACTTATAAAAATATACCTCCAGGATAAAATTTTCAACAGTTGAACCGGGAAGCAAATTTTCCAAAGCCTGGGGATTATTCACTGCAACACGGTTCAGAGGCCCGGGATTCACTGAAACAAGAAAAATTTGTACATATTACAATTTTTGTTAGTTCATTTTGTAAGTCCTTACGATGTCAATATTTATAAATACATACAGAGAACAGACCAACTCCTTGGTTTCATAACTATCAGTAAATTTAAATTTTCTCAGTTCCACAAAAGGTGCACAAATTACAGAAAGCTCCCGCTTTCATATTGTTTCAAGTGTGAATACGTCTCTAATGAGTCTTTTGTGAATTTTAATACAAACTTTTTCAGAAAGACTTATGAAGATCAATACTATAGAATTAAAGCTTACCTTTACAAGCGACCGAAACAGAAAAGGGTTTTTCCATTGAGCGTATCTCCAAGGTTGCTTCATAATTTGGTCTGATCTGGTCTAACTCATCAGTCTCAACAAGCATATTCTGCATTAGATTCAGAAAATCACGAAATTATGTAGACTTCTCCAAAACAATAACCACCTCGAATGGTAATGTTTAACTGCCTACACTACGAGCTGTATATAGTATATATTCTTGCTTTACATTAACCATGGAAATACCAATATACCTCAATTTTGAGAATTGATCCTCTATCTATCAGGTTAGCCTCAATGTTATCAATCTTGAGGTGGAATCCAGGGTTAGCTTTCAGTTCAACTTCCAGGCTTGGAACAGAAGTGAACAGTATCTGATTTTCATACTCATCAAAGCACGCAATTCGGAAAGGTGGAAGAGAAGAACCAACCCTGTAGAAACGCAATTATATTGACCAAATTCCACAATCTAAGATTTAACGTGAAGGAGAGTGAGAAAGGTTTGATGAAAATATATGCCATTTCTGTCTTACCGAACGTTGCACAGCAGGGACTCCTGATTATCGTCAAGTTTCCACTTTGCTGCCTTTGAAGAAGGTCTAACAACCACCGTTTTCTTGCACCTTATCGAGTTTCCCTGAATGTAAAGTGTTTGGAGAATTACATTATTACTCGGAAAAATCAAGTGGCAGATAAAACTGCGAGGTGGAATACTGTTAGATTAAATTCAGTGAATCATCCTTTAAAATATATTTTCAGATACAAAAAGAGAAAGGCGTCAAAAGTTACTTACGATAGAGAAAGAGAAATTGTAAGTGCCAGCTTTGTTGAAAAGGTTCGGAAGCTTGGACCCAACCGAAAAGATGTAAAGACCACTAAACCCTTTACGGGATGTAGGAAACAAGCGCTGCGAACACATATGTTTACCAGTTTTATCACTTGATTTCATATTTGTGTCTAGAAATTTTACGTCCATGACCATTTCTTCCCCATCCATCTTAACAATATGTCTCTGGTCCAACTTCCTCGACTGGTCCATCTTCTTCGACGGTGTTAGAGATGTGAAGCATGCAGGTCGGACAACTGCAACAATCTGTTGCGGGGGAGCTCGCCCAACACGCACAGAATCACCAACTGGTAATTCCTGTAACATATGAATACAGAAAACGTTAATATCTGTGATGAGCTTGAATGAAATATTGCTTACTGCTCATTATCAATGTTTGCACGCAAAGGCAGTTGATATCAAACTCTATTACTTAATCTGACTCTATACTCTATAGTTTATACTAAATTTCCTACCCCATCAATGTCCAATTCTTTGCAATCTCTCTCAGCGAGCAAATCAATTGTTGACGGTGCCTTTTCCTGTTGCTTCTCAAGTTTGTTAGTCCATTCGTCCGCATCTGCAGGTAGGCACTATACAAAAACATTTCTCAGATCAAAATCATTAGCTGTTTGCAGAAGAAGAGTATAAAAATAAAGGAGATGGAAATAGTTACGTGATTGACCTTTCCAGAATCGATTATAGTGATCGGTAGAGATAAAGACTTCTGAAGTTCCAGACTCGAAACTCCATCGATGATTGAAAGTGTGCATCCCTCCTTTTCAGGGCAATTGATAGGCCTACAGTTAAAGCTATAAGATACAGACCTAGCAATAAATGTTCAGAACTAATCAGACGGAAAAAATCACCTGCATAAAATCCGAGTATCACCTGCTCAGAAAACACATAACAAGAGAGATTTAGCACAGAGAGTACAACACATGGTTCCCTTTGTAGTTTAAATGACTGCGGATATGGTACTAACCGCCTACTTCGTCCTCGAACCCTTCTATTAGAAAATAGTCGATGGTAGCGTAGACATTATTATTGTGAACACCAGCGCAAGCTCCTTTCAGAATCTTTATATTCTGACCACGTTTCCACGACAATCCTTTTCTTGTAATTACCTTGTGCACCCTCACAGCTAGAGCCCAAGAGCAATGGAAGTATGAGTACCCAATTCAGACAAGGAGATAAACTTTAAAATACGGAAAGAAAATATTCATTAAAGAAAAGCTAATACATACCATCACGCAAAATGCATAGAGCTTTTTTATCCAATGATCCAACTATAAGAATAGCGTCATCTTCACCCGATGTAGCTTCTTCATCATGGGTATCATGCATCTTCATAACCCATTCTTGATAAGTATGCTCCAGCTGTGTGATGCCAAGTGTTTTTCCTTCTCGGTGAATCACAATTTTGACATCTGTAAAAACAAGAGTTCCTTAGAATCCAAGTACCAGAAGAAGATGAAAATTTGCAAAAGGATTTTAAGAAACTGACCAGTATCCTTCTCCTTCTCCGTCAATTTACTATAAAAATTTCTTAGAGCCACTGAGAAGGGATTTTGGCTTGCAAGGTCGGTCTGTAAAAAGCATGTACAATGATCAGACAATAATGTACTGAATACTTAAGTTAGGACAGTGCTTAGCTCACTTTGGAGGGCGTTGGGCTAAAACCAGCATCCAAATCTGCAACCATGGAGAGTGTACATTAAATTCATAAAACAAAAATAATAAAGCAGCCGTACATATACAACTGACTATGCATTGAGCACTTCGTACCAACAAAGCATTTTACTCTTTGGCAACACTTCTGCAAAGTAGACGCTCTGGTTCCTCTTTGCATAAACGGTATTGAATTCTACACATAGTTATTGGTAAACGCAATAAGTCGTATACCTTATTTCAAGCACATTCCAAGAACTTTCACGTATTCCACACCATAATTAGTATAAAAATGGCGACAAGAGAAGACTAACCCAACGGACTTCTGGAAGTAGACGACCGAGCCTTCTTATTGAAACTCGACCAAAAGTCTGGAAGCTTTCGGAAACTTTGCATCCTTCTTCTTCTAATCCCTCCAAAATTTTCTCAATGCTTTCTTTTCCCTGTAAAGCTTCCAAAGTGTTCAGTTCAAGAAAGTAACCAAAGGTAATGTTTGCTTCTTCAGAAAAAATTGTCATACCTGAATGATAGGAAAATAAACAAATTTAAGGCGAGCATTTGCCTCTTGAGGTCTCCCTGGAAAACAATTATATAGTCAGACTCCAAACAAAGAGATAAACATAAGGGGGTTGCGATTTTCCTGCTTTTGTTAGGAGCACATTTCAGCGTTTCTCTGCACACACATGATATGGGCTCTCTAAGAATTCCAGTGTAAGAAAATAGCGTATGTGTTTACCGCCCACAGACACAATTATGACTCATGTATCATTAAATTGGGTTTTAGAAATGTCTCCAATTCACCGCAAACAAGACATCTCTTCGATGGAAGATACCAACACTATTTTTAATAAAGACGCTGCTACCAACTACTGAAGCAGAAGCAGCCGGGAGCTTAACTGATAGAAGACATCATGATCTGCAAAAGGTTTTTTACCTTTTCGATTTTCACTGGTAAGAGTGAATCGAATTTGAAACGAAAATTCTTCACCCTTGGAGTTTAGGTTAGTAATCGCAACCTCTCCACCTGTTATCTCAGCCAAATCTTCTCCATTGACCTGGCAAAATGAAAGAGGACCAGGCAAGTATAATCAAGAACACTGAAGAGTAATTTATCTTGGAATGATAATATCAAACCTGAAACATAGTTATTTAGCTACAAACGATACTCTTAGTAATATCACACGAGGAACACAATTATTGAGCCAATGATAATAATGACAAACCTGAAACTCTACAGGCCTTTCAGTCCTCCCAGTTTTGGAGAGTTCATCGCACTACAGGTTGATAAAGCATATTAATACAACAGTGCAATAAACATGTGTTATGACAAGTTGTATTATTGATAGCCTAAGAATACCTGAATGTAAGGAAAGTAAATATCCTTAAGCCTGCACTGGAGTTGATATATTTTTGAGATGTCAAATTCTGATTCAAATATCTCAACCTAGAAAGAGTATAGAGTAGAAGTTTCAGATTAGCAATTGATAACATATCACAGCCTGCAGTTTTACGAGAATAAAATGTGAAAAGCTAAATATCAAACGGTGATATATAGGATGAACAATATTGGTAACAAACAATCAACATAACCTTGATGAAAAGCATTATAATTCTAGAAATCAAACTAGTTCAGAAACAAAAAAGTTTTTCTCAAAGAAAGTGAACTACTCACAACAACAAAAATGAATCCAAAAGGTTAAGGAGCAATGAATAAAACTGTTTTTCAGTCGACAATATTTTCGACTGTATTTGTTTCTGCATCTCTGATAATATTTTCGACTGTATTTTAAAAAAAAGGTGAACCTTAGTGAAACTTCCATGAGGCGATAACTTCATTTCCTCCTCCGACGGGTCCCTCATGCCACCATCAGTCTATACAAGAAGTTCAGAATTTAGTGTTTACGAAATATTGACAAGCGGAAAAAAGCCAAATTTAACAAATGATGAATCATATTACCTTCCAGCGTTTTCCCGAGATTGACCGGTTGTCAATCAAGGCTTCTTTCTTGTACTGTAGAGTGAATACTTTCTTGGACTCCTTCGTCTTGGAAGACACCAAAGTACGTCTATCCAGGGAAGAAATTTAAACGCAACACGATAATGCAGAAAATTATAGGTTAGGTAAACAGAAGCAGAAGTCGCACCTTCCCAAGAACATACAAGCATAAGGACCTCCATATCCAAACATTCCGAAGAATGGCTACATAGAAAAGGAGTGAATCTTCTTCAGATCAGGTAGAGATACAGAAAGAACAGTCCACGCTAACATATTTTGAGCGAAGGTGCTCAATTATCGATCACATATTTTTCAGAAAAAAATGTATAAACTGTAAGGGAAAATGTAAATTGAAGCTAAGCTATTTGCGACTAATAAATTACTTTGAGGTATGGTGGTTTGCCTCCAATAGCAGAGGTTTTTTGAGATCTATGTAATGAGCCCCCTATTTTTCCCCTGCACAATTTAAACAAACGTGAAAATGTTCAAGTTAAGCAGAGTATCAAATTGAGCAAACAAACTTGATTTAATATCATTATATGTTCTGTGTTCTATAGAACAATTTTCTCTCCGTTCATAATTATAACCCATTAGCCGCCCCTAGTATTCGTAAAGATTACCAATATCTTCCATGTTTTCTTTATAAAATTAAGAACAATCTCACCATTTATCAATAGCATTTTCCTCACTACTGTCCATTCCTCTCCCAGTATCAAAGACTGAAATCCGATCACCAGAAACATCCACACTGCATAAAAAAGTCACATGAATTGAAGCATCACACTCAATTTTGGTCATCTAACCTCTTATGACAAGTACAAACCTAATTAGTCTTCGATCTCCTTTTCTATCTTCAGAACAAGGCCACACAGCTTGCAAGGAATTGTCCTGTGAATTTGGCAACAGAAAATTAAGGATTCTAGAGGAAGTGTAAAAATTATGTTAGTAATGAAACAGTAAGTGAAGCTATATGTGAAAACTTGTCATGTTTAATGGGAAACACAATGTGTTTAATATCAGAAATCAAACAAGCAGATACGACTAACATGAATCCCTAGATAACCATAACTTTAGTTGCAAACACAATGCAGATGAAATATCTTTTCGATTTCTTTCTGTCCTTTAGCCATATGAACATGCTAACACAGAACACATATGATCCATAAGGCGTCCCATCTTTTAATGTAATTTTACTGAAACACTTACGATTAGATCCGCAAGAGCTGTCTCAAAGCTATAGTTTTCAGGTAGTTCTTTTAGAAGATCAGTGTCAGGAGTCAAATCCCACAAGTTCTGCAAAGCCAAGAGTAAACCATCACAGACCAACCTAAGGAGACAGATATATAGCAAGTGTATGTGTTTCAGAACAGTGATGCTGACCTCATACATGGTGGAAGTTATATTAGAACCATCCTGAATCAGATGTAGAAGTTGAGACAGAGAACATCAGAAGACGAAGAGAGAAATAATTCAGGGACTTCTCTCAGTTTTGTCTAGTTATTCTCATGAAACAAAGATATTATGAACAAAAAATAAACTCACATCCAGACGTATTATATGGCACAAGTTGGGCTTAAACGCGGCAAAGCGAACAACTCCTTTCATCTTTCCAGCATTTGACTCGAGATGAAACTTTCGACCCAAGTTCCAATCAACCCTTGTCCTCTTAGACATCAACACACAATTTTTTCTTGCTTTATCGTACTCCTCCTTCACCAGGTTGACAAAACTCTCCATTGGCATCTCAGGATCTGGATTAGTAAGTGTGAGGGGCACACTAGTGCTGTTAGGTAATAGGACCTTGAAGCTGTAAACCATATCCTCATCCTCATCATCATCTAGAATCAATGCTCTCTTGACCAATCTCCTGGAGCTCATCTGAAATGTGAAGACAGAATTCAACATGAAACTGAATAGTCTTAAATTACATAGTACGAGCACAAACAGGATTAAAGTGGAACCTAAACATGGAAATCATTGATTCCTAGGTACAGCAATGGAAATAGGCACATAGCTATTTAATGCTCTTGTATGAAATGGCTAAAGAATGGGTAGATCGCTATTGATGACTCATTAGAGAGAATCTACTAGAATCGCAATACAAGTGTTGCATCCAAAATACAAACTTTCATCCTTGCCTCTAATCGATTAAAATATAAAAGAACTGTGGAAGGCATACACTAATTCAATTTATTGGCTTATAAGACAAGTAATTAAAAGCTACATGTATACATACAAGCACCTACGTAATGAGAAATGATGGACACCGCATTGTCCATCTCCGTGAATATGAGAAGGAATTCATAATTTTTTGAGAAATAAAAAAGAGAAAAAAACAGTTCCATACTTCTATCAAAAGTCTAAAACATAAAAGCGTGTATACAGAATTGAATACTAACATAACAATGTAAGAGGTCAAATTCTGAAAAAGTGCTATTGGAAATAACGTCGGTAAAGATCCAAGCTTTACCGATAACCCAATAAGATAGGCATTAGCTTCTTCTAGAAAGCAAGCAAATTAAACTAAGAGAGGTGTGAAAACGAGGAAGAAAAAGACAATTTACAAAGACACTACCATTCAAGGATATAGAAGTAGTTGGGTATTTGCAATTATACCTGGGATAATTTATTAGAATATCATCCAACCTAAGACACCCCAAAACCAATTCAAGCTTCGAAAAAGTCACATACAAAATCTACCGATAAACCCAGTGACGCCAGAGAGAGGAAAAGAGTGAGAACAGTACCTTAGGCTAGTTAGGTTCACCTACTGATTTCTCTCCGAGATACCCAGTACACAAAATCTGACCAGGAAAAAAAACAGAAGAAGAAGAAGAAGAAGAAGAAGAAGATGATGATGATAGCGAATCAGAACGAAGAAGAGTAAGAAACACAAAATCAGAAACCTTTCTTGTGCCCAAAAAAATGTGGATACCCAACGATTTCGATAACTTTGTAGTGATTTGTTTTCCCTGCTTTACCAAAAAAGTTCAGTTTTTGTTTTTGGGGAAGCTGTAAAATACAAAAAATTCAGCTTTTTGCCAATCATTTTCTCCATTGCGATGAAGATGAAAGACACATTTCTAATTTTCTATCATCCAAAATCATTTGTTTCGCGAGAAGTTTACAGCAAGAGAAATCCGGAAAGAAAAAGGAAAAAAATCCGAACACAGTTTTCAGTGCATACCTTAAAACAGAAATCAAAACTTTGAAAGGAAAACAGAATTTCCAAGTTTTTTCTTTTTAAGTTCAGCAGAAAACAAAATATGTGAAAGGGAATACGAGAAGACAAAAAAAAAACGAGAAATCGATTTTTTTTCTTTCTTTTTTTGTTGAAAGCCTTATTCAGAAGAAATGTTAGAGTGAAAATGAGACATTTACCTTTCAATCGACTCTGTTTCTCAAAACCCAGAGTGAGAAAATGTGAGAATGTTTGTTCCCAGTAAAAGACAGAGAAACGTTATGAGAGAAGAAGAAGAGACTGAGAGAGAGAGAGAGAGGGCAAAAGCTTCGGGCACACGCACTTCTTCTTTTTTCCACTCCAATACAATTATTATACACGTCATATCACAATTCTTGTTTTGTAGTATTTGGCACATCATTACCCAAAACATACTATTTACATTTACATCTACCACTCAATTTGGTTCTGTTTTTAAGTAAATGCTTACACGCGTATAATCGTTATTATAAATCTGACATTTCTTCCATGCAGTAATGTATGTATTGAACTGATCAAAATATCTTCAATTTTCCAAAAAGTAGTAATGTAAAGCAAATAAAAACAAATCCAGCTGTTAACCAAATTTCTAACGGTGTTAACGTTTTTAATGGAACGAAGGAACAAAATGCTCTTATGAACCATCTAAATATAAAGCTTAACATTGCTGTACACGTAGTAGTAAGTAAGTATACACTCAAACTAAACTCAAAGTGTTACCTCCAATATCAACTAAAAACCTCAAAAAAGAAAGACCTTTATTCAAAGGATGGCATCGGTTTTAACTTTTTTGCAAAGTCCGCTTTGCATAGCCCAAAAGAAAGAAAAATAGATTTAGTGATTAATTACAACGCTTCTCTCACCGGTTCATGATTTCTCTCCTCCTTTCACTACATTAAATGTTAGTAAACCGGTATTCCTCTGTTTTAGTTCTGTCAAATGTTGAAGTCAAACCGATCTGGTCTAAACTAAACCAACCGAGCTTCCCGATATATCCTCCCACGATATCTCCGACAACGTATGTAATTCCGGAAGAGGCAACTACAACTGACGTATAATAAGCCGCTGATTTGAGATATGATTTAGGCGGTTCACGTAAGTTGGGGGGTTTTCGGACATAGACCTTGACCATACCGAGCAGAATCACGCAAACCAGAGAGACGGAGAAAACCGAGACGAGCTTGTAGTTCTTGATTCCGGTTTCGTAGAAGGAAAATGCGTAAACCAATGGAGGAATTAGGCCAAAGAAAATGTAAGACAATACCGCAACTAAAATATGCATCCGGATATTAGCACGTCTCCCCAAAAGTTCCTCGTACCGATCTTTTTCTTGCTCTGAACTGTTTCTTAGATCTTGAAGCTGCAAGGATAAACCGGAACCGGTTAAATCAAGAAACCGCTTAAGCAGTTTGTAAAACGTTATTAAGGGCTTCGAGTCGTTAATTACGTTTTGAGCAAGGACGATGAGCCCACCGGCCAAATTTGCTACCGCAAGAGCCAAGATATTCTCTGTAACAATCAAAATTTCATATATCAGCTATCATTTAGATTAAGCACTAATGAGATTATTAGCCAATAAACTAATCTTGCATCTTTTTGCTAAATAATAAAAGAAACACAAATAGCGTTGACTGGTGACATACCGGTGGAGGATCCGGCGGCAGAGGCGGAAGATACAACGCCGAGGCTAGTGATGGTCTCGGAGAGACCGCCGTAGACGGTGCTCTTCAGTAACTCAATGGCTAATCTTTCTCCGTCCGGTTTATTTTGAGCCGGTGGTTCAGTGGTGCTACTACTCTTACTCGCCTCTAATTGTGCTACAATGTATAAATGTAGATAGTGTGGTGTTTTTGTCGAAAGAATTGGATGTAACTTTAATGTTCTTCTTTAAATTCACTATAACGTACCTGGCTCATCAACCGGTTTTTCCCTGACATAATCAAGTTGTAAGATCCTGACTCCTGAAATTTAGAATCAAGAACCCAGGTAAAATTCGAAAATCAAGAAAATTCAAAGAGAATAATTTGAAATGAAACCTGTTTGGAAACAGTTTGATTCACCTGAACGGAGGAAGTGCTTTAGACAGGCCAAGCAAGTGAAAATAAAACCCTCCTTTTTGTCTTCTTGATCATCATTCTTATTACGAGTCTCAGGGACATGAACCTTAACCGGTGGTTCGATCTCCTCGATTTCGCTTGATTCATTAACGACATGCACATCAGATTTCAGGTTCGCAGACAAATCACCTAGCTTCTCATGTTTCTTTTTCTTGAGAATCACCTTTCTGGTGATACACGAGCTACAGCTTGGACAGTAAAGCTCGTAGTTTTCTTGTATCGCAAGCAACTTCTCTAGGTCTGACTTCTCTTCCGGCTCTGATGATGATCTCTCGCTGTTTGCTTCTTTTTCTTCTTCTATCTCACATTCTTCTTCTACCTCACCTTCTTCAGTGCTCCGTTGCCTTTCGTTCTCTGCATTTGGTAAGTTTGTGGAGTTCGACTCTAACCAACTATTACCGCTTTCTTCGTTTGAACCGGGTTCATTATCTGAACCGGTTTCGCTCGTAGTATCCAGAATTATTGGATCTGAATTGGAAGATACAGATGACATGCTTTCATGAACAGACGTGTTTCCTACGAGACCTATTCAGACCAGAAATAAACGAGCGATTGGTCTACCGGGTTATGCAAGATTGTGTCCGGTTAAAGAATTGGGGGTAATTTGAGATTTTCTAAAAGTAGCAGACGCAATTGGATATTGAAGAAATTATGCTTACACCAACTAGTCAACTACCATCATAGCCAAAAAAAAAAAAAAAATGAAATAAACTGATAAGTTGACTTTACCTTGAGATCCATCATCGTCCTCTTCACCCTGCATCTCGGTGGTGTTGTCAGGCGGCGCCGTCACCTCCGCCTTGAATCGAATTTTACCGGCGGGAACATTGTCTTTACCAAATCTATAGGCCTCGAGAAGATTCACCAATAAATCTGCATCAACAATTTCACTCTCACCAAACCAGTCTCCATTAACTGGTCGGTCCAATTTTTCCATATAGACGTAATGAAACCGATGCAACTGTTCTGTATTTCGTTAAGAACTACCAAAGATTTTGAGATATGAGGAAGATTTCAGATTTGCGACTTTTTTTTGGGCTGAAATATACACATTTGTGCCTTTTTATTTGTCTACTCGAATCATCTTATCTTATATATATATGCAATAAACTATATCCACGAGGGAAGCACGAGGCGTTAAATATTTGTGACTTTACTTATCTACAACGAATAACATCAAACTACTTATTTTTGGGATTTTGGTATTAGAGAGAGAGTCAAAGTTAACTAAGTTCCTTCCTCTCCATATGCAACTCTAGCCATTTTTTGTTGGGATTATTTTGTTATTTTAACTTTATTACAGGGTTAATATTCCTCAATTTCAGAAATAGTGTTATAAACATTGAATTTACACAATCTAGTTCCAAAATATTGATTAGTCGCATAAATTCATGAATCCAAAGACAAATAAAAAAACCTTAGGATGTATGGTCAACTCGATAACAAACAGGGTGGTGCACCCAACGTTACAGTTAGTTGGTAATTAACTAATTATGAAAAACATATTCAAAACGTGTAGAAAAAACACGACCAAAATATTTCTTATAAAGCCTATATTTTGCTACAAAATAAGCCCATTTAAAATTTAAATTAGAAACTTTGAGCCCATTGCAATAGCTCAGAGGTTGTAACTTAAATAGTGGAGCCCATTAATTTCACCACGTGGCAGAACGTGAGGCTTCGATTTCACATGAAGTCTGGGTTGTGATCTTTTTCTCCACGTCCTTAATTTTCGCGCTTTTCTGATTGATCATTGGGACTTGGGAGAATAAAAATAATTGGAGTAACACTTAAGAAATTTTATCTGCATAAATCGGAAATCCAAATAAATTTCAAAAAAGTATATTTTTGCAAATAAGCTTAAAGGATTCGAGTTATTTTTTGTTGACTCGAGTTTTTGATGTTCAAGAAATAAAATTACGTTTGATTCTGTTTCAGTTTTGAGAAAAGATACCGAAGTTTTGTCCTAAAAGATCTAAAAAAACAAAACAAAAATAAAAATAGACAAGAATAAAGGTTAGTGAACTATGTGGTTACTTTAAAGTTTTTGGAAGCATGTCGGCGAAGTTCGAAGGATTCTTTCCGTAGTAGATAGGCCACAGGTGGTTTCAATCCTCCCCAAGAACGACCCCAATTCCAAAAATTCTACATTCTCAATCTCTTTGGCTTTGTGTTGCTCGTAATCGATCAAAAAAATCTCCTCTTTCCATCGATCAATGTCTTCGCTTCAGATCAGCAGTGGCTCGGTTAGGTTCGAGCCGGTCGTCGGATTTAACCGGACCGGCCATTTCCGTCCGATCGGTAGTCTCGGTTTCCCTCGTTTTCGCCGGAGGTTCAGTATCGCACGACCATTGCTTCTCCGCCGTTCTTCCTTCTCCGGAGACAAAATCAGTGGCTCTGGAGAGTCTGAAAGTGATGACAAAGGTTTCATTACAGACGCAGAGAGAGATGGCTCTGGCTCCGTTCTTGGCTTTCAGCTCACTCCTCCTCCTGGTACTTCTACTTCATCATACTGTTTCTTTCAACTAACACTGAATTATTTATCCACTCTTGTGTGTACTTTAGGGGATTTTCTCAGTGGAAAGTCACTGAATTTTCTTTTCAAATGTGTGTGTAATACTATATTTTATGATTTCAATTGTTAAAAGTGAGTGATTCTCTTCAATTTTTTTCTTCTTAGCTTGTGGTCCTCAGATTCAAGGCTTCTCTTTCTCACCAACCATAACGTTTTTCAAATCAATAGTCTTTGATTTTCAAAATCAATCAATGCTGAACTCGATTTCTCTCCTACAGGTGAAGAAAACTTCAACACTAGCACAGAAGAAGCTACGCATCAAGAAGACAAGAAAGAAGCTATTGATGAAACAAAGATGGCTGATTTTGGTGTTCCTGGAAATAGAGCTGTTGAAGAAAGAGGAGCTGCGGAAATTTCGATTAATAAAGCCGAAGTGGTTAACAACATCGTGTTTGTTACATCCGAGGCGGCTCCTTACTCGAAAACAGGAGGACTAGGAGATGTTTGTGGTTCTTTGCCAATAGCTTTGGCTGGACGTGGCCACCGTGTAATGGTTGTCTCTCCTCGGTACCAAAATGGAACCCCTGCAGACAATAACTATGCTCGTGCTAAGGATTTGGGCGTCCGTGTCACCGTTCATTGCTTTGGAGCTTCTCAAGAAGTCTCCTTCTACCACGAATATAGAGATGGTGTTGATTGGGTAAACGATAATCTCTTCTTGCATCAATCTTTGTGGAGTTTTGGCTACCGCCATTGCTTTACAAGTTCTTGTTTTTTTAACTCATTCTCAGGTTTTTGTTGATCACCAATCTTACCATAGACCTGGTAATCCCTACGGAGATAGTAAAGGAGCATTTGGTGATAATCAGGTACTGAATCTGATTTCTAATTCTAGCTCGTCTTTTAATGTGTAAATGTTGTGTGTTTTGAGCTTATGTGGTTCACTAAAAGGGCCTCGTCTCACTTTCTTCTGTGCTTACAGTTTCGGTTCACGCTACTTTGCCACGCAGCGTGTGAAGCACCTCTCGTGCTGCCTCTTGGTGGCTTCACTTACGGAGAGAAATCTCTTTTTCTTGTCAATGACTGGCATGCCGGACTTGTTCCCATGTAACCATTTCTTGTTCTCTTTACCTTCTACTTTAAGATAAAACTGAACCAGCTGTGCAGAATCGTGTTTTGAGTTGTGGATTTTAAATCTTGTATATATTGTGGATCCCCTTTGAATCCAGACTATTGGCTGCAAAGTATCGCCCATACGGAGTTTATAAGGATGCAAGAAGCATTCTCATTATACATAACCTCGCTCATCAGGTGAAAAGCAGAAAGCATTTCCCTAGACCTCGAATATATCTCTCCTTGTGTTGTTTTGCTTGTTTAAGTTGAAGGATTTTTTGGCATTTCATAATTTGGTGCTATTACTGAAAAGGGTGTGGAGCCAGCAGCTACTTACAGCAACTTGGGATTGCCTTCGGAATGGTATGGAGCGGTTGGGTGGGTGTTTCCAACATGGGCAAGAACTCATGCTCTTGACACTGGTGAAGCGGTTAATGTTCTCAAGGGTGCTATTGTGACCTCTGACCGTATCATTACTGTGAGCCAGGTGATGAATCTTTTGTAAGTATAATAATGATTGCAAATTAGAGAAATGTGTTCTGATTCCTGCATTTTCAGGGCTATGCATGGGAAATCACTACTGTTGAAGGTGGATATGGCCTGCAAGATTTGCTTTCTAGTCGGAAGAGTGTTATAAACGGTACTGGCCCTATAAACTCTGTCTGTTATCAATTTAACATTTTTCCGAGCTGATATCCCTGCGATGCTTATCAGGGATCACGAATGGAATCAATGTTGATGAGTGGGATCCGTCCAAGGATGAACACATTCCTTTCCATTACACTGTTGATGATTTCTCAGAGAAGGTGATGTGAACTTTTCTTGAGTAAAAGGTGCCAAAACCTAGCAAATCCAGTGGTTTTTGTTAATGGTGAATTGACTTTTTGTGTTTGGTTTGGGAATTGCAGGTCAAGTGCAAGATGGCACTACAAAAGGAATTGGGTCTCCCCATTAGGCCTGAATGTCCTATGGTGTGATTTCAAAAGCCAAACTTTTAAAAAAATTCTTAACAGTAGTCTTCAATGTCATGTGATCAGGCTCATGTTAGCTTGGGAATTTTGACAGATTGGGTTTATAGGAAGACTTGATTACCAGAAGGGCATCGATCTGATCCAAACCGCTGGTCCTGATCTCATGGTGGATGACATTCAATTCGTAAGTGAGTCTTTTGTACGATTTAAGTGGAACGCGCACAATTCAAGTGACTGCTGTGATACTCATTTTGTCATCCATCTCGCAGCTGTTTCGCTCATTTCTTAAGCCCGAGGCAGATTTTTTTTTTCTTTTTTCTTCTTGTGTAGTGGTTTTCTGCATTCTGTAAGTGAAAGACATGTTTTTTTTAATCGATCTGTTTAACGTGGTTTGGTTACTTTTCAGGTAATGCTTGGTTCAGGTGACCCAAAATATGAAAGCTGGATGAGGAGTATGGAGGAAACATATAGAGACAAATTCCGCGGTTGGGTTGGCTTCAATGTTCCCATCTCTCATCGCATCACTGCCGGGTAATAAAAAAGAAAAAAAAAATCTTTCTAGCTTAGAGTCAAACTCCAAAAGGCATGCTTAAAACCTGTTAGATAGTCTTTACTTGATGTGAAGGAGTTATTGAAGAAAACTCAAAATTGCCACAAACATCTCATTGGAGTTTTGTTTGTTTTGTGAAAACCTATAAACAGCTGTGACATTCTTCTGATGCCATCAAGATTCGAACCCTGCGGATTAAATCAGTTATACGCAATGAGATATGGGACCATTCCAGTCGTTCATGGCACCGGAGGACTTAGAGTGAGCTTTTGCAAATCGTGTTAGAACAGAGAATGGTTTGCTAGTTAAAAAAAGGCTATCATTTATAACTTGATTGTTAATGTTTTCAGGATACGGTTGAGAATTTCAACCCTTATGCAGATGGTGGAGCTGGTGCTGGTACAGGGTAATAAAAATATTCTGTTTTTGAGAAAAATTGTGACAGATCAAGTTCAAATGATTTGTGGATCTTATTGGATCTTTATATTGTTTCAGATGGGTTTTCTCTCCCTTGTCGAAAGATAGTATGGTGTCGGTAAGTTTTATCGAACTATCCCATTTCTCTTCAAGATTTTTGGTTATGTTAATGACACTGTTTGTGTTTACTTACTTCAGGCCTTGAGGTTGGCTGCAGCAACGTACAGAGAGTATAAACAGTCATGGGAAGGATTGATGAGAAGAGGAATGAGCCGAAACTATTCTTGGCAAAACGCTGCCGTTCAGTATGAGCAAGTTTTCCAATGGGTTTTCATGGATCCTCCCTACGTCAAGTAGATTACCGGTTTTATCCGAACCGAACCGAACCGAGTTGGACAGGATCAGACCAGACTAATCAGAGGAAGAAAAAAATGGCTCGTGAGGAAATTCTTCACCCGGTTATCGAAAATCCATGGTTTTCAACGTTATCCACAATAAACCGTGTATTTATGTTCTATTATGTATCTTTATAAGTCTATGATTTTTGTTTTTGGGGAGGTATAGAATTTTTGTTTATGAGGCTATAATTGTTTCTTTTGTTGGTCATGGGATCTACCTTTCCCATTTTCATTCTCTGAATTTGATATCTATTATTAGGGAAAACCGATCACCAATGTTAAAGTATGATAAATTGGCAATGATGCTTTCATAACAAACTGGTGGGTTCGATTCTTCAAAACAACTAATTCGATCAAACTTGTTTAATGATAGATGGGGAATGAGTAGTAGAGCAGTAAGTAACACACAAATAAAAGAAACGTAAAATATAATTAATTCCTTTAGACGTGCTTACCTTATTTCTCAAAGATTTTGAAGCATCAACGATTCTATAGCATGACGCTAATTAGAAGGAACAACATTGATTAGACAGATTTTGACTAATAAAACGATGCTACTGAGAAAAATACCATCACTTAATTATAGACGAAACAATTCATTAATCTTATATATATGGTTAACATTTTTGAATTGGATATAGTGACTGATCAATCGATTATCTCTTCTTGTTCTCACGGAAATATAAATCGTAGAAACCTTTTCAGTTACTCAAAACATGTAATCGCAGAATACGTTTGGGAATTAGTCCAAAAAGGTCTCTTGATTATTCTTTGGTTTATTTAGTTGTTAATATAATGCTTCGTTGAAAACGTAATCGTTCGAGCACGCACGATCCTAATTCTCTATCATTACAGTAAAAATTTACTATACCATATTTGCAATTCACATTAAAGAAGGAGGCTTTCTTTTTGGCTTTTTGCTGACCAACTAGTTCACATTTGACTGTCCCTTTTGTTGAAAAGAAAAAGTACTGAAGATATTTCTTATAAAAAATTATACTTTAATTTAAAACAATACCAAATGGATAAAATGGATAATGTCTTTTGTTCACGGTAAAAACAATACTCATAATTAGTGAATCCTCTTACGATGTTACTAAAAAAAAACAAATAGTGAATCCTTTTTACACTATTCTTCAATTTTTTTTTGTAAATAAAATCGAATGTGTAGTGGGGTTTGTATTATCTTTTTCAGTGGCATTAAGTACTTCAACAACCATTTGAAATTTTTGACATCCTGAATAAGCTTTATTGATAAGTTTAATTCCCCTAACAAGAAATGATGAACATAATTAGACCGAGGGTTGCTCCGGAAATGATGGGACAAAAGTGAGCAAGTCAGTGGAATTGAGTTTTCTTGTGATACCAAACACAAACCCCTTTTTCCTCACTTTCTCCCTCCAATTTACTCTCTTTCGTCGCTCCGCATTCCTCGCTTTCCTCTTTGTTCGTACGTGTAACCTTGCAAAAAGTTCTCTCCTTTTTTCTTTTTTCTGTGTTTAAATCCCCATTGTTTCAGTTGTGTTTTTCGAGCAAAATAGCGGGAGGACACCAAAGCGAGAGGCTTGGAGTGAGAAAATCTCAGGTTAGTTACTTGTATTCTTCTGGCTGTCCCATTTCTGTTTCGTTTTTATCTAAAATTTCAGTTATATATGTTGAAAGATTGAGACTTTGGACGACTGTGTTCTCTTTTGTTTTTTTACCTGTGTAGTAAATAACCATCTTCAGGATAAAATCAGTAAATTCGAATTGGGTCTGTTCATATGGTAGAACAAGTTGAACCCTTCTCAATGTTCTTGATTAAGGGTTTTAGGTAATCTGGGTTTCATTTTGGGTGACAATTCCTTTGTTAGGGATTTAGATTTTTCACAAGAAAGAGCTGGAACTGGTCTTTGTGTGTGTGTGTGTGTCCATCTGCTATGGACAAAAGCATTGGAAATAAGCTAGTATTGATTGTTTGAAAGCAATTGCAACTTTTCTCACGGCGTTTTTTTGGTTTTTAACCAATCTGTTGTAGTCTTCTTTCTGGGAGATTCTGTTGATTTCTTACATACTTTTTGTAAAGAGTATTGTTGAAGATTCAGACAAAATCTGTTTATTTCTGATCAAACTGTTGGGTTGCTTTAGAGCTGTGGATTCTACTTCTTGTCTGTTTGTTATTCTTTATTAGATAAGTTAGCGTGTTGTTGTTACCTTAAATTCTGTACAGAATCATAAAAAAATTTGGTCTAAATTCCTTAAAATGCTTTAAACTGTTAGATTCTCTGTGATCTATGATCAAATCTAGCAGCTTGAACAAATCAAATTTCAGTTGCAGCTGATGATACCAAAGTCTTTTTAGGGTGTTAAGAATCAACGATAACTTTTTATTCTCTAAGATTCTTTTCTCTTATTCTTTTATTTCCATGACGGTAACAAGTACATTCAAGATTTTTTCTACGACAATGGTTTCCAATCTCAGCTACAATCTCACTACCTTATTCTACACTCGGAATATTAGTCTCTCATATATATTCCCAGTTTGTTTGTTTTCATTGTCTAAAATTACTTGCTTGGATCTTCTCTTGTCTTCTGATTGTCTACGTTTGAATCACTTTTTCTTATTGTTTGTTCATGTGTTATAAAAAATGTGGCTTTCAAGTATTCTTACAAGAATCACCACTGAAAATTGAGTTCTTTTTTGTCTTCATTCTTATTTGATCATTTCATTCCCACAGTGAAAGAGAGAACAAGATTTGAGATTAATCTTTGAAAGGAAAATGAGTGCAGCGGCTACAATGTCCATGCCCCGAGAAGCAACAAATTACGATGAGATCTCTATGCAACAGAGCATGCTCTTCTCTGATAGTCTTAAGGTAGATTCTAAATCTTGAAGTTGAATAACTTAGTGGGTCTTGTGATCATTGCTACAGAACTCTGAATTTTCTTTCAGTGTTTCTACGAGTTAGTCTGATTATTAGCCAGATAAGGATGTCTAGTAAGAATATTTTGTGAAATTTGTTTCACAGGATTTGAAGAATCTGAGAACACAATTGTATTCAGCAGCTGAGTATTTCGAACTATCCTACACAAACGATGAACAAAAACAGATGTGAGTGAGTTTATTACCCCTCGCTACTCCTTGTTCTACTTCTCGATGATCCTAGCTTACATTTGAATTTGTATAATTACGTGTTTATGCAGAGTTGTGGAGACGCTGAAAGATTATGCGATAAAGGCTCTGGTGAATACAGTTGACCATTTGGGATCTGTTACATATAAAGTTAATGACTTTGTGGATGAAAAAGTCGATGAAGTAGCAGGAACCGAGCTACGAGTGTCTTGCATCGAGCAGGTATCAATTATTCCTCATTAAATTGTTTCTAGAAGATCATTGCTCCTGCTTTAGTTTGTTATAGATACGTGTTTTAAGATCAATATGTTGTTTGGGTTACTGAGTTTTCTTATACATGTATAGAGGCTACGGATGTGCCAAGAGTATATGGATCATGAAGGTCGCTCGCAGCAATCACTCGTGATCGACACTCCAAAGTTCCACAAGCGATACATCTTGCCTTGTACGTTTTGTTTCTCTCTCTCTCCACGCTTCTGCAATCTTTCTTTCTCTTACTTATTTCTCAATTCTCACTATCAAAAAATAAATTGTCTATCAGCGGGAGAAATTAAGAGAGGTGGCAACCTCGCAAAGCTCAAGAATGTTGAAAGTAGTTTTGGTGAAGAAGATGATGAATGGAACCAATTCCGAAATGGTATAAAATTGCCCATTTCATCTATTTTGTTCAAGATTTAAGATTTCTTCCAAACCTGATTCTTGATTTGATCTGTTTCTTGTTACCTAAAGCTGTTCGTTCTACAATTCGGGAAACACCTCCACCTCCCGTTAAGTAAGTTCCCATGTCCCTTGTAACTGACCAGAAAGTTTTAAACTTTTATGTGCCGGTTTAATCCTTTTTTTGTTTGTTTGTTTCAGAAAAACGATACTTCAGTCTCCGCCTACACGGAAACCTCAACGTTCAGCAACATTTTCTTTCTCCTCTATCTCCACGGCACCAAAGAAGGATCAAGGTAAAAAAAAATAACAGCTTTAGCTTGAAACTCCGTTTACAAAGTACAAACCTTTGATTGTGTTTTTTGGTAAACCAGATAAGCGAGCAGTATCACCGCATCGGTTTCCTCTGATAAGATCTGGTTCGGTTGCTATCCGACCATCATCCATCAGCCGGCCAACAACTCCGATCAAGAGTAGAGCAATAACTCCTAAACGGGTAAGCTTCGGTTACATTTCAATCACTGTCTTGCCGGGTTTGGAACGTTTTCTGCTTTACCGGTTTTGATTCTTGATTCTTTCAACGGTTCAGTATCCGTCAGAACCGAGAAGATCGGCGTCGGTTCGGGTTGCGTTTGAGAAAGAAGCACAGAAAGAACCAGAGCAGCAGCAACAACAACAGCCAAGCAAAAGCAAACGGCTGCTTAAGGCGTTGCTTAGCCGACGCAAAACCAAGAAGGACGATACGCTCTACACATACTTGGATGAATATTGAACAGAGGCGCTGGTTTTTGTATTTCTATTGGTAAACCGGAAACTATATTCCAATTTTAATTGCATTTTTCTGTTACATAATATCAGTATGTATGCTTCTGTGAATTTTTGTATACCGTACGTACGACTGTCAAAATGTGAATGCAATATTTTCTTACAAATTTTATTGAAAATGTACAAGAAAAACCGCTGTTAAAAATACGAAACTTTTGTGTCAAACACAAACGAAAACGGAATGTGATGATACGAATGTTTTTAACTTTCAAGTTTCAATCATGTGTGTTGATTAAAATTAAGCTTAATTTTTTCTCTAACTAATCTTTAAGTTATAAATATGTTTTTCCAAACTGAACTACTTAAGGTTTATTAGATTGATTAACAAAATTGAAATATTCGAGTAATCAATGGAAAACTGGTTTAATTTCTCTGCTGTGTGAGGGAAAAAAAAAAAAATTCCCTGCTGTGTTAGTTACAAAATACAAAACAATACATTATTTTGAAACAATACTTTATTATCGTCACCAACAATGAAGGCAGTACAAGCGATAAACAAAGAAAACACACAGAAAACATAAAAGAAAAAGAAAAGACAGAATCGAATCAAGTCTTAGTTAAAACATTGCACATCTCGTAAAAAGATAAAACCAACAACAGGACATGCCATTTCCCAAACATGACACCAACTTACGAATGTTCTCCATGACCGATGCTCATCACTTAGATACCGGTTTGGGATTCGTCTATTGTAGCTTTTTTATGGTGGTGTGGTGGAGGCGGTGATCTCTTGTAAAATTCTGCGCCAAGTGATCGGTGAGAAGAAGGAAGAGAAGCTTGAGGAGAATCCATCGATGGAGGATTGAAATAAGAGGATATTGGTGTGTATTTATCTGCATGAGTATCAAGAAGTTTCCGGCTGGTTTGAGCCTGCACGATCATGATCATCATAGCTAGGAAAAGGCAACATTTCAAAAGATGATTCGGAGAAGCCATCATATTTTTTTTCCGGTGATCAATAGAGTTTTCTTTGCTCACCAATGATGTGTGATGTCTATCTATGTATAGCTCCATAATAGAGGGTTCCCACTATGTATTAGATTGTTTCTTTTCTTCCATAGATTCTTTACAATTATTAATGATCAACCTGTTTGATTTTTGGTATTGGCTATATGATTTTTGTTTGACAAAACAAAAAACAAAAGGTAATACATAAAACCTCTATAAATTAATAATATCAGGATCATAATATTTTATTAATTTATCGTGATATCAATTTATAAAAAAAAATATTTTCCGCTTATAATTTTTTAAAAACGTTTTTGGAATAGTGTTATATTTAAAAAATTTAACAAATTTCGTAATATAAATTATGATTAACAATCATAACTATTGTAATAAAATAGTTTTTAATATCATATTGGATTGTCCATATAAAAATATACATGTTCATAAGTTTAAAATTTATAAAAAAAACTATAACTACTATCCATATTATTGATGATAAAATTGAAGATAACACTACAATACATACAAAAAAATTTACATGTAAGAAAATCAATTATCATAACAAAAATCATCATAAATTTTGAAGGTATATAGTAAAACACTAATAAGAGCTACTTATATAATAATTAGAGAGATAAGATCCAATGAGATTTCAACCTTAAGTCAAAGCAAACACATTACTCATACTTTAGAATATTATATTTATATATATTTACATAAATTTATATAATTATTAATTTATGTTTTCGTTGGGACCATATATTTATATAGGAGTTTCAAAAAAAAATATTATCTTATAATCTTATCGAATTTTATAGATTTTTACATTGGTCTGACTTGGAATCAGCAAAATTTATTAGTTTATAATGATTATTAATTTATCGAATATTAATTTATAAATGTTCTATGATTAAATAATAATGCTAGGGGTGATTTCTAAACCGGCGAAAATTAAACCGAACCGACAACACTGTACCGGAGAGCGTAATGTATATATCTGAGCTGGGGTGAAGAGAACCCGGTTCTATCTATTTACCGAAAGGTGTAGCCATGGCTTCCTTGACCTGCTCTTCGATTTTGCGTGTAAAAATCTCTACTTTTTCGATCAAGCATCCTTCGATTTCCATGTGATTGGTCACTTTCATTTCGTATTTTACTAAACTGAAATTCGATATTTGTATAAATTCAGATTGGTGATGCGAGAATCGGGAACTCACGAGCTTCAAGCTACACAGTCCAGTCTCTTCAGGTCCGTGTGCTTGATTTTTGTTAACGAGTATTCGCCGGGAACTGATTTTGCTTGGTTTATCCAGGTTTCTTGCGGGATTCAAAGAGATGATAATGGGCGCCGTATTTGGCGAAGGAGAACATTGGTAAGAACATTGTGTTCTAATATTCAGTTCCATGTTATGACCAAAGTGGGAAGACTGATTAGTGAATCAAAGCTTTGCTTTTGCTCTTTCACCGCTTTGAGACATTGCTAAAAATCTGCGCTTTTAGGAATACCCAAGGAAGCATTGTTTTTTCTTTGAATTAGCTTTAGAGGATCTCTCCCGTTTCAAGATTTCCTGAGTTGAACTCTAGTTCATCACAGAAACTAGCTTAACGAAGCAAGATATGGCTTTTCTATTAATTAGTCTTTACCTAGTAATCGCGATAGCTTGCATTATTAATCAATCATAATGCACTTGGATTGCATATTATGTATATATATCAAACTATCAGTTTCCGTAGTTTGATCGTGTCATGTTGATGATACTCAATACTCATTCTTCCTTGTTCCTTTCAAAGCTAGAACAATTCGTATTTTGGCTCCAATGTTTCTCAAAGCATTGTCTGGATTCTAAGTTTCTCAAACATTTTCTTTTGCATTGACCAAATATATCAAAGTTTTTATTCAACTACATTTTCAGTTCCTTTAAATTGAAGTCAGATATCAAACAAGTGTGGCATTAATTGCTTCCTGTTTTTGTGAGCAGACAAAGAAGGACGATATGTTGCGTTACAAATTGCAAAGAGTTCCATTTGTGGAAGAACAAGTGAGGAAGATAAAAGAAGTTGGGAAGGTAATGACAATGGATATAGAGCGGTTGCTTTTGAGCGAAGACAATCGCTTTGAATTTGTAAACAGCGTAGCAGCTGAAGCAACAGAGTACGTGGAAAGAAACAGAGACGAATATGGAGGCACCAAAAAAGCCATCTTTCATGTTCTGAGCAATCGTGTGAACGATCTCGGGTTTGATCGCCCTGAAGCTTATGCTGAATCAGATCCTTACAAACCCGGTCCTGGCTTTTTGAAGGAGTATTACACATGAGAGATTTTATATAACAAGAGTCTTTTTAATGTAATTCGCTCGCAGCTTCCTTGTTGTATTAGTATATTACTAAATCAACTTTGTTGTTGTAATTTTGGCAGAACAATTTCCATCTTCAGACTGAGAAAAAAAAAAGAGTTTTGGATCAAGGGTTCTATAAGAACCGTTTAAAAAATCACATTGAAAATGTAAAATGATATTTTTGTGAAGGAAAACATAACTCAAATTATGTATTTTTATTTTAACTTATCTGAAATATTACATAGATTTTCTATTTGGTCAACATTACATGATTATTGACTAATGAATAATCGTAGTACTTTAATTTTCGTTAGGTCTTGTAATTTTTCTTGGTGGTATTGGGTCGGATGGGATGGGCGGCCGAGCCGGCCTTGGATGCGGCTTCACATAGTCCATCTCCAGATCAATCCTTCCTTCATCGGTCACCACCTCTTCAACCTTTTTCAAAACAACAATTTTTCATTATTACTATTAAACTAAATCAGTTTTTTTTTTTAAAAAAAAAAACTATATAAGTTTCGATGCATATTTGCAATCAATATATATAGCACTTTTGGAATTGTGGTGATATATTACCTTGTAGTGGGCGTTGTCAAGATGCGAATTCTCAACGAGTCCTAACATAAGTATAAGAAATCAGTAATAAATGTCTATGGCCATGATTTTGTGGATTTTTAACACGCTGTGATAGTTATTTATGTACCTGAAGAAAACATTGGGAGAAAGAGCAAGAAGGATACTAGGATTACCAGCTTCATCTTTCAGTCAGATTCTGTAATGTCTCTCGGACTTTGGACACATGTGACATGTAAATATGCGTATATACATATATATATATATATAATTTATGAAGGCAACAGATTAATAAAATTGACTAAATTTAGATTTGATATATGATAATATGATATAGGATGAATCGATGACAAATGTCCCTCTAGATTATGTCTATGGTCAAAAAGCGAGTACGTGATCTATTAAATACTAGAGAATCATTGACCAGAATGTATTTTATTTTTTTACTCCTCTGTTTTACAAAATTGTCAGTATAGAATTTTATTTTTGTTTCATAAAAATTGTCCCTTTATATTTTCAATGCAAAAATTAAAACAAAATTCCAAATTTAGCCTTATTGATTTAATATATTAATTAGTAAAAGAAAATAATATAATGTATTAATTAGAGATAATATAGAACTTATATTACTTTTTTTTAATATGTATGAAATGTGTCTAAATGGCATTCTTTGTGAAACAAAGAGAGTAACTCTTTTGTGGTTGTTTTTGTTGCTCTAGTTTTTAAGTTTGTTTCATTAATAATCGGGTATTTTGCTCTGGTTTTTAAGTTTGTTTCATAGATTTAGTATTTTCTTATTATCTTTATGTATAACAATCACTTTGAATTTGTAAACAGCGTAGCAGCTAAAGCAACAGAGTACATGGAAAGAAGCCGAGACGAATATGGAGGCACCGAAAAAGCCATCCTTCATGTTCTGAGCAACCGTGTGAATGATCTCGGGTTTGATCGCCCTGAAGCTTATGTCGAACCAGATCCTTACAAACCCGGTCCTGGCTTTTGAAGGAATATAGTTTTATTTGACAAGAGTTTTTAATGTAATTCGCTCGCAGCTCCCATGTTGTATTAGTATTACCTAAACAACTTTGTTGTTGTAATTTTGGCAGAACAATGTCCATCTCCAGACTGAGAAAAAGAGTTTTGGATAAAGGGTACCTTTTAAAATATCACATTGAAAATGTAGAATGATATTTTTGTGAAAGAAACTCCAAAATGATATTTCTTGTGAAATGAATGAAGTAGTTTCTCTTGTTATTCTAAATTATCTGAAATATTACATGATTCTACATGTGGTCAGCATTACATGATTATTGATTGATTAAGGAATAATCGTGCTACTTTGATTTTCGTTAGGTCTTGTAATTTTTCTTGCTGGTGGTGGTGGGTCAGATGAGTGGGGCGGCCTTGGATGCGGCTTCATATAGTCCATCTCCAGATCGATCCTTCCTCCATCCGTCACCACCTCTTCAACCTTTTTCAAAACAACAACTTTTCATTATTACTATTGAACTAATTAAGTTTTTTTAAAAATATGTATATATATCAGTACCAAATGCATATTTGCAATAATCAATACTATATAGAACTTTTGAAATTGTAGTGTTTTATTACCTTGTAGTGGGCGTTGTCAAGATGCGAATTCTCAACGAGTCCTAACATAATATAAAGCATATTAACATTTGCATAATCAAAAGATTCTGTGAACTCTAAGTATATCTTTCGAGTTTACACAAAATTACCGTATTAAATGGATTCGAATAACAATTTTTCTCAAAAGAAAAAATATCAGGAGTAAATGTCTATGGCCATGATTTTGTGGGTTTTTAACACGCTGTGATAGTTAATTATATGTACCTGAAGAAAACATTGGGAGAAAGAGTAAGAAGGATACTAGGATTGCCAGCTTCATCTTTCAGATTCTATAATATCACTCGGACTTTTAGCACATGTATATATGTATACAGATATATGTATATATACATATAATTATATGAAGGTAATGGATTAACATTGAATAAATGTAGATTTGATATATGAGAATATGATATAGGATGAATCGATGACAAGTGTCCCTCTAGATTATGATGGTCAAGCGAGTATGTGATCTATTAAATACTAGAGAATCATTGACCAGAATTTATTTTAGTTTCTACCTTTTTTGTGGTTATTTTTTTGCTCTAGTTTTTAAAGTTTGTTTCATTAATACTTGGGAATTTTGCTATAGTTTTTAAGTTTGTTTCATCGATTTAATATTTTATTATTATCTTTATATAACAATAAATCGATCAAATGTATATGCAGCTAGAAATGATAACAGAATTTTGTCAAGTGTGATTATGCTAATAGTACTTGATATTGTTGATTCGAAGCAGAACCCGAATATTTATGTGAACCAGAACCCGGATATTAATGGCTGCAAATTACATTATAGGACGATATGCTGATTTAATAAGCCACCAATTTCGAGGGATACAAAAAAAAAAAAAACTTGTGTATTTTCATACGAATGCAGCCTGATATTCACAATTTCCATAGCCTGCAGATATTAAGTAAAAAGGAAAAAACATTAATATGAAAATAATTAAGTTTTTCCAAGTATATTTAAATTGAGAAAACATACTGGGATTTATCGCAGTAATATCTCCAGTCTTGTCGAAATCGCAGTCGAACTCGTGTTTTCCCATCGTCTGGTAAAACAAGTTCATGGCGTACGCTGAATGGGCTTCCACTGTGTTGGGGAAGAAACAAGCCCCACCTTTTATAATGGGCCTACAGTCCAAGCCCAGCCCACATACGTAGTCTATATTCCTTTGTAAAGCCACCGTCTCTGCACCGGACTTTGTGACGCACCAACGCTTCCCCGACGATCCTCTTCCCGGCGATCGCGGATTGTTCTCCGGATTCGACGTTCTAACCTGTCAATCTCCGAAATCCAAACTCGTAAAAATCAAACACTTTCGAAATACAGTGCAATGTGGCTGCGATTACCGTTGGCCGGAGGATTCCGATGTCATAGATCGGTGTCAAATCGGATCGGAAGAGGCCGAAATTACGCTCCGACGTCGGTCCTGATTTGAGATTCTCGTTGAAGAGCGCGAAAATGTACGTCTCGAAAGTCCGATTGGGCATCAACGGCGTTCCGATACCGGAATTTACACGCGCCACCACTTTCTTGTTAAACTCGGCTGCGGTGGCGACATCGACGCCGATTTGACCGCCGTCTCCCTCCGAAGGCCATCCGATTTCTCCGACGACGATCTCGACGTCTGAAAACCCTAGACGATCCATAGCGGAATAGACGGAATCAAGCTGAGCATCGAACATGTTGGTGTACAGAAGCTTCGAATCATGGTCTAATAAGCCTTGATTAGGTCTAAACAGAGCGAAATCGAGCGTGTCGGGTGAGTAGCCGAAGAACGGGTAAGGATTCACAACGAACGGCGAGGCGATTGACCGGAGGAAGCTGAGGAGAGGCTTGAGAACGTGCGTGTCGTAGCCTTGCCGGAATTTAGCAGAAGACGGAGGGGTGGAATCAGAGAGAATTCCTAAGGAATGCGGCGTGGAGATCTGGATTCGACGGTGGAGAGAGGCGGAGACGAGGGCGGTGTGAAGAGATTGCATCGCCGGGACAAGGGTTCTGATGAGGAGGTGATTGGCGGTGGAGATGACTTCGTTTCCGACGAGGATGCGGATGATGTTGGTGGATGGGAAGTGAGGTTGGATGTGATCGGAGATCCATTGTTCGGCGAAGGAGAGATTGGTGAGGTGTGTGATTTGGTGGTTGGGGACGGTGACGGTGACGGCAATACCGGTGTGAGCGAAGGCTCGGAGAATTTGAGGATCGGCGTCGAAGAGGCGGATGCGGTTAATGACGGTGGAATGGAGGAGGAACTCAGCCACTTGACGCGGCGGAGGAAGATTGTTGGCGAGTGTGCCGTAGTTTACACCAATGCTCGCATTGGCTCCTGATATACATATGATTAGCGTTGATCAACATTTGAAACTAACATCTTCAAATTTCAAAATCAATTGAGTGAAACAAAAGCTACATATACATATTCTTCCCTCCCAAATTTTTTATATTTCCAACGCTATTTGGTTCTTTTATACTAGTAGTAGTACTATAGATTTAAATAAAAAAATAAATTGATAAAATGGAAACTACCTGTCGAAAATATGATAAGAGCTACAACCATAGTAAACATACTAATAGGAGAAATAACCCAGGAACAGGAGAAAAATAGTAGCATATAATTCATGGTTAAGGTTTTAAGAGTCGACAATCATAATGGAGAAAGAGGGATAATGTTCCAAGAGTTTGATATTTATCAATATGTTCACCAAAATATGCTTTGCTTTGTCTTTGGGGGATTGTCAGAGGTCGAATCGAGTCAAATTATCGGCAGCAAAGAGTCATTTATATTTTCATTAAAACATGTAAAGTAAACTCTACTAGACTAATCTACAAGTAAAGCCTTATACAGACAAAGCAACATAGTTTTTTTTTAACTCTGAAGATAATCAAACAGATGAAATCTGAATATTGTTCTCAGCAAACTTAAATAAATTATTAAAATTTTGTTTCTTAAGCCATTCTGGAGAGGAAATTTTGATTCAAGTTTTGATAATACTCTATTCTGTACCAAAAAATAAAACCATGGTATTTACACGGAAAAAAAAGACGGGCCTCAGTTACATTTCCCCTATATATTATTAACTTACAAAAAAAGGCAAGTATAATTATACTAATAATAACTTTTTTTACGATAAAAAAGGCAAAAATCTGAGTTACCCTTTCTTCATTTTTTCTCGTTCCCCTACCTCCGAAGCAATTCCAAACCTTCAGCTCCGGCTAAGTCCAAACCTGGTGAGACCAAGCTACAAACCACCGGGTAAACGGGCCAACGTGTTAGGCCCAAACATAGGGCCCGAACAAAACTCCTAAACTTCACCATGTGGCTCACCAGACGACACACGAGTGCGGAGTATAAACTATACGTCAACGTTTTCGACAATAAGCAGCGTTTCGTAGCCGTTGGATTTCAAACGGGAACAGGCAAACCATAGTTGTGAAACAATCTGATCCGTCCATCCCACCCGCCGGTGACTATAACCAATCCCCAAAGATGAGAAGACTCCGACGTTCTCCGGCACGACGATCGGAGAAATCTATAATGCGATCTCCGGATCGCCTTCACCGGAGAAAACGAGCTTGCCAGCTTCTCCTCCGGCCAAGTCGCAGATCCCTTGGGAGAATCGAGAACGTACTCGCGTCCCAAAGAGAAGAGCGACGGCGATAGCTCAGATCCGCCGGAGATTACAGGAGCGAATCCGCACCACGGGATAGCGACTGAAACATCTACGGAGAATTTCTCAAAGGATCGGATTTTGAGTCGTTTAGTGTAGGAGAAAAAACCAGGAGACGGTGGTTCCGGATCGTTTTCGATGCAGTTCCAGACGTAGACGGAGGAATCGTCACACGCCGAGATTATATGCTTCCCGTCTGCTGTAAAAGATGCCGATATTTGATTCCCGGCATTTCGAGATCCTAGAAAGATACATTCACACATTTCAGAATTCGAGATTTTTATTTTTTGTTCGATTAATGTGCTTTTAAAAGCATTTACCTTTGTATTTATGGACAACGTTGCGACCACTAATGATCCTGACTTGTGAATCTGCGGATGCAACCATTACTCTGCTTGGGTCGGTTGAATCAAACTGCGGAAGAAACTAGTTCAGTATCATGAAAAAACAAAAAATCAATCTTTGGGAAACAAATTTGAGAAGAAAAATGCACCTGAAAGCCGATTATTCGTTTATTTGCGGACTTCTTTTTGCTATGCAGACATATCTGGCCATCGAGTTGAAGGCAGTGGCCTGAAGAAAGAATGTAAGAATTACAGGTTTCTAAGCAAATCTCATGTGTGCGTAGTGTAATCATCTATGAGCATTACCTGATACGTTGTAGAAGCGACATTCGCTCGTCAAAGTTCCAACAATCCCTGCCTGAAACAGATCAAAGTGTTCTTGTTTTAGAAAGAAAAACAAACTGAGTCGACTAAATAAATAAAAGAAAGGATTTTTGGCTTCCGAGTCAGACCTGGCCGTCTGGGCGATAACAAACTGCGGTTACAATGCCTCTAGCGTCGGCCCAATCTACAACTTGGCACTGAGAAGTTGACCAGATGCGAACTTTTCCATCTATTGAACCGCTGATGAAGTGATCATCATCAACCGGGTTGAACTGCACAGATGTAACTGCAAATTTGCAAAACATTTTGATTGAATGATCTACTAACAGGGGAGGAAACAAAAGCAATACACAACGAGCAATGCTATCGTAAATACAGAGGAGAAGAATATTACCATAGTTACTGTGAGAGAAGATTCCAAGACACTCTTCACGGCCAATCTGCCAAAGCCGAACGCTATTGTCTACAGAAGCTGACAACAGACGCTGCCACCAATATCACAGAATGAGCAACTCGGTCTAGTTTTTCTGTTCAAGATTACACATACAGGGACTGAATCTACGTTCTTGTGTTTTTGAGATCTCAAAACATAACGAAACATGCATAGAAAAGGGTGTCTAGCTATTTCAAGAAAGCAACTCTCTACAATTCTTGAAGCTGTTTAAGCCTAGAGCAGGTCAACCTAGAGTCTGGTTCAAAGCATTAATGTAAAAAATAAAGGAAAGTCCAAGAAAGCAAACTCACATTGTTCTTGGACCATGAGATATCAAGGATATCACCACTGTGACCGAGAAACTCGTGAACTGGTTTCTCAAGCACCCGGAAAATCTTTGGGGGAATTATAACACAAGCGGACTCTGTTGTCTTCCTTGGACTCATCAATGAGCCAGTAATGCCCTCCTTTTCTACGGCCACAGGTCTCAACTCAGAGAGTTTGCTCACTTCAAAGTATATACAAGAGGGATCCATCTTGGGAACGTCATGTTCATCACATCTTTCGTCTTCAACAATGCTCCAAACCCGCAAAACCCTGTCTTCACCGGAACTTGCAAGGTACCTGCCATCAGGACTAAACTTCATAGCGAGAATCGCTCCTTCATGAGCTTGTATTTCTTGACCCTTGAAAAGAGCAGAAAGCTCCTTGGTCTCTTTCTTAAACTCCTTCACCTTAACTCTCTCGATCCTACTCCCCAAAACCGCAGCTTCACCAGCAGATCTTTCCTTGTTACGCACTCTATTCAGCCGACCCAACCATCTCTCCTTAACCCTCTTCATGATTCCGCCTACATCTCGTTGTTCTGCAGGCGGGTTTGGTGACTTAAACTCAATCTCTTCACCATTTTCTTTCACAATCTTATCTGTTAGACCCGATGCAGGTGATCCAGAACAAAGGCTAGAGCTAATATCATCATCATCAGAACGCAAACTCCTCAAAACCATTCGACTACTTAAACTCCCAACATCTACTTCTTCTTCCTCTTTACACAAACCCTCCTCCTTCACAATCCTATCTACAATCTCCCTTGGACTAAACACAGAAGAATCACATCGACAAGAGCTGAACTCGTCGTCTGATTTCAAACTCCTCAAAACCGCTGCTTCACTAACCGAGCTTGAGAAACGATCCACATTGCCTGATTCAGGTGGCTCCTCCTCGTGATGAGTTTGGCTCACACTTATCCCCATCCAGTTCAAGAACTTCTCTCGACGCTCCTCAGCGTTTCCTGGGCTTTTGATCCAAACATCGTACTGGAAATCGCCAGAGATGGTTGATGGAGTTTCATCGTACTCGATTGTACTGGAACATGATGCGATTTCGTCTTGTGCGTCGAAAAACCGAGATTCTTCGTATTCAATTACAGATTCCATTTCTCCTCTCATTTTGATTCTTAAAGCTGCCTGGAGAGAAAACAACCGAGAAAGTTGTTTCCTTTTTCTGAGAAAATAAATGAGAACCAAGTGTAAGAAGAAGGAAGAAGAGAAATTAGTAAAATAATCAGAGGAAGAAAGAACATTGATAAATGGAAAATATATGCAGAGCTTTTTATAAGAAAAAAAATACATAAATACCTAGAATCAATCGAACAACATAGATCCCGATCAAATGTAAAGAATCGAGAAGTAAAATCAAAAACAAAAAAATAAAGGAAATCTGGATCGAAAATCGAGTTTCAATTCCAAGCCATTAAAGCTGAAACCTAACCTCAAAATGATAAATTTTGGAAGAATCAAATCATAAGAAAAAAAAAAAAATCATATGAATCCAGAACGAAAGGACAAGACATGCAGTGATGCAGATTTTGTTAAGAAATTTTTTAAATCGACGAAAAGGTTTTTGTTTTCAATTTATTTGTTGTTGCTAATAACTTCTTACATGTGAAAGATTTGTTTTTTATGCGGTTCTACGAGGTTTATTTGATGATGCTGGGAAGCTCAAGAAACGAAGACAGCGAAGAACAAGAAGAGCCCATGAGACATCTAGAAGTTGTTTTCACTCTCTTCTCTGGTTTTACGGATTTTGAGAATAAACAAAACTAAGTTGATTTTTGATTTTTGGTGTTTTCTTTTAGTCTGACAAAAAAAAACAAGAAGAAAAAAAAAAGGAAGCGTAGATTGAAGGAAAGGGAGAATCTGTGCCACAGACGAAGAAGAAGGAAATTAATTTAAGTTTGGGAGATTGTCCGAATCTGATTTGGAAGGACATTAATTTACTCATATTAATATATGCGGTCACATTAATAATATTATCGCTTTTTCTTATTTCATTCTCCATTTCTCCTTACCGTCATTTTAATTAATTTTATTTGATTTTATTTGATTTTATTCTAGTCTACCATTTCTCTCTCTTTTTTTTTTTCTCAGGCAAAATCATCCATCTGTTTATTTGCAATACAAGCATTGTTTTATCAGCTCCCAATACAGATATAGACGAAAATCTGGAATAATATAAGAATACTTTATCAGTGTATTAATCTAGTCAATCCAGAAACAAAAATCATCCAAATAATAACCTTTATAGAGTATTGTTATATAATTCAAGAGAAAAATATCAGCATTAGCTTAATTATGTAAATAAACTACTTAGGTATTAATTTGGTCTAGATCTAATTTCAATTTACTTTAAACGTGTCTTTTCTTGACTTTTGCCAAAATACATTAAGGAATGTAGATTTTGGATTAGTTTAAAATTTCACTTAGAATCCTTATAAATCATTTCCTTACTTTAATATCATTAAGTTGTTACATGTGTTGATGGCATATCATACATGACTTAAATCTAAATAGTAAAACAAATCAATGATATCAATACAAATCACTATATTGTATTACGCGTTCCTTCTTTGGTGTTCACTCATAAAATCAAATCCTAGTATTTCGTATACCAGTTTGTAGAAAATAGCTAAAATGGTTTAAACCACTCCACTAACTGATTTTTTTTTTTACTTATTATAGTACTTAGATTATCAAACCATACAAAATTAGAAGCTATTAATTCATGAAATCATATTTTGGTTTTTCCGTGTGAAAAACGCGCCTGCACCCAGCAGCCAGCAGTTGTGTCGATCGCACAACAATTTCATTGGACCTTTTTCGCATCTTCTTAGGCTTCCCATATATCTCTATCTTGAGCTGTTATTTTCATCAGTGGTGTTGCCAGCAGATTTCGTCATTAAAACTACATGTATGAGTTGTTTCTATTAATTATAAACTTATCAGTTTTTGTTATTGATTATGATAACAACTAGCTATGCGAGTATCCTAGTTACAACTTACAGTTGCGGTATTCTTCAAACGATCGACATTTTTAATACAACAATAAACAAGTTTGTGTTTTTTTTTTTTCGAAGAAGAATAAACAAGATTATGTTTGAGAGATCGTAGATGATTGATTTATTGTATACAGGGGATTGATTTCACTTGTATGCAGCTTACGAGACATTGGTTTTTATAATATATCTTGCATGATTTTTAGAATTTTTAGTCCTTTATCTGGAGTACTCAACATTATAATCTGCATACTATTAAATCATAAACACTTTCATATATTTATAATTAAAGAAGAAGTTATACGAATTGCGGTATAACAAAGTTACAAGATGACTAATTTATTTTTATAGCTTAGGAATATTGGATATTTAAAACGACCAATTTTTAGTTTTCGGAATGAGAAAAAACTGTTTAGTTTAGTAAGTCAGCATAACATCGAAGGTTTTATTATTATAAAAAGTAAACATGGTGGGGTTAGGTGCTTCATGTTTGCATATATATATATATATATATTACGTTTTTTTCCCAAGTTTGTATAATTTATCAAGAAATAATTTGGGAGAATATAAATATATAATAAAACGATGCCAAACAAAAAACTATTAAACTAAGCTACATATATGTTTACCATGTCTATCTTTCATGGGTGGTTTAACTATTAAACAACGTAACCTATTGAAACTGTTAGTTCAACAACAACAAAAACTATTGAATTTAAATTTCAATAATATATTTTGAACAAAATATCGTTTGAAACAATAATTTAGGTTCTATACTAATTAAAGCTACTGGTTCAAAACTCAATGGAAATGCTACGCGAACTTATTTTTCTTTTACACATATATATATATATATATAAAATTATATATATATATATATAAAATTATGTTTGCGCGTGTGTATGGATATTTTACGGATTAGGTAAGACACAAGTATAAACATTACAACTATATGTGCTCATAAGATTAGTCCATTTTTACTATTTTAGTAAATTAGTTTTTGTCTCCGTTTGAGCCCGACACAACTGCTCCTGTTTTTTTCCTTTTCTAAATATATTCTCTAATTTTGTTTCTTCAGGTAACTAAGGTAACCAAAACGACAAAATTATTACTACTAGTAAATATAGACTCCTAGGAAACAAATGCGTGTGGATCGTTACTTTGTTAGCAATGACATCATTTTCTTCCAGCTTCTAGCTTGCTCCATTCGAACAAGGATAAACAACAGAATTTGTAAATTAATAATTCTACCAACTCCATAATATATAAATATAAAGGCTTTCTATACCTAATTATGAATATAAACGAGAATACAAATGGTTGAAAATGTTGTTGAAAAGAAATACAGTGTTCTTTCTTTTAAAGGGAAATACAAAGTAGAAACATTTTTTGAGGTTAGTTTGCAAAAATGATGTGGTGGAAAAATTATGAATAAGTGGATGTTGATTTCATGCGTGTTTTAAATAAATGGCTTGATATCGCATAAAATACTATTATTACTCTAAAATGTATTAAGGAAATCTTTTTATTTACGATTTTTGTTTGATATGTAAACTTCCAAAATTTGATAGTAAACACATGTTTAGCTCTTTACGGGTGTCGGAGGTTGCACTGGGTCCATTTTTTGTTTTTTTAAATAGCTTTAGTTTCTAAGAACCTATTTTGTAAAAACAAATAGCAAAAATGTCTAATTAGTTTTCTTTGAGTTATGCTCAATTGCTCATAACCCTTCTTTCATTCAATGGTAATGATTTTCTTTGAGCCGAGCCTGAGTAAATATGTTCTTAACTATCTTTGTTGACAGTTTCCAACGCTCTTAAAACAATAAATTTCTAATCGAACTCAGAAGTTCGTTATCTATATATTATACACATATATACGGCAAAACATAAATCTTTAAACAATACATAACTTAGCTCTTACCTTAGATTTTAAGAAGATGCTTTGAAAATTAGATATGTAAGGACGATAATAATGTTCCGATGCTTTATGAAAAGTGGTTAGCTAAGAAAATCATCTGGCTAACTCAAGTTTTTGTTTCTAGTCTTTAAAGTCAAAACCACTGTCAATTGTGAACATTATGTTAAATTATTCTAAGTTTCCTATCAATTTGGCCGAAACCCATTAAGCAATGTCTACATTTCAAACAAAAACATAAAGCTTTTTGAAATATGATTACATAACCGACGTTGGTGATTTAATTTAAAGATCAATTCGTAGAAGTATGCTTGATCAAACGGTTTACAAATTAATTTTAAAGTAGAGAATAGTAAACGTCGGTAGCCAAATGGGGCCAACTCCCAACCGTGGACACATAATTATTGTCATCATTTTAACCTTAATTAACGACAATTACACCTTCTACGAAAAAGAGAGTGAGTTAAAGCAAAATGAAATTTCAAAAAACTGTCGGTAAAATTATTCAGTAATATGAGGACTATTTTCAAAGAGTCACTAAAATATAATGTGGATTAATCGGTTTTGTAGTTAGTCGATCATCCATCGATCGATCAACTAGGCAACTATCGATTTTTAAGTATTAAAACATTACTTATTTCTGTCTGCTTACTGAGTTTATGGACTTGTAAAGTTGAAAGTGTAATTTGTCCAATATTTTGGATCGGTGTATAGGACGTAAAAAAATAAAGTAGTGTCTTATGTAGCAATTTGAGCCTTTTCTTTTCTAAAGAAAGAAATGATTATGATCCCAATTAGAAACACTAAATGTAGGGAAAAGAGGGGAGACACTGATTAGAGATTATAACCCTAATTAAAAGACAGCCCGACATTAATTATTTATTAATCAAAGTCGCACGGATAGACATTGTTTTCAAAGTGATAATGATATTTGTCTTTCTAATAAGGGAACAAGAGAAAATAATGATGTCGGTAATAGTTGGTTATTCTGATAACCTAAGTCCTAACAACAGTTTCTGTTTACTTTCTTTACTTTACAGTTTACAATTTAAAACCAACAAATGTTGGCATTTTGTCTTCACTTCTGTGGTTGAACAGTTGACTCGAGATAAGGAACAAAATGTTCAACTTTTTTATTAATTATATTATCATGTAACCTAATTGAATTCGTTCATTGCAAAAAAAGGAAGATGTAATAGGAATGAAGAATGTCAGGGAATAAATTTGAAATACATAATATTTTCATAAAAATGTTATCGCAGTTAGTATTCAAATTATAATTAAATATCAGTTTATCATATTTATTGATAAAACTCTAATTATAAAAACAGAGATTCAGTATGTAGTTTCTTCATTAAAACAAAAGACTTGTAGTTTTGATATGTATAAAAGTTACGTTAGAAATTTTGCGGGGATAATTTGATATTTTTTTATATATTTCCATAATTTAAACTATACTTACTGAGAGTGAAAGAGAAAGAGTGAAGAGAAAAGGCAAAGTCCCAAAAAAAAAATTGAAAGACAAGCATTTCTGGTCTGATCAGTCAAAGATAGACCGAAAATAGCCAAAAACAAATGACTAGATAGAAATAGATCAAACTTAGTTCAAAGAAAAGCCATAATGAAATGATAGTATTTTGCCTCATAACATTACGGCGATTAGAGAAAGAGTGGCGTCAATCACGTGAGGACAATATTCAACGAAAAATAGCTTTTATTTACGTATTTGATAACAAGCCTTTAATTGTTTACCTTTTTTCTTTCTCTTCTTTATGGGATACAGAAGATTAGAGAAATATAATTAACCAATTGCGTTAAGAAAAAATTACTATCCCCAAAAAAAAAAATTGCTTTAGAATCTGTAATGGTGAGATTTAAAGAAAAACCGAAGAAGAATTAGTAAAAATGATCATGTTTGATTTTGAACAAATTGTAAATTCTTGTGATGGCGTTCGTTAAGTAGTTACGAGGGCCAAATATTAAGGAGACAACAAATGGTGGGGTGAAAAGTAGCTTTTGCAAATAATAATCATTTTTATCTCGGGGACCAAGCATGTAAATATGATTTTCTCTTTTATTGTTATTTGTTACTGTTGAAGGCACCAAACTCTTAAAACATCCCCCCCCCCAAAAAAAAAAAGATAAGTAAAAAAACATGACTGAAAGTAATTACGCTGGAATTTACTTGGCCGAAACAGTTGTCACTTTCACTAAAACAATAGAACCCGAAAAGACACTAATCTGATACACAAGTTATTTTATGTTGTTATAAGTCGAATTTGAAATATATAGTATCGGTTGTTCGATGAAGATTTTCATATATTTGATATTGATTTTTTAAAAGGATATGTGGTCTCAGGTTTTAAAATTCTACTATTTTACCCAACCGTTTGAAAATATCTTAATAACTAGGTGATGCCCTATGTTGTGCATAAGATTAGTGATTATGTAAAAATAATACTAAGATCGTATTTTCCTTGTATAATGAAATTTTGAAATAGTCTCCAAAATCACTTCTTTGTTTTACAAAGAAAGCAATCGAAGAAAAATCAGACAAGAGGCCAAGTTATTTGTTTAGTCTGAATTTCTTTTTTTTTTTTTGAAAAAAATCGAGTTTTTAGAATAGTTGTCTCTTAAATATGTATGATCCCATCAAAATTGAATAAATTTGTTGGAGAAATGAAAAATGTGTGTGTGGGCCTTGAAAGGGAGGTTGGATACCTTAGTGATGTGCAGAAATCAGAAAGGAAGGGGTTTTTGATGCTAACTCTCAAAGTCTTTGAAGGTACTGTCAGAGACTCTTTAGTCTCTTAGGTGTTACTTTGGGACCATACTATGCTTCTCTTCTCTCCTCTCCTCTCATCATTCCTGCTCTGTTTTTCTTGTGGTCCTTTCTCTTCCCTTCCTACCAACAATCTTTATTTTGCATTATCGACATTGATTGTTATTTTCTTACAAATAAAAGACAAGGCTTCTAGTTTTGGTCCTACTTACATGTAGTAAGGCTTCTTGCTGCATGGTCTAAGCCCAGTTAAAAATGCGTGGGGAGACAAAAACACAGAGACCATTTTGGTTTTCTTTGTGAGAAGCACGAGGAGAAACCAGATAGTGAATTATACATAAGTCTTGAGATACTTAAACACTTAGCAATGTCATAGATTATACATGAAAAGAAAAAAGAGGATAATTAAGAGTCTGGAAATAGCTCAACCACATGAGGACGATGCAGCGGAAAGAAACAAAGCAAAGGAGTCACCGAGGAATAACAAAACGCAAGAGAATCGCTCAAAGAAAGGACACAACACGAATCATATATCATCAGGGGAGAAACCACCGAGCATCCTTGAGGTTAAACTTGGAGAGAACCGGGAAGCGTTTGGTGGTCTTTGTTGCAAGATTGTACACACAGATGTCGAAGCGTGGAGTCCTCCAATCAGGACGGAGACGGTTATCATGTGTGAAGTAGATGGAGTCTGGCTCAATACCAAGGGTATGGTCAGCAGGTACAGTGAAGCCCATATCAAGAAACAGTGCCTCATCATCACCTAGAGAATCCACCTGAACAAGCCTAGTGTCTCTGGTATCAGGGTCTAGATCTTTAGAATCCCTCTTGTACACGCGGAACAACCTATGTTTTTCAAAGTTTTTGTTAGACTCGTAACCTCTACTATGGACAATCAAAGCCTCTCCTGATGTTGTAACAACAATGGTATCGCGGCATGAGATGGTCGTCATTCCGAGTAGTTCCTCATTCATATAATCATCTCTCCACATTGGAAACCTATGGGTCTCGGACACATCCTTGAAACCATCTTGTCCAGAGAGATCCAGGTGTCGAATGTAATCATAAGACGTGAAGATGTAAAGACTGTAACCTTTGAGTACCAGATCACGTTGGCCTCGTAACTCCCTGCGAACATCACCCAACTTGGCTGTTGGAATCTCGCGGTAATGATCATCCCCTTTCTTGCAATAACCTAAAAATTGTTTACCTAGCTCAACATATTGCCAAACAACAACGTAGTCTCCACTCTTGTTGTCTACCCACAAAAGACCTCTCAGATCATTTGCGGTTAAAACAACCCCAGATCGATACGACTCACTAATTACTTTGCATTTCAATTCCTTATCTGCTACTCGCTCAAGCTTATAATAACCACCTTTCATTGATTCTAGAGGTGGGAGATGGATCTTCTCCTCGCTAAAAACGTTTATAATATAGAGATCTGATCGAGAATCTACCACCAGGAACCACTTACTCGAGTTTCCAAGGATTCGGTATCCTGAAAAATCAATACTCGTTGTCTCGTAAGCCCTATCTTCCTCTGGGCTGTATAGACGACACCCATCCTCTTCATCTGGAGACAGCAACAACAATGGAGGAGATCTGCCTACTTTTGGCCGCAACGTTTGTTTGGAACACAAGTACCAATTCGAACACACCAGCTTAGCGCGGTGAAAATCCACAATACACAAACGTTCCAACAGAGATCTCAATATGTCCACAGGGAGCTCGGACCAGCGGCGTGAATCAGGAGGAGTCTCCATGCTTTGTTGCACGAACCCTGATTTACTTCTGAAACGTGAAAATATATCCTTCCTTCCAAAACCCTTTCTACAAAAAAAAAACTTTCGCTTGTTTAATAAATATTTTCTTACATATAAAACACAAGGTTTCTAGTTTTGGTCCGACTTAAATGTATTGCTTCATGGTCTGAGCTCAGTTAAAAATGCATGGGAAGACAACACACAGAGACCATTTTGGTTTTCTTGTTGAACAAGATTATATTTTGCTTATATATACACTTGTTAGGGTTATACAAAATGTTCTGTCGGATATTCATGTTCATATCCATTATAATCATAATACAATCGCTCCCCTTTTGATATGTCTCTATTAGCTACCAGAAGAACCCTAGCTTCTCCGTTGATGTTGAACCTCACACACTTCAGGTTCTGCTTCTTCCTCCCTTCTCTGCAATTCACAAAATCAAAATGTCAACAATAACAACAAATGAGGACAAGCAAATACTAGAGTGTTTCCAGCTCAAATGTCCGTTTTTAGTGTTCAATTCTTGGATCATCCTGTACGGTTCTGGTTCAATTACTTTTTAGATATTTTGTTCGGACAAGGGACCAAATCGAAGGGAAGAGAAACTCACGGGGTGTGATTGTTGATGCCGCTGATGAAGCGGGCGATGTTACTGCGTTTGTCAGGGCAAATAACGAGGCACTGTAAAGGATCAGAGGCATGCAGTAGAGTCATCATGCTGTCTCCATCATAGTCATCTTCTCTGTTGCTCAGATAATCAACATCTCCGACATACTCTGTGATTATAGTTAAGTCTTTAATAGACCTGTCCGCCTCTACTGTGAACCTGTTTCAGGTTTAAAACATCTAATTCAATATCATTCTTGATTGTTAAATGCATTACTTTTGAGTTAAAAAGGTAGAAACAGAAGCTAATACGAAGGTTAAGTACCCTTCATAAGGATCAAAGACGACCATAAGAGGCGGGCATTCACCGCGATCCATCATGTTCTTGCACAAGGCTAAGGTCTCTGCGTCTTGTTTACATAGAACCTGTATGAAATTGAATACAAAAAACATATCTTTCATGAGTTGATACTAAAACAACGCAAATGAGGATGCAAAATATTTTCAAGAAGAACCATAATCAATAACTTAACAAATATACCTGCATGCCTCCTTTCTCAAAAACAGCTTGGTTTACTGATCTTGGAGCCTTGCCAGATACATAAGTGAGGTTGTTGCTGAACTCTGTGTTGGATGCTCTCAACGCGGTGGCGAGGGACGCCATTTGCTCGAGTCTCCTTTGAGGATCAATGGTAGGGTTGTATGGAAGAAGCTTCCTCTTCTTCTTTGACATCACCAAGCTGGTCTTTTTCCGTTTCTTCCCAATGCTATCTACACAGACATTATTCTATGGATTTAGATTTCTTAATACAAGACAGAGATATTGGATTTTGACTTCCAATCTGCAAAATTACAAAGATGCAATTTACCTGGAGAACTTGAGATATAAGATGAGTCTGGAGACCGCTTAATCCGGAAAAAGTCTATGATTTTAGTCTGAACAAGAGGGAAAGCTGCATTTTTACAAAAAAATTCATTTAGTTATTTCAAGGAATGAAATTTCATAGACAGATTCAGCAGAAGACATGATTTCATCAAAATGGGTATCACATAATCTTTTCCTTCTATGATTTCACCGAATTGACCCAAATGAATTTCAAGTATTTAGATCTATTCAACAAAAGTATATAATCCGATAGTCTAAATAGATTCGTTCACACAACACCCAAACCTCAAACCTCAAATCAAAGACAGATATAACGAAACCCAGAATAATCAATAATCTATAGCTCAACAATGGCAATAACTGATTCAAAAGAACAAAAATTGTTTTTTTTTTTAAATTTGTTGATAAAACTTACATTTGGGGATCTGGTGTTTAGAACACGAAGGGCAGAACCAGGAGCCTTTGGGAACTGAAACGAGGATAGGCCTGAGACAGAAAAGATGAAACCCTTTATCGCATTTGTCACAAAGCAGCAGCTTCGCCGGTTGTTTCCCTGAGCTGCATTCTTCGCAGACCGTGTCCAAATCCGAATCGGAATCACCCGCCATGGATTTCCGAAGAACGGATCTAGGGTTTGACGCCTGGGTTCTTCTTCGCCGCGAAACCACCATTGTCGAGCTTTTTCGATTCACCAGCAAGAGAGAAGAGAGTGAGAGATTATAAATGTGAGATTTAGCCGAAAGATTTCGCGCTCTGGATTCGCGGGGAAAAATAGAGACCGGGTTAAATTTGGCGCCACTGTTACGATTCGCGGTTTAATTTCCGGTTTATTTTGGTCTTCGCCAACCGGTTTGGAGAAATCAAACCAAAGCCGGCATAAGTTAAATAGGATCTAAAAACCAACCGGAGATGTAATTTCAGTAGAATTTCTGTGTACGATGGAAACCGACCAGAGGATCTATCTGGTTTCGTCCACCGACTCGCCCGAGTTCACTCGCCTGAAATGTTCTCTCACTCGTTCCACGGCCATTGCCTTGGACGCCGAATGGAAGCCTCAACGCACTAATTCGTCTTCTTCGTTCCCAACAGTCACTCTCCTCCAAGTCGCTTGCCGGCTCGGTCATGGCACGAGTGATGTCTCCGATGTTTTCCTTATTGATTTGACTTCGATTCATCTTCCGTCGCTGTGGGAGCTGTTGAATGATATGTTCGTGTCGCCGGATGTGTTGAAACTTGGGTTTCGGTTCAAGCAGGATTTGGTTTACTTGTCCTCGACTTTCACTCAACGTGGTTGTGATGTTGGATTCCACGAGGTGATTGATTGCTTGTGTTTTTTTTTTCTTTTTCCCGGTTTTATGTTTCTGCATTGAAATTCTTCGACTTTACATCTTAAGGTGAAACAATACATTGATATCACAAGCATATACAATCATCTGCAACATAAACGGTTTGGGAGAAAAGCGCCAAAGGATATCAAGAGCTTGGCAGCTATATGCAAGGAAGTGCTTGACATTTCTCTGTCCAAGGTTTGTCAATGATTCCTTAAAGAACTTGCCTTTTTAGTGAAATTTGAATGATCTATTGTATAATCTCAAACTCCGGAGAGATCAGACTAGCTTTGTCATTCCAAGGGATTACATTTTTAGGCAATCTTCATAAGTAAATAATGTAAGAAATGTAGATGGTAGTTGGTAGAGAAAACCTAAGGCTTTTTAACGAGGTTTTATTCTTTAGGAACTTCAATGTAGTGATTGGTCGCATCGTCCTCTTACAGAAGAACAGAAACTATACGCTGCGACAGATGCTCACTGCTTGCTCCAGATATTCGATGTATTCAAGGCAAGTCTTGTTGAAGGAATCACAGTGGTAGATCCTTCAGAGATAAATGTTGGCCTAAAAGAAATTCTCACTGTATCGGATTGTACCAGTCAGATTGTCACGGTCAGACTGTGCAAGGCGACATATGTAATTAGAGCACTGACTGAAAATGGTCAAAACATTGCCAATGGAGTGGTTTCTAGAAAAACAACGCTAAACACTATGCCGATGGATGAGAATCTGTTGAAGATCGTGAGGACGTATGGAGAAAGGATCCTGTTGAAGGAGTCTGATCTTCTACCAAAGATCTCCAAGAAGAAAACAAGAAGACGTGCCTCCTTGAGGACTGTGAACACAGATAAGCATTTGGTCGGTTCTGTGGACTGGCAAGGTCCACCACCATGGGATTCATCTTTAGGCGGTGATGGCTGCCCTAAATTTCTCTTGGATGTGATGGTAATTGGATAATTTCTGCCGATCTTGTGTTTATTAAATAGCTGATCTTAGTTCTTTTTTTTCTCAAAATGGGAAAGAAAACAGTTTTCTTTATTCAGTATTGTAAGTTTCCTGATCTTGAAACAGATTTCAGTTATTTTTTTTTCCCCAAGCATTTACCACAAAACTCTCTGCTTTGAAATGTAGTTTGTATCTTGAATGTAGCCATTTTCAGTATAATCCATGTGGTATATCATCAGTTGCTTACGAAACTACTCTGTAGGTTGAAGGTCTGGCGAAACATCTACGTTGTGTGGGGATCGATGCTGCAGTTCCACAATCAAAGAAGCCGGATTCAAGGTATTTTTTTTCCAAAGATGCTATTATAATATTTACGTGAAATGGGTTGATCAAGACATCTGATTTAGGTTTCCCTAATGTTGCTGTTGATTTGTTGACACAAATGACAGGGAGTTGCTTGATCAAGCATGCAAAGAGAAGAGAGTTCTTTTGACAAGAGATACGAAATTGTTGAGACACCAGGACTTGGCGAAGCAGCAAATATACCGAGTCAAGAGCCTTCTTAAAAATGAGCAGCTACTTGAGGTACAAATAAGCATTAATTCTCAACAGATAAGCTAGTATATGCAAAGATACGTGATGGGGCATGGTTTGGTTTACTGGATTTCTTCTGAGTTACCACTGAAACAAATTAAGCTCTACAGGTGATAGAGACTTTCCAGCTAAAGATCAGCGGAGATCAGCTGATGTCAAGATGCACGAAATGCAATGGGAAATTTATTCAGAAACCGCTCACCATTGAAGAAGCTATTGAAGCAGCAAAGGGTTTCCAAAGAATACCCAACTGCTTATTTAACAAAAATCTAGAATTCTGGCAGTGCATGAACTGCCACCAGCTTTATTGGGAGGTTAGTCACTCACCCATTTTCTGCCGTTTTGCATATATACCATGTCAACATTTGACTGGGCCATCCATTTACCGATGAGTTATTTGCCTGGGAACAAAATTTTTGTTTTGCTGATTGAAGAGTCATTTTAGTCTAGTCATTTTCAGTTGGCCATGAATATTTATCAAAATCAGAAATTTAACTACGAGTTTAAGAAGATACGTAAAATGTTGACTGAATGAGAGCTATCATAAAACTAGATCCAGGGGTTTTTTGAGCTCCCATCTGTATATCGTCTCTAAAATACACCATTGAATGAGAAAAGATGGCGAGATGCTTAATGTTTGTTATGTGGTTGCAGGGAACTCAGTATCATAACGCAGTTCAGAAGTTCATGGAAGTTTGCAAGTTGAGTGAGTGATTCAATTTTTAGTTCTTCTTTTGCTGAAGTGTTCCAGGTCACTCTCTGGTGATCTCTGTTCCTAAGATGTTTTGGTCAAAGTCTCTGAGCAGAAAAGATGTGTGTTGTAACTTGTGTTGTTTGCACACACCGTGAGTGAAACTTAATTAAATAGTAGAACATGTATTACAGTGACTGCCGAAAGCATCTCCAAAAGTTTACCAGCCAAATCATAATTTTTGTTTTTTGTTTGGGTACAATTGAAAAGAAATCTAAACCGGCTTTTGGAAAATCAAAATTTTAGTGAACTCGGCAACTGTAATCGGTTAGTTATGCCTTTCAGGATAAACCGTATAATTAAGACGAGAAAACCTTTAAAAAGAAAAAGCTGCGAACCGGATGTTTCGATTAAACCGGACGGTTTTTGTAGCTAAAGACTGTCAAGTTTCAGTTAATTTGGTGGAGTAGAAAACCGGACGATTTCACATAGTCGTCGTGCTTTCTCTGTTCGTCGGCGAAGCTCACAATCTACCCAGTCGCCATTGTTCACGGCTTCTTTCCCGAATTCTGAGCCTAATCAATAACCAAATCGTGCTCAGGTATTCTATCGACCCTTGTCTCATACGTTCGATCGCAACCTCTCTTGTATTTCGGTTTGGCCAATTCTCCAATTCATCTTCAACTTCAAGTACCTAAGTGAATTTGTCAAGGGTTTTCTGGAATCTCTTCAATTTTTTTTTGTTAAAACGATGAGAATGCTAATGTTTTGGGGTCAAGCTGGGAAAATGATGTTTTTTTTTTCATCTTCTCAGCATTCAGAGAGGAAAAAACAATATTTGGACGTTTCGTCTCATTCTATGATTCTTTATCCGGCTAATTAGATCTCCGAATCCAATCAATTAAACCACGAAAGTGTCTGAGTGAAGTTGTTTAGCTGAAACCAATTACATCTTCAGATTCGATCGATCAGAACCTTCAGATTTTTGCCTTCGATCATCCAGTTAAGCCGCATCGTGATCCCAGACGACGTCGGAATTGGTGTGCGGATCGATCTCTCACTCCCCGTGGGCCATTGATCATGGAAAGGCCTGGACAAAAAGTTTTGTACGAGATACGTCATCATGCTTCATTGCCTTATGTTCCTAGATATCCTCCTCTTCCTCAGGTACAAGATTCATTCTCATAGAGTCAACTAATCGCTGTGAAATTGTGTTTATATCTTACATTGTGCTTTGCTCCTTTGATCTGCTGGCCAAGTTCAGGCAGATGGAAATGATTCCACAGGAGGGCTTCGGTCCCTTGTCTCCATTAGAGGTTAGTTGCAGATGGTTGATTCTCTAGTTGTTCTACCTACTTTAATTCTCTATCGGTGTAAAAAGCGAAGCTTTATCACGTTCTCTAGCTTTTTTTTTAGTTTTCCAGAAATTGATTGAGTTCTATGTAGCCTACTTTTTTCCTCTTGTTCTGTATCATTATCCTCAGCAACGGCTCATCGTAGGGTTTCCTTTCGTGTGCATTTCTCTTTTTCTTTCAAATAGCATTATATGGCCCATTGCTTGATACATGGTTCTTCATCTCTATCCTCTTATGTTATTAAGGTGTTAGTCAACTCAAGGAAAAGTGGAGTGAATATTGGCATCCGAGAAAAAATAATAAACCGGTTTCATTATTTATTTCACCAAGAGGAGAGTTTGTGGCTGTCACTTCGGGGAATCACGTTACAATCTTGCAGAAGAATGATGATTACAGGAAACCTTGTGGTAGTTTTACAGGTAAGATATTCCAACTGGGTTATCTTCCTCAAAATTTCGCCTGATAAGATTTTTTGGGGACGATTGCCATAGCTCACTCTAATAAACGAGGTTTTAAAATGCTGCATAAATCTTGTCAAACTGTCTGTTTGGTTCTTTGTAATAACAAACTCGCGTAATACTTTACAAATGCGTTTACCTTTTCCTTAAAGTTTATATGTGGATTCATCTTTCTATGAAATCTTAGACTGTTCCATTCTCTTATTCTGTTAATTTTCCCAAAAAAAATGCTTTTCTCACTATACCGTTTTTTCTTTCTTTCTGTTTTCTTAAGCATGGTCCTTTCCATGTTCTCACTATGGTCTTCTAACTTCTGTTCTCTGTACCAGCCAGCATATCAGGATCATTTACTTCTGGAATTTGGTCCGAAAATCATGATGTTCTTGGTCTTGTGGATGATAGCGAGACCCTCTTTTTCATCAAAGCTAATGGTGAAGAAATAAGTCAAGTCACAAAAAGAAATTTGAAGGTTTCTTCATCAGTATTAGGACTGATGGAGGATGACGATGTTTTGCAGACATCATGCTTGTACGTTTCCTTTTGTCTCTTTTTTTTTATTCATTAAGACTTAAAATATTGGGATCCGGATGTGACATTCAGCACCACAGTATGCTTGTTTGCTTAAGCCCTACCGGTTATATGAAAAATTGTGACTGGTCTATCACGATGACATATTCCCTGCAGGTGTTCATTCAGCGTACTGACATCAGATGGACTTGTTCATCATGTCGAGATCAGTAAGGAACCAAGTGCTTCTGTCTTCTCCAAGCATGCTTCAAATGGCGTCCCAGCTTTGAAAAAGCAGTTCCCCAACCATGTTTTTTGCTTTGATTACCTTCCGAATCTTTCTTTTCTTCTCATTGTTGGTAGTGCTGCTGGCACATCACCGACAGGGAGTTCTGGTAGGTTTTATAAACTTATTTTAGTTGAAGAAGTTTAGAACTAATAGTACATATTGTTAAGACGTGTAAAAGACATAAAAGCTACATGCGTGTTGGAAATCAATCAATTTGGCAACTTACTGGTGTGCTCGTTTATAAGTGTACGCATTTCATACTTATCAAATTTTGTGATCGTTGAATGAAAAGTGTTGGTGTTGAACCTATGAACAGAGCTCTTGGATTTATAATTCTCCGATAATTTATTTGTTATTTATGTACTGTCAGGTTCATCGTGTATTTCACTTTGGCGTAAGTGTCAGAATTCAGGTCTGGAACTGTTGTCCACCACGAAGTTTGAAGGCGTGTACTGTGAGAGAAAAGATTCTCAGTTGGCATATCCAAAGGTTTTGATCTCACCTCAAGGGTCACATGCTGCGAGTCTTGATAGCAATGGGTGTCTGCATCTCTTCCACTTGGACAAAGCAAGATTCACACTTTCGTGTTGTACTTCTGAAGACATTTCTGATTCACTGAAGCCAGATAAATCACTAGAAAGTCTAAGAATTGTTGTAGATTTTACATGGTGGTCTGATCATGCCCTTACAGTTTTAAAAAGGAGCGGTAATGTTAGTATATTTGACATCCGTAGATGTGTTATAGTTCAAGAAGATGCCACCATTTATTCTATGCCTGTGGTGGAAAGAGTTAGGAGGTTTGAAGGACACATTTTTCTTTTAGAAAGTTCAACGCAGGAAGCAAAATCAGCTCTGGCCAAGGTTGACAGGGATCCAAGTGAATCGCATCATACTAGTGATCGTGGTATGTTGTGGAGGCTAATATCTTTTACTGAGAAAACAATTCCTGAAATGTATAAAATCTTAGTTGAGAACTGCCAGTATCAGGAGGCCTTGGATTTTGCTGATAGTAATGGTTTGGACAGAGATGATGTTTTCAAGTCAAGATGGCTGAACTCAGAAAAAGGGTTAAGTGATGTGAGCATGGTTCTATCAAAGATAAAAGATAAAGCTTTTGTGCTCTCTGAATGCTTAGATAGAATTGGGCCAACAGAAGATTCCATGAAGGCCTTACTTGGGCATGGACTTCATCTTACTAACCACTATGTATTTTCTGAATCTGAAGATCAAGAATCCGAACAACTTTGGGAATTTCGAATGGCTAGGCTTCGTCTATTACAGTTTAGTGAACGACTCGACACATATTTGGGGATAAGCATGGGCAGGTATATGTCTCTACACTTGCTATCTTCTTTTCCTTTCTTTTCCTTACTAGGGAGTTACATCTAAAACTGGTTAATGATATTGTCTCCCACAGATATTCAGTGCAGGATTATAGAAAATTTCGGAGCAGTCCTATAAATCAGGCTGCAACTGCACTTGCTGAGAGCGGGAGGATAGGGGCCTTAAACCTGCTCTTTAAGCGACATCCTTATTCACTTGCTTCTTTCACGCTACAAATTTTGGCAGCCATTCCTGAAACAGTTCCCGTTGAAACGTATGCACATCTTCTTCCTGGAAAATCTCCTCCGACCAGCATGGCGGTGAGAGAAGAAGACTGGGTTGAATGTGAGAAGATGGTTAAATTTATTAATAAATTGTCTGAGAGTGGCAAGAATGATTCTCAGATTAAAACTGAGCCAATTGTCAGGATGTGTTTGGGGTATAACTGGCCATCATCAGAAGAACTTGCTTCATGGTACAAGAATAGAGCAAGAGATATTGATTCTTCCACTGGGCTGCTAGAAAACTGCGTTTGCTTGATAGATATTGCATGTCGAAAAGGCATATCTGAGTTGGAACAGTTCCATGAGGACCTATCATACTTGCACCAGATAATTTATTCTGATGAATTTGGGGACGAAGTTTGCTTCAGCTTGAGCCTTGTTGGTTGGGAGCAATTATCTGATTATGACAAATTTAAAACAATGCTTGAAGGGGTTAAAGCGGAAACTGTGGTTAGTAGATTGCATGACAAGGCAATTCCATTTATGCAGAGAAGGTATTCGGAGACAAACAACCATAATGAGTCCTTTCTAGTTAAATGGCTGAAGGAGATGGCAGCAAAAAGTGATATGGAATTATGCTCAAAAGTGATAGAGGAAGGGTGTATGGATTTATATACTGTTTGTTTTTTTAAGGATGAGGTTGAAGTTGTTGATTGTGCTCTGCAATGCCTGTATTTGTGCAAAGTTACGGATAAGTGGAACATCATGGCAACAATGCTATCAAAGCTACCAAAGATACAAGGTTAGCTGTCCAGATCCATTGTATCCCCAACTCTAAATCTACATAACTAAATAATCAGATGTCCTAACAACACTTACTTCCATGAAAAATGCAGATATCCATGGTGAAGACATTCAGAAAAGACTCAAACTGGCGGAAGGTCATATAGAAGCAGGGAGGCTTTTGGAACTTTATCAGGTTCAAAAATGCGTCTGCATCTTAAATTAAATACTTAAATGCCTTTTAGCAAACCAATATGTAGTCTTTTTGAAATGACCTAGCTTAGGCATAGACATATGTGCACCTAAAAATGGATTTTATATCTGAAATTTTGTGGAAGTTATAATGCTGCCACGTTTTGCTCCGCAGGTCCCAAAACCAATTAGTTATATTCTTGAGGTTCATTTGGATGAAAAAGGTGTAAAGCAGATCCTTCGACTCATGCTTTCAAAATTTATTCGTCGTCAACCTGGAAGATCTGATAATGACTGGGCATGCATGTGGCGTGATCTGCGACAGTTGCAAGAGAAAGCTTTTCCTTTTCTTGATCTTGAGTTCGTGCTGACGGAGTTCTGTAGAGGACTTCTGAAGGCTGGGAAGTTTTCTCTGGCTAGAAATTATCTCAAGGGTACGGGCTCAGTTGCTCTCCCATCAGAGAAGGCAGAGAGTCTTGTTATTAATGCGGCAAAGGAATACTTCTTCTCTGCTCCGAGCCTTGCTTCTGAAGAAGTAAGTGGTGTTTCTTTCATTTGTGTATAATGCTTTTGTCCCTGCTAAATATATTTATGCAACTTGTCATCCTGTTAAGTTCTCGCGTCTGGTGATCTAGAGTTTTTTCTTTTTTTTTGGGTCACAAAGTTTAGTGTCAACATTTCACTTTTGTGCTTAGATATTTTTTCATTTTATTTTTCAGATTTGGAAAGCAAGGGAGTGCCTGAATATATTTTCTAATAGCCGGACTGTTAAAGCTGAGGCCGATATCATTGATGCAGTTACTGTTAGGCTTCCAGATCTTGGGGTTACTCTCTTACCAGTTCAGTTCAAACAAGTAAAAGACCCAATGGAGATTATTAGGATGGCCATCACAGGGCATCCTGGGGCTTATCTACATGTTGAAGAACTTATTGAGGTTGCTAAACTTCTTGGGTTGAATTCTTCAGAAGATATATCATCTGTTGAAGAAGCTATTGCTAGAGAAGCTGCAGTTGCAGGCGACCTACAGCTGGCTTTTGATCTATGCCTTGTTCTAACCAAAAAGGGACATGGTCCTATTTGGGATTTAGGTGCTGCGATAGCAAGAGGTCCTGCACTTGAGCACATGGATGTAAGTTCTCGAAAGCAGTTGCTTGGCTTTGCGTTGGGTCACTGTGACGATGAATCGATCAGTGAGTTATTGCACGCATGGAAAGATCTTGACCTGCAAGGCCAATGCGAGACTCTGGGAATGTTATCAGAGTCAGATTCTCCAGAGTTTCGCAAGATGGACGGTATTTCTTGTCTGAGAGATTTCCCTCAGATGCTTGATGGGCTAAGCTTTGATCAACAGCTAGATTTGAATAATATCAAAGATACACTTTCTGTTGTGGCTAAGGACTTGCCAGTTGATAATAGCATGGACTTGGAATCTCTTCTAAAGGAAAATGGGAAGCTTCTCTCATTTGCTGCTTCACATCTTCCTTGGTTGCTTAAGCTGGGTAGAAATAGGCAATTAGATAAAAGTCTGGTACTTGATTCAATTCCTGGAAAGCAGTTTTTCAGCACAAAAGCAACTGCTCTTGTTACCATTCTTTCTTGGCTGGCAAGGAATGGTTTTGCACCAAAAGATGAACTGATAGCCATGATTACAGACTCGATCATTGAACAACCGGTAACAAAAGAGGAAGACATTATAGGATGCTCCTTTCTGTTGAATCTAGTAGAAGCATCTAATGCAGTAGAAGTTATAGAAAAGCAGTTGAGAATAAGAGGGAATTACCAAGAAATTCGAAGTATCATGAGTCTAGGGATGATATATAGTTTGTTACATGACTCTGGAGTAGAGTGCACGGCTCCTAACCAGAGGAGGGAGCTGCTACGGAGGAATTTTGAGAGAAAGCAGATAGAAAGTCTCTCTGGTTAGTGTTATCTCAAAATAACTGGTTGTTTCGAGCCTTTTTGATCTCTTGGTGCCATTTTATATATCAGTAATCAATTGTGCTTCTGTTTATTCCTGCTTGCTCTATTTTTTTCAGATGATATGAGTAGGATCGACAAACTTCAATCAACTTTTTGGAAGGAATGGAAACATAAATTAGAGGAAAAAATGCATGTAGCTGACCGTTCTAGAATGCTGGAAAGAATCATTCCCGGGGTTGAAACTGAAAGGTTTTTGTCCCATGATATTGACTACATTAAGGTTGCTGTTTTCTCACTCATTGAATCTGTGAAATCGGAGAAGAAGCTGATTTTGAAGGATGTATTAAAATTAGCTGATACATATGGCTTGAAGCAGTCAGAGGTAAGAAATATACATATAACTCGTTAAAGGTTATATTTTCCGCAACTGCATCTACTATATGTCTGTCTTTTTCTTCTCACCAGGTGATATTAAGGTATTTAAGTTCTATCCTTTGCTCTGAGGTTTGGACAAATGAGGATATCACGGCTGAAATATTACAAGTCAAGGAAGAAATACTTGCCTTTGCTTCAGACACCATACAAATCATAAGCACAATCGTGTACCCAGCGGTTAGTGGTCTCAACAAACAACGCCTTGCCTACATATACAGCCTCCTTTCTGAGTGTTATTGCCGTTTGGAAGCAAGCAAGGAAGAATCATCGTTGGTGCAACAGGTTCAACCGCATGGTTCTTTCGTCGGGTTATCAAATTTGTATAATATTCTTAAGCAAGAATGCAGAAGAGTGTCGTTCATCACAGACTTGGATTTCAAAAATATCGCCGAATTGGGAGGTTTAAACTTTGACAGCTTCAACAATGAAGTCCTTGCGCACATCAATGAGATGAACCTGGAAGCTTTGGCCAAAATGGTAGAAACTCTCACTGGCTTCGTCATGGAGAGTTCACCCAAGGGTCTCGTTTCCTGCCAAAATGTCTACAAACAGTACATTACGAATTTGTTAGATACATTGGAAAGTAGAAGAGATCTTGATTCTGGAAGTGCAGAGAGTTTCCAGGGATTCCTCAGTCAACTCGAGCAGACCTATGAACACTCTAGAGTATATATCAGGATCTTAGAACCTTTACAGGCTCTGGAAATCCTGAAACGGCATTTGACGGTAGTTCTACCGCCAAATGGTTCCGACGTGCACATCCCTGATAGTTCGACATGGCAAGAATGCCTTATCTTACTGATTAACTTTTGGATAAGATTAGCCGATGAGATGCAGGAAGTAAAATCATGTAGTCCAAGTTTTGAGGAGAATCTTACCTTAAGCCCTGAATGCATTAACAGCTGTCTTACTGTTCTCATAAGACTAGTAATGGACGACAGTCTCTCCCCAAGTCAGGCATGGGCTGCAATACTTGTATACCTTAGGTCTGGCGTGGTTGGTGATTGTGCCACTGAAATCTTCAGTTTCTGCAGAGCCGTAGTCTTCTCGGGTTGCGGATTTGGGCCGATCTGTGATGTCTTCTCAGATTTATCCTCTCGGTATCCAACAGCTTTGCAGGATCTTCCGCATCTTTATTTGAGCTTACTTGAACCTATTTTGCAGGATTTGGTATCTGGGGCTCATGAAACACAGAATCTTTACCGATTACTATCTTCTCTCAGTAACTTGGAAGGGAATTTGGAAGAACTGAAGCGTGTTAGGCTTGTAGTGTGGAAAAAACTCGTAGTATTTTCTGAGAACCTGGAGTTGCCAAGTCAGGTTCGTGTCTACTCCTTAGAGCTTATGCAGTTCATCTCGGGTAAAAATATCAAAGGCTCGTCGTCTGAGCTACAATCAAACGTGATGCCATGGGACGGTTCAGCTGAGTTACTATCATCTATGCATAAGAGTGAAGCCACACTTAACCAAGCATTGCCTGACCAGGATGATGGCTCTAGCAGGCTCACAAACACTCTGGTTGCACTTAAATCATCTCAGATCGCTGCAGCGTCCATCTCTCCAGGATTAGAGATATCCCCTGAGGATCTATCGAGTGTTGAGACATCTGTTACCTGCTTTTCTAAACTCTCTGCTGCGGTTACTACAGCTTCACAAGCTGAAGCTCTTCTGGCGATTTTAGAAGGATGGGAAGAGCTATTTGAAGCTAAGAAAGCCGAACTATTGCCATCTAACGAGGCAACTGACCAAGGAAATGACTGGGGCAATGATGATTGGAATGATGGATGGGAGACACTTCAGGAATCAGAACCTGTGGAGAAAGAAAAAAAGGAATACGTAGTCTCAGCTCATCCCTTACATTCGTGCTGGCTGGATATATTCAGAAAGTACATTTCATTAAGCATGGCTGAAAATGTTCTACGACTTATAGATGAATCCCTTCAGAAACCGGAAGAGGTCCTGCTTGAAGAAAATGAAGCAGAAAGCCTGACCGGGATCGTGGCCAGGACCGACCCATTTCTCGCACTAAAGATTTCTCTTTTATTGCCCTACGACCAGATCAGGTCTCAGTGTCTCAACGTTGTTGAGGAACAACTGAAGCAAGAAGGCATTCCGGAATTATCGAGTCAGAGCCATCATGAAGTTCTACTTCTGGTTCTATATTCTGGGACTCTCTCAACGATCAATTCCAATTCTTGCTACGGCACAGTCTTCTCTTTCCTCTGTTATCAAATTGGAAAGCTATCCCGGGAGTTCCAAGAAAAGCGGGTAACACAGGCCGACAACAGAGAATCGAAAACAAGTTCCGAGAGACGGTTTCTGTCATGTTTTGGGGAACTCATGTTCCCGTGTTTTGTCTTAGAGCTTGTGAAGGCCGATCAACAGATATTAGCCGGGTTTCTGGTGACCAAGTTCATGCACAGTAACCCATCTCTGAGTCTGATTAATGTTGCAGAGGCAAGTCTAAGGAGATACCTGGAGAAGCAACTTGAGTCTTTAGAGGATTCGTCTGGTGAGACCACAGAACTTGAAACGCTGAAGAATACAGTGTCAAGCCTAAGGGGCAATTCAAAGGAAGTTATACGATCTGCCTTAGCATCTCTTTCTAGTTGTACAAACAGCAGATGATATATATTATATGAAAGGATGGTGCTTCTTGCGAGGTGAAATGTAATTTAGGAGAGGGTAAATCTGTTTAAATGATAGTGCCATCATCTTGTATTGATACAATTCCAACGAAAACCAGATTTAGTAGGAATTTTTTTTATTTAAAATAACCTCTGCTTTTTGACGGCTTCTATGGCTCCAAAAACCAAGGAGTTGAAAACCTCCATTGTTGCTCTTTGCTTCTTCTATATTTTGGGAAGTGCCAAACCAACCGGTACAAACCGTGAACCAAAACCAAATTTAAAACCGACCGGTTAACGTTTGTCATTATCGCATAAAGAAGGATCTGTATAAGTTTCGGTATTTCATTTCCCGACACAAATTTTGCGAACTCAAATCGCGTAATCCCAAAAATAGATCAGTTCTTCTCCGTTTTCGAAATTTGATAATTCTCCGATTCGTAGATGAGATCGCGATAAACCCTCTACCCTCAGCTGAAATCGATTGTCTATTTTTGTATCCAGAGGAGAAAGTTCATGGTTTTCCAGCGATGAGAGGATCCGCACTACTTGATTTCGTTGTGTTCTTGCTTGTATCTCCATTAGCGCACAGTCTCAAGGGATCTGAAATCTCCAAGTTCTCTGAGAAATCTGTTTCGAATCAAATCTCCCAACCCACTCGGTTCGTCTCTTTGATTGATCGATTATACATGATCTGTGCTTGACTTCATTCTCTTCTCGCTTATTTAAAATTCCATTGGAAGCAAACAAAAATCAAAAGTTTCACTTTTTTTAATCTAATTTATGTGTCATTGTTTTTCATTTGATCTATGTTTTGGTTAATCTTGTTATGATGTAACATTTTTTCAGTGCTTCCGTCTTAAATTTGACATCTTGTTTAAGCCTTTGAGGTTTCTGGATTATCCTATACTTCTTCTGAATTTTGCAATCCCTGTTCTAAGCAAGCTGATGATTGTGATTTCTTCAGAGAATCTCGTTATTTATTGATTTCTACGGTAGACGGAGCGATATCATTGGTAGATACGTCTTCAAAAAAGGTTGATTGGACATTCCATACCAACGAGCCGATATATTCATCCTACAAGGCTCCTCATTATCATTATAGCAACGATGAGGAAAGTGCCCCTGTGCTTGATGATGACTTTTACATGGATTGTGATAAGGATTGGAATCTTTACAATTCCTCTATGCGAGAAGGAAAACGCATAAATGAGGTATATAACTTGGCAATCTTTATTTGTTGTTATTCTCGGTTTTGTTGATGCTAAGGCTGTCTCTCATATGGTCTTAAAATCATTTTCTTAAAGATTGTCTATTGGTTGAACAGTCGTAGAAAAGCAGCTAAACATTTTAAATTTAGAGTTGTAGATATTATATATGAGTCTTTTACATCGTGAAGTACCTTTATATCCTTTTTTCTCTCACTATAGTCTTATCATATGGAACTCTTCTCTTTCAGATAGTGGATGCTTCGAACTTCATTGGAAGTTTGCCGTACTCATTGACGGATAGGATTGTTTTGGGTAAAAAAGACACATCTGTGTTTCTCTTGGATGGCAAGACTGGAAATTTGGTTAAGAGGTACAGAGTGGACGACCTATACTCTAACTCTGTCGTTCAAGATGCTAAAGAAAAGGCTATTGTTTTGTCTGAAGAAGCTCCGATACTACTTGGATCCGGGTTTAAGGAACCAGAAGATCGTCCCGAGCTGGTTTACATTGAGAGAAAAGATTTTAAACTCCAATGTGTATCAAAATTTGGAGATGTTTTGTGGAGTCTTTCTTATGCTGAGATGGAAGCTAAACTACAACATCATGAGAGCGCACAACTCATGGGTGGGTTATCATCATCAGCTGGTATTCCTATTAGAACTACAAATACTCCGGTGCTCCGATTCCGTTATAAGTTTGAACAAATGTTTCCGAGACTTGGTTTCCAAGATGGAGCTTTGTATCTTACATTTCAAGATAGAAAGCCAAATCAGTTGGCTCCTGGAAATGGGAATCCTTTGGCACTTCCGAGCAACAATGAGGCTGAAGAAGTCCTCTCCCTTCCTCTGCCTGAGACTGTAATATCTCAGATCACAGATATCAGTGATGGAAGCTCTACACAGACGGGCGTCGCAAAAAAAATTTCTGATTTGATTGTCCTACTTATCGGCTTTTGCGTAACTGTCCTTTCTCTTTGTGGCCTTGTCTTTCGTCGAATAAGACAAAGCAAGTGGATCAAGGAGCCTTGCGTATCTGAAGTGCCAATCGTGATACCTAAGAAGAAAAAGTCCAAGAAAAATGGGACGACAAAGGCTATTCACAAAAAGGAAAACGGGTATATATCTGGAGGGAACAAAGATCTCTCATTTGAAGAGAACGAGAAAAAATTAGTTACGACCTTCCCTGGCCTTAATAATAGTCCACTGGAAGGATATAGAGTTGGCAAACTGTTTGTCTCCAACAAGGAGATAGCTAAAGGAAGCAATGGAACTGTTGTCCTAGAGGGGTCCTATGAAGGCCGTCTTGTAGCGGTTAAGCGTCTAGTACAAACACATCATGATGTGGCTCAGAAGGAGATTTTGAATCTCATGGCTTCAGACAAACATCCAAATATTGTCCGTTGGTACGCGGTTGACCAGGACGAACATTTTATCTATATTTCATTGGAACGGTGTGCTTGTAGCTTAAACGATCTCATCTATGCATCCTGTGGACTGCTTGAAAATCCAGTGGCTTCAAGTAGTATACATTCGATTCAGATAAACCCAATCCTTGATAATGGCAAGGGTGTTGAACTATGGAAGGAGAACGGACATCCTTCTCCTGTTTTGTTGAAGTTGATGAGGTTTGTTTAGTTTCTCACTTGGAGACTTAAATCAAAATCAAAGATTGCATACATCTTTTTGATCTTTGTACATTTGTGTTACAGGGATATAGTTGCTGGTCTAGTTCATTTGCATGATATTGGAATCGTACATCGAGATCTAAAGCCTCAAAATGTGTTGATTGTGAAGAACTCATCTGTATGTGCGAAGCTATCAGATATGGGTATTAGCAAGCGCTTGCCAGCCGACACAAGTGCCTTGACTAGAAACTCAACTGGTAAGAATCTTGAGAAGTGAGATGATACAATGTAATAATGGAAACAGAGAATGATAGTTTTCTTCTCGTGTATAATTTTTGTTTCTCATGATAGGCTCTGGAAGTTCCGGGTGGCAAGCACCTGAGCAACTCCGCAATGAACGACAAACAAGAGCCGTTGATCTCTTCAGTTTAGGATGTGTGCTCTTTTTCTGTATGACTGCAGGAAAACATCCTTATGGAGACAATTTTGAGAGGGACATAAACATTTTGAATGATAGAAAAGATCTTTTCTTGATCGAGAGTCTTCCAGAAGCTGTTCATCTTCTCTCTGGTCTCCTACACCCGGATCCAAATTTGAGGTAAGGAAATACGGTTGGTACATTTGGTTGACGTTTTCGCTATCGTCACTTGAAAATACTATTTATCAAAACTAGCATTTGCTCACACAAAGTTTACATCGATAACTTGTGGGTTTATCTGTTTGTATATTAGGATTTAATTTAAGTTTGTGGTAGAAAGAGGTCCTAGACTTGATGATTGTATTTCATGGAAACTCTCCTTGTCGCTAACGAAGCTTTTTATATATATTTGAAAATATACAGACCGAGAGCACAAGAAGTTCTGCATCATCCATTGTTCTGGAACTCTGACATGAGACTGTCTTTTCTCCGGGATGCAAGCGATAGGGTCGAGCTGGAAAACCGAGAAGAAGGGTCACAGCTCTTGGCTGCACTTGAAAGCACAGCAACGGTCACTTTAAACGGGCGGTGGGATGAGAAATTGGATAGTATATTCCTAGACAATATCGGGCGTTACAGGCGGTACAAATTTGACAGCATCCGTGATTTGTTACGGGTCATAAGGAACAAGCTGAATCATTATAGAGAGCTTCCTCGAGAATTACAGGAACTACTTGGTAGTGTACCCGAAGGGTTTGATAGGTACTTCTCAAGCAGGTTCCCTAAACTTTTGATTCAGGTCTATACAGTTTTATTTGAATACTGTAACAATGAAGAGTTCTTTTTTAAGTACTCTAAGACCACTGTATTCTAGGTGTCTTTTCTTCTGTTGACTCTGTATAATGAATTTACTACTAAAGTTATATAATTGATCTGATTATAAAAGAAAATTTGTTGCCGATATGTGGAATGGTTTATACGTATGTTGATGCTTAAAGTAAAGTTTTGATTTATGCAATTGTTTGTTAGAAAATTCTTTTTGGATGATGGTGTTAGTTGTTAGTACATTTTTTTTTTTTTGGATGATGATGTTTAGTTGTTAGTACATTTTTTTTCTCATAGTTTGTTGTTAGTACGTTTTTAGTTAATTTGAAGGTAAAGTGTGTTGATCATAATTTGGTGATGGTCTCAGAACTTATACATCCCAAAAACATTATATCAAGGGTTTAATACAATAAATTAGTATCGCAGTAATATTACGGAAAAAGACAAACAAATTTCAACAAATGAGTATATATATTGACTGAAAACTCATTTCAAATATATAAAAAGAAAAAAAAAACTGATATTATGGGGACACATAAAAGTTGGGACAAATCAGGTAGTAACTGAAGTCAAACATGCAACCACCACACACACACACTTTCAAAAGTCAGTGATCTTTCCCTTTTGTGGGTTCACTGTCGACACTTTTAAGGGACTCCATTTTTTTCCTATTTTTATATATAAAATCAAAAAGGCAACTTTGGCATTAATTGTACTACGATCTCTTATTATTAATTTTAATTTGTTAATGGTATTACAAATGTAATCAGATTTGGTAGTAATTGGACCAACAAACATATCTCTCCCGCTCTGGCTTTTGTAACTGCAAAACGCGTGTACCTTTCCATTTTTCGGACATACGAACTTTGAATCCCAATTTCTGTACTGTCCTTAAAAAAAAAATGCAAACCCTAATTTGTACTTCTATGCAGTACACTTTCTCTCCTTCTCTCTCTCTTCATTCATTTCATTTCCCTTCTATAAAACTTTTCATTCAACATTCTCCAATATGTGATCTTCTCTGTTTCTTCTTCTTCTTCTTCTTCTTCTTCTTCTTGGATCTTACGTGAAAACCCGTCTCTAAAAATCCTTCTTTTTCTCTTTTCTTTTGTAATCTCCCGGATCTGGTAAAATTTGCTTACCGTGTGTAGGAAGCAAATCAATCCATCTGGGAGGAACATCGGAATTTCCCAAGTTTATTGTTTTTTCATTCCCCATTAGATCTCAATGGAAAACGAGACGAGTGTTGAGAGAGAACAACACAACAGTAATCACGAAAAACCACCGCCATGGAGGAAACAGATCACGTTTCGTTCGATCGTCGCGAGTTTGTTGATCGGCGTCGTCTACAGTGTCATCTGTTTGAAGCTGAACCTAACGACAGGTCTCGTCCCGAATCTCAACATCTCATCAGCTCTTCTTGCCTTCGTCTTCCTCAAATCTTGGACCAAAGTCCTCCAAAAAGCAGGATTCGTCACTACTCCTTTCACTCGCCAAGAGAACACCATTGCTCAGACTTGTGCTGTTGCTTGTTACAGCATCTCTCTTGCAGGTATATTAGTACACAACAATGTTCACTTAATAATAATAACAATAAAAACAAAAAATTCGATTTTTAACCGATCAAGCTTCGTCATCGCAGGTGGATTCGCGTCGTATTTGTTGGGTTTAAATAGACGAACTTACGAGCTTACGGGAGTGAACACGCAAGGAAACAACCCTCGTGGGATCAAGGAGCCTGGTGTTGGATGGATGACGTCATTCCTCTTTGTTACTAGCTTCATCGGACTAGTTGTATTAGTACCTCTTCGTAAGGTAATTTTACAGATTTATTTTGAGGGATTATGAGAATACAAGTTTGATTCAATGGTCTGATTTTCGATGATGAATGATTATAAAAAAAAAAAAAAAAAAAACAGGTGATGATCATAGACTATAAGCTCACGTATCCTAGTGGAACTGCAACTGCTGTTCTCATAAATGGATTTCACACTAGCAAAGGAGATAAGACAGCCAAGTATGTTCTCTTCTTGGATCTTGCTTTTTTTTTTGTTTGTTTCTCTCTTGTTCATTGATTTAATGATTTTTTTATTGATCTGACAGGAAACAGATTCGTGGGTTTATAAAATCGTTTGGATTGAGTTTCTTTTGGGCATTCTTTGGATGGTTCTATTCAGGTGGTGACGCATGCGGTTTCTCTCAGTTCCCTACCTTTGGATTACACGCTTGGAAAAAATCGTCAGTTTTTTGCTCTGTTTCCTCTGTTTTGATTACCTTAATATTTTCTTTTTCTTTTTCACAACAATTTTGATTGAAGAAACTTTTCCATATCGTTTTGGGGTACAGATTTTTCTTCGACTTTAGTATGACATATGTTGGAGCTGGGATGATCTGTTCACATTTAGTGAATCTATCTTTGCTCTTCGGTGCAATCCTCTCTTGGGGAATAATGTGGCCTCTGATAGCTCAGCTTAAAGGCGAATGGTTCCCTGCTACTTTGCCTGAGAGCAGCATGAAGAGTTTAAATGGCTACAAGGTCTGATTTTTATACTTTGTTTTTTATACATCTCTCACATACAAGATGTGTAAGCTGTGAAAGCAAGAAAAGATGCGATTAGAGTTTCCTTTGTGGTTTTGTTATCATCAGGTGTTTATATGCATTGCATTGATCTTAGGAGATGGGCTTTATAACTTCCTAAAGATACTTCTTTTCACTGGAAGAAGCTTCCACTCTAGACTCTCCAAAACCAACAGCATCAACACATGTAAGTTATCTGTGGATTCTATCTCCCAAACTAAAAACATTCTATATTCTCTTGTGGAAACATTTGTATAACCGATTCATTTTAGTGGCAGAGGTTCCAGAAGATGCCACAAAGGAATCCGAAAGCATGAAACGAGAGAACGAAGTATTTGTTAGAGAGAGCATTCCTCTATGGATGGCTAGTGCAGGATACTTATTCTTCTCCCTTGTCTCCATCATAGCAATCCCTCTGATGTTCCCTCAGCTGAAATGGTACTTCGTCCTCGTAGCTTACCTCCTTGCACCATCTCTCAGCTTCTGTAACGCCTACGGGGCTGGCTTAACCGACATGAACATGGCTTACAACTACGGTAAAGCGGCGCTCTTTGTGATGGCTGCATTGGCTGGAGAAAGCGATGGAGTAGTGGCAGGAATGGTAGCTTGTGGTCTCATAAAATCAATCGTCTCTGTCTCAGCTGATTTGATGCACGATTTCAAGACAGGACATCTTACGCTCACATCTCCACGCTCGATGCTTGTAGCTCAAGCCATCGGGACAGCCACTGGCTGTGTGGTTGCGCCGCTCACTTTCTTCCTCTTCTACAAGGCGTTTGATGTTGGAAACCCGGATGGTGAGTACAAGGCTCCTTATGCTATCATCTATAGAAACATGGCCATTATCGGTGTTCAAGGTCTCTCTGCTCTCCCCGAGCATTGTCTCGAGCTTTGCTATGGTTTCTTTGCGTTTGCTGTTGCTGCTAACCTGGCGAGAGACCGATTGCCAGAGAGGCTAGGTAAGTGGATCCCACTCCCGATGGCTATGGCTGTGCCGTTCTTGGTTGGTGGGTCGTTTGCAATCGATATGTGTGTTGGGAGCTTTGTGGTGTTCGTTTGGAAGAAGGTGAACAGTAAGAAGGCAGAGTTTATGGTTCCGGCTGTTGCATCAGGTTTGATATGTGGAGATGGTCTCTGGATTCTTCCTTCTTCATTGCTTGCTCTGGCTAAAGTTCGAGCACCAATATGTATGAACTTCACGGCAGCTCACTAGGGCAGTGAGATTATTCTCAGAGAGAAACCAAACTCATTTGGTGGAGAAATGTATACTAGTTGTTGTTAGGTTAGGAGTAGACAGTTAAAGAAGATTAAACCAAATATACATGTATTAATAATTTTGAATAAGAATGAAGAGAAAGAGTTGGTTATTCTGTTACCGGGGGAAGATTCTCTTTCCCGGCACAAAAATTGTTTTTTTTTAAAACATACAAAAATGAAAATGGAGGAAGCAAAGCAATTATCTCCAAGGGAACTCGCAGGCAGAGAAACCCACTTCTCAAAGTTTCACTACACACCACACAAATCATGCCTGTTTTGACTCTAGCCTTGATATGTTAAACCGGATAAATCAAATCCTGGACTTGGATTCTTTTCCAAACCCGGCTACTATCCCCTCACGGCTTTCCAAAAAACCCACATTGCACACAAGCACAAGGCAGTTCTTATACCAGATAGCAAATTCAATAACACAGTAGAAGAAAGATTATGGGATCGTATGTTCAATCTTGGTGTGGAGGGTAACAATAAGGTCATGTGCATCGTCTAAGAGCTTCCACACGTCTAGTTTCCCTACCATACTGTGGCACTCCCCCAGAATCTCCTCCATGCTATTGTACTTCTCTATTATGAGTTTCCTCCTCTGCAAAACCGAAGCAGCAATCGCATACAGCAACAAATCGTCTTTGGGAGGAGCTCGCTGCTTTACCCGGCGGCTCCAAGAAGATTTACCAATCCCAGCTCTTATTGCAGCTTGGTCTGCCCAAATCACTTCCCAGAGATACAGCGTTTGCTCCAGCGTCAGTTCTCTTCTAAACATCACAAGAACCATTCTGTACACAAAGAAACAGTCTTCAGCCTTGACTTTCTCAAGATGCTTGTAGAGCTGCGAGTCTTTGGATTTGATAATCTTTGAGACTATGTTCAACTGCCTTGTGATCCCGACTTCATCGAGCCTGAAATTCTGACGAGCCTTCTTCATGAACCCAACAAAACACCAGAATGCCTCATTGTCATCAGGTATGACTGAGAGTATAGGGGAGAGAAGATCGCTCATTCCTTGGCAATAGCCAATCTCAGGGTCATGTAAGGCATAGGCTTCAAGAAGAGCGACAAGCCGTGCAGCGTGAAAGATTTTCGAAGGTTCCAAATGACTATAGTCCTTTAAAACAACTGCTTCTGCAGCACGACGTGCTCTATCCTCTGATACCATAGCTTGAGATGGTGGATATGGTGTCCACTCTGTATCGGCACGGACAGCGTCTAGACGGATAATACGCTGCCACGTCACAAAATCCTCTTTGGTACGTGAGATATATCTGCTGGATGGAGAAGTACTATTTTCATCTTTACTTTCTTCAGTAGAAGGAAAGACATGAACAGAATCATTCTCGTCTGAAGAATCCGAGTCTGAGGACTCAGAATTGAGGCGTCTTGAACCAGTGTAGTCTCTGTCAAGCATACATGAGACGTCACTCATGTACCCAATATCTTCGGTGTTTTCTTTGTCGCTAGAGAGAGACTCGTGAGTGCTGAAAGCATCGTCAGAACACGAACTGTCAGTATCTTGCGCAAGAGACCAACTGTTACGGCCATCTTGAGTAGTTTCATTGGTCTTGTTTAGCTTAAAAGTCCCACTGTTTCGTCTTTGAAGCCTTTTGCACTGCCTGCGCAGTCTCTCATACGCTTTTCTGCATTTGTAAAGTTAAGTGATATCAAGTCACAGATGAACAAGAAAAAAAAAAGAATCAAAAAGATTCTTGAGCAATGAGTGATCTGTTTCTCACCTTCTCTGCGTTCTTGTAGCGCCTCTCTCTTCTTTGGAACTACTGAAATCGTACCTGTTTGTAGAGTAGACAATAAACAAGGGTGAGGAAAACGAAGCAAGAACACTATGATTTTGTGAGCATATAAGTGTGTTTCAACATAATGCGATGATGCTTCTTAGCAATCAATCAAAAATTTGCAACACTTTCAACCCAATTTTCACCATGAGCCAGACAATGTCCGTAATTTCTGAACTTAAACTTACACTCCAAGAAGGAACGGCCACACCTCCGACCGAATGCTAGGATCAATACCCTACAAAGATTTATAAGAACATTTCAATACATTTGAAAAAAAAAAAAAAAAAAAAAAGACTTAACAACTTTACAAGGCTGTGAAGGTTTTGACTCACTCGACTCCGGATTTTCTTCAACAAATCAACTCCACAATTCCGAATTCTACCCTCAGGGGTGAATAGTCTTTTCCAACGCCGTGGTGTGAGGGGCTTTTTTCGTTTTCTTCGTGACCATGGCGATTTGAGTCGATGCCTGAGTAGCAAACAGAAACTGATTCAGAAAAATTCCTGCTTGTTCCGATACAAAATCAACCATGGAGCATAAACAAGACATGTCGATAGAGCAACGCTGCATTTCGGGAACCTTACAATGAAACATAGAGGGAGCAGAAGAAAAGATCATTCCTTTTTTTAAAAAAACGCAACTTTTGTGATCAACCAACCAAGTTTGGATCATCAAATACAAAAGATACATACATATGTTGATCCTATGGTGGAAGTTATAAAGTGGGTCCATTAGGACAAAAGCAAAACAAAATCCAACCATATAATATCATCCGGTAATAAAAGAGCAATCTACTAAATTTCACTTCTTGACACAAGAATTCTATACTCTCATCACGAATCTAACCAAGCAATCGTTGTAAAAATTGATCCTTTCCGAAACTGCCATTACGAAAAAAGGATTCAAGAGTCACAGAAACGCGGATCAAAGACAAAGAGACAGACATTAATAGAGAGATGTAAAAGAGACTCACGGATCGGAAGAAGAAGAAGCTGGAGATGAAGAAGTGACAAGGACGAGAGCAGAGCGCAAGTGGGTCCACGGAGAAGACGACGGGGAAGAGAATAATGGCGACGAGGGGATTGGAAACGAAGACTTCGTTTGAATCCGTCGAAGAGCTTTCATCGAATCCCACCTTCCTCTCTCTCTCTCTCTATCTATGTATCTTCCTCCCCAAAGTTAAAGCTGAATCAAGTCCAAACTTGTGCAGCCTCCAAAAATCGGAAAATCTCCGTTCGAATCGCCAACCGATGTGATCCAGAGCTCCGGCGAGAACCATATGACCTCCTCCGTCTTTGCCGCGTCGTTTCAGCTAGCTTCCGCTTCTCTGTAGAAAGTTGGGATTTTTGTCTCTATCTCTCTCTCTAGAATCTTAGAATGGGAAGTCAATTCCAGAGTAAGAAGAAGGAGTCATAAAGCCTATTTATTTGCCTTCATAAAAGTTTCATATGACCTCCACGTAGAGAAAAACCTGAGATCTACTTTTCTTTTTCATTTATTTAAATCTTATCTAGTTAACGCTTTTCACTATTCAAGTCAATAGATTGTTAAAGGGACATAAATTTCTACAAATCATATATTGATCATCATCAAATTCGAAAAGTTTAGACAAATTAAGATATGTTTCTTGATTGGTTTTCAATATATAATTGACATATATAAAATATTGTGAAGCCAAAAAAAAAAACGATATAAAGAATTGTTTTTAGATTTTTTTTTAATTTTCTTTTTGAAGGAAAAAAAAACGATACAAAATTTGGTTTAAGAAAATATCTCCTCAACTACATATTTTTCTAACTCTCAAATCTAGGCTATACAAACTAGTCAAAACAACCAGGGAGAGAATTATGGTTTTGAACTTTTGATACATTTTGACTAAATCAGAGAAACCGTTGATTTTGACTGCCTTCAACATCCAATGAGACTAGTTTCATTATTTCCATGCCAAGCAAGTATACGCTTTTATTACAACAGTCTCTCTCACAAGTCACAACACAAATGGAGAGAATCGGCGAGTTAACCACTCGACCTAACCAACCATAAAGCAAACCAGACTAGTCTCACATTGGTACTTTAAATGCAAATTCTAACATCGGTTTAGAGCTTGGAAGAGGCCGGTTTATCAAGAAACCAAACCAGCTCATCTTCAGCTGAAACGGAACCCGCAGGTACATCCCCAGTCTTCTTCAGTGCTGCCTGCACGGCTTCTGCTTTCCCAGAACCGCAAACAACTAGAGCTATATGCGCAGAAGAGTTGATAACCGGAAAAGTGAAGGTGATTCTCTCAGACGGCGGTTTAGGAGAGTCGGTGATGGAAGTTACCCATTTCTTGCTCTCGTTGCAGAGACCATGTCCTGGGAACAGGGATGCCACGTGGCCATCAGGGCCCATACCGAGAAGCATGAGGTCGAATTTGGGGAAGCCAGTTGATTCAGAGACGCGGAGGATATTGGTCTTGACCAAATGTTTGAGGCATGTCTCATAATCATCCGCTGCAGCCTCTGCAGAAAGGGATTCGTTGATTGCATATACGTTTCCAGGCGGTATTGGAACCTGAAGAGAAAACATTACATTGTGAAGAAGAAGTTTAGCTGACTCTTATCAGTTCATTGAAAAAGTATTGAACGCTAGTTAAGATAGCAAAGAAGTGTTCAAATCAAAGCCAGTATCAAGAGTTCTATGATTTTAATTCTTAACATCTGTTGACCATTGATTTAGGGATCATATGTATACAGTACTGCAACCTTAAACACATTGAATTTGAACCAATTTAGATAGGTCCCTCCTTTTTTTGGTAGCAATTCAGTAGAAAACAAAGACAAAGATACTGAGTTACTAAGTGGTTACGAGAAGCCTGAATTTACAAGCTAGTGATCAATATGCGTCTAACAAGTAACAATGGACGAAAAGAATGTTTGAATACCTTGGACAGGAAACTATCATATGCCAGTTTGTAGTTGCTGTCGTCGTGGTGCTTGGGAACAACTCTCTCGTCGACCCAGAAAAAATGCCACTTTGACCAATCGATTGAATCAACGTAAGGGGATTCCACTAATTTCCTGAAAATTTAGAGCAAGCATTTGCCAATAGAAGAAACAGTTATTAGGAATGTATGTCAAAGCTATGTTCTTGATTAGCCATAACTGAGAGAGACTCTTCATACTTTGATGAACAAGTTTCTTGAACTGATATGAACCACAAATCAATAGAAAGTCTTTTTGATACAAGCAGAGAAAAAAAATAGGATTTTTAGAACCACAGATTGCAAAACCCAACCCAGAACAGTAATGTCTAATGTGTATCCATCCTCTTTACCAATAATCACAGACACCAAATCCATACGAGATCAAGATATTGGGAAAAGAGACACTAAATCAAGACTTTGCGACCCCGAAATCCAAATCGTTTCCACGAAATCTGAAATTAGAAAAACAAAAATCGAGGCTTTTTCATCGAAAATCAAAGAAAGATAACACACACCGGAGAGATTTGATTAGGGAGCCGCCAGAGACAACGACGGTGAAAGCGCCTCTCTCCTTGCAAAACTTATCGGAGAGATCAGCTGTGAATTTGGCCAAATCAATCGCCAAATTCTCCTCGAGATCAAAGATCTCCACTCTCTTCTTCTCCTCCTTACCGATTTCCGCCGTCTTCGTAGCCATGCTCTTCACCGCCGACAACTTTCCCCGTCTATCAGTTAATATCCTGATAGATCCACTTCCGATCGACGAAACCGATAACGACTCGAAAAGAGAAGCAGTAGAAGAACAAGTGAGATTCTTCGGGAAGAAAGCGGAGAGAGAATCTGATCGAGATGGGAGGCTAGTGGGTAGCGAAGAGAAGAGAATCGAACGAAGGAAACAAGAAGAAGCCATGAAAAAAAGTGAGAGCGTCTTTATAGGGAAAGTGAGTAACTTTGACTTTATGGATTCGAGGACAGGTGGATTATAGCCTTCTCCGACCAAAACATATAAGTATGTATGTTAATGTCTTGTTCTGTCTTCGATATGCTCAGGGTCTGTTCTCAAACTTGGACTGAACCGGTCGTTTAGATACTGAGGTGGTATAATTTTTAGTTTTATGGTTAATAATTTTAAAAAAAAAATTTATGGTTAAAATTAAAACCAAAAAAATGTTTATATGCAGAGGATTTTTTTTCTCGGAAAAATCGATAATTTTTTATTATAATGACCCAAAGTCACAGCCTGGAGAGCCACACATAACTAGAGACACAACAAATCGGCGATTACATACATTTGGTACTGACTGTACGCAAGATGCATTAGCCGGTTAATTATTTGACACACATGCAAGCAAACCGCACCAACTCGGTCTAACGAAGCAACTTAATTAAAGAGATTATTAAAAAAAGAAAAAACCACCATTATTAATGTGACTTGGCTCTCTAGAGCATGGAAGCAGCTGCTTGGTCAAGGTACCAAACATTTTCAACTTGAGCACTAAGATGAGCAGAAGGCAAAGGCTTGTTCTGCTTCATGATCTCGGCGACGGCATGGGCCTGTTCCTTGTCACAAACGGCCATAAGGTTGTACAAAGCTGAGTTGATGACTGGTAAAGTGAATGTGATTCTCTTTGGTGGCTGTTTGGGAGAGTCGGTAATGTAAGTGACCCATTTTTCCTTCTCATTGATTTGATTATGTCCCGGGAAGAGAGATGCCATGTGGCCATCAGGACCCATCCCTAGAAGCTCGAGATCGAACTGAGGAAATCCGGTCTTTGCGCAAATAGGGATTATGTTTTCCTTCACTAGGTTCCTCAGGCACTCCTCGTACAGTGTAGCGCAGTTCTCGGCGTTACCATCACTCGCCAAATGTTTGTCGATTGCGTAGATATTCTGGCTTGGAATTGGTACCTACGTACATGCATGTGATTAAAATTTAATCAAAAAATATACATATTGTTGAAATATACTTCCAAACAGTTTTTTTTTTTGAGTTTTTTAACAGATATTATTATAGTATACAAGCAAGGAATAAGTCAAATGAATAATACAAGAGAGTTTTCAACGGAATTAAAAAAAAAAAAGAGAGAAAAGAATCATAATAATATTATATTATTAATAGAGAGCTTAAACAAATTATTTAAAGTTTAAAAACAAAAACAAATTTTATGTTGTAACAATATACCGCCTATATATGATGAGTTAGTTAATCAGAAAATATAATAACACCTTGCAGAGAAAACCATCCATGGCGAGTTTGTAGTTGCTGTTTGGATCATCCCATGAACAAACCCTCTCGTCCACCCAAAACACATGCCACTTTGACCATTCGATTGAATCAATGTAAGGAGGTTGCACCAACTTGCTGCAATAATAATAATTAATTGATTGAATATTGGACAAAACATATGTATAGGAGAGAGAATTTAATAGATGAATTAGATTTAGAGACCAAAGCCAATCGATGAGATCACCGCCAGAAAGAACAACGGTGAAAAGGCCTTTCTCCTTACAGAACTTGGCGGAGAGATTGGCAGTGTACTTAGCCATTGCCTCGTACAATTCGTTCTTGCTCGGAAACACAACCACCTTCCTCTGTGTAGTTGCCATTGTTGCCTCTAAGAGAGGGAATTTGATCGATGATATTTGTAGAAAAAGATTTCCGGAAGAATTTGTTGAATCTTGAAGGTGTTTTAAGTGTTTGGGCTTCTTGGTTCTTATAGACTATGTGGGTAAGGAGCTCGTGACTAGGACTTAGTTTGGAATAACAAGTGGTTTATGGCATGCACTATTATTAATGTACGTATTCTCGTACTCATTTATTGTGGCTTTATGATTATACGCTTCTGCGATAGAAATATGCCCAAAATTTTTATTCAGAAATCAAATATTAAATTATTTTTGTTTCACTTACAACCCAAAGAATACTTCATTCCTTAAAGTTGGAAATCAACATTGGATTCCGAGGGTTATTAATTAAAATTTTATTCACCGTTTGTTTACCAAAAGTCACAGCACAATTTTTTACAAATTAGTAAACAATTTTTTATTTTTACAAAGTACATATGTTTCATTTTGTATCATTTATATTATTATATAGTTACTGACAGTCTTTCAAAACATTGCTCGCTAATCCATCAATTTGGTGAGTGTTTTTCTTTCCTCAATATAATAACATCAGATTCTAGAATTACTTTAGTTTTGTTAATATGTCATTTCTATTTCGCTTATTTTACGAGAGTGAGAGTTTTAATACATATCAGGTACATAGAGTAAGTTAGACCTGCAGTAAAACAGTACTCTCACATTTAGTTTCTCTCTCGCACATGTAAAATGAGTGTAACCAACCTCAACAATTAAATGCGGTTGGTTAAGGTTAGTTACACTCATTATTTTGGTTATTTTCAAATTGCTAAGGTTGGTTACACTCATTTAATTTTACATGTGAGTGAGAGAAAGTAAATGTGATAAATATACACTACATGGAATAAAACATTCCCTTTTTTTGTCAAAACACTAAAACGTTATCCTTAACAACATAGTTTTGCAATGGATTAGTTAAATGTGTTTGCAATGGAGTAGCAACGATTTAGTTACAGGATGCGGAATTATTGCTAATTAAATGGTCTAAAATCTTTTAAAACCCTTAAAATCAAATTAATAAGTATCGAAATAAGAGTTAAACGGCATTGCAAAAGGCACTAATAACGGCCAGATCTATGAAAATTTTGATCATCTACAGTTGCACACATAGTCACAGCCAGTGACTGACTCAAACACAAGTTACACAACTTGAGAAAAACAACAAATCGGCGATTCAATACATTTGGTACGTACTTCACGCAAAATGCATTATTAGTCGGTTACTTAACACACATGCAAGCAAACAGCAACAACTCGAGACAAGGCTTCTTCTCACTTTCCTCACTAAACCATTTTTAATTCACATATATATGGTACTAAACCATATTTAATTCTGCACAAACTTTAAGCTAAGAAACGCACGGAAACATCATTTCTTTTTCAAGAAAATTTTGGTTTGATTTATTAACGTGTGCAGCTATGCTGTCGAGAGTTGTCATTGAAACGTGCTCGCGATTTCGATTTATTATTACCAGATGATAATCCAATTAATTACAACGATACGGTAGCTCTTGAATTTTGATTTGGTCAAAGTCATATTGATAGATGGTTAGGGAATCAATTTGGCCAAGTGCTTTTGATGGCTAATTTAATAATCTCCACGAGGGAATTCAAATGATAAAACTAAATAAATTAACATATGGTGTGTCGAGAGTTTCGCTGGAACATGCTCGCGATTTTACTTAATTATTTTTAAGAAGATAATCCAATCAAACGAAGAGAATCAATTTGGCCAATAATAACTAAACCGAAAGCCGAAACCAGAACCGAACCAGAACAGCACCTCTCCCATCCCTTCTATAATATAATATGTTTTCCTTTTTTTTTTTTTTTTTTTGGGTTTGGTTCCTCTACAAACAAAATGCTCAAAGAATCATTTACAAAAGTACCTGCTTCCATTTCCACTGTATGTTGTATTTTTGAATCCAAGGTCTCTGATGGAGACGTCGTTTTTGGATGGTTTCTTAAGACTTGATTCACACGTTAGAAGGCTTTTTATGACGATGTGTCACCTAGGTCTTGAGCTCGAGCTTCGTACGGTCACACCATGCAAGAACTTAGCGTAGCCCAAGAAACTCAGCCTTCCGTCCGAACTCCGGATCCAATCTTTGAGCAGAGGATATGCATTTGGTCCCAGGCTCATCTCCTGCATCCCCAATCAAAAAATGTTTTCAATCTTAAGAAGGAGATGGTGGTTACGTGGAATTCATATAGGCTTAGATTAGGATCATACCCCGGCAAGTTCTTGGACGGATATGATTCGGTTTCCTTCGTGTTCAAAGTGCTCAAATGCTGAAGTTGCAATCTGTTCCCATTCTTCAAGAGCCTCCAGTTGGTAAACACTGACCGCAGCCGCACAGAACTCGTCAAAGTCGAGTTTCTTTTGCGCTAGCGGTTGCATCTTCACAAAAAGAAAAGGAAAGAAAAATGGCGAAATTTAATGTAAAGTAGTAATACATTCATAAGACTATAAGAGTATGAGAATCAGGTCAAGAAAAAATCAATCTCAAAATCGGCAGTATTTTTGATGACTCCAGCATGCTAAATCTAAAATCGATGATAATGGTCATAAAGAGAGATGTTAAAGAAAGAGTCGCATTTCTGAAATCTTTAGGATAACCATTTATTCAAGTTATCCGCAATATCTACACTGGTTAAGTGAATCTACAATCATTTTTCGACTATCAACCACCATGAAACCAGATCTTACAATCAGGATTGGTTCACCCATAAACTTCAAAAGCAAAGATAGAATATATAACAAGAGATGTGTTACCGTGTTTAAAACGTCAGGAAGCCTTGATTCCATCATCGCATCAGTAGCGTATCTTGATAAAGCCTGCAGTTACAGTAAAGGATTTATTTTGATGCGTATTAGCTTAGTGTTCTTTTTTTCACAGTGTTTCTCTTTATTGCTTTAGGAAACTATTTAATATCTCTAATTCATCGTTTCCTTTTTCCATATGATACAGTCTTGGGTATAACACTCATCCAAGCTAGAGAGAGAGCTTTTGAGGGTTTATCGGTTTTCAAAGGAAAAGCTTTGAGCTTTGTTTATTGGTTGTTCTGAAGGAAACCTTTTTGGTGTTTTAGTTCCGTTTTGTTTCTTTTTGGATTCTTAGCAGTTAGCTCTAATAAATTTCCATTCAGGAACTGGGACCTCGAGACCAATTAGGGATCCGCATAATAGATATAGATTAACGAATCAAAGACCAAGTCAAAATGCTGTGGCTAAATCAGGAAAGACACACTGACCGTGGTGAAACTGTTAAGCGATAGGCCTCCATCTTTAGGGTCGAGGAGCATGAACTGTGCCTTAAGGAACACAAGTTCCTCATCCGGTATAGCTTTGGAGAGAGCCTATTTAAAGATCAAGATAAGAAACAGACAAACATAAGAATGGAGGTTTTCAAATGAAAAAAAAAAACATCTGTATCAGGAAATCATCCACTGAGTGTCAAAAAGACGAGTAACATATTTGTAGCACGAATAGGCTGGCTATTAACATGAGTAGATCAGCTATGTCTTAGTAGAAAGAGGAAAGATCAGTGCACTTGGTAATCATATGAGCGTATCAAGAAGTTACCTTAAGTGCTGATCGTCTGAAAGGTGAGGCTCGAATATAGGACTTGACCAACTTGTAGACGGAGAAATCTAGAAGCAAACCAGGGTTTTCATCGCGTAACCACGGATGAGCTGCAAACACAGATCATATAATATTACCGCTAATGGAAAGCAAAGAAACCCAGGTGAACTTGTGATATGTAAAGCCACATATTCTTCTTTCCATTTCAAGATCAATGACTATTTCTAAACCAAGGAAAAAAAGAACTTACCTAGAGCTTGAGCAGCTGTCATTCGTTTCCTATGGTCCCTGTTCAGAAGCCTTTTCACAAAGTCTTTGCCAGTAGGAGATATTGAAGGCCAGGGCATATCCTCAAAATTAGGGTTTGCTCTAAGCACACAGCGGAATATTGCAGACTCAGTTCTTCCATAAAAAGGTCTGCTTCCACATAGTAGTATGTAACTTATGACACCGATGCTCCACATATCTGCTTCAGTGCTGTAAGACCTATGGAGTACTTCAGGTGCAACATAGTACGCACTTCCTACAACATCATTGAGACGCTGATCTACAGATATCATCAGAAAACTTTAATGTCAAATCCAGACTTATAATATGCAGAATCATGTAATGAGAAAGATGAACAAGGAAATAGATCACTACCGTATCTAATGAAATCAGACAAGCCAAAATCAATGACCTTGAGTATTGCATCTTCATTTCTGCTTGTAAAGAGAAAATTCTGCATACAGAAATGTACCATTTGTTAAAGCAAAGAAGAGAGCATTAATTGATATATCACAGCAACTTATAGAGGTAGACTGTGTACCTCCGGCTTCAGATCACGGTGCACAACACCTTGAAGGTGAAAAAATGCTGTTGCAGACAAAATCTGCACAAGAATACGTTTGGCATCGACTTCAGGGTATCGACCACCTCTGCAGTAATATCCAAGACAATAAAACCAAGGTTAAACCCATATTCAATGCAGAGATAGCAAGCTTGAGTTACTCTGAATTTACCTCGCCAAAATCCTGTCCAATAGCTCTCCACCTTCGCATAACCTGAAAGCATATTAGAGAGGAAGATTGAATATCTCAAGTCGACTCATTTATTTAGTTTGGTTGCTATATATCAAATTATTACCAAGGAACAATGTAGAGTTAAACTACTTACTCCATAACAACAAAGACATTATCAGCGTCCTCGTATACATCGTAGAACTTTACCATATGCCTATGCCCAGACAAAGCTTTCAGCAGTTTCACTTCTCGACGAACATCTTCAATCGATAAAGCCGATGTCATCTGAAAAGAAAGAAAAAACGACACAATTCATCATCGTAATGTCTAATATCCAAACCAATAATCTACATTCCTTCAATTGGAGCATAATGTACTCAAACGAGATCTTAAAAATGGTTTTGAAAAGTGATTATGTGGTGTGAACAAGAGTAACAAACACCTTAGCTTTAGAGATGATTTTGACGGCCACTGTTTGGCCCTTGATCTTCCCTTTCTTGGCCTTTGCCCAACAAGTATGACCGAAATGCCCTCGCCCTACCTCCTTCCCAAGCTCGTACTTTCCTTCAAAGTTCTTCCCGAACCCAAAATTCTTGTCTAGCCTCTCTCCGCCGCCGCTTTCTCCTCCGACGTCTACGTCTTCGCTGTCCTCCGGGATCGGCTCATCACGAGGCTGCGCCGCGCCGCCTCTTCGCCGTCTTAGCGCCGCCATAATAGGCTTCGCAGGTGACGGTGGCGGAAACGGCCACTTGAACTTCCTTCCCGGAGTTCTCGCCGGAGATGGAGCTACTCCCGCCGGTAACGGGCTCTGAAATGGGCTAATGTTGTAGGAGTTGACTTCGGGACCACCAGAAGCAAGCGGAGACTGAGGAATCGAAGCGTGACGGTGGTTTTCCGTCGGAAGATTCGGAAGCTCGTCGGTTCCGACGGGGATCTCGTCATCCTCGACGGCGGAGATGTTCCGGCTGTAACAATGACCCATGGCCGTCGGATGTGGAGCTCAATTGACTGATCGGTCAGAGTCAAAGCATCGGACGGTGAGGAGCCGAAATTGAATAGTAAGCTCGATATCAAAACAAAAATTGTTTCTTTAATCAAAATAAACTGTTTTCAAAAAGAAAAAAAAAAGGAAAAAAAGATTCGAGCTCGAAGATTTAATGAAACAAAAAAAGAGAAGGCGTTTCTTGTGTGGTTTGCTAAAACGACACAACAGGTGAAAACATGACCACTACAACAACCAAGACCCAAGAGCGCGTAGTGGCATTAATCACATTTAATTGTCTGTTAATTTTCTCATTTAATGTCCTTTTTATGGGACTTGTGTTTGGGGTACACATCATTATTAAATTTTAGAAAAATACGGAATCTATTTTTATTTTGACATCATACGGAATCTAATTATTGGGTGTAAAATAAGCGTCCATACTGATTTTAGAAGAGATTTATCTTCATTTGATTAAACTTGGTGAGACTTTCTTAACATTTTTACCAAAAAATAAATAAATTGGTGAGACGATTAAATGTGAATTCAAAATAATATAAAATGACGTTATTTTATAAAACGTAATATATATATATATATGAACGAATCCAAAACAAGTAGAACATTTCCCACGACATTTTAATTTAATATAATCTCTAATTTGGGAATTAAAAGTCCCCCACATCATTTAAACTAGATAGTTTAGTTCTCAATAAATAAACGTGAAAAGACATATTCGCATCAATATATAGATATATAACATGTAAGATTTTCATTTTTAGTTTGTTAGCTCTCTCATATTCGCATCGCGAAAACGAGTTAATACGGTTACCGACTACTCTATCTACTCCTCCACCGTCAAGTGAAAACGAAGACAACAAAAAGCCACTTTTACATCCCTTTATTTCATATAAACCGGTTTAAACCGCCTGATTCAAATTGGTAAGCAAGTTTAATTTCAAACCAGTGATGTTGATGTATGTGATATTGGTAGCAATTAGCAAATGGTAGCCGGTCAAATTAAGAAGAAGACAAAAAAACGATAACGATGCAGGCAAGACTTTTATTATGGTGGTCGGTTCCATTGGTTAACCTTAGCTAAAAACTAAAAAGCCTAACTCAAAATAAACCAGAACTATTACTGCTTTTGCTGCCTTCATAGAACGACACTCGTTCCTTAACCGCACGGTCCTGTTTTAATCTTTGACTTGGGTATTGTCGAGGGCCGTGATCATGCCTTGTGCCGCAAGATATATCTCACTTGGTGTCTGGCTCTGTGACGGTGAGCTTGTAGTCTCTCTCGGGCTATTCTTCACAATATTGACCGGTTAGCCGACAATGGTCTGATCAGTTGACATTTGTCATTCCGGTTACTACTAAAAATTTTTCAACGTTTGAATACGTTATTTCAATATAACAGGTTAATGTCCCAATCTTAAGCAAATAAGTCTTACAGTTACACAGGAGTCAGGACTTGGTCAACTATATAATCTATTGCCTGATTTATAGTTTATCAAGAAATTTTATCAAATGTCAACTAAAACTTCCATGTGTGTTGTATGCCTAATTATTAGTTGTGATTTCACACGTTGATGTCTAGTTTTGCCAAGGGTGCCCAATGCAAACAAACCAAACCCGATTCAGTCAATTCAATTTAAAAGTTCGATTTATGTTTTTGATTTTAATTGTTTTACTTTTCTATACTAACCTACACAAAAAAAACTTAATTTTTTAAAAAAAAGTTAATTGTAAAATATCTTGTGGTGGATAAAACAGAAGCTGTAAATTAATTACCACACAAAAAGAACCTAGTAAAGTGCATCTTAGTTGTGGAAAAGAGTATCTTAATTCATCACAAGAATAACCAACACTTTTGATTTTAAGCTAGTAAGTATAGGATTTTTTTTATTATTATTAAATGATTTGTATGTGTAATGAATGAATATTGTATTAAAATTCGGACTTCTCATGGTAAATAGTTTTGTTTGATCTATGAATATAAGAAAACATCGCTTTAGGCTAGCAACGGCCAAAATCGTCGCTAAATATTCGCAAACAAAATCTAAGGAAATGATCTAATGTAGAATCCTATTTCATAGCCAAAGATATAACTAAAATTAAAGTAAAAATATGAGCAATACTAAATAACAGAGAAAATAAATACTGGTTCTATAGTATCTATCAAAGACGAAACCAAACAAGATCAATGAAACCGAGCTGACAAAATTTATAAAAACCCAACAACTTTCACATTTATTGAATCAAACACTGAATATAATCATACCAAACAAAAAGGGAATGAATTCATTCAGCGAAAAAGAAAGGATTTGTTTTACCTTTTTTTATATATTTCTTTTCCTTTTCTCGGTATGAGAGAATTATAGAAAGAAGCGCAAATGATCGAATCGGTTAAAGTCAGGACCGGCCGGTCAAGTGCCTCTCAGGAAATCAGATATCGACTTAAAACGGCAGCGTTTAGCATTTCGCCATAAAGGCAGGAGACAAATTCCGTGCAAAAGCTCCGGTGGTTCTTCTACACCGCAGTGTGTTTTCCCGGCGCTCTTCAACTTCGCGCTTAGGGCACCTGTCTTCTCCGACTTCAATTCGAGTTCTATTGAGATCCGTAACCGCTACTTCTGGTATACCGTCGCTTTCTCTGTATAGCCTCTGCGTATTTAGATTGACTAAAGGTCTTCCTTATATTTGGTGTTTTTCCATGGTTTCGAACTCTATTTTTTTCACCAAATAGCTTTCGGATTTAAATAGAAAATAGATCAGAGGAAGAAACCTGTACCCAGTTTTAGCTGATAACTCATAATATTGTATCTCTTTTGTTCCTTGTATCACAGCAAGGTGAAATTTGGAAAGAAACGATGGGAATCATAGAAAACGGAACGATATCAGGTAACTTGCCGAGCAAGGAGGCATTTGTAGTGCACTACCCTGGTTATCCATCTTCTATTTCCCGAGCCCTAGAGACTCTTGGGGGAATCCAAGGAATCACAACCGTAAGACTCTCCTTTGCCTAAGACTTTCTTTTTACCAACTTGTTTCTTTGCATGCTAGTGTTCGTCAGTTTCTTTTTGCTTGTTGCATTATTAGATTTAGCAAAATTGATCACGGAACTGGTGTTTAAGTTGAACATCTCAAAATTGTTTAACATAAAGTTGTTAAGTTGATTAGTAGCAAAACGGTACACAAGTGCTTGACGGTTTATTCGATATGACAATTTTTTTTTATTGTAGGCAAGAGAATCAACGTCAAACAAGCTTGAGCTACATTTTCGCCCTGAAGACCCTTATGCACATCCTGCCTGGGGAGTACAACGTCCTTGCAATGGTTTTCTGTTAAAAATTTCTAAGGAGGATGTTAAGAAAGATTCTCTGCTTGAAACTCAACCTGTTCTTCCCACTACTGATGCATCAGAAGCTTCCCCAGCTCTCTGTGCTGATATCGTAGCTCGTGTGTCTGAATCGTATTGCTTCGATGGTAAGAACTTAGCTCTTCAATTTCTGCGGTCTTTTGCGTCTAAATTTGTTTTACATAGTGAGCATTGGCTTAAAAATTCCCATTGTTTTGAGTTATTTTTTTTCACTCTTATTCATGTGGGTATTGAGAAGGCATGGCCGACTACCAGCATGTTATTCCTATTCACGCGACTACTGCACAGCAGAAGAAGAGAAAATGGATGGAGGTGAAGTCTCTTGCAGGTGGTGGTTCGTCTCCATTCATTTTGTGTTTTCATTATAGTGCAAATGTTAAGCTGTGATAACATAAGTTGAAATAATTACTCTCTAATATCATGCAGGCGACAATGATCTAATGGACATGGCTGATGAAGATGTAATGATGTTATTGCCACAGTTCTTTGCACCCAAAGATATGCCAGACAACTTGGTGTAAGATTACACCGTCTTAATTATTCCTGACAATTTTTATCATTCTTACCTGGTAACACAAATTTTGTCCACGTGAAGTGATCTTTCTTCATCTGAATCTTAGTTACGAGAACCCGATGTTTAGTCTAGATTTTAGTCATAGGATGTCTAGTCTGGAGTATTTTAGTTACAGGCGAACGACGAAGGAAAGCGTAGTTGATTAGAGTGTTTTAAAGTTATATTGTTAATTCCACTACGTTGTTTGATTCACAGGCTGAGACTTCCAGTAACATCTGCCCCAAAAAAGAAAGATGAGGCAGCGACCCAAAATCTTGACGAGGTAAAAGAAGAAGTGAAACTATTCGACGTTTTTGTATATGCTGAAAACAGACTTTTCGAGAAATTGACTCAAACATATGGTCTTTGACTTTCAGTATTAAACATATAGATTCTGAAGCCTGTAATATCCCACAATTTCACTCTTGTGATACATCAAGGGCACGACTCTTCTGTTTTATACTGAATGTTAAAGATGTCATGACATTGTACTTGTGGTTCCTACTTCTTCATTTGCTAATTGCCTAATTGATTTCTGATGATGCAGATAGATATTGGCCCAGTCTTTGCAATTGATTTTAGTGTCACAGATATCCTTTTATATGCTGTACTAATCTTCCAAATCTTAATATTACGGAGTATGAAGCCATGTTTGTTTGAAGCTTCTTTTCATTTTGGAGATCTTTGATCGGTCCTTAGCGTTCATACAGATCCCAAAGATATTGAACTGGAAAGAGTTTATTGCTCCGAGTTCCAACCAATGGCAATGGCAGGTAGCAGTGTCTGCGTTGTTTGAAGAGCGACCTGTGTGGACAAGAGATTCCATAGTCCAACGGCTACTTGATAAAGGTCTTACATGCACACATCATATGCTAAACAGGTGAGTAGATTTGATTCGTTTATTATTTGTATTAGTTTTCTTAGTACTGCAATGACCAACTTTCTGGAGATCTCTCTGCAGGTTTCTTCTTAGGGCTGCATATTATTTCTCGGGTGGTCCGTTTCTTAGGTTCTGGATTAAAAGAGGCTATGATCCACGGAAAGATCCTGAGTCTCGTGTGTGAGTTATATCTCGATAAATTCATTCATATCACAAATGCATAGTCTGTGAAGCGGTAATGTAGAATTCTCATTTTCCACGTCAAAATTTGACACACCACCCCCTTTGTGTATATTTTATTTTCAGATTCCAAAGAATGGAATTCAGGGTCCCACCTGAATTAAGGGGTTATTGTGATGCTAATGCAACTAATAAGTAAGCTTTTCCTTGTAAACTCAATCTTTTCTCTACTCAAGAATCTCAATTTGCCAATATGTATGGGACACAAAAAACAGAAACATTATAAAAAAAATTTGCAAGTATTGATCCATTTGAAAAACTATAAGAACTGTAGAAGAACATGATATTTTGAAAAGAATGGGAAGTGTGTCCTAACTCTCTAGAATCAACAATTCACCTTTGTGTCAAAGAAATTGCATGCATGTTTTTTTTTTTTTTTTTTTTTTTTAATTCAAATTCCATGTAGTAATGTGTCTGGATCTTACGGATTTTAGTCATCTTCCTAGGATATCATCTAAATATTCTCTTTTAACAATTTTAAGATAGTATCTCAGGGAACATATCATGGGTTTAGCATTTATATTGAGAAATTGGAACTGAATCATTGGATTTATGGTTGGAGGGAAAGTGCAATTAAAGTATAAGGTGATTTTTCTTTCCTTCTTATTTGTGACAGGTCAAAGCCAAGCTGGGATGACATTTGTGCGTTTAAAGTATTTCCTTTCAAATGCCAAACATTTCTACAGTTGTTTGAACTTGACGACGAGTACATTCAACGAGAGATAAGAAAGCCTCCCAAGCAGACTACTTGTAATGTGAGTTCTTAGCTAAGCTTTTGTTCATGGCGTGAATACCAAAAAATTAGTCGCTCGCTTATTGTATTAAACAGTGACGGGTAGATATGCCATGTTGCTCCATTACGGGAAAGTTACAGATCAAACCTTTATATGCACTTGCAAAAAGGCCACTACCAAAACACTCACCAATCACACACAAATCCATGTATAACTTAAACACATAAAACTTTGACAAGGCCTTTGTTCTATATGAGGTGTTGGTTATCTGATATGATGTGTTTTGCTGCCAGTATAAAACAGGATGGTTCTCAGAAGCTCTGCTTGATAATTTGAGACTCCGTGTAGCTGTGAGGTTTGTATCTGTGTATCCTGAGCCAGGTTTTGAAGATGTTTTTAAATCTATTCAAGAAGAGTTTGAGAGGTCAGAGAAGACACGACTTCAGAAAGACGCACTGAAATCATGTCAACTAGATCACCAGGAAAAAACTAAGGGTAAGATCACCAACGGAATTTCATTTTTAATATTCTTTACGTTTTAGGCAGTCTATGTGTTGAGCACAGTTCTTCTGTCTAAATGGCCTTGAAACTGTGTTAAAGCATGGACATTGTTGGAAACATGCTCTACGACTTTATAAAAAAAATATAAATGGAACTAATTACATCTGCCAAAATCGATTCCACAACGAGACATGCATCATCAGGAGCTATGCAACCACGTTCTTCTCCTTAAAAAAAAATATTGGAAGTAACAGGTACTGATGTAAAATACTCTGCAGATGGGGAAGATATGAAAAGGTATAAAAACGGAAACAAAGAGAAAGAGGGTGATGTTAATGCGGATGAAGATGAAGACGAAGATGCTGAAGACATGGATGATGAATACGAGGAACGTGATGTTGTAACCATGCTTACAAACTTTATCTTATTTACTTCATCCACTAGTTTTCCCGAAAATTTTGTTTCTTTGTTTTTTTTTTTTCTAATATTTTGTTTTGCAGGCTGCAAATGATGATGAGATGTCGTTAAGCTCGCATGGATGTATCCTTCAAAGCATAAACTTTCATAACACAAGCACCGATTTATCATTACGTTATGCAGATTCTAAAAGTATTAGAATGAGATCAGAGAAGTTGATAACACAACTAAGAGCTTGATTTGGATTTTGTTTTTCTTTAACCGATGATAAAGATGGTGACATGGAGAAAAACTCGAGAACATATCTACAAGGTTTGTTCGACAGGTTTCCAAGCAGTAAACCAGCTTTGAATGGTTCTCTTGACGGAAGCGATGGGGAGTATCAGATTTACGAGGAAGAATCCAACGCTTTGGATGATGATGATAATGATGATGATGATGAGTGAAGAACTTTGAATATAATGTGTACATTTTTTATTTTCGAAACTAATAGGAGGGTCATAAAGGTAAATATTAAAGTGTGAAGATCCATTGTGCAATTAAAAAGAATCTAGTTTATTAAGATTTAAATATGCGAATACCGCTTTTGACCCCTTTACAACCTCCCCCTCATATTTATTTCTCTGGCCGTGAAAAATCTTAAAGCAACCTATAAATTTCTTCTCAAAATATCATTATGCCCTCTCTGAGGTCTGAGCATGAGCCACGATTGAGACTTCGGGGGCATTTTCGTCATTGACATGTTCGTTGGCCCATCTCCGCCGCATACACCTCTCGTGAACCGCCGTAACAACCACCGGCCTCGCAACGCCACCGTCTCCTCCGCACTTCCTGATCTGTTTCTCGCTGCCGTCTCTCTCCTCTTCCTCTGGTCCTCTCCTAAACCTCTCCTCTCCCTCCCTCCGAACAGATTCTCTTTCCCTCTAACTCCTCGCCGCCGATCCACCGCCATGTCCCGTCGATCTCCTCCTCCGCCGCAGCCTCTCTCCCAACGCTTCGCAAACCCTCAATCGCTCTCCGATTGGCTCGAATCGCGATTGCCTTCCGACTCGTTCGCCGCCTGGGGAGTCAAACCGGGGACCAAAAACGTGCACAACCTCTGGCTTGAGCTCTCCGAAGGCGAGACTTCTCTCGCCGACTCAACCCCGCCGGTACGCACCGTAAACGTCGTCACCGTCCGTGTAATCGGAAAAGACGGACGAATCCTCGTGGAATCTCACCAGGAGTTATCCGACGGGAGCATCCGGGAGAGATTTCGTCCTTTATCGGAGAAGATGAAGCCAGAAGAAACCCCAGATGAAGCAGTCTTTCGAGCCATAAAAGAAGAGCTCGGATCTATCTTCAATGGCGACGCCGAGGGTCAGAGAATCAAGCTTCTTCCCGGAAGTTACAGCAGAAGAGTGGAAGAGAAGAACTCGATGTCGTATCCGGGGCTGCCGGCGCGTTACGCTCTGCATTCGGTGGATGCGACGGTGCAGGGACTGCCGGAGGATGATTTCTGCACGGAGGAGAAGGAGTACGACGGAGACTCAACGGAAGATTCGGAGGAAACACGAGCTGCCGGAAAAGCTGTAACTGTGAAACGGCATCACTGGAAATGGGTTAGTCCCGATTCGATTCGACCCTAGAACTCAAAACAGCTTTCACAATTTCTATCAATCTAGAAATTTAATCACAAGTGATTCATCAGTTACATGAATAATCAAGAGCTATGTAGAAATACATACATACATACACATTTATATAATTCTCAGTTTAATCTTCTTCTTCGCTTGGCTTATTGGCTTTGTGCTATAATGTAATACTTGGTTACTGTTGGTTATTGTTTTAGTTGTTTTCAGAAGTTCTGATCTCAATCGAGAAAAATCAAAAGAATAAAAAAGATGTGGCTTGATGAAACTTAAAATTTAATCCCAAACCCGAATGTCTACGAGAACTCTTATAAACTCAAAGTAGAGCTTTTTTAATCTTATAAACTCAAAGTAGAGCTTTTTTGATCTTATAAATTCAAAGTAGAGCTTTTTTAATCTTATAAACTATTCTCTAGAGTTACAGGAAGATAACCCATCGTGTGTAATTACACATCTTAACGTAGATCCTAGCTAAACTCTCAATAACATGCTCCAAAGGCTGTATGTACACCAAATCTTCTTAACACCTCACTACGTATGTAAAGAGTTAGTACAAGAACAGCTCCTGCATTGGAGAATATAAAAATCCCCTAGTTGATACAAAATTGAACTGTATTGATATTACAATCAATTTGTTGGATTCACTGTGGAGCTTGTGTTGACGTCTCGGTGGATTGGACTTGACGAACGAATTGCCCTTTGATTCGTGGCCGTTGCTCTGCCAATTTCTTCCGGCTCTCATAACGGACCTGTATGTCATTCAAAGCCGTTAATACATTATTCTTCTTACAATCCATCATGTCATGAGTATTTTCTGATGAGACATCAAAAAATTTATTACCTTTTTCTCAAAACACCGGTCCTTGCGCTTCATTCGAAATTTGGTCAAAGCGGCTTCCCGTTGCAGAGATTGCTGAATTTTCCCCACCGATGATGAATATCCTTCTTCGTTCATCTTCTCCAGCAGTAGCTGCTGATGATCAGTGTAGTTGCTACTGCAGTGATTGCCTATTCCACTCTGTTCCGTTGCAGAAGAAACGTGTCTTCTCTCCTCTACATCCATGTAACCATCACGCTCTTGCAAGCCCTCGGGTTTACTGTTGAACGGGTGAAACATAGAACTGTACTCATGCGGGCTAACGGAAGTAGGGCTTGGAGAGAGTGAAGCAGGAGCCACCGCAGATGCATAAGCTGTGTTAGTTGGACCCCTGAACTGTATACCCTTGATGGGAATTGGCCTAGGGTAAGAACTCTGTCCAGGCCAAGAATTCATCTGAGTGCTAAACGGTGGACCTGGTGAGTCAGCTCTCGTGTAAAAGCCTGCTTCGTTTCTTCTTGGAGCACTTGGAGGCGGTTCAGATGAATTGTATTGGTTCATTAGCACAATGTTATCGCCTTGACTTGCTCCCGCAACATTCTTTCTTTGTTCAGAAACCGGAGAGAACGAACATTGTGTCTGCAACGGCCTGTGAACGTACCTGGCAGCAAGAACATATCGCACACATGATCAGCAGAAAGAACAAACACTGTAGAATGATTGATAGAAAGAGAGAATCAGGGAATTAGAAAACTAACCGTGTGAAAGCTGAGGCACTAGAAGGATGAAGAGAGGGACGTTCTCCAGAAGACTGGTTCTCAGAAGCGTTGGGTCTTCTCAGAGAGAGATCAAGCTCTATCCGAGATTCGTATTTGGAGTTACTTTCTTCTTTGTTACGTTGTCCATTTCTTCTAAGTGATGCTCCCATGAAGTCAATGGCTTCTTTAGATGAGTCTATAGAAGTTACAGGAAACATGTAGGTGGTTAATGATTCTGATGAACTTTTCAAGTGTCAGATGTTTTGGTAGCTTTCATAAAGAAGAATGTCACTTACTTTGAATGTCCTTCCCTATAAACCGTGGCTCGTTGAATAGAGACTTTGAGCTCTCCATTTGTAACGAGTCTCTCTGATTATCCTCCACGTCTGCGCTCTCACCTTCCATCTCTGGTCTTGAGCATGAGCTCTAAAAGAACAAAATAGATCAAAAAAAGTTTAGAAACAACAAAGGAAAAGAATCAAATTCACATGTAAAAATAAGATAGTCCAGAATCAGATTCTAACCTGAGCATCACCACCATTCCCAATTACAGGATGTTGATCGCTCTCAAATGCATTCCCGTGGTTACTGGTCGAATTGTTTGCAGAGGCTCCCTCTGGTTTCTGCTGTCCGACAAACTCATCCAGTGGAAAGCTACCAAGAGACTGCCAGGAAGATCAAGAAAAAAAACAGAAATCTGAGAACTCAATTATCTTTTAATAGACAACGAAATTTCCCAGAACTTAAATAAGGATGGTTAAGTAGTAGATTGCTCTGGACACAAGAAGGTTATAAAAGATAGCATGGAACATACAGTTTGTCTTCTCCAGACATGTTGCCAGAGATTTCTCAGCTCATTCCTCCTTAACGGCTTCACAAGATAATCAGCCGCACCTTTCAACATGCACTTATACACAGTATTCACTGAGTCCTGTGTCGACATCACTGAGGAGAAGAAAAAAATACAAGACAAGAAACAAGAGAATGAGCCGAGAATCATCTTTAAAGTAAAGGGAAATAAGAAGAAGAAGAAGCATAAGTGTCACATACTTATGACAGGAATGTTCTTGCAGAGATCATGCTCCATGATAAGAGTTAGAAGAGCGTATCCAGAAATTGAAGGAAGATCAACCTCTGTTAATATAAGGTCAACGCTTTCTGGCTTCCCTTTAAGCATCTCCCAAGCCTTCAAGCCATCAGGTACAGCAGCAACTGAGAAGAGACACAGTACACAAAAACATTAAACCATTGAGCTCATTGTATTCTAGAAACTGAGTTTAACTACACTGTAGCAATAATTCAAATCTCTGTTCTCCAGGGGAAGAGGAAAAAAATGACATTTTTTTAATCGAAAACATCATCTGAGATTACAAGAAAAAGTCTTTTACATGCCACATAAGAAATTACAAAAGGCATCATTTTTTTCCTTAAGACAACAATCTTCTTGTTGTATAACCGAAAATAACGAAACATCAGATGCAAAACCGAGAAATCGTTGACTTGCTAATTTGACTTTAATTGTGGCATTTCAAGGCATGATTAGCCGGAGTCATACAGTTAAGAGAAGATCAGATTCACATCATTAGTAGCCGAATCGAACTCGCGGGTTACAGTTCCAGATTCTCTGATTTGACCCCAAATATTCCCAAAAACATTTTGAGGAAGCCAGATCAAGAATTCGAAAGCACAAATTCCTAAACATAAGAAACTCAACGATGCTCGAGCGAAAAACCTCATCAGAACTGACCTCTGTAACTGCATTTCCTGAGGAGAGCAGAGATTATCTGTCTGGTAGAATCGTCAGCTTCGACAAGCAAAACTCTTAACGCGATTTTAGGGAGAAACCTCTCCCACTTCACCAAACCATCGCCGCCGCCATCTGCGGCGGCGTCTTTCCTCCGCATCCTCCGCCGCGCTGCTGACTTTCCTCCGCCAGCCACAGCTGCTTTCTCCACCACCGTCACCTCAACAACTTCGTCGCTCACTTCTTGCATCTCACAGCACTCTGCTTATTAAAACCAGATTCGATTTGAAACTCCGGAAAGAGAAAAGGAGAAGAAGAAGAAGAAACAAACAGTTAGAAAACAAATCAATAATATTTGTGAGTGGGAAAGATAAAGAGGGGGAAAAAAAATCTTATTCCTTCTCTATATTGCGGAGAAAAAGAGAACAAAAATAAATATCTTGAACTCTGGCGAACGGCTGAGATTAGCATCGCGCGGCTACCGGACCGTGATCTAACGGTCACGAAACTAGTAAAAGGATACGAAAAATATCTTGTAGAAGTTAGCTGATATGGCCCACGTTTGCCAAATCAGCAAAATACTGTACGAGACAAAGAGATCCAATACGCCAAATAACCTTTTTTCTTTTCTTTTTAATTGGTGTGGTGGCTGTGGCGTTGATTACTCTGTGGTTCATATTTAAAGTTGGATGTTAATTTTTATGCTTATACCAAATTATTTGTTGCCTATATCGATTCGTATCTATTTTGTAATGTGGATGTGTTAGTGTATTGCTTATTTTATAGCTAATAATCGATTAATAAACATTGATGCTGTTACTTAAGTTTATAATTAACTTAACAAAAAATGCTTAACAACCAATGGAAATTTATATTAATTATTCAACAATCACGTTTTTGATATACAAATAGGCCTCTAAAAAAGCCCACTCGTGACTTTTGGGATAAAATCAACCAAAAAAAAATCAAAATGCAAGTGGTCAACAAAACAAGTATCTATACAGTATATCCAAAAAGAATTTCGTATTGTTTGTTTGGTACATTGGATTGAAAAATTTATTTTCTAAAATATAAGAATATTATTTTCTTTTAAAAAGAAATACAGATATTTCAGAAATATTTTTTTTGGGGTAACAGAGAGATTGGGTCTAGTAGACGAATATTTAAAAAAGATGGGGTGTTAAATTGTTTCAATAATGACACTGCTGCAATGCTGATATTTTATTATTTAGGTTTTTATAAATATATAATTTTTGTTTTCGTAAACAAAAACAAAATCAATTTCTTACAATAGAGTTTTCTAAGGATCAACACTGAAAAATGTCATATAATTTGTTAGAAGTAGTCACGAATGATAATATTTAATATCGATTTAGATATAAAGGGCTGTTATCGATCATAATTTACCGAAATTTATCAGAATCTTGGTTTTTTCTGCTGACGGTATCTGATTATAATTTAGATTGCTTATTTAAAAAGACCACGTGTCAAAGTAGGGACCACTGAAGAGTTTTAAAGTAATTTCCTCGGCTAGATATTTAGGAGGGATAAGGCATTGAGACAGAAACGAGACACTTGTTTAAAACTCGTGGTCTTGGTGGACAAGAATAGTTACACGTGTATGGTGGTAATCTGACACAGCTTTTCACCTTTGATGGTAGCTGTCAGAACCAAAATATCTATTTTCTTGTCTCTTCACGCGCTGTTGTTTGATGGATAAGTCCTACTCGCTCTCTCATACCACTCACTTTCCTCTTATCACGGTATCACTAACTCAGTTTTGACTTTGGACTTTCTTTCTTGTTATAAACTGCGGTCTTATTGACCAATGCTTTCCTTTTTTTTTCCTTTCCTACAAACTAGTATTATGTCTTCATTTAAAAAAAAAAAAGTTTATCTTGTTCCAAACCGGCATTCGAGTTAAGAAACAAAAAGAAATCCCGAGATAGATGTATATATATATACCACTAAATAAAAAAATTAGAAGTGAGCATTTAGCTAATTCAATTCAATTTTATTCGACTTATATAAATTATTGATATTCATACTTAAAAAAAAAATTCATTCGAATCAAAGTTTATATGAATTTGTTTTTTTTATTTTAAAAAATTTGGATCGGATTTAGACTTTGTTTGGGTTTGGTTTCAAAATTAACTTTACTTCAAAGAGTTCAGTTCGGTTCAGAAATTTTGACATCTAAAACCTTTGGATTTTTATACTTGCTAATTTTGTAAATGGCTTAGGTTGAAATGTTGAATATAATAATAATAAAAACAATTGCTGGAAAAGGTTTGGGTTATATAACGATTCTATCATTTAAGTTGAGCAACCAGAAATAAGGAGCAAAATACATTTTTATTGTTAGTTTGATGGTTTAGTTTCCCAAAAGTAGCGATCAAATTTGAAACCAATATTATCGATCAAAACTCCTAACGTATCGATTATTCATGAGTCGACTTTTTTTTTTAATTATCAAATAAATGGCATAGAGTAAAATTATCACTTTATAAAAGTGTTATGCATTGCCTTGGTTGTGGATGATAACGCACGCGTGTGTGGAAGTGTTGTGGTAGAGCGATGACTTTTGCTTTAAGAAATTAAATCTTAAGATATTTTGGCCTAACTTACACCAACATGCCCCATCCTTTTTCAAACAGATATTTTTTGTCTGTGTGATATTTTCATCCTCTCCTTTTTATTTTAGTTTTTTGTGTGGCGCAACGCTTTTTGGTTTCCTTTTTGTTTCTTTACAGTCTGTTAGGATATTTTCTTCCTTTTAGGCTAATTGAGATATTTCGAAGTCGTATCATATGGCTATTTGCTTGTCCATTTATTTAAAAAAGTTAACTAGTAAGATATTAAATGTGCTTTAAACATCCACTTGAGACAATCTACATATCTAACCAAGCAATTAACTGAACAAGGCTAATGATGATTATACGTGGGTGAAGGGTCATTATGGTGGATATGCAAAAATCTGCAAATCAGTCTAGCTGGATTATTGAATTCATGCGAAAGAGATAGTAATCCTTTAAGATTGCTAAAGTTTTCCCGGTTTGTGTGTTTTTGAGTGCCCTACAAACTCTAACCAAATATTATTTTGTAGTGAAATGAGGAGAATTTTTTTTCCGTTTATGTTATAAGTAACACAAATTATGTAGGAATGTGATTGTAGAATAGCGGAAGACGAATGAGTTAAAGACATATGCCGAAAGTTTTGGAAATTAGTGATACGCGGTGATTGGAAAACGAACTCGTTATGGTACGTGGATGAAAATCAAATTTTACCTAAGGCTTATTATAAGAATGGCGTACAATTTGTGTAAACCTTCGTTTAAGCCCGCCTGATCTCAGATTTGGGGTAATTGCCGGAAGTTTGAGCTATATAACAAACGTCTACGAGTTGGTAAAGTGTTGAAGACTTGGGAGTTTTGGGGAAAATGTTATTATGTGATTAATTTCTCTAGACTTTTCAAAACTGGGAATCGTTATTTCGCTCGTTTAGCTGCTACTTTGTCAGCTAATTAACGACTACATCAGATGTATATGTAAAGTAAAGCGTAAGGTGACAAAGTTACTATGTAGAGTTACACATACACTGAAGGAATAATACAAAAACTATGTAGAGTAATTACTGGTTTGTATTTGTGGAGAATGTGGATGTGACGAATCAATTTAAGAGAAAAGTTACATCAAAAAATTCATGTAACTAAGTTATGATTGAACAGAATGAATCTTGATACAGGATAGAGTTTTGCTAAAAAAAAAATAATTAAACAGAGTAGAGTAGACGTCATATTCTCGTGTGAAAGTCAATAACTACCATTGAAGAGGCTGCTATATTCATAATGAAAGATAAATGGTTAATTGGTTATCATTCGGCCACTTTTGATTATGTTATTGCAAATGTGTTGAGCTGAAATGCGTTAGCATATTCTTCATGTCTAGTTTAAAAGTTTTTTCATGATTCATTAACTAGGAGGGGATAACCTACACAATCTTTTTGTTACCGAGATTAATGTTATCTCATTTGTGCGGATACTGAATGGCTGATAGGAAATTTCAACATCAGTGCCTAGAACATCCCTCACTAATAAAGTTACAAAGCTTTCTGGAAGTTTACCTACACTAAAGATTGGTCATGATGTTCGTCTTCATTGTTGTGTATGTTATTAACAAAACAAACGATATTAACTTGTTGAATAATCATAGTGTTATGCTATTCTTCATTTATTTCTCAAATGAAACTTTAACTAAGTAAGATTAGCTAGCTACTATGACTCAAAATGTCATTTGTTAATTTGATAATAATATACTTAGAGGGTGTAAGTTAAGAAAGAAAACCGGCTTTCATTTAGAAGGACAAAATTTAAACATCGTGTCAAAAGACCCAAAAAATTGGTATCAAATGATCCTAGATAAAAAAAATTCGAAAACGATGATAAATGCCATAAGAAAGGGATCGTGAATGCACCTATGAAAATAAGATGAAATAATGTGTATACAAAGAAATTAAAGGGTTCGCTTCATAAATAAACTCCTCCCCAATTGCGTATGTCAGCGTTCTTATCCATTTTTCACCTTATCCAAATATTCCCTTCAAAGCATTTTCCACTTCCAGAGACCAGAGTCTTCACTCTTCACTTCACAATCAAAAAGAATCTTTCAAATCCAATGGCGACACTCTTAGGTTTTTCTCAGACGAAGTTTCATCACTGCAGCGTCTCGATCTCTTCGCCGCCGTGCTCATCTTCTTCCACGGCGGTCTCAATGGTGAGCTCGAGCCGAACTGAATCGAACACGCTCCGGTCAGGTTTCCTCGGCCGTGTCGCTTATGATGATCGGAGACAAGTAGGATCCGGTTCCTGTAAATTGGGACGGAGAAGATCTTTGGCAGTTAAAATGTCGTGGGACGGTCCTCTCGCATCTGTCAAGTTAATCATCCAAGGAAAAAATCTCGAGGTTTGGATTTTTCTACACGCTTGGAATCGAATTCTGAACTAAAAAATTTGTGTTGTTTTCTTGGATTTTGTTGTGGGTTTCGGTTATTGGTAATTAGTGATAGAAAAGTTTTGAACTTTCGGCAAATGTTTGGTAGGTTATGACAAACAAACCTGTATATTCGAAGAGAAAACTCGGATTTTGTTAAAATGGTGCACTCTTTTGTATAGAACCTTACCATATATGATACTGTGTGATACTAATTCTGTTTACTCTCTGGTTATTTGAAGATAGTCCACTCCTAGCTCTTTGCCAATAGAATTTATTCTTTTTTATGAAAGTAGAGAATTTTCGTGTGTTTTGAGATTTTCTATTTTTGACGGTTAAAAGTTTGTTTTCTTCAATCATCTGGTTAACTATGACATTGTTGTGACAGTTATCAGAGCCAATCAAGCAGCATGTTGAGGAGAAAGTAGGGAAATCTGTTCAGAAACACAGTCATCTCGTCAGAGAAGTTGATGTAAGACTCTCTGTTCGAGGAGGAGAGTTTGGTAAAGGACCTAGGATCCGTAGATGCGAGGTAATGATGTCATTCTTATCCATTTTTTGAGTCTTGATCCCTCTAGGTATTTGATTAAGAAGCAACGATGTAGTAAATGTTTGTCCAAATCCATAAACTGTAACTTCAGGAGCTAACATATAGTTGCTATGGTAGTTTAGGTAACATTGTTTACAAAGAAGCATGGTGTTGTGCGCGCTGAGGAAGATGCTGAGACGGTATACGATTGTATAGACTTGGTATCAACAATAATCCAGCGGAAGCTGAGGAAGATCAAGGAGAAGGATTCTGACCATGGAAGGCACATGAAAGGTTTCAACAGACTGAAGGTAAGAGAACCAGTGATTGAGCCGGTTGTGGAAGATGTTGAAGACGTTACTGACTCGAGCCCGGGAGAAGTAGAAGACGAGGATGATTTGATCAAGGAGGTTGGTCCACACTTGCCTTATCACTGGTATTCACTGATATCCAACAACTGATTCATTTGTCAATGTATTTCTCATGGTTCTTCGCAGATTGTCCGTACCAAATACTTTGAGATGCCACCATTGACCGTGTCTGAGGCAGTCGAGCAGCTGGAGTTAGTCGCTCACGATTTCTATGGCTTCCAAAATGAAGAAACCGGTATGCATTTGACATAGTTCTCTTTTCTTTTATATACGCCCGATTGCTTCAAATGCAAAGGAGAAATGAGCGGAAGAAGATCTATAAGGAAGACTCACATTTCGATATCGTTTTTTGGTTGGCAGGTGAGATTAACATAGTCTACAAGAGAAGAGAAGGAGGGTACGGACTGATTATCCCTAAGAAAGATGGGAAGGCCGAGAAAGTTGAGCCGCTTTCAACCGAGCAATTGAATGAACATTCTTTCGCCGAGTAGACTGAGTCTGCTCAAACCAAAACTGATCTTCTACTCTCCTTACAGTTGTCTGTATAGGAGTTAGGGTGCTTGAGAGTACAGTGAAAGAAAGTTGAATCTGTTAGGGTTCAGGAAACAGTGTAAATAAAAAAGGCTGATTCTGTCTACTTTTGAAGTAAAAAAAAAAAAAATCTTTAAATCAGATGAAAGCAATACATTTTCACAAAGAAGAATGTAACATAATAATCATACAACAGTATCATCATATACATGAACGCAAAAACTTAGTTTTGTTTAGTGAATCTATCAGGCCAAGGACCTATGGCCACGAGCCTCTGGTTCACTGTTCTTCTTGCTTGCGAAAGAGCCTTCTTTCCTTGCTTTAGAGGGCAATCTGGATAAGAGAAGGAAGAGACAATAAATAAATATATATAATTAAAGAACTACGTTTTTGTAACATGTTTTTTTGTTGTGATAGACAAGTAGCTAACTGAACTTGCCTCCTCAAGAGTATTCGGTTGGCATTGCTACTTTCTGGATCATTATGAACCTCTTCGATTTGGTATCGTGGATTCTGCAATGAACATATAGATTTTATATTGAGGCATATAATACTTATTTAGTTACTCAGTTTGATTCGATTTGACGGACAAAGATCTTTCATAATAACTTTGCATCTAACAAGTAAGCTACTTGCCTTTTTAAGGTCGATGAACACTTGAAATTACTCAGGAACTAGTTTCTACTGCAATTTCAAAACGTACAGCCTACGATGTACTTCATAAGAGACTTAAACTAGAACACAGACCTAATCTCACAATTCGAATCCAGTTCTACTGCTCTTTAAGGTCGATCAAACTCAATGTTGCGACTAAATCAAAGCATCGTTCTAATCAAGATATCGAATTTGCAATAGCCATCAACAAAATTAAGGAGATTTGGCAAATAGGGTTACTCACATTGTCCGGAACTGATCCTGAAATCTTCATCTTTTTGCATTTCCCAGAGTTTTCACCATCGTCAACGTCGCATTTTCTCTTCTTTTTCTTCTTCTTCTTCTTCAACTTCTTCATCGTCTTCTTCTTCGAAGAGACAACACGCGATTTACCCCTCTTGTCCCTCACTTTCCACACGTTTCTTCTACGGAAGACCAGTTTCTCAGATTTCCAGATCTTGAAGCTAGTGTCGATCACCGTCACTTCGCTCCTCGAAAACCCAACCAGATCCTTCTCTCCTCTCTCTTCCTCCTCCACGCCGTCGGCTTCCGCTACGCTTCTTCTCCTCTCCCTCTTCTCGGGCGCCGGTTTCTTATTGTACGAACTTCGCGACGACGTGGCGAATTCGCGAGCCCCGGGGAGACAATTCGAATCGCGTTTCTGATTTAGCAACGGAACGTCGGCAAGAGTCTCAACGGAGCAATGCCTAGGGTTTGATTGTTTCCTCGGGAGCTTCTTACCGGGAATCGTGGAAGACCGAGAGGAGCCGCCAAAATTGAATAGCTCGGAGAGAACATCGCTCATCACGCCGTACCATTCTTCGCCGGGATTTGGGTCCAATGGAATCTCCGGTAACTCGAGAGCCGAAAGAATCGGAGCAGACGGAGGAGAATCGGAGGCGGGATCTCCGGTGATTTCGTTATGGTAGTTGCGGCGGAGGAAGTCGTCGAGACTAAGAGGATTACCAGAAGCATCGTCATCGTCGGTGGTGGAGAGTCCTCTGCTTAAGCGGAGACGGTCAAGCCAAGTGGAGGCGACGGGCTTGTCGTCGATAACGGAGCTGAGCTGCATCGGAGAGACGACGGAGATACAAATTTGTTGGCTCTTTTTTTTCTCTTCGCTGTAAACTTAAAAAACAGTGCGCCGTTTCGGATTACAGGAAAACAATAATTTCAATTCTGAGTCCAACTACGCGTCGTCTTCCATTTCTTATTTTGTGATATAGCTAGTTTACAAATCAAAATTAGGAGGTTTATTGGATTAGATAATTTTATTGATTTTGAGATCTGAATAAAAAATTTCTATTATATCAACTGATTTTTAAATTGCGAGAAAAGTCCATGAGTTCAGTAGTTAGTTGATCAAAATTTTATTTTTAATTCTTAACAGTTAAATTATGTACAGTATTTAAGTGTTATATACCGTTTACAGTCGACCTTTATAGTAAATTAATTATTTAATCTTGCATGTTTTTAATTGCAACAAAAAACTACTGCTTTTGAAAGTTTGATCGCAAGGTGTTACAATAAACAAACCTAGTTAAAGAAATCAAAGTAAAAACATGGAAGAGCTCATGGGAGAGGAATTATTCTTTTTCTCTAACAAAAACTGATATTCAAATCTCATAAAATTTAGAAGAGAAAAGCTTTTCAATGAGCAAACAAGATAAACACAATAGAAATAAGAAGAAGAAGGTCTTCTAGTCAAACAATCCGAATACCATGTCATCTTCACTCTCTTCCTTCACGTCCTCCTGAGAATACAAAACAATTCCATTAATTAGTTTTGATTGTAAGCTTACAGTTTTATAGTTAGATTAGTATTCAGTAAACGTAACCATGTGCTGATAAATGCAATAGATATATACCTTCTTCTTCTTTATATCTTCAGCTGCTGGGACTGCTTGAGTAGCTGCAGGAACGTCGTTGGTTGCAACCGGAGCAGCCGCACCACCACTGGCTCCAACATTCATGATGAGATCATCAATATTCTTCTTCTGACATAGCTTTGCAAAGAGACTAGGCCAGTATGATTCAACATTGACGTTGGCTGCTTTCACCAGCTTTGATATCTTCTCAGCCTGGTAATTAAATTAAACCCACAATAATCGATTGAGATCATGAAACTATATAGACACGCATCGCAATTACATAGTATATGAATAGATTATACATGGATGAAGGGCAAAGAAAAGATTAACGATCCTAAAGACTATATATAACAGAGGTTACAAATCGAGAAGAAGGAAGAAAACTTACGGTGATCTCAATTCCATCATCGTGGAGGATTAGAGCGGCATAGGTGCAGGCGAGCTCACTTGTAGTGGTGGCCATTATCTCCTTCCCCACTTTTTTTACTCTCTTTGCACTATGATTATTGCTTGCCTTTTTAAGTTTTAAGGACGTTGCTATGTGATATTTATACTAGGGGGTTAGGGTTCTGTGAATTAAGAATCGGACACATAACAGAGAAAAAAGAAAGTTTCCATAAGCTAATTTTCCTGTTTTTTTACGTATTTTTATCAAATATGAGTATCAATGTTTTCCAAAGTCAATTGTCAAAAGAAAATTTCCAGTTTACTCAATTTATATTTTATAACATCATCAAGATATGAGCGCAATAATTGCAATTATTAGAATAAATTAATAAATTTTAATAAATGGTAATGAAAAGCATGTCGACCAAATATTAGACGGTAAACGTCGCTTTTGTTTTTAGAATATTGAAATTAAAAATGGTAAATAGAGAAGAACTTTTTTTTTTGCATAAACATATCCATAGTAATTAACTTTTTTTCGGCAAGTGAAAAGGAAAACCCATTTTTATACAAAAGGAAACGTGGAAGCCAAACATTTTAACCCGGACTTTCCTACTTTCAAATTCATCTGTATCAAAAAAAAAAAAAAAAAAATTCTTACTGATGACAAAGTGCAGTTTGTCTTGTTGACATTCACAAAAGTGGCTTAATTTCCATTTCGACGTAGTTTTACCAAGAACTGTACTTAGAATTGTGTTTCCTAATCGTATTACGCCTACCGAAAAAAAAGAAAAAGCATACAGTATTAGGATTGTGTTTGAGAATTTAAGTCAATTCCCATTCTAAATTCACATATCATTACAGGTGTGTCCGAAGTTCGAACGTGTAACACATATTGCACAATTGTTTTGTTTAGATGGTAACTACCGATTGACAAGTAGAAGACGTTCCAGCATTGTAAGAAAGGTGCATTGTACTAAGTTCCAGTTACAAATCTAAAGACCAGAAACCGCAATATTTTCTGGTTGGGTTTATACACAACAGAGATAACAGTAGCAATTGGTTCATCAATTGAATTCCCTTTTAGTTACAATCAGATAGATACAAGCGCATGCTCCGAACCTACTATCTTACGCTCATGGCGATCATACGGGTCTATGCTAAATCCGATTATTGTCACTTTCACATCTCCATCTGACATCAAGTAAAATGTATAATTAATAATTATAAGGAAATGTTATTAGATTTTCTGCATATGTAATGTTATCGTGCAATCCAAAATTCTCTATACGAGTTACAAAAACCTGAAGCACAAGTACAAGCATTTCATCCGTTGTAATTCCCGATTACCTTATATATGATTATGAGTGACCTATAGCAGAGTAGCAATCTCAGATCCTTATTTACCCTAACCGGTATTTGTATTTGTTACGTAACTCATGATTTGTGTCAAATATGCACCCTAACACTTCCACACTCTAAATTTCCTAGAGACACAAGCCCCTTTGTACATCCCATCAGTGAAGAATCATGAGTGGAGTATCACACCTAGAACCCGAACAGTGCACAACTAATTTATCATATCAAACATTAAGTTAGGTACGAGCCAATTTATGACTACCAAACTATCAGCCATTTCAGCAACTGTTTTGTCAATAAGTTATTTTGGGACATCATAATGTTGCAACCCAAACTGTGATTTACGTATGCATAACAAAGAAACTGGTTTTGTCAAATATATTGAATAATCAGAAACTATAATCCAGCTAAAACCAGATTCGTGTCAAAATCTAGTTGCACTGCAATCAAGAAAAATCCCTAGAACCAAGTTTTGCTACAAGGCTGTCTGTAATAGCGACGAAAGCAAATTAGAGACAGACCAAACCAACAATCAACGCTTATTGATTTCATAGTTAAAACGATGCAAAAAAAGAAATCTCTAACCTCAAACTCTAAGGAGCTGCATTTTGTTAGCAAAAGCGATGCCAATCCAATCAGGCTGTGAGGAAGACCACTGCAACTGGTTAATCTCCGAACCGGCTGAGTAAACCGACATGGGATCAATACCGCTAGGTCCAGCTACAGTCGGAAGCTCCCAAATGAGAGCCTGTGTGTCATCACCACCCGAGCAGATGTGCTTGCAGCTCTGTGGAGCCCAAGCTATGGCGTTAACGCTAGCCTGGTGCCGTTCTAGCTCCGCAACAGGCACCGTTGGCGAGCGAATGTCGAGGATCACAACCTTATTCGAATCCATCAGAATCGTCGCCATGTATCTCAGGTCTTGTTTGTTCCAAGCGAGTCTTAAAAGAGGCGTATCGGGCTGGGGAGACTCGTAAATGATGGTGGAATGTTCCTTGTCTCGTAGATCGAAGATCCTGACGGATCCATCGGCGGAGACCGATGCGAAAACCCTAGCTTCTCCCCAAGCGATGTCGTGTACCTCTTTATCGTGAGCTATGAGCTGCGTCTCCACAACGGACTTCTCGATGTCCCAAATCGTGCAGGTCGTGTCGATGCTGCAGGTCCCGAGTCGTTTCGGCTCCACGTCGTTCCAATCGAAAGAGGTCAACGGCGCGCAGAACTCGCTCGTCTTGCTGTTGTTGAGGACCGAGACAGGCTCCACGGTGGTGGAATCGTCGCTGATCTCCCATAAACGGAGGAAATCGCCGGAAGAAGCGAGGAGATCGCCGGAGGAGGGACGACGGAGAGAGGGAGGGCTGAACATTAGCTTGGTGGGAGGGTAAGGATGTTCGAAGGAGAGATTCGGGAGAGGCTTCACGGTCATGGAATCGGAATCGAAGGAGAGAATGTCGATGCGGTTGTTGTAGTCCTCGAGGAAACTTCCGACGGCGATTCGGTGGCCGGAGGGAGTACCGGCGCGGATTGAAGAGAAGGCCATGGCGTAGAGTGGATAAGGAGAATCGTACGTGACGGCGGTTTCCGATCTGGAGAAGGAATCCGGAGCTGAGTTATCCATTGTCTCTACCTGAAAATGGTTAATCTGATTTGATTCGATGTTGGATTCTTCACGACGACATCTCCGTTTTTCAGAGGAAAATGACAGAAAGTTTGTATAGTCAGTGTCAGTGAGATTTTTGGAGCAGAAGAAAAAATCAAGGGAGACGGCATGCTAAACACTCTGGGTTAGTCAGTATCTTTTGATGTATTTGGGGGGCCTTTTTACACGTTTTTGGGCCTTGTGTCTATAGATAGTAGGCCTTTTCAAACGCTAAGCGAGCTGACACAAACAAACTTTGGGAAAAGAAAAAAAACGAATTTTTACTATTACGATCAGCATCATCGATCCCAACTTTTGTAGCTAATGAGAATTTTTACTTCATTTTATAGTGTATTTGTTCCATTTAGTTATTTTTATTTTAAGATTACGCAAATAACATTTCAATGTTTATTAATCTATAGATTCAGAATCTATTGCAAATATGAAGATATTTTAACCATTTTAGGTGTCACAGTAATCAAACATATTAGGTAACTTAATTTGTTTTGTGGCTTCGCTTTGCAAACATGTGATTGGAGTTCAATTGTTAGCACATTTAAGTGTCTATGTGCATAGAGTATCACTTCTTAAAGAAAGTTTGTGCGTACATAATAATGTTCTCATGACGTCCACAATACGCTCGTTTGTGTGATGGGATGATTTATGAAGTCCACAATGTCCTCATGGGATTTCTGAATTGTCCACAATGTCCTCATTAACTTCCGCAATGTCCTCATGACTTAATCAACTTTATGTTTAAACGTAAAATGTTTTATTGCTAATTTACTATACTCCTCTTTAGCTAATTTAATGGTTTGTGGACTTACGCGATCTTTTCTCTGCGTGAATATATACACATGTATATATAATGTGTGAGGTTGGGGCGAAGTGCATTTGTGTCACTTTCTCTGAAAAAAATAAATGGATTGCATAAATTTCTGCAAAGAGCTATAATAACTAATTTTGTGTGGAAATAAAATAGTGTTAATTACTTTTATTTTATTTTGAAGAGGATAAGACGGAAAATGAAAAGAAAGACAGTAAGAAACAATGACAGGTCCAAATTTAGAGTGAATGGACATGATGGTAAATCCCTAGACATTGACATTGTCTATTTTCTTCAACCCAAAACCCACGTTTACTCCAATTTCATATTTGATAGGACCATAGATTTATTTTATCCACTAGTCCCACGCTTACAAAATAGGACCAGTTGATAATTATGCCGAGAGAGTATATTTAGTCGACATTTAGTCATTTACAATTAAAATACCTTATAAGTTATAAGACAGAAAATATATATGTTTCTATGAAAAATTAGATTTCATATCAATCGAAATCATCAAATCCACGTTACATTTGAAAACTTAATCTTGGTAGACCATATGAAGGAAAAACAGTTTAACACATGAATCACGTAATTCAATAGTGGAGCACAATTTGGTCGTCTTTATGTATGACTCTGCTATATAGCTACGGCTACGCCAAAATATAATATTGTAATCACTAATCAACAAGATAAGAGTTTAACAACACATGAGAAGACAAAATTATAAACAGTTAAACACATGAATCACGTACGATACAAACAAATAGACTTTGAATATTCTAACATTTAAAATGTCTCGTTTACTTACCAAACATTCATACATCTTCATATATTTTTTTCTCTTGGCAATGCATTTTGCCATTTTGGATAGGTATCGGTAATTAATTAATGATTATGGTTATGGAAAACATAGCAGTATTATGATAGCACCGAAATTTCCTATTCAGCAATTCGATCTATTTTTTATTGACACAATAACCCATTTTTCAACAATATATATGTAGAATGATTTTTTATTGGGAAGTTTCATATTAGAATATTAGATCATAATGATCTAGTATATAAATTAAAGTAGCATAATTAAGGCATTTTTAAACTGATAATATCATACTAATTGGAAATTAGATATGCGTTTATAGAACCCAACGATCTATATATGTAACGTAGATTAAATATAGTGTGTACACCCAAGAAAAAAAATCATAGAGTATATCGTTTTTTTGGGTTAGATAGAGTGTATAGATAGGTTACAAAACTTTTTAAGTTACGAAAATACTGCATTTAGTGTCATAACGAGCCATTAATTAGAAGTGTTTGACACGCTACAATACTTATCAGTGCACTTATCAAGATTGACCGACAACAAGTCGCAACCATGACTCTCACTTCCCATATACGATCGTGCTCATTCTTTTGGATAGAATGAGGACCAATGGTTATTTGTTTGGACACGTGTCTTGCTTTCTCTCAATCTCAATATTATTACCAAAATATACGAACATCTTTATCTAGGTGTGTAACTTTCACACGAATTATCAATCTTTGGCTTGGATTCTCTTTTGGGTTCCATTAATCTTTCTTTTAATAAAACAATTAAGTTTTTTTGGTAGTTAAAGAGAATAATATTTACTGAACAATAAGCCATACCCTTATTTTTAAGGAAACTCAAATAGTAGTATTAGTTTACTTATGCCGGCATGCACTCCGAAAACGTATTTAGTGATTTTCCCCAAAACAATTCCTTGAATTGACTGTTAAAGGTAAAAATTTTAATTGAAAATCACTAAAAAGAGTTTTGAACGAGATATTGAAACGAAAAAAAAAAGAGAGAACCAAGTAGCTCGGTTAATGGCTTTTGTTCTCGCACGACTTGCCTTCAAAACTTACCATGGTGAAGTTAATTAATGTTAGAAGGGGAAAAAAGTTTCGAGAAGCAAATAAAAAAAATAAATAAATTAAATTGAAGTAATTAAAACGCCGTTTAGCCACGTACATGGCCCCGCCCACATTTATTTTTATATGATAAGATTCGCAATTATTTTGCTTACCGTTGTTTTTTTTTTTTTTTTTTGTCATCGCTTACCGTTGTTCATTATTTCATCCTAATCTAATTATTTTAAGTCCACAAAATTCTTCGAAGTCCAAAAATAAAAATTCGTCGATTTTCTTTTTCTATTTTGAAACTAACCTCCACCAGCATTATTTTGTCGTTATTGTCTTGTCTTTCTTGAAAAGTTAATATTTTAATGTTGAGTTTGTTAGTTGTCACTTATCATAACTCTTTATATTTGTCAAAAAAAAAATTTGAAGCGGTAAAATATAGAAACGGTTAATCGTGAAAGTAACAATTTTCTTCTCTTTCACATGTCGATTAATTTTTTTTTCTCTTACGATTAAGTATGTACTACCCACGCCTTCGACGACAATCATTCATGACGTCACTGCTATGACGCTTGGATGACATCATTACCGATATATTATTAATGGTCCAACAATATAGAGTTTCGCTGTTTTGTTTATTTTTATGTAAATATGAACTAGCGTTGAGACACACAAAAAAAATTTAACTAGCTGGATCTAGATAAAAACTTATTTTCTATGTTTTAGATCAAGTATCATTTTGTGTTTGTTACAAAGTAAAAGCCGTTTTTTATTTTTAATGCAAAATTATGGACCAAATTCTAATTTTTAATCCTATTAAATAAATTAAAAATGTATGGTATTAGATTTAACTAAGCTTTCTTATTTATAAAAAAAAAATCAACGATACTTACAATTAAAAAGATGGAATAGATACAATATTGCAAATGCAGGTATCTTTTTTTGTCAACACGCAGCAGGTATTTAGGATGATATAATAGTAAGTGTGGTATATTGAAAATTATTAAACTACCGAATTAGCTCGCACAATTTCTTTTGTTATTTTTGTCACCGTCATTGGCTGAAAACTATTCACTTATAAACAATTTTTTTTCTTCTTTTTTTGGTTGCTAAAATATAAATAGTTTCTAATAAAATATAGAAGAAGGTGACAGAAATGTAATTAAATATGTTAAGCTACGCTGCTGAATATAATTTCAGTTCTGTAGATGGTGCAACTATTTTTTTTAAAGTTAATTTATAAGAAATCGAAAGGGACATAAATTAGCATAAGGCATTAAAAATTTCGATCATATTTTATTATATCTTATGGTTAAAAACAGCATTTGTCATTTTCGAAAGCCCTTAAAGCCCCCTCCATACAATCAGACATTCGGTGGAATCAGTCAAATAATTACGTATTGAAGAAATAACAAAATTTAAAACATTAATTTACTGAGTAGGACCGAATATGCTTAGTTTATAAATATACACACGATGCACACCGCATACACACTCAAAGTCAAGCCTTCCTTTATCTCTTCCCCTTAATACTTCTTGTATAACTCCTGATATCATTTATGGCGGCAAAGCTAATATCCACCGGTTTCCGTCACACTTCTTTGCCGGAAAACTATGTCCGGCCACTCATCGACCGGCCACGTCTCACCGAAGTGTCTCAACTTGAAGACTTCCCTCTCATCGATCTCTCTTCCACAGATCGATCTCGGCTCGTTCAACAAATCCACCAAGCTTGCGCTCGATTTGGATTTTTTCAGGTAGCAATATTATACACACCATATATCATATATGTACACGTTTATTTAAGGTATATGGACTTTTGCATCATTTTATATGGGACTTATATATTTCACTAACCTTTTGACAAAAGCACAACTATAAGTGAACTTTCATATAGTTAATAACTTTTCAGGACTAATATTTTGATGAATCTAGGTCATAAATCACGGAGTTAGCAAAGAAACAGTAGATGCGATGGTGAGTGTTGCGAAGGAATTCTTTAGCATGTCTATGGAGGAAAAAATGAAGTTATACTCGGACGATCCAACGAAGACAACGAGATTATCGACGAGCTTTAATGTGAAGAAAGAAAAAGTCAACAATTGGAGAGACTATCTTAGACTCCATTGTTATCCTATCCACAAATATGTCCATGAGTGGCCTTCAAACCCTCCTTCGTTCAAGTAAGCATTTAATTTCCTTCTATTTTTTAGTTTGCATTTTTTTGTCAAAATTTATAGTAAGTATTCTATTGATTTTGTATTAACCTGTATATAGTCAATAATACTATTAACAGTATTTTATTATTTTGAATTAGTAAAACGGTCGGTCAGGTTGTATGTTATATCTCATGGTTTTATTTAATTGGTGATTTCTGAGATGTCAGAATGGCCAAAAATAGACTTTTAGACTATATAAGAGACTTACATAGCTTTTTCTAAACTATCATTTAAACTATCATTTATCTGATTAGATTCTATTTTCTTTTTTCACTGGTCCCTAACTCCCTATGTATATTATATATAATCATAGTATACTATAAATTATTATAAAAACAAATGCTCGAAAGCACCTAGCTAGACTACCTATCAAGAAAAGAATGTAAGACCGATGAGCTAGATCTTCGAAACTATATTTTGAGCGTCACGATTCCTAAAAACACACAACAAACACAAAACTAGAGCACGCACCTGGTTCTCGTTAGATATATTTTCAGCAGGAAAAGCTTTAATGCGATACATTTTTCTAGTATCACCAGAATATTGTTTTCTTTTTTGAACGAGAATAATATTGGTATATTCGTATAAATAGTTTCAGTTCGGCATAGCGAATGTCATTTTGAAGACACAAAAGACGATTCGGATTTGAACTAAAGAAAATTCGACCTTCATCTGAGTCAAGTCAACTGTTTTTGTTTTCTTCTTTAACTAACTATTTTTTCATATAAATTTTTCTTTTAATTGATGGTAAAAGAGGAGTAATTAAATTGGGGTCCCATTTTGGTTATGTTTTCTGATTTGGTTCCCCATGTGCTCACATGGATTGCCAAGATTTCTAGAAATCTTTACGTGCATTGCACAATAGACACTTATATACCTATGCATACATGTGGCTGTTGGGCTTATAATAAGAAGTGGTCACCACACTTTATATTAGAATACGTACAAAACCGTGTGAATTACTCCGACCGACTATCAGGTTTCAACCATAAATAGAACTGATTTCATACAGCAACGTGTGTGTACTGTAGAGATTATGTATTTTAATAAGTACAATGAAAAAAAAAAGATTCGATAAAGATATGTTGGTGAGATAGGACAAGCGGAGGTCGGAAGCAAAATCACCGGCTTCATAATGTTTTAATTCGAAACCTTTTTGTTCTTAATTAAAAAATAGTTTAATCACTTTTTAATATTCAACTATCATTAATTAATCACATGCTAATTTACGTCATAGGGGGCATAAATACAGTTATCATCTATAAGTGAAATGGTTAAATCAGCACACTATAAAAATATGATTTATGTGTGGTAACGGGGAAGATAAGTCACAGGTAAAGCCGCGTAGAGTCAGCGTCGTGATATCATGCCAATCTTCTTCTTTTTTTTTTTTGAATTTTCATATTGACTTTTATTATTGATTTGAATCGGTCTTGTAATTTTCATTTTAAATGACTAGCGGCCTTTAATTTAACAGATCGATGTTTTTTTTTTTTTTTTTAATTTGCCACAATTTCCTTTTGGGTTGGTTCGAAGCTGATAACGTGCTCTTCTTTTCATTTTTTTTTAAAGTTGTTAATTGCAAATGTAATTAAACATCAAACACAGTTTAGTAGAGATTCCGTTGAAAACTACGAGCTAAATGCAACACAAACAAACATTGAAGACCATAGTTTAGTGCTTAATTACCAGAGAAAACAATAAGTTATTATAACAATGGTAAATTATATGAAAATCGTCTTCATCAAAAAAGAGTTTTAATGCATGAAAAATGCTTTTATAAAAAAAAATACTAAGATGAATGTAATTTCATGGATTTAACTAAATCTACGTATCATGTTAAAAGGTGCATATATTGAAAATTTAAGCGATTTGGGTAGCTAACTCTCTGTGTGTGTCTGTGTGGTTTTGCAGGGAAATTGTGAGTAAATACAGTAGAGAAGTAAGAGAAGTGGGATTTAGAGTAGAGGAATTGATATCAGAGAGCTTAGGTTTAGAAAAAGATTACATGAAGAAAGTGCTTGGTGAACAAGGACAACACATGGCAGTCAACTACTACCCTCCATGTCCTGAGCCTGAGCTCACATATGGTTTACCTGCTCATACCGACCCAAACGCCCTCACCATTCTTCTCCAAGACACTACCGTTTGTGGTCTCCAGATTTTAATCGACGGTCACTGGTTCGCCGTTAATCCTCGTCCTGATGCTTTTGTCATCAACATTGGTGACCAGTTACAGGTAACTGATCAGAGACTATAATATCTATCAAAATATTCAGTTATTTTTCTTTTCAATCTTGCAAGGGATATCTGAAAACGTTGGATCAAACTTTTGCGTTTCAGGCATTGAGTAATGGAGTATACAAAAGTGTTTGGCATCGAGCTGTAACAAACACTGAAAAACCGAGACTATCGGTTGCTTCATTTCTGTGCCCAGCTGACTGTGCTGTCATGAGCCCAGCTAAGCCCTTGTGGGAAGCTGAGGACGACGAGACGAAGCCAATCTACAGGGACTTTACTTACGCAGAGTACTACAAGAAGTTTTGGAGTAGGAATCTTGACCAAGAACATTGCCTCGAGAACTTTCTAAACCACTAGATACTATGCAATATATGTCTGTCTTTGTGTTTGTGTAGTAGGCATAGATATACATATCTATGTAGTAGCATGGATGTTCCATACTTCCATTGTATCTAGTCTCCTACGTACCCTTATTTCATTCAAGACTAATGATGTATATCAATAATAATTATAATAATCATTTATCAGTTCTAGTCTACCTAGACCGGTAGATGTATTTATTAGGACTATTATGGGCATATCCGGTGTCCAAAATTTAAGAAAGTATGCCCCCCATATTCAAGTCATAATTTTTTATTTTTACAAGCCATATTTTATCTATACATCTACATTATGATTCCATACTTAAATTTCGAATTCTGTTTCTATATGGATATATTGCAGGTTCATAAACGATCAAATTGTAAAGAAAGCAATAAGTTCACCAAGATAAATGTAACTTAACAAATGTTAATTAACAAAAAAAACGATATTTGATATATTAAAGATAAATGTTTCGTTTTAATTATTTGTATTTATAAATAGGGTTAACATCATCAATTCAAAGAACAACACAAACTTGAAGTTATTTCTTATCTCACTTGAGATAAACACTCAATCCTCATACAGCATATACCTGATCAAATATCAAAGATGGCGAAGCTTAACATTACCATGGTGTTTTTTCTTGTCCTAATTGTGACGAGTGCATATGTTGTCCTTTCATTTGCCGTAGAAGAAACCGAGCCAAAGAAGTTATGGGATCAGTGTGTTGTTAAAATCAGTGTGCATTGAATATCATATGTTAAGTTTTTGGAAATGGAGTTGTCTCTGTTTCTTGCTGTCAGGAACTTGTTAAAAAAGGAAAAGAGTGTTATGATACGCTTATCAAATATATCGCCGATAGACCTACCTTAATTGCAAACGAAACCAAATATTTACAGAAAAGAGATGAATTGTGGACTCAATGTGTTTCTGTCTCAAAAACTATTTAAAATCGCTTGATTCTGTAACAACATAATATATAATATGTGAGTTTAAAGAAAATTGTTAATTTGTTCTTACGTTTATACAATATGTTATATCAATGTGAGACTTTAATATTATTCCATACTTTTAATTTAATTTAGTAGCGTTGTTTCACACGGTTTTAAGCCTTTGACGTGAGCAACAAACAATAAAATAGTTGAGGGGGTCATTAGAGGCACATTATCATCACCGTCTATAAAGTCAATTGTGTGTGTGTGGGGTTTTTGATCTTTAAAAAATAACGGAGATGAATCTTCTTGATTTACCTAAAGAATGCATCGCCGCCGTGATTTCTTTCACCAGCCCTCACGACGCCTGCCGTATCTCCGCCGTCTCCAAGTTACTTAAATCCGCCGCCGATTCCGACCCCGCGTGGGAGAGGTTTCTTCACGAAGAGCATCGTCTGTTTATTGATCGTTCTTCTTCGTCTAGGTTTTCCAAGAAGCAGCTTTTCCTCCATTCCCCTCTTCTCATCGACGATGGCAGAATGGTAAATTTTACACAATATCCCCTGTTTTTTTTCTTCTATGTATGAGATTCAAGAAATTGATTGTTTGAGAGAAATGTGATTTTAGAGCTTTTGGATGGAAAAGAGAAGCGGGAAGAAATGTTTCATGTTGTCTGCGAGGAAACTAGAGATCACTTGGGCTGATTCTCCTGATATCTGGTCATGGATTTCGATTCCGGACTCAAGGTTAGTTAATTTTTGCTTTCTTGAATTGAAAGCTTCTTCGTGTTGACTTCGATTAGTATGTGACAGGTTTGAGGAAGTTGCAGCGCTTGGAATGATATGTTCGTTGGAAATCCGAGGCAAAATAAGCACATCACTTCTCTCCAAAGGCACCAGTTATGAAGCTTACCTTCTTTTCAAGGAAAAAGAAACGGGAGCATTTGGATTTCAGAATCAGCCTGTGAAGACGAGCTTTGGATCCACAAGAAACAGCTTGCTTCCTAATAATAGACAAGAGTGTCTTGTGCATACATACAAGAGTCCTCGTCCTCCTAGGGAAGATGGCTGGTTGGAGATTAAGCTTGGTGAGTATTATGTCGGTTTTGACGAGGAGGAGGAGGAGCTCGAAATGTCAATGTTGGAGATAAGTTATTGTGATTGGAAAGGCGGAATCATTGTTCAAGGGATCGAGATTAGGCCAAAAGCAGAAATCTTTTGATTCAGTGACTCCACTCGCAAGTGAATTCTAGTTTGTTGTGTGATTAAAAAACAAATAATTGAAACGTCTAAGCTATGCAATGCAAGGACATGTACATTTTTCTTTCACGTCGTGGTGTGTGTTTAATCATGATCTTGGTTTGTAACTTGCCTGAATGAAATTTTTGATGGATTTGTCCTGGACCCGTTTCTTCTTTTTCCATTGTAAGGAATGATTGCACTCCAAAACCACACGATCAAACTGAACCATAATCAAAAACAGAGTGAAACAACACTCTTAAGGCTTTTATGAGTCTCGGCTAGACTTTATCTCGCAATCTTCACTATAGAATTGAGAGGTTAGAAGCTTCTAATAATGTTGTGTATACCTTGTTTCAGGTTTTACAAGCAGATATGAGTAATCGCAACAAGATAGGAGAAAGAAAATGAAGATGAAGAACTCAAGTTACTCAACTATATATACTCTGTTTTGTAATAGACCCCTTTCACCGATTCTTTCTTGTTTTCTTTATGGGCTTCGTCTCTTTTTGTATTAGGCCCAACTCTTCTCTTTTCTTCTTTCACCTAGTAGGCCTATTCCTTTATAACCCAAAATTAATGGGATGCGTTAGATTGGGGAAACCGGCCCAAATCATATGGTCATTTATTACGATGCATATGTACTTGAACCGATGAGGTGTGTACATTCCTGCACCAAGTAAGCTAATCTAGTTAATTTCTAGACAAATAATAATATTTTGGTTTAGCCAGACATTGATCCTAACATCGTTAGTCAAATCTTCTAAGTCAAATCATCTAATTTTGTTGAGTCAGAAAACACGTCAATGAAAAAAACAAATTGACTTTTGTTTTTAGTTTTACTAGTAATCGGTAAAAATAGACATACGCAAACTAAACTAACTAAACTTGCCAAAATTTGATCTGGAATTTCTTAAGCAGTATTGGTGGGAGGTAAGACCAGATTTTTTCAATTTCGTATGATTTTCACCTATTTCTTGTCTAAGTATGATTGCTCTTCACATCAAGAACTCAAGAAGCTTGCAGTACGACATTTGCAAGCAACCACATATTAACTTCCAAGACATTGTTAACATAGTTACTCCCAATGAAGAATTTCCTACAGAATGTTTGTGATTTTGTATGTGAGGAGAAAATTTAGTCGTGCTGAAGTTAGAAAGTAATTCTTCTCTAATTTTCAGTCCGTCACACAAATCTTCTTTGAATCATTTGTTTTAAAATGAACTGTATTTATTACGACTATTATGGGCATATACGGTGTCCAAAATTTAAGAAAGTATTCAAGCCATAATTTATTTTTATTTTTACAAGCCATAATTTATCTATACATATACGTTATCATTACGTACTTAAATTTCGATTTCTGTTTCAATATGGATATAAATTATTGTTTATAAACGATCAAAAATGTTAAGAACACCAAAAAGTTCACCAAGATAAATGTAACCTAACAATTGTTAATAAACAAAAAAACCGTTTAGATAGATCAAGATAAATGTTTCGTTTTGATTATTCATATCCATAAATAGAGTTAGCATCTTTGATTCAAAGAACAACACAAACTTGGAGTTATTTCTTATCTCTCACTTGAGATAAAACACTAAATCTTCATATAGCATATACCTAATCAAGGATGGCGAAGCTTAGCATTACCATGGTGTTTTTTCTTGTCCTAGTTGTGACGAGTGCATATGTCCCTTCATTTGCCGTAGAAGAAACCGAGACAAAGAAGTTATGGGATCAATGTGTTATAAAAATCAGCCCAAAGTGTGCATTGGATATCATTGGTCAAATTTTTGGAAATGGAGTTGTCTCCGTTTCTTGTTGCCAGTAACTTGTTAAAGAAGGAAAGGAGTGCCATGATACGCTTATCAAATATATCGCTGATAGACCTATCCTAATTGTAAACGAAACCAAATATTTACAGAAAAGAGATGAATTGTGGGCTTAATGTATTTCTGTCTCAAAAACTAATTAAAACTATTTGATTGTGTAACAACATAATAATATGTGAGCTTAAAAAAACTTGTTAATTTGTTCTTACGTTTATAATATGTTATATCAAGCTTTAATATTATTACATACTTTAATTTAGTAGCATTGTTTCACACGGTTATAAGAATGTTTGTGATTTTGTATGTGAGGAGAAACTTAGCCGTGGTGAAGTTAGAAAGTAAATTTTCTTTAGTTTTCAGTTCGTCACACAAATCTTCTTTGAATCATTTGTGTTAAAATGAACTGTCATGTGATTCGGTCCCCTTCCCATCATGTCGGTTTTATTTTCCACAAAATACAAAAGCCAATAATTATTAAAAAAACTATTATTTTATTATCAGATCCAAACACACACAATTATTTTATTTTATTTTATTAATTTGGTCTCTATTAGTTAATCTCTCAATATCAGTCAGAATGATGGAAGTTTGCGTGACATTCACTGAACATCGTACAGACCTTTTAAATTAGAATTTACTTTTTAATAAGATGCTGAATAATACGTACCAATTATTAACAAGTTAAAAAAAATTCTGAAAAACACAAAATTAAAATATAAGTCGAGTGATCCGGATCAGAACCCACTAATCTCAACATATACAAACTCGTCAGATACAAGCACACAATATCACACATCTGGTCGAAAGCCATAACCAACTGGATTTTATTTTAAGTGATCTTACAGTTATTATATGATTTCTATGCCTTCTGAGTTCTGAATATATCAACTAATATTCTATCGTATATTAGTTGTTGAAAAATCACCAGAATTCGATTTTTTCTTACAGTGATTTAAATCATAATTGACCACTTGTGAATATCTTAAATGGTAAATAAACTCAAATTACTACAAACCACGGGAATTAATTTAGATTTCGACCTAAGATTCCCTTGATTATAAGAAAAGAAAATAATATATTTTCTGTTTAATATCAATGACAATTTTTATATTTAATAATATCATATGTTTTTTTAAAACTATAACCAAAATTATCTCATTTATATTCATAAAAATTATACTTTTTACATAAATAGAAAGATTTAAAAGTTAAAGGACTACTTTATAAATAAAAAAGTTCACCTTTATTATAGAAGGAAAAAATAGAGTCCTTCTATATTTGGAATAAAAAATAACAATTTTTATTTTAAAGGTGAAAATAGAAGTGGGTTGGAACATAATTTCTATTTTCACCTCTAAAATAAAGGTGGTTTGGAGATATCATAAGAGCTAAGCTTGTGGGTTTGGATCGTTGTTGCATCCACAAATAACCACACCCCAAGAAATTATATTGCTGAAGAATCTTTTCTCTCAACTTGGTATAGATTCATATAATACTAAGCTTTATTTGGTAACTGCATTGTCTCCCATAAGTTGCCGTAACTGTTTTTTCATCTTAAGCTCATATTGTAATCATACTGAATAAAGAGGCCAAAAACAAAAGACTTTATCTTCATGCTTATCCGTAATGTTCTTTTCTTTTTTGATAAAGGGCCTTCATTAAATATAGAAACAGACATAGTTTAATCCACAGAGTTTAATCCATAATGTTCTTTCGTTATCTATCATCAATGTTGCATGAATCTTTGACCTCTCCTCTTATTAAGTTAAGCAAAAACTTAAAAAACACTAACGCCATAAATAAGTTTAAATTTATATGATTTTCCTATATTAATTCGCAAATGAGCACTGTAGAAAAACATCAACCTGAAAATAAATGGAAAGTTCCAATTTAATAACACAAGCATAATCCGAAAGTACAGTCAAGAAGAAGAAAATTCGAAAATCTCTTCGTCTATACAAAAGAAATAAATACTCAGAAATTCAAGACAAAAGCGGCGTAATTTGGAGCGCATGATGATGAGATGTCGTTACGAGGCAAGGAAGAATCAGCACGGCCGCCACTAGTGGGAGCTCGAACGCTTCGACGGCGACTTGTCGGTGGTGGAGGGAGGAGTGTGGCGGTGATGCGAGCGAGAGCCACCGTGTATTCTTCAAGCAACTCGGCGGCGATGGCTACTGTTATCATGACGTTTATTTGCTTCTTTGATGTCTTGTTACGAATATCTCTCTAGTAACCTTTTGTAATTTGTGCAAGACAAGACAATGGGGTTACCTTTTTATGAGACGATGTCGTATTTATAGAGTATACGCTTTGAAACTATTGAGTATTGGCCATCAATTCTGGTAGGTTCTGGTCATAAATTATTGTAGCCGTCAGATCTACCAACTTTATCGAATTTAATTTTTGTTTCCACTTTTCTTTTTATGTACTTTTGGGAGTTTGGATTCATTTCGCTGGAATGGTTATACAAAGTTTTTTTTATAACCTAAGAAAGGTGAAATCATACGAACTTAGAACACATATAATCGTGATTATAACATAATTACAAGAATCTAACTAACGTTGATGATTTTTATTTTTTATTATTCTGAAGATTTCTATTAACTATTAGCTAATTACAAGAACTCGAGATCAAAATATAAGTCGGCCGACCAATAATATCGCCGAAATTTGCCAACCGGCCTATGTACGTTGATGTGTTTTTAAAACTGATAATAACAAATAGCATTGAAATGTAAAAAAAGGCTGAATATTAAAAATTTAAGAAAAATGTTTGTAAAACTAAACATAATAATGGATGAATAACATTTTGTATTTTTCATAAAAATAGTGTAAGTTTTGATAGAAATAAATGAATAACATATTCTTTTTTTTTTTTGGGTGATCAGAAGTAACAGAGTTTTCTATTAACTGAAATGCAAGGTAAATATTAAATGGCTATGATTTTGTGCGTCATCCAGTTTAGTTAGAGAAAATAATAAGATTAAACCTACACAAAAGTAATTGTGAAGACAATAAGAACTAAAGTGAACGGGGAAAAACTAGAGAAAAAAATAACTCACGTACAAGAGATTCCTAGTTGAATAGAAATGCATTTATTAAAACTACAATGCTGCACAAAAGACCTAGGTGATAAAGATTGTGGGATGGGCTGAATTTGCTCAAAGTATGAATGGTGATATGGAGCTGGAGTGGGCAACAAGTAGGGAAGATTAACTCCAGAAGCTAGAGCCTGAATGCGACGCGTTGATTTAGGCATTGCAATGAATGTGGTATATATATATTCGTTTTATAGAAGTTGAATTTGAAGGAGATTGTTGGAACATATATCATCCGATTTAAGCCCCCAAAAACAAATTATATATCATCCGGGTGCTATTACTGGATATATAACCAATAAATTAATATTTAGACTTTATGTTAGTAACAAAAATACATGGAAGGTTTCCGGGGTTATCAGAAACAGCTGTAACACATTTAATATGTTCCTAATCATAATCACAACATATCCCATTTCTATGTGCTTCAACCTCCAACTGGAAAAAAAAAACTGGTTATATATATTCAACCGTCCTCATCGGCCGCAACAGTAGTTCTGAACCTTTTTTTTTAGTAGTTTCCAACCTTACTATTGTTAAGCAGAGTAACAAACAAAATTGAGGTCAAATAGAGTTTTTAATGCGTCAGTGAGAAGAGGTCATGTAGATGACGAGAACTTTAAGATTTTTCGAAATCATAATGAGTAATCGTAATGAGTAATCTTAAGTACATGAGCGAGACTCGCCTTTGCATCATTCACTGTGAGAAGCTGATGTGCTTTGATTACGTGGGAAGTTCACAAAAAATATAACTAACATAGGAGGAATCACTCGCTCTGTCTCTAGCCCAAAAGTTGTCATTGGACCAGCTTAATTCTCTCGTGGGCTTGTCATCCACGGCCCAGCTCATATAATCATCACGTCATCGATAGTCGATACGCGTCTCCGGTTAGCAAGTGCATAACCAAATCAAATGCCGTTTCCCAAAGAATCAATCTCACAATTTATTTCTTAGAATTATTGTAATTTTTTTTTTCTGACATAAAGATAATCAGAATGACCTCCAAATTCGAAATTTTATTGATAAACTTTGAACATTTTATGTTTGGTTGAGTGATACATAATGGTGTAAAAAGTAAAAACTGATGACAATTTGGCTTTCGATAAAAATTAAGTTACAATGGTACAACGATATCCACCCATTTTTTAAACTATCAACATCATACACCTCTTATCGATGGGATAAAGATTTTCAAACAAACTTTTTATCAATGTATAGAAGTACTGTTAAGTTCTTCTTTTTCTAACATCTAAAGTTCTCTTTTTCTTGTTGGTCGACTCGAACCTATTAAGTTCTTTTTGAAAAAGAAATTAAAACCTTAAAAGAAATTTGAGAGGTTGAGAAAAAAATAGACAGGGTAGGCTGGAAAAGCTGCCACGTCCGAGAAATGGAGATTGACGTAGCATCAGAAAAAAATAAAAAAAATAAAGGAGCAAACCATGTGCGACCCACACGGATCTCCCATTCCCACTAGATTCTCCTGTCTCTCTAAAGAATATACAAAACAAATTCGAGACTATATACACACATATCTACGTATATGCTTACATGAATATGATTCCGTATGGATCGTTTTTTCAGTTGTGATTACGTATATACCAAATCGTAAGGTATCCATCGATAAATAAACATACCCACCACCAATAATATGTATATAAAAAAATATATAGTTTACACATTTTTTTTTGTTTTTCTGCATCGTTACCTATTTTCTTTCTTTTCGTTTTCTTCATTTTTCTTACGTAATTCCCCTAATTACATATATGTTCCGTAGACAATACGAAACCAAACTAAGAAATGCAACAAGCGTTAGGGTTCTCGTCACTGAAAAGCTGCGGCGGAGGAACCCTTTCGATGACGTATAAAGGCTGATAATAATACATCATCCTCTTCATCCCTTCCTCTTCCGCCGCCACAGCCATCTCCTCCTTTGCCGCCTCTTCTTGCTCGCCACCGTCCTCTTTCTTTTCCTCTCCGGCCTCTTTTTGATCTTCCTCTCCTGCAGTTTCTGCGGGTTTTTCATCATCGCCTTCAGGTTCACCGTTCTCCTCCTTCTTCTCTTCCTCCGCCGCCGGTTTTTCAGGTTCCGGGTCGGGTTGGGGTACGATTCGGGCCTGCTTTTTGGTTCGACGGTAGACGTAATCCACCAGTTTCTCTTCGTCCATCGTCCCCGTCACTATTACTTTTCCGGTGGTGTATTCCGTCACAGTTGTTTGGACCCCTAAGCAACAATATTAGTCAGTCTAAAAGTCCTAACGTTACATCAATAAAAACTTTATAGTACAATATACCAAAGAATATAATAGAACCGCGTCGCCACATATAAATTCCCATTTTTAGGAGTTAACTTTTCCTCTCAAAATCATTTTACTATAAACTAAGAAAAATATATTATACCTTATATATTAAATAAATCAGATTAAATCCTAGAAACCAATCAAAAATCCAAAACTTCTGACCAATATGCTTGTGCACTTATGAAATAATCCAAAAAACCAATCAATTAAATGTCTTCAACAAACTTTAGCTTAAACAAAATATGCTTGTGCACTTATGAAATAATCGTAGTGCACGTGATTCATAACAAGATAATGATTTTCAAAGTGACACAGGACATGAAAATTAAGAGAGTCTATACAGAATGATATAGAATTTTGATATGGGTACATATGTTTTAACGGTGGTCGGTGGGTAAAATCAATATAAAAGACATTTTGTATGATTATGTTTAGGTATGCCATTCATTCAAAACAACTAACTACAAACAAAAAAAATACTTATCAATATAACCAAAATATTTTTGGATTTACCCATTTTTAACATTTTTATATGAAAAAATAGTATTTTTGTTTTGGCTTGATCAAGCAAATCTAAATGTACCTCTCATTTTGAGAATCTTCTTCTTAAGCTGGTCAGCACAAGCTTGGCAGTGCATGTTTACGTCGAGCTCAACAGTGGTCATGAGGCCGGAGACCTGAGAGGTTATGATCGGCGGCAGAGGCTCTCCCTCGGCGGCCGGAAGCGGCGAGAGGACTTTTGCCATTCTTTTAGTCTTCTTCTTGATTTTGTTGCACACTGCTTGTGGATCCAACACTCCCTTTATCGTCACTTGGTTCTCACTCATGTCCATCGCCACTTCTTCCACACCTACACAATTATTTACTTCTCTTATGGAGCTTTATACAATAATATTTAGGTACTTTGAATAATATTTAGTTTGAAATCATTTTTATATATGGTCGTTGGGATTTTGAGAATAAAGCTGTTGGTTTTCATAATAAATTAAACTGAAGTTTTTTTTATAATAATTAATTCTTTAACCGAAACTAATTATTATATATATATATATATATATATTTATTTGTTTACCTCTAATTTTTAGAATAGATCTTTCAATCTTCTTAGCACACCCTACACAATGCAAGTCGACGTAGAGTATGAATGGCGGAGGCGGTGGCGGCGGCTCCTCCTCCACTGTTGGTTTCTCCTCCTCAGACGCCCCTTTCTTCTCCTCCGCCACGTCATCATTCTTCTGATTCTTCTCCGCCGAGGCAGGCTCTGGGACGGCTTCTGGTACGGAGGCTACTTCCTTTGCTTCCTAATAATGAAAACATCAATTAATGATAAATAGGTATTTTTGTTGCAAACTAAAATATTGTATTGGAACTTTGAGTCTTACTGGTTTCACTTCTTCTCCCATGTTTAGAATCAGTGGTTATAGGAAGATTATAAATGCATGAAACGAAGAAGAGAGAGATGTTATGAAGGATTAGTGTGAAGAGGGAGAGTATTTATACGAAACACTCAAATATAAAAAGACGAAGGAGGGAATTGAATTATTGATGAATAATTAAAGTTATAGTATAAGGTAGGAGCTAACAGAACATAAAGCATAAGAGGTTGATTCCATAGCACATGGCTGAGAATTAATCATCCAACATATGTAGAGACACACCCCTTCACCCTTGTACCTTATATATAGATTTATTCTCACCATCAATTATGTTTTAAAAGTTTTTTACAAACAACTTATTTTCGTTTTTTTTTAATTACCATTTTCTTAAGAGGGTCGGGAACAAGATGGCCCGAGGTTGGTACGTTTTATAGACATAGAATGTGGCTGTACTTTATCATTTACCGGTGATATATCGCTAAATGATTTTGTATAGTCATATCGTATTAATTATTGAATTATGGCCGGTTTGTTTCGACGCATGGACGAATGAATTCATACATTAAAAAGTTCACTATATATGTTGGTTCAGTTTTTTTAGTTAGGTTTTTGAAATAAAATATAATCTTATTAATTTTTTTATTATAATTTGTTTTTTTCCCCATAGATCTAAAATTTATGCTTTGAAATTTATAACAAAATGACCAAAAGAACATGCAATTCAACGTAAAATTAAAATGGAGCTATTTGAGTGTAAATTAGATTTTTTTCTAAATTGATGGCATATCTTTTCAATTTATAAAGAATGATTTTTGCAAAGATATTCCGTCTTTTATTTTTTTACAGGCTCACACTTTTTGGCATGAAAATCTAGTTTCTTATACCTCATCGACATCCGAGCTCAGTTTTAAGTTTGATATAACGAGCATCATCATCTACATGGATGCACAAACGAACCACATACATATTATATCCTAATACAACAATGGATTCTTAGCAAATTCCTTCTCTTGATTCCTGAATCCCTCTGTTGTATTTTTTTTTCATGGGAGAAAGGTATATTCTTGATAAAGAGGAAAATATACGTAGGAACGGAATCATGAGATAATATATTTGGCATCGGAAAGGACAATGCTTTGCATCATACTCACCGACTTTCTTGATCACATAAATAAGTCTTCCTCTATATTTTTTTGGATTCTGTTATATTTTATATAAAAACTTTACTTTATATATTTAATCATTTTTATCGTGGAACTTTTTTTTCCAAAATGAAAAATTTCATTTATATATGTTTATTTTTCTGTTCCTTTTTATAAATTTTTCTATTTACCGTGGACCTTTGATTCATATTTGAACAAGATATGAATCAGTTGTTTGTTTCACATATTTAGTCCTTGATTATTTCAAACACAGATTTTCTTGTTTGTCTTTACTACTATATTTTTAACTTTGGAACATTGTGTTTGCCTTTACATATGAAACATTTTCCTTTAGATTTTATTTTAATTACCATATTTTCATATATATTTTTGCTGTAAAAATAGTAACCGCTAAATAAATACAGGAAATTAACGTATGCATTTATGTAAACACTTTCTAAAAAAAAATTAAACATAGGTGAATTCATTTGGAAAATGTAATTTTTATAACATCTTATAGGGTAAATGCAAACGCAAAGGTAAATTACAGATAATATGTTGTCATATTTAATTTCTCCTTGGTCCAAATATTTTTCAAATTGGTTAGAAAAGACAAATCAAACTGTAGTTTTATTAATTGTATGAAACTATTAAATAGTTTACATATTTTTCGTTCGTTAAAGCGGATATAGTGATTTGATTTATTTCCTTTTAGAAGAAGCATCACAATCCTTTACCCACAAGTTCGGTTAATTGTATTCTCGATACTAAGAACAATCTAATCAGTAGAAACGTCATAAAATGTGTTTCATATTTCACAAAAAATTAAGATAAGTAGCAAACATATTTCTTAAAAAGCAGATTTTGGGGATGGATTCAACGTGGGGTGCACAACAAAATTTGAAAAAGAACTGCTAAAATTATTTGTGGTTTAAAAAACTTGTAAAAACTTTTGGCAAGGTGGAAAGTATCAAAGTAGAAAACCACGTGGGATGCTTTATTTAAATTTGGACAAACGAGAGATCATTTGTATATTTTTTTTGGCAGTTAAGACAGATTTTGTAGACTAAGAAGCAGATTGTTGTACTCAATTATTCGACGAATGTTAGTTCACGTGATTAAGAGAAGTTATTGAATTAATTACGGATGCGTTATATATTGACAGTTTTGGGGTCACAAACTAGCCAGAAGTTTTAGAACATGACTTTTCGGTAATGATGGAGACATCATATATTGTCTAATTACATAAATATATAACTTGGATGTGAATACACTTTTTTAATTTGAACTAATTAATACGCAACATGGAACGTCGTTCTTTAAAAATAAAAATGGAGCGTCGCTGATGAAAAAATCTTTGGAACCTCATCTAATCGACTAGTCATCTTCATATCACATATGCACTTTAGGTTACACACCTAAATCAATGTGTATGCATCACCTGTGCCCTGTTTGATATAATAAATTTTTAAAATATAGATACACATATTTTGGTTATCTAAGATAATATAATAAGCGATACAGTTAGATTAACATAATTAGAAATTAAAGTGATCCCATTTTGAGTCTAACCACTAAGATAAAGTAAATGCTAAAAAAATGGTACATGGTAGACCTCGACATGAAATTTGCAATTTGATATATTTAGCTATTAGTTTCATCTCTTTCAAAAAAAAAAATTAAAACGTTACATTCCATTATAACTTATTGTTTTGGTTGAAATAATTTTACATTTAAGTAAAAAAAAAGAAGTATATTAAAGTATTAAGAGAATTCACTCAGATTAATGTATGTAGTTGAGAAGTTTTAATCCATGTTATATTAAAGTATATTAAAGGAGTACTAAATATAACTTATAACTATTTTTATTAGTTATAATTATATTTGTCAAAGTAGATACCTGATTAAGAATATAACTGATCAAATTTGAGTCAAAACCCGGATTATAGATTGGCCATTATGTATAGATAATTTAAAATATTATAGTTGTTGGAAATTGTTAATAGATGTTGATTATAACTTCTATACAACATTTTAAGAATTTAACTTGGTTCATATTCACCTTCTATTTTAACATTTCAATTTTTTAAGTTAACTATATTTATAATTTAAATTTTAACCAAATTAGTCTCTTTATAAGTTAATAATTCATTAAATTAATAAAACTTAAAAGTTTTAACATTATTAATTTAAAAAGTTTTTACTGTATTTATAGTTAGAGGTCTCACTTTACGTCTATACGTTAAAGTTTTTTTGTTTTTTCTAAAGAGTTAAGATTCTGTTCGAATGTACCGATTTAACGTTGTATAACATAGTTTTTGACTTTTTGTTAAGGAAAAAGGATTTAATGGAGATGGCATTGGTGAAATGTGAGGTCATCTAATTTATTTATTATCTACATATTTTTAAAAAGGTAAACAGTTAAGGTTTATGTTTACATGTGACCAGACACCTGGAACTGACTCAGCTTCTACTACAACAACATGCTTATGCCTCATGCATACATTTCTGTGCCTGTCTATGTATGCATCTTTTAAAGTCTATATACATGTAGATCTGATTCAACAAATATACGCATATCTCCATATTTCTTGGTGGGTTTGGCAAGAATTTCTAGAAATGTTTAGAATTACAAATTTTTGAATAAAAATACTCTGCATTAGTAGAATAGACATAAATATATTTGGTACTCGTTTTGTATATGTTTTCAAACAATAAGTATTAATGATTAAGCAATATAAATTAGATATTTGCAAATATACCAAAAATTACAGGTATATATCTTGTGTCTACACTAATTTATACGTTTTATTGTATGCCGCAAACTAACTTTTGCCAAGAAGTTTTGGTAAGTTGGTTGAGAACTTGAGATTATGACTACGGATTATGACTAAAGTTTAGTTAAGTTTTTCTTTGAAACTGCGAATCTGGACATAACTTTCTTGTATACCTATAAGGCTATAACTGAACTTTCAAGTCCGAATACTTTGATCCGATCGTTTTGATAGTATGCTTTAGACGATATACTTTCTGTTTCCGCTATTGTTTTAGTCGAGACCTAAAGAAAAAACTCATTGTTGGATGGGTTGTTTATTTCAAAATTATTCAGATATTGTGACGTAACAAAAACCTTGAAGGCTTTTCTGTTTTTTTTTCTTGGGTTATATTTGCTGAGAAATGATATATCTATTCTTTTGTCAAAGCTGATAAATGATATATAAAGATAAGTTATTGAAACATTTTCTGGAAATAATATGATTTTCCTTTTATACTTACCTGCAACATGCGACGTTAATCTGTTTCAAAAGATATCTAAAAAAGTCAAAAACAAAAGCCATATTGCTAAGCTAATATCAATAGGTAATAACTATAAAGCACTGTATAACAAAAAAAAGAAGTAATAACTAGTCTATATGGTATAACTGATTTACTTTTAAATGCAAAAATATTTTTTGAATAAATAGACGTTAAATATACCTTTGTTTGACCAAAATATAGACTTTAGTTTTATCTAATGTTTGTTTTCGAGCATCGAGTCATTCATATCCACTATTGTAATATTACGCTTTAAAGGTGTCGTCGCCTATTTTAGTCATTATATAATCGGAATATTAAATGAATTAAATAACATGATACGTGAATTCTAAAAATAGTTGGGATAAAGTTAGTTGGTGTTCGGTGCATCGCATGTGGTGACATGAGTCCAACTGCAATAGCGTTAAGATTCGAATGTACATACATATATTCGATGTTTAAGTATTAGGATTTCTCCAAAAAAGTATATTAGAAGGAAAAAGGGAATATTAGAAGGGGTTTTGTTTTTTTTGAAGAAAAATTATTCGAAGGAGTTGTTGTAGTTAAATACAATTGAAATACCGAGAGTTCTCCTCTAGTTATGTTGTAGAAGTAGAGACTTGAAGTTGAAAGTTCTAGTTAAGATTCTTTCCAAGTCATCTCTCACCATAGCGATGGATAAATCCTAATTTATTTGATATAATATATTTTCCCAAACTATTATTTATTTTACAAGATGTGGATTTTTTTAATTCTATTAGATTGCAGGTTGAATTATAGAATACTCTCTCCGTTTTTTATTAATTGTCGTTTTAAAAAATTTTATTTGTTTTAAATTAGTTGTCGTTTTCAGTTATCAAATGCAACATTTATTAGGATTTTATTTTTTAAGATTATTTTTATTATGCAATTTATTTTATTATTGGTTGAATTGTGTTTAAATAGATAATTAATAATGTTTTTATATTAAAAAACTAATACAATTAATATTAATTAAATACGTAACCTTAAAACGACAACTAAATAAATCCAGATGAAGTATATTATTAGCATCACAAATAATATATTACCAACACAATTTTGACCCAAAAAAAGATATATATTACCAACACAAAAATAGAATTCGAAACAAAGAAATCTCTAAGAGTCCTTTTAGATGATCTTAAACACATACGAACTGTAAACTATGAGCAATACAAGTTAACTACTACCTCCTAAACCAGTCTTAGTTAAGCTTAAGCGAACAACAACAAGAAGAAGAAGAAGGAGAGATGAAGAACCCGGCCAAACCCCTATTTTATACACAAATCCGTGCTCTCAACCCGTAAAACCACCTTCTTCCTTTATTCTCATCACCATGAATTTGACTGAAAAACACAAAGCTTCAGCGGAATTTTGCGGTTAGACAGCAAACCGACATTGCAAAGACAACCGCTACAACGCCCGCGCTGAAAAGCCCTTTGTATGAACATCCCATAGCTGCAATCTTCTTGAATATGAAACCGCTCCTGCTATTCCATCTCATGAAATTTCCACACCCTTTCGTTATAGTTTCTCTTGCTGTGTCCATCACCTGTAACCATTTCATCGCGTCCGAGACCAAAGGCTAGAAATTATTATGCATTTTCAAGGGTTCTTATTTGAACATATATGAAAACAACAAACTTCTTCCCTACCTCTTTCTTGACAGTTTCTGGCTTCTGACTGTTATGGTTAACCTGAAGACGCAGCCTTCTTGAGGCATCTCCCTGCATTACAAACTGCTCAGCACAACCCGGGGCCTGTGTCCGTCGTGCCCTAATCTTGATTCCTGTTCCAGATACATCATTGATCATGTTGCATATGTTGACAGGATTCTGTGGCTCATATGTACTTTGTTCAAGCGTCGGTAGAGCTAAATGTTTCGTCTCTGGAAACTCATAGGGAATCTCAAGAGCCGATTCCAAGAGCTCGAACATCATTTCGTCGGCGTCGTTTGTGCCGTACTGAGTCTGAATGTGAGCCACACTCTGGTTACTGAACAAGTCGTTTGAACCAGACTGAAAACCAAGCTCTGATTGCACCTGAGAGTGCAACGGAGAGTACAGATTGCAATCCAGGGACTCCAACTCCAGATATGACTGCCAATCGATATGGTCAAGCTGCTGATTAAAAAATAAAGTTTTGTTAGTCTACATAGCAGTGTACTCGCCTCCTGTAATGAAAAGATTGGATTTTGTTCATCCTTACCTCGGTGGTTGTAACTTCAGGGGCAGAGTTTTCACTATGACATTCACCGGAGACTACAAGAGAAGATTCCCCGTTGTCTGAAGGCTTTGCATCGTCGTCGTCGGTTTTAGGGAAAACCAGAGATACCTCAGACAGTTCAACCTCGGACTTCATCTCGTCCACAACAGCTGGAGACGAGACTGCTGGTTCGACTTCACTCGACTTTAAATCCTCTGGCGCTGCTCCATTCACAACATCTTGCTTCTTAAACAATTTGCATATGACAAATGGGTTCTGCAACCAATACAAATCCAAGAAACCACAATCAGAAACTCGAAAGATCGAAACACAAAAAAAAAGTAAGTGGCATTTTTGGTCTCTACCTGGCCAGACTTTGTTCCATCAAGATCCTTCTCGGTTGCACGGTACTCGTGCATAATCCAACAGGTTCGTGAGCCCTTAGGAGCACGACCTGTGTAGAAGACTAGAGTCCTCTTAACGCCTATAATCTTGGTGTTGCCTGATTTGACCTTGCGATCTTTCCCAGTAGCTTTCCAGTAGCCAGCCACAGTGGCCCGATTCATTCTACTTCCGCTCGGATACTTCCGGTCCAATGGACAGAAGAAGAGCCACTCTGAGTCTGTTGTCTTCACAACAGAAAAATCTGCAACACAACACCACCACCACCATACGAAAAATTTCAACTCTTCACTCGATTATCCAATACATACTCAAATTCACTAATTCCACTACCCAGGACAAGAAAAAATTGATAATTTGTTCCAAAATTGGATGAAATCAAGCCTGAGAGTTAGTGAAACCGGGACTAGAGAGCTAAATTCACTGATTCCAGTACCCAAGACAAGAAAAAGAGCCTAATTTCTTCCAAATTTGGGTGAAATCAAGCCTAAGAGTTAGTGAAACCGGGACTATAGAGCTAATACTATTGCAAAATGTAACTGATCGCTTCACAGACTAATATAAATAGATGTCAAAGTAATGACAGATCGATCAGAGAAAAAACAAGAGATATATGTAAATCGAGACGAGAGACTGAGAAATGATAAAGTGAATACCGGGCAAATCCCATGGCTCCCATTTGCAGATATCGACCTCACGGATTACTCTGACGTCGTCATCGTGGCCGTTGATCTTAAGCCGGAGATAGTATTTGACTAACTCCTCGTCCGTCGGACTAAATCTGAACCCCACCGGTAGTGAGGCCAGCGATAAGACTTCCATGTCTTCTTTCACAGGTATGCGACTTTGAGAGAATTCGAGTTCACAGGTAAAACGAACAAGGGGCTAGTATCCCAGAACTGGATCAGAGATGCGATTCAAAGGTATCGAGAAGGAAACAAAAAACCCAGATTCCAGAATTTGACAAATACGAAAATAAAACCTAGCTAGAATCGATGCGATTTGGTAAAGTGGAGAAGATGAAGAAGTGACACGATTTGGTCAGAGCAGAGAGATATCAATCAAAGAGAGGATGGAAAAAGCAGCGCGTGGAAGTTATTTGGATATTATACACGCGCCACTTTCCCAGAAGGCAGAATACACTCAGAACCACGTTCGTTACGCGTAAAGGGAGAAATATTGAACTACCTGTTTTACCCCTCAAGCAGAGTCGTAAATAATTATTAAGTAAAGTGAGGATGTCTGAAAGAGAGATGCCAGCTAACGAATCATATATTGACACGTAGATGAAGTAAAAGAAGCTTCGTCGAATAGTCCAAATTCTTAGTGGAAAAGTGGACTGCCCATCTTGATACTAGATTTTTGTTGTTTAGGCCCAACAACGACTAAACCAAATGTGTAGTGATCCTTCATTCATCTAACTAACCATCCTTTTATTTTAGTTTGAACGGGCATTGAATTTATTAATTCACATGTAAACACAGATGCATAAATTAGTGTTTGAAAAAATCGAACCTAAGTGCTTGCGCTTGCGTTTGCGTTTGCACTTCAATTTGATAATAATGCAATATTTGTTGGTGTGGTACAGAAGAACAATGCATAAGACCAAGAAGAAGTTGAGTAATCAGAAAACTTTTCGATTGAAAATGTCCAAGAGACTGTTCCTATAGAACTGCTTTAATGAGGAGAAAGCAGCGTTGCTGCTACAGATCAATCTTCTTCTACAGTGGTAAAGCCAGTCGAAGAAAAGGCATTGACTATCACTGCAACACTTGAGAAAGTGGATGAGACAGTAGTTGTTCCAGTTCCACCAGAGAAGGTTGAAGCGGCTGCAACTGAAGCTATTTCATCTGAGAATATGCATCGAAATACATGGTGGCTACTGAACTGATAGAAAAAAAGCAAAGAATTAAAGAAGATAGCAAAGAATCTCTTGTCACGGTTTGGTTTTAGAACATACTTTTTTTTTTAATCTTTTTGTTTTCTGGACTTTGATTTGATTTCTTGTTACTTACCAGAAGAAAGTGAAAATGTTATGAGCTTTTGTTTCAGTTTTTTTTTTTTTTTAATTTTTTTCAATCAGTTCAATTAACTTATCCTTTATGAATTGAATTACACCTAACGCTATGAAAACCAAAAAAAAAAAATTACACCTACGGCACATTTCTATATGGTCCAAATTTACAAAAGTCAGCTAAACTACGAGTAGTTGAATAACGAAGTATCTGATAGTGATCCGGCCCTATCCACCTTCTTTTTTTCAAAAAATAAAACTTTTTGGGAATCAGGACAAGTCCAATTTTGGATATTTTCTTGAACAACGTTCCTCAAATCTGGGTCCAATTTTCCGGCTTTTGAGATTTTCTTGTGACGCAACTGCGTATTTAAGGATGTGATTGGTCTCTTCTCTTCCAACTACTTACAAACATCAACATTTGCTAGCGTTTGCATGCGGCTATATACGTTTGACATCACTTATAAGTTATAACAATTAGTTGATTGTATATCCTGATAACGTTTAAATTTCTCTAAAAGACTAAATCAAATTAATTCATTCACTTCAGCATTTGCAATAGTAGGCAGTTATGAGAAAATAAATGTCTATAACAAATTATGTTGGCATCAAAATAAAGTATTTACAGAAAAAAAAAAACTTTAGTGAAAAACTTTATCGTATTCTACTAAATTTTATCATTTCAAGTTTACATATCTTTACTGGTGTTTCCTAGAAGAATAGAAGTTAGGTATACTGGTGTTTCCTAGAAGAATAGAAGTTAGATGTACCTTGTATTGTATAGTATCTCTAGTATGAAATTTTATAGTTTGACTTTTTATGGATCCGTAACATTTGTCCTATTTACAAAATACTTTTAAGGAGATCTCAAACAATTAATGTGGTTAATTAACCAGAAAACAATTAATGTGGTTACCAGAAAACAATTAATGTGGCTAATCTCGTAATACTACTAATGCTAATTGGCTAATCAGTACGAATAGTTGCTTTTTATATACTAGTAACATAAACTGATTGAGGATCTACATAACTTTAGCATCTGGAAACAAAATTTTAAAACAACACGTGATGGATCATTTTTCATAACACTGATAAGCGAATTCATCAATTTGGCAGTTTTACGGTCGCTACTCTCTACAAGAAATAAAAGTAATTTCCGACAGTTAGATTCGTATTTCACATTTGAAAAGTTTGGTACTGGTACCATTTTATTCACTAAGCATAACTCTTAGACCGAAAAAAACGAAAAGCAATAGGATAACTCTCTGACACGGTTCAACTACCATTGAACCTAAATCAATACAATTTAGAAGATTTGTATGCTCCATAAAACAAATCTCTCCTCAATCTCTCTCAACTACTTGTTACACATTATGAGCTAAGCTTCTAATCTCAGTCTCCTCCGCATCGGCGACCCCAACACTACCTTCCATGGAATCAAACGTTAAATCAAGAAAGTACAACAAAGAAACAAGAACGCAACAAGTTATGAACATCGGGATGGGACCAAAGATCCATAGGAACAAAGGCGATGAGAAGTAGAACGCTCTTAGTCCTAGCGACCAAAAGTAGCTACCACGATTAACCGTTGCAGCCACATAGTCTTGGTTTATCATAAGACTACCATGGCTATGACCACCCGAAGAAACAGCCATGAGCTGTTTAAAGGGGACATTAATGAGGATGCTTGCATGGCTGTAATAACGGATTGATTGGACGTTGAGAAGAAACGCGACTAAGAAGCAAACGAGGATTGCAAAGAACTTGATCGAGAAGGCTCTGTCGCTTTTGTCCCCAAATACAAACCATACCGATCGCTCTCCTGTACCGCTGGTCATTAGTACCGCGATTAGTGAACACAACATTATTGCGGTTGATGCCAATAGAGTTGACGCCATTATGTTGTTCCTTAGCGTTTGAACTGCTAAAACACCGTTTTTTGATGAATCCTGTACTAATTTGTAGCACAAGGATATAAATTAGTTGTAGTTTAATACTAGGACAATAAGTCTAAAAACAAACCAAAAAAGAGGGATATAAATATTAACGGAAAAAAGAAAATGTTTATGAACATTTTTTCAAAGAGTAGCATCCGTTTGTTTTTTCCCAGAAATGCAAAGCATCTTTTCAGTGTCATTTAGCTTTTCACACTTGGAGACTCATTTAATAGGGAAATTTCCAGAATCTTACTGTTACGTAAAGAACTTAAATTTAATTACGTTCACATATGAAGAGAAAAATAATCTCTCGACAAAAAATTACAAACAATATAATATTGTATCAATATATCAAATTTACTTGTCAGTTGGAGGCGCATGCATGATGCCTATACAGACACATATATATTAATATTTATAAACATATATATGCACAATGTATATTCTCAGTATTTAGAGAAAAAAATGTATATTCTCAGCCTCCAATTCCTCCAACACAAGAGGAACTGAAGCCGTTGACAGGATTTTCTTTCCCAGGAAAATCTCTACACATGCATACACTTATCATTTATCACAACTTATTCAAATTGATTAAAAATTTATCGTTATATATATAAACATGTAACAAAAATAGTATGTATAGTCGTATAGAGATAAACACACATCCACACGGACGTGCGAGTAATATGCACGGGATTCTCCTTAATTAGTTATCTCCAACCCTCAATATATAACCAATGAGCTGAATCAAAAAAACCTTCTCCTGGAGAATTTTTTTAAAAATTGTTTCATTTTCCGGGAAAACGTTCATCGACTCATGCAGATTACTAAATATGAAGAGATCGAAATCTATGAAAAAAATAAATCATCTATCAAAATAAAGCAGATAAAAATAAGAAGGGAAAAAAAGGAAAAGACCTCCATCATGGCTTGGACCCAAAGGCGGCGATTGAAGGCGTTAAGGCCTACGACGGTTGAAGATGGACGGTGGATGATGCGGCGGAGAAGCCACAGATGATAGAATACCATCAAACCCATCCCCAACGGCACCAATATGTAATCCAAATACTCACGCTCCATTTTTCTTTCTTTCTTAATCTTAAATCACGATTAGAAAATAATAAAACAAAAAAAGAAATGAAGAGATTGAGAGAATCAAAGAGTCTCAGAATCAAAGTGGAGCACGGGTCTTACGTGGACCCTTCCGCATCTAATGCGGCCCCTTCTCTCTCTCTCTCTGTATTTCGTTTTGTGCCCCCCGGATTCTCAGCCGTTTCCTCTCACTCTATTTACCTCCTTTTATAGATGTGAACCTTTATGTATAAACGTGTGTATGTTATATAACAACATTTACAAACCTTTATGTATACACTCCTCCACTTGTAAATGACAAACCCTAGCTGTTAAGTTTGGACCCGGTTTTGCCATTTGGCTGGCATTCGCTTTTGTCGCCAATGCTTTTAAAACATTGATTTTATTACCAAACATATAGATTTACTTTGAAAAAAAAACACGTATTGCTACTGTAACACCCTGATCCGCCGGGTCGGTTGTTAAAAATCAATTCCCGGTTTATTTAAATTAAACCATTATTTTTAATTAAGCCCAATTCTAATCTTTTTAATCTCTTTTTAATTCTCTGCAAGCCCATTAATCTAACCCATTAAGTTCATCCCATCTAAATTAACCCTAACTATAAATACCTCTCTAATCTCTCATTCTCCATTTTAGAAAACCCTAGCCACATTCTTATCTTCTCTTCTCTTTCTCTCAACCACGCCATCCTCCTTTTCTCTCACCGTGGCTCTCTCCTTCTATCTCTCTCTCTTTCTCTTCCTCTCTCCCTTGGCCGCTGCTCTCTCCTCTCCCATCAGCTTCGCTCCCTCTTTCTTCTCTCTTAAACCCTAGCCGCCGCCGCCTCCTTCCATGATGTTTTTCCGGCGAACCGTGTGGATCCACGAGACGAGTTACCTATCAATCTGTAGCCCCAATTGTTAGCTTTCCAAGGAGACCGAGTTCATCCAGATCGGAGATCTATGCCAGGAGATATCGTTGTTTTCGTGTCGGGCGTCCAGATCTACTTTGTTGCTAAGGTGAGGATTAGATATAGGTTTTCTTTTTATTTTTTTGTCTTCTTCTGGTGTGTGGAGTCTAGATCTGATGAGCCTAGGATGATTCCTTGTGCATTTAGCTAGATCCATGTGTGAGTCTAATGAAAAGATCTAGGATCTCATTAGAGGAAAAACCAGCATGTTTGATTGTTCACTCTGATGTGTGGTTAGTGATTGGTAGTGTAGCTAGATCAGGTGTTCATCTCGGTGATGGTGTGCTGAGGTATGGACTTGTTTGCTGGGCTATTGCTGTCTGTGTGACTATTGCGGTAGTTCAACGGTGAGCGGAAGGTACGCCGATCCTTCCGGAGCCTGTATGGTTGGAGGTGTGTCTGTGTGACTGCCTGATATTATGTCTGTGTGACATGGGAGATGATGTTCTAGTCTGTGTGACTAGGAGGTGTGGCCTTGTGTGATAGGCGGGTTAGAGACACCATTGCTTGCTAGTTGTTTGTGCATCGCTAGGATGCTTGTGTGTTGCTTGTTGGATTTATTCTTGACATGCTGGTTGGAAATAAATGAGTGGGAAAGGAGTCTGGTCTGGTTCTCACTGAGTAATCCCCATTACTCACCCTCCTCTTCCCTTTGTCTTATCAGGTGTAGGTGAAAGATCAGCCTAAGTCTATGTTGTTGATTGTTACTTGGGCGTTTTCGATCCTGGCAGACCTGAGGCTCACCATCTGGACCAAACCAGGCGTCTGGCCGAATGTGGTTAGATGGCCAACCTAACATGCCCGATTTCTCTGGTTTTCTTAGGAAGCCTGGGATAGGAATGTTACAAATGGTATCAGAGCCCAGGGAGATCTCCTAGTTCTGTCCTAGGAGGTCGCGCCCGTGTTTTACAAAAAAAAAATAATATATATTTTTGTGAAAACATTTTTACTAAAAAGTTTTAAAATGTTTTCAAACCTAGAACAACCAACAACTTATAGACGGCTGGTCTTATAGTTTCCTCTATCCTCTTTGTTGTTTGTTGTTAGGGGTCCAGGTTCAGGACGCGAGAAACCGCATGGAAGAGGGTTATGTCTTTAATCATGTGGTAGTTTAAGTCTGTCTTTGGAGTTGCAACAAAATTGCCTCTAGGCAAGACTGGTTATTGGTGTCGTTCAGACTGTACCCGGGTGGTTGTTCTGGAAATACCATACCGTGCGATGCCAGTCCTGACTATGCAATCTTTGGTTCTATAGCAGCCATCAACATGTATGATTAGGTTCATACCTGGTCTACATAGTTAAGGTATTAAAAGGCAGGCGTCGCAAGAGTCCATAGAAATTGTCAGACTGTAAAAAGTCAGGCGAGTTCGATCTCGGAATGACGAGGAACCTAGCTGTGTTATCTAAAGAGAACGGATGTGCTTGAATACCTTTGGGAAATTCACACTCTTATCCGGATTCAGAGGATTTCACGGTGGCCTTAGTGTGTATCCAATCCTGCTCAGCCTTATCAACCAATAGCTTTCTTTTTCCTTTCCTTCCTCCCTTTTACCTTAGACCTTTGTTCAAGACCCGAGAGCCTGCGCGCAAGAAGTTCACTCATTTTCCTCAAGTGAAGTTCAGCAAAGAGCTGGTAGTGAAGCAGAAGAATGTCCTTCCCCTGTTTGTTCTCTTTTTATATTTTAAAAAAAAAGTTTTCAAAGGAGTAGAACTCTATTTTTTATTTGTTTGGATTATTGATTGCTTTAGGTTTCTTATGAATTAGTTAGATTCTATGCAAAAGTTGTTTTCATTTTTCCCTCTAAAAAAAAATGTTATATTCCTCCTTGTCACATTAATCAAATGTTTTTTTTGGATTTTACTCAAAATGTTTTATTGCATCATACCTTAAACTCTCCATCCTTCACGTTTCTGTCTATCACTCTGCGTTCTAAACCTTTAGCCTTCAACTCCTTCTTGGCGCCATATATGGGTTATATGATTTCCTTCTTGTTCTTTCGTCTTAGTCATTATTTCTCGTTGTGCCATGGTTCATTTCTAATTTCCCTTCTGATTTTATTTTTAGTACCATTTCTGCTTACATTTTTGCTCTTCCTTCAAACCTCATTTATGTTTCTTTCTTGTTTCATTTCTGATTTTTCTTCTTGTCTTTTTTTTCTTAACCTCTATCTTCCCTAATGCCATAGTTCCTTGTGGTTCCATTCCTAATCCCCTTCTGAACTTTTATTCCTGTTTCTCCTTTCGATTCCAACTCCGATTTTTTTCTTCTAGATTCATTTCATTTCTTGCTTCCATTTCCTGATCTCATTCCTGACTCCTTTCACTTTCTGCGACCAAGCTCCTCTCCTCCCTTGTGCATTTATTTCTCTTGGTCTTTAGCTTTCGAATTTCCTTTCAGGAACTTCTCCCTAGGATTCGGGGACGAATCCCCTTGAAGGGGGGAAGATTGTAACACCCCGACCCGCCGGGTCGGTTGTTACTAAAAATCAATTCTCGGTTTATTTAAATTAAACCATTATTTCTAATTAAGCCCAATTCTAATCTTTTTAATCTCTTTTTAATTCTCTGCAAGCCCATTAATCCAACCCATTAAGTTCAGCCCATCTAAATTAACCCTAACTATAAATACCTCTCTAATCTCTCATTCTCCATTTTGGAAAACCCTAGCCACATTCTTATATTCTCTTCTCTTTCTCTCAGCCACGCCATCCTCCTTCTCTCTCTCTCTCTCACTGTGGCTCTCTCCCTCTATCTCTCTCTCTTTCTCTTCCTCTCTCCCTTGGCCGCTGCTCTCTCCTCTCCCATCAGCTTCGCTCCCTCTTTCTTCTCTCTTAAACCCTAGCCGCCGCCGCCTCCTTCCATGACGTTTTTCCGGCGAACCGTGTGGATCCACGAGACGAGTTACCTATCAATCTGTAGCCCCGATTGTTAGCTTTCCAAGGAGACCGACTTCATCCAGATCGGAGATCTATGCCAGGAGATATCGTTGTTTTCGTGTCGGGCGTCCAGATCTACTTTGTTGCTAAGGTGAGGATTAGATATAGGTTTTATTTTTATTCTTTTGTCTTCTTCTGGTATGTGGAGTCTAGATCTGATGAGCCTAGGATGATTCCTTGTGCATCTAGCTAGATCCATGTGTGAGTCTAATGAAAAGATCTAGGATCTCATTAGAGGAAAAACCAGCATGTTTGATTGTTCACCCTGATGTGTGGTTAGTGATTGGTAGTGTAGCTAGATCAGGTGTTCATCTCGGTGATGGTGTGCCGAGGTATGGACTTGTTTGCTGGGCTATTGCTGTCTGTGTGACTATTGCGGTAGTTCAACGGTGAGCGGAAGGTACGCCGATCCTTCCGGAGCCTGTATGGCTGGAGGTGTGTCTGTGTGACTGCCTGGTATTATGTCTGTGTGACATGGGAGATGATGTTCTAGTCTGTGTGACTAGGAGGTGTGGCCTTGTGTGATAGGCGGGTTGGAGACACCATTGCTTGCTAGTTGTTTGTGCATCGCTAGGATGCTTGTGTGTTGCTTGTTGGATTTATTCTTGACATGCTGGTTGGAAATAAATGAGTGGAACAGGAGCCTGGTCTGGTTCTCACTGAGTAATCCCCATTACTCACCCCTCCTCTTCCCTTTGTCTTATTAGGTGTAGGTGAAAGATCAGCTTAAGTCTATGTTGTTGATTGTTACCTGGGCGTTTTCGATCCTGGCAGACTTGAGGCTCAGCATCTGGACCAAACCAGACGTCTGACCGAATGTGGTTAGATGGCCAACCTAACATGCCTGATTTCTCCGGTTTTCTTAGAAAGCCTGGGATAGAGATGTTACAGCTACCATTACTAATTAATCTTTGTAAAAATCCTTTAGCCTTTCGTGTTGACCATATTTGAAATTAAAGGAGTTTTCAAAATTTTTTTTCTAATCAAAGGAGTTATCAATGAAATAACACGGAAAAAGCATGAAAAAATTATATCTATTTCGCTTTCCAACAACTTTCACTTCGAATTTTTTTTTCCAACAACTCAAAACTCAAAAGTATGGAAAAGTTTTCTGTAACATTTTTTTTGTCAATTTCAAAAAGTATGCAGAAGATATCTACTACTAGTATACACAATGAAATTAAGTACTATCATCACAAAAGCAAAACTTTTTAGAGCACAAACGGCCCACTAATGGCCCACTTACTGTCTATGACGTGTCTATCTTTATTTCACAGCTGATTTGGCATCGGAACGATGTTGCCATTTCTCGTATACTATTATTGCAAGTACAACAACAACAACACAATTACAGAATTTATAATTTCTAGTTAATTTATCTATTCACCCTATATTCAAGCATGGGGGTGATCAAAGGTAATTCTCACGGCATTAAAAAGAGATAAGATTTCTGAAAAGTCCACAAGCAACATGGTCATAATATTCAATGCAGTCAGAATGGCCGTAACTTGTTCACACTTTCGGTAGATGGCTAAGCAATAAACTTTTGTAATCAGCATTGTAATTATTTGTTGGATAATTAAATAATTCAAATTTAACTAAAAGATGCTATTATGTATCATGAATTGTGCTTCACTATCTCTACCAAAATCTTATTCAGTAGTAAAATAAATAAAAAAGTGTCTTAATTTTTTTTCTTGTTTTGACTTCTGAAACACATATAAGTTTTATCTGAATCTGTAACACCATATCTTTTGTTTCCTTGCAATCTTGACTATATATCATCCGGACTTTAAATAAGATGAAATCCATTTAAGTATAGTATTGTATTCAATTTGTTTTTTTTTGTTTTCTTTATCTTGTGGTGCCACTTGCTAGAGAGTAAAGCCGTTTATTTGTCACTTGCACAGCTGCATGTTCTTTCCACAATTACCACCAAGTCCTAAGAGTCCAATGGGTAGGCTTGAGAGCTAAGAAAATACCTCTAGCATTTAACTGGAGCGAGTGACATGTTACCGTTACCATTACTCAAGCCTTTCGTTGACTTTTTGTTTTGTTTTTTCAAAGAAGAATTTAAACAGTCTGTTTATATTATTTTCAACTATTATTGGATCTGTCTCGAACTAAGCATCCGTACCTCTCTTCACGTGGATGTCCTCGACCAGGTTAACACGTGGCTTTATTCATAAACTGCCAACATGAGATTGTAGTAGGTTCATTTATGATATCTTTTGATAAATATATGTAGTTATAGAATGTAGTTATAAACTTATAATATCAAATTTTAAATGACAAAAAATGATCGGTGCAGCTGTTAAGTGATAAAGTGGAAAAAGATGTGAAGATGCAAAGAAAACGGGTGAAGTTAGGTGAGCCAAAGTCATCGCCCTCTCACTCTATCTTCACGCTCTATTTACCGTTTCTCCTTTTCTATCGTTTTCCTTTTTTTTTCTATAATTAATAAACATTAAGTTTTTTGGCAAAATTTAAAAAGTTTAGATAATAACATATGGTTATACTTATATTTCAGTATAACAACTCAATTAGTATAATCATTGTAACCGCCAAAAAAGGTTCAAACTTTAAATATCGAATTGAGTCAAATAGGTGATTATTACAGAGATAATAGTATAAGATAGAAAATATAGGTGAAATGGGGTGAAAATTGGGTGAGGTTATTTTTTTGTACTTTGTTTTTGTCCGAGTGAGTTGGAATTTAGGAGGATATAATAACCATTGACTAACTGACACGTGACTTGATCTCTTCTCTTTCGAGATAATCAGATAAGACAAACTAAAAACGAAATAAAATTGACGAATTAGTTAAGTGCATGTTTTGAAAAATCAATAAACAAATAATATAAAGAGGGAAAAAGAGGTGGCGGGACCCGTTTATTAACGGAGTTACAAGGCACTGCGAGAGTCTGTTTAATCTATAAATATCTTCCCTTCATCTTCTTGTTCCCCTCACTTTGTTCATCATCTTGCTATCTAGTTTCTCTCGAGTCAAAATTAGGGTTTCGTTGACGCGTCTTCTCTCTCTCCAGGTATGTCTCTGTCTCTTTCTCTTTCTTCTCCATTTTTCTGCTTCTGTTAAAATTTCATTTTCTTCTATCCTTCCGTCGGATCTGGTAGCTATTGCAGCTCGCACTCTGCTACAATTTGATCCAGCTATTTGATTATTATTTTGAAAAATTCTCATCGTTTCATGCGATTCATTTCAAATTTGGATTTGGATATCGTTATTATAGACGGATTTTCTGCTATTTATAGCTTAGCTCGTTCGGAATCTGGCTTAATTGCCTCGTTTCGAATTTGCTGAAGTAGATTCGAGGTTATATATTACACCTTGCCGAAGAAATTTCATGTGGCATTAGCTGAGTGTGGAGTGATCTATCTACGTGTGATGATATTGATTGGTTTCTTCGGCTTTATTGGGTTCTGCAGAGTATAAAGTTTGTGTGGAGCTTTTGAGAAAAAAAGATGGAAGTACTTGGAAAAGCTCCCATGGTTAGCTCTGCCAATGTTATTTACTTGTCTGCCATCTTGGGTCGCGATTGCGATGGACCAATCCAGTGTCACAAATGTGACTGGAAATGTGAGAATGAAAATGTTTGCGGGAACATGTATCGCTGCAAACTAACTGGACTGACTCATGTCTGCGACAAGAACTGTAACCAGCGGATTCTTTATGACAACCATAGCTCTTTGTGCCGAGCCAGCGGCAGGACTTTCCCTCTCTCACCGGCTGAGGAGCAGGCTGTGAAAGGTGTTCGGAGGAAGCTTGACACTGAGAGTCATCCTTCTGAGAGCTGTTCGTTCAAGCGTCGTCGACGTGATGCACAGTTCCATGCTTCTCCGTTCGAGAGGTCTTTTACTGCTGTGAGCCCGATTTGCAGCCCAGCCGGAGACGGGATGGAGTTGAGTTAGATTCCATGTTGATCTCCTCTATTCCTGAGACTGAGAAGCTCTTTATCTCACGTAGAATAACTTCCTTTTCTCTTTCTTTTGAACAAACTATGGATAACAGACATTTGTGCTATTGCTCCAGCAGGGGCAGGGGTCTATGCATCCTCCCCTGCTTGAAAGAGAGCTTTATCTTAGTATTGTTGAACTTTATGTAGTACTTATGTAGGAGAGAGACTTTTATTATTCTACTTTCTCTATTCATTTAGGTGAAATAGAATAATGAACTTGCTACTTACTTCCCTTTGGTGATGTTTGATATCTCTTCTTGTGCACATTTAGTTTTTCCTACACGATATTTAGGCAGGATTTTTATTCAGCTATGTATCTTGTTTAGCGACCTTACCATTACGCAGAGCTTGCCACACCATTGGTGATTTCTGTAAGTGTGGTACTACAGGATTTTTTTCCCACGTTGCTAACCAATGCAGCATAGGTTCTTCAGGATAAGGGATTTTCTGGTTTGTTCTCTTGTAGAATAATCCCCTTAATCCTTTCTGATGGATACCTGATTCTAACAATTTCTTTGTTCTATCCAACTTTCCTTTCCTTGATCGATTAGTTCTAAGGGTCCTGAATATGTTTTCTGTTTGTGCAGGTTTTCAAATGTTGCAACTCAGGAGAGTTTAATTGTGCTTTATATATACATTGATTTGTCTGTTATGTTTCTGATTTTTTTTCTTTCTTTCACATTAAAGGAGTAATTCTAACTGAGTTTAAACCTTGGTTTGCAGGTACTATTGTGTTTGTGCTCAGCAGGCAACAACTCAGTTGGTTTAATTCATTGGTAACGTAAGGCGATGCTCCTAAACTATGAGAGAAAGGAGGGCAATGAGTAGGTACAGTTACGTTGTGGCTGGCAACTGTGCTCAAAATTATCTGCTGGTAATTATGTGATATGACGTTTATGAAATTCTCTCGTTTTTCTTTTTGTTATATTTGCTTGTGTGCTCTGCCGCAGTTCCAGTACCTATTTTGCTCTTAACTTTCATGTTTCTTATCATCTGCCCTTTCCCACTTCTCCCTGGTGTGGGCTGTGTTTGAGGTTCTGATATTTGTCTAATATCTATTTCCAGGTTCTTATGTTATGACTTGTATTATATCTGCCCCTGGTGGAAACTGGGCTCTTATGTTAGTCCGGGTAAGTAAATCACCTCCTTGAATTGTGTATATACAATGATAATCTGAATTAACTCAGAAATAAGAAAAAAAAACATGTTCTCATTATAGAGAATCTAATTATTTGCATTAACAGTAGAAGTGAAACGGGCAATGTTTCTTCAATTTGTTTGTTTTTTTTTTTTTATTGTTGTAGTGGATTTTAATACATTATTTTCATTTTTTAAGCTGACAGAAAGGTAGAAGGTGTAGGCATCCGATGGTTTGATGTAAGAGCTTAGATTTCCTGGGATCGTCGAAGATTCTGTTCCAAAGAAGTTGGCAAAGTATCAAATGTTGACTCGACCGCTACAATAAGCTATTAGCTAGGGATGATAAAATTCACTATTTTTAACATGTTATATCCTGTTGAGTTCAGAAAAAAACGAGATATTTTCTTAAATCTCACGATTTGATTGCTAGAATTTTTGTTTTCATAGTATTGGTGATTCGTATTCATTTGATTATTCAAAAAAATTATAATATTGGTTACTTATTCAAATTTTCACAATTTTGTACCTCAATTTTCTAAGGAACACGGATCTGAATTAAGCTTTTCTTATTTATTTCTTTTGGTGTACAATGGTTAGTGTAGATTCTCTTACGTCTTTTCAAAGAGGATTCGTTATTTCTATTATTTTCCGTTAAAATAATATAAATGAAGAGAGGTTGGGGAAGCAAGGCAAAGAATTGCCTTGCCGGAGAGGCCATTGTCCTAAGAGTAATGCTAAACCTTAATTTATTGTCTTGGGGCTTGAAGCTTTCTAAAGCAACTTCACCGCCTCAACAATGAATCCTTCTCTACCTCTACATTTTACTTGGTATAAACCCTGGTCCAGGGACCTCCCAGCCAAATCCACATTTCTGAAATCTTAAACCTTGAATACGACAATGGGAAGATCACCTTTGGTTCCCATGGTTGTTCTTGTTTATATTTCTCTACTGTTCTCTGTTTCTTATTCCTCCACGTTCGTCATCACGAATAATTGTCCTTTTACTATTTGGCCCGGCACTCTTGCAGGCTCTGGCACTCAGCCACTACCCACCACAGGGTTTAGACTTGATGTGGGACAGTCTGTTAGAATTCCCTCCGTTCTAGGCTGGTCAGGTCGGATATGGGCTAGGACCGGCTGCAACTTTGATGCTAACGGCGCAGGAAAATGTATGACCGGAGACTGTGGCGGGAAGCTGGAGTGTAATGGCAATGGTGCTGCTCCACCGACATCACTTTTCGAGATCACGCTCGGTCATGGTTCTGATGACAAAGATTTCTACGATGTCAGTCTCGTCGATGGGTATAATCTCCCTATAGTTGCTATCCCGACAGGTGGTGGACTGGTTGGAGCTTGTAATGCTACAGGATGTGTTGCTGATATCAACATTAGCTGTCCAAAGGAGCTTCAAGTGATGGGAGAGGAAGAGGAAGAGAGAGGTGGAGTTGTTGCTTGCAAGAGCGCTTGTGAGGCTTTCGGATTAGACCAGTACTGTTGCAGCGGTCAGTTCGCTAACCCAAACACATGTCGACCGTCTTCATACTCTACCATCTTTAAGAGAGCCTGTCCTAGGGCTTATAGCTATGCCTTTGATGATGGAAGCAGTACTTTCACTTGCAAGGCTTCAGAATATGCCATTATCTTCTGCCCTGGCAGGTATAATATCATTTGCCCTTCGCTTTTCAGTTTGTTCCAGTGCTTTCTGCAAACCTTTCAAAAAACTATATTTTTTTAGATTCTGATTGAACAGACTTGAATATCTTCTTGCTCCAGGGTAAAAAGACCGAACAGCCAAAACTCGGATCCTCCAAGCCCGCCTCAGAATCAGTTCGGCCAACCTGTGGCTCCCCCAACTCAGAATCCATACGGCCAACCTATGGCTCCACCAGCTCAGAATCCATATGGCCAACCTATGGCTCCACCGACTCAGGATCAGTATGGTCAACCTATGGCTCCACCAACTCAGGATCAGTATGGTCAACCTTTGGCTCCTCCAACTCAAAATCAGTACGGTCAACCTATGGCTCCTCTGACTCGGAACCCGCCAGGAACAGATCAGAATGGGGAATCAATGACTCCCCCACCTCAGAATCAGGATGGGATTGGTCAGTTCATGCCTCCTCCCACTGTGAATCAAGATCCAAACGGCCAGTTTTTGAATCCCCCAATTGAGGATGAGTGCCAACGAGCTGAAACGGGGAAGGTTGCAAAGACTCAATCCTCGTCTGACATTCTTCGACCTTACCCTGTCTTGTTGCTTCTTGGCCTCAGTCTAACTGCTTTGAGGCAATCATACGCTACATAAATCATCATCATTCTTCCTTTTTAATGAGGATTGGTACACAACTGTGTAGAAGGAAACAAAGACCATATTCTGTGTCTTCCCGGAGATTCTGAACTTTATTAATCAGTGTCCTTATATTACCTTGAATTGTTTGGAGTGGCTTCACAACTGATACATGCAAAAGAACTCTATTTCATGTATATAATGTAATGTTGTCTCAACTGAATAAAGAAATGATGCGTTTTTCTTTAAAAAGATAGAGGAAGAAATCAAAATCAATAAACCATAGTTCATTTCTTGAGTTTTGGCTTCTTAGGAGCAGAACTTCTAGCCTTCTTTGCCGGTTGCTGTTTCTCTTTAGATGGTCTTCCTCTCTTCTTTCCTGAAGCCTGCAAAGATTCCATACGAAACAAATATCCTTTACGGTAACAGATTATACAAATCGTTTTTTTTCATAGGAGAAATTATGAGTTTTGCCAACATACATTTTCGCCTTTTGCTTTGGCTTTGCCATTTGTGTTGGTCACTTCCTCCGCGCCTACACTTTGATCAGCTGACTTTGAGGCAGTCTTGGCGTTTTTGTTAGCTTCATCATCTGAATCGAACGAAAATCCCTCCAGAGTGCCTAAATGGGTTATAAAATTAGCCGAAATAGTGCTACAATAAGACAAGCTAGCAATAATGTCTTTTCACTCTGTTATAGAGAAAACGAGCAGACCTTCCACCATTGTTTCTGCCTCAAAGACATTAGATTGTGGTGTTAGCTGTATGAAGTCATTCATAATAGCTTCAATCTGACAAGGAAACATATGATCCAAAAATTAGGCCAGAGCTCCAATTAACGTTTTAGTTTCCCAACCAACGGCTAAAATTAGTTTCCCAGAAGTTTAAAGGAATATATACAACCTAAGATAGTATCGGCATACATATGTGCTAAAACAAGAAAGCTCTAGAGAAATTACCAACCTTTGCCTCTGACTGACCTACGTTAACCTGTGCAAGATCACTGGTGTGAGTAATTGTATAGCACAGGTGCCCTTACAAGCGAAAAGGGACAAGAAAAAGCAAAACGTACTACGCAAAATGTTCTGGATGGAACAATTGTTGATTTATATATGGTTCCTGAAAAATGAAATGACAAAGTGTTACTAACGAGACTCTAGTCATGAACTGATTTCTGTTACATTTTACTTGTAACCGAATAAGTTCTGTTAGACTCAATAGACATAGCTGATTCTGTACAGGTTTAGCAAAAAAAAAGAAGGGAACCATTTTGGAATTTCAATGGGAGAAACCAAAAACCAGAAGGATAAAGAGGGAAGCCAGCGATATTTATATTTGGAGGAACATACCTTTCAAGTCCAAGTACACGTCCCCTGTTGTGTCTGAAACAACCACGCGTCCAACAGCTCCCATGTCTCCACTCAAATCTATCGAGTCCCCTTCACATTCAACAAGTACCTGTAAATATAGTTCCTTGTTTTTGTTAACCACTGTTTTTTATCTATAGCGAAATTCCAATATTTTCCCGAACGTAAGTGTCACCAGCCACCATAGCAATGATATATAAACGGCAAGTATAAATCCATGTGCAAAGAAACATATTTGGATTACCTTTGTACGATTCACCTTCTCAGAAAGTACTAAAGGCAATCTTGAACTTGAGCCCTGGAATTTGTAAATTTGGTCATAAGGAAGAGCCAGTGAAGAAACAACAATAGTGGTCCTAGCACAAGGTCCTTACAGAAGAAGACTTGACATTCTTATCCGTTGTTACTTCCTTGGCTACTATAGCATCTGTATCTTTATCTGCATAATAGAGGAACCGTTACATTGCTTCAGAAGAATCCTAAATTCAGAAAAATTTGGTAAAATCCATACCATCATTTATCAAAATTTCTTGTGCACTTTCATTCTTGGGCGTCTGGTGTCCACTATTTGGCTTTTTCTTCGGAGATTTTTTCTTTGGAGCCTTCTTAACCGCAGGTTCTCCCTCTTTAGCTTGAATAACAGAGTCCTCATCTTTCTCAGTTGACATAATCATTTTCTGCCTTGAGGGATCACTTGAGGGTGGTTCAGAATCAGATGACAGAAGCCATACAGAATCATCTCCTCCCTGATAAAGAAAAAAAAAGATAAACAGTAACCTGTCAACTTCATACCAAACTAAGAGTTAGCACTTTTAGTAAATTATGTTCCATACAGATCCACACAAACAGCAAATACTAGAAATACAATGCGAAGACAGGTAGAGAGCAGACGAAAGATTGCCATCTAATTTTCAACATCACTCATGCAGCTGGGAAGCTTCTCTGGATGAGGGGTTATAACTTTCATATCACTATCGTGATACTAAATTTATTTATTAAACAGATGCATACAAACAAGAAACGCTCGAATCACTCTAACTAGCCACTAAGGCAAGTATAGACAACAAAAGCACTAAGGAGTACACCAAAGACGGCTCTAAACGTTTCTTACTTGAGCGTCTTTATGCTTGCTAGAGTTTTCTTCACCATCAAATTTCGTTCCATTCGGCTTCTCTGCAAATTGTTCCACAGTCAATAACATGCCTTTAAGAGCTCAACAGTTGAACACTACAACCCCAAAAACACAATTTTGGTACAGCATGTAGAAATCTTTCTAACCTTCAAGGTTGAGACTAGCATCTACTTTCTTCTTTCTAGAAAACACCTGCTCGATGCTCACTTGCTTTGTCACCAACTTCGTTTTGGAACTCTTCCTAGACAGAGACTCCGAGGATACTTTGTCAAGAATGGCGGTAGAGTCACTGTCATCAGTCAAAGGAAGAGACGAAATGGTTTCAGAGTCCTGGTAAGGACTATGATCTGGAGAAGATTTAGACGGCGAGGATAGTGATAACAATGAAGTGGTGGGTGCCTGCGCCAAAAAAGCTTCCGCATTTCAATTGTGTTTCAATCCAGTAAAGGAAAATAGAAATCAGATTGAATCAACAAGAAACCTGGAAAGAGCGAAGCCAATCGGGAGATCCCTCTCTAGAGCTGCTCATAATTCACTTCTTCAGAGCTCAAAACAACAAGCCTAGCTTCTTCCGACTTCGAGCTTCACCCAATTAAACACAAAATAACCTCATAGATACGTGCAATACTTCGCAAATCAAAACCCTAAAAGGGATCTTAAAATAAACCATAGATTGGATGGAAGATACCATGAAATCGAAACTCACCTGAAGTAGAAAACAAAATTGAGCTATTAGCGAATCAAAGGAGTTAGAATTCAGGAGACGAGATCTAGAAAAGGAATCTGGATGGACTGAGGGAGAGAAGCAAAGCTTCCGCCGCCGGCGAGACTGAAGTGTGTGAAAGACGCGGGAAGATTAGCACAAACCGCTTGTTCCGGTTTCCGAGTGTTTGGTCAAATCCCCACGTAGAGATAGAATTGCAAAAGGCCCAATTATGTATAAAGAAAATACTAACATTAAGCCCATAATCGATCTAATATCATCTTTCAAGCCCAATTAAGGCCCAATAACATCGCAGAAAGTAGAAGAAGTTAGAAACGGAGACGGCATTGGAAAGGAGGGAGATAAGACCAGAGGAGGAGGAAGAGAACAAGAAAAGTGTGAGAGTAGAGAAATATGGGGAAAGACGGAGGAGACAAGAAACGTGGAGATGGAGAAACAATGGCGGTGATGAGCTTGATGAAGGATCAACAGAATCCAATTCAGCAATTTCAGGTTAAATTCAAAGAGGTGGAGACTGGTTTCAAGTCGTGGCTGTCGAAACAGAAGTTGCCGGTGGAAGCCGCCGTCGTCACCGCCATGGGCGGTGTTCAGGGAGCATTTATCGGCGGTCTCATGGGAACTCTCTCCCCTGAAATGCCTCAATCCGGCATGGACCCTCAAGCCATGGCGTCATTGAAGCAAACTCAGGTTTCAACTACCATAGATCCTAATCTGATGGATATTTGCACCTAATTCAGTCATTTTCACCATTTACTGCCTATTTTTTGAATTTATGGAAGAGAGATGTGTGAATCTGTAGGCTCTTGTGGGTGGGCCATTGGTCCAAGCTCGGAACTTTGCTGCTATAACTGGTGTTAATGCTGGTATTGCTTGCATAATGAAACGGATTAGAGGCAAAGAGGATCTAGAGTCTGCGTAAGTTTCATTTTTTCTCTGACAAAATTGCAGCTTCATCTTAATCTATGTAATTGCAGCTGTAGCGCCTACTAAGCTTGTATTTGTGACATGTTGTTCATTACTGATTCTTAAATTTCATTAAAAATTTAGGACTTGATCAATCCTATAAACTCAACTCTATATAGCTGACACAGTTGACTGGTCTTAATCAGCTTCTTTGTCAGGTGATAGAACCCATGACAGGGATTAAAATATGACTTTTAGTTTTTCATCATTTAATTGCTTCAATAAAATTACGATCCCTCTCTTATGATCATTTCTTATTCTTAAAATGATCTGCTGCTCCTGTAAGGTTTTTGACCTCCTGTGTTTACATTTGATTGTTAAAGATTCTCAGTGGCTTACTTGTTTCTTGTGTATCTGGTCACACTTGATGGGCTAAGATAGTAATGATTTAAAATGTGCAGTGTGGTTGCGGCATTAGGATCTGGAGTCGCATATTCTCTGGTGAGCGCAGGATTACAAGGACAGCCTATGAATGCAATCACCACTGCCGGCGGTTTTGCTCTCTTTCAAGGCATATTTTTCAAGGTGAGTGATCATATATATAGGAGACTAAACTGTTCTTGAAACTAGGCAGGTACTTCATTAAACATGTGTTTCATCTTTTTTTCCGGTATTGTTCAGTTGGGGGAGAGGTTCTCTAAACCAAGCATTGAAGATCCATATTATACCCGGGCGAGATCTATGCTGTTGAAACTGGGTCTAGAGAAGTATGAGAAGAACTTCAAGAAGGGTTTGTTAGCGGATCCCACTTTGCCATTGCTCACTGATAGGTACTTTCGACTTTTCATTGTTGTATCTAACTAAAGCTGTTTTTATCGAAATCTTATGCCATCTAAACTAAACTCTCTGTGTGTGTCCAGTGCGCTTAGAGACGTGAGCATCCCGCCTGGACCAAGGCTACTGATACTAGACCACATCCAGAGGTTCGAATCTAACTTCTCGCTCTTATTTTACAGTGATGTGAATTTTGGGAATTCACCGAATTGAATTGGATTGTGGTGTGTTGTTTTGGTATGTATAGGGATCCTGAGCTGAAGGGCAAAAGGGGAAGTCGTGGTTGAGACGTAAGAGCCTCTTTGTGTCTTCGGCAGAGTCTTTGTATGGTGGTTATAAGGATCTTAAGCACGATATGTGTTATTATTATTAATATTATCCTCTGATGTTGCTAGCAAGAAACTTTAAATTATTCCTTCTTCCTACGGGCTACGTTTGCGTATATTGCAAATTCATCATGTTAGATTTTTCATTTAATGGAAACCACTCGATAATCTTTACAAACTGGTCAAATAAAGTCAACAACATATCTTCAAACCATTCATGAAACTTCCCTGTTGATTTCTATTAATTTGAAGTGATCAGAACAAGTAAAATTCACATAATATACCATGGGAAATGACATTGTCGGCGGCTCGTCAGTGGTCATTGTGATTTAAAGAAAAAGAAAAAAAACAAAGAAAGAACAACTGTAGTGTTTTGGCTTTAATAATGAGGTAATATCATTCAATATTCTAAATTGTATGTGGTTTTCTTTATATCCCTGTTGGTTGGGACACTTACGTTGAAATGTTTGCCTTAGGTATTAGGCCTTTTTGGGTCTCTGAAAAGTAGGTGTGATAAAAAAGATTTGTAAGATGCACCTGTATTTGAGCCTGTGGCCTCTGTTTCTACCATGTTTCTTGTAAGGTGTAGTTTAGAGCATAAACAACGCAGTTTTTATATGGATCTCTTATGAATAAAAAACATTATTTTAATAATCTGAATTTCTAAAAAAGCAAAAGACGTCTCTAAAATTGAAACTACAAAAGACGTTTTTAACTCAATTTTATTATTAAAAACAATTTAAAAGACTTTAATGGGTCTCAATAATGTTTATGGTCTTAGGTTCTTTAGTTTAAGAGATGTTGTAATTGGCTGAAAATTAATCAAACTCATAGATTTTTTTTTTTTTTATAAACCCTATCGGCTGATCCGGTGCGTAGTGCTATAGTGTGGACTTCTCCCTGGTTCAACGGTTCAACGGACACCATGAGCTTCGAGGGAATTCGAATCAACGGGCCATGAGATCCATGAGATCCAAATGGGCCACCACACTACCTGTCCCGAATCAAACTCATAGATGACCAAAAGGATAAAGAAGCGGCAATTTCGCAGATTTGAGTTGTAGGGAACCATGCATGACCATCCTATATTTCCTTAAAAGACCGATTGCGTTTCAAACCATTCAAAACTGTGGTTGTAGGATTTTTTTGTTTTTCTTTCTTATTTTGTGAAAGTTAGGTATCACATCGACATCTAAAACACATACTAAAGCAAATGACCCCTGAGGCATGAGACGTGAGGCTATGTATCATCGATGGGATCTTAACCAAGTATATCTTTCTCTTTAGGGTTTTGATTTCCTATTATTTTGGGTAGATATCACATTAGCTTACACCATCCCGCATGGGCCCTGAATCTTTTGAACAAAGACACATTCTTCTTAATTTGAGGCAAGAAAAAAAAAATCAAACTCGATGTCAACTGTCAAGATCGATCCTTTTTAGTATTTGCATTAACATGTGACAGTAATGGAATTCTTCTCCTTTAAATTTTAAATACGAACACAAAATAGAAACGGAATTTCCTTTTCTGTTTGGACTTTCTTTTTGCATTTACAATTCACAAAGAAAGTATATAAAAAAAAAACACCACTACTATGAACAGCAAACAAATAATCAATGCAAGAGTGGCGTTGAATCTCATAATTTTATGCTCATTTCTTCCTAAAACTAATTACTAAAACACATGTTATTAACTTGATTTTGCGAGAAGAACAGATCTTTCTCCTCCTCAAGGTTTTCAAGACGTGGCAAATTGGATCTCTCAGAGTAATACGTCAGTTAATCCTCAGCTTCGGACTATCTTAAAGCTGTTGTTTCAAATCGTCATCTACCTAGTCTGGAAAGAGCGCAATGCTCGTATCTTCTCAGACTTCTCCACTCCTTCAGTTGTTCGAGCATCGGTTGACCGTATGATGAGGGACAGGCTGCTATTTTACCCGGCGCGCGTCATCTCTTCTCCTTCCCTGCTCGAGCGTTACTTCCAACATCTAGGTTCCATTAGTTAATATCTTCTCGCTTTTCGTTTATAAGCTGGTTTCCACAACTATGTAAAACTTATTATTAGTATGAATCTTAACATCTTCGACCAAAAAAAAAAATATGTTATTAATTTGATATTTGATATCAAACTTATAATTTCAGTTACTCGAGGTTAACTTATAATATGAAAAAAACAATAACAAAAAAATAGCATTCCTTTTCTCTTAATTGCTCTCCAATTCCAACATTTTTTAACTTTTTTTTTTTATAAAAAAAGGAGGTCATTGTAAAACAAAATTTGTGTTATTCATAGACTTCATCCATATATATTCCAACAATATCATTTTTTTTGCATGGAAATTTTCAAAGATAAAACTCTACAGATTGGCATTGATACGAGCCAATTTTTGGTAAACTCAGATACATCCAACAATCTAAGAATCTACCATTATACACATATATCCTGTATCTTTGTATCTATCTACGGCGAGGCCAAATCGGAGGAGGAGGAAGAGGAGAGACGAGAGAGCTCGTTCATGAGGAAGAGGATTCGAGAGTGGTAATCACGCGCCTGGTCCAGAGACTCGGCTTCGAGCTCGGCGAGCTGAGAACAGAGACGCTCCTCTGCCTCCTCCGCCACCTGCGTTCGCCGCCACAGCTGCAGCATCTCTTTCTTCATTTCCTCCACCGCTTTTTCCATCTCTCCGTTCTTCCGCCGTAGCTCCTCTACCTCCGAAGTCGCCACCGTCACATAGTTTCCTCCTTTCCCCATTTTCTTTAAAGAAGTCTTTTTTTTCTTTCTTTTAAATGGATTTTGAGGATTTCTCTCCTTTTCTTTTTTTTCTGTCTCTTCTTTGAGTTTATATTCTTCTCGGTTCTTGAATGCTCCGTATTAATAGGCGTTTCTGCGATTGGGATTTTTGGGTGCATATATGTCTAGGTTCAATGTATCTAGACTATACCGTGTTCTCGTTTTTATTTTCTTGGTGGGTTATTTTCCTCTAGAACTTTTTTTTTTTAAATTGTTTCTCCGACATACGTTGGATATTCATTATATTAACCAATTTTGAGTGGTTCAATACAATTATTTTAAAGAATACAATTCTTTATACCTGTGAATATATTGGTTCAGTTCAGTTATAACTTTAGTGGGATTTTAGTCAGTTGAATGATACTACTATCACAAAAACTTAAATTACGAAAAATATTTGATGATATTTAATGAAACTTAATTATAAATCATACATTTAGAATATCATCAAAAATTATGGCTATCTTGGTACATAAAATATGGTAAAAAAAAACCGTATATTATTAATGTGTTTTTCGCATGTCATTCAGTAACCAATCACGTAAATATTGTATAATCAGGTAAAATAGCATAATATTTGTTAGACAATTTGCACGGATTCTACACAATCTTAATTATACATATGTGATATATGAAATATTTTTTTTGTTTTCTTGCTTATATGTCATTTTTGTTAATACAAATGAAAGTCGACTAAATTGGCATTGCAACTCAAAATCAAATTCGATGGTTTGTTAGGTGATGATATCATTTTATTTCCCTCGCATCACGCATCGGCTTGGTGATAGTTTTGAAAAACGTATTCTAAACATTTAAGGTGGGAGAGTCTCTTTTTCTACTTATGCAATTATTTTAAAACTTGTTGCACTGTAGATTTTTTTCTTGGCGCAAACGTTGACTGACTCTAAAGAAATACCGGCAATATATAATAGAAAAGCCATTGAACTTGATGAATCCCCCACTTGTTTTAAAAACAAAACCCTCGTTATTTTAAAGATTGAATATGTAGGTATACGCATTTTTATCTACTTTATACGATATATTTATCTAAAGAGTTATACTTTTTTTTTTTTCATTAGTTCTTAGATATCAAAATGTTATTACAAGAAGATTCAAATTTAATCTGTCTTGTGTGATATGCTGGTATTACTTTTAGGTCCATTAGGCGAATTCTCTAAAACTACAACCGTAATATGGTGGTATTACTCTTGCATGACATAAAGAGAAAATATTGTTTCCACTAGTGAATGTGGAAATCAATTTTTCACCTTTATCCCTTCCACTGATACATACCGCCAATTATAGCCCGTAATGAATGGTTTCAAGCGCGAGAGCATTGTCGACGTAATCATATTCCCACATATTTCTCTTCTAATTGGACCATTTCTCGCAAAGTCAAGGGCCCTCACGTCACGATTGTACAGCTATTCTTGTATGGTTAAAGACTTAAAGTTGCAGCTCCGATTTCTTTATCTTACCAAAAAAACTTAATTTTGTTTCTTCTAAAATTTGATGGATTATATTTAAAAGCGTTTACAATTGTTAAACCAAAGTTGTAACCATCGAAAAAACATTAGTTTAAGGAAAAGAAAAGGCTAGAAAAAGTTTCAAATATGCCACGCGAATCCGTTGAACTATTTATAGTATAGAATATGAAAATACTAAGGAGACTTTGTATACTCGTGTAGCCGTGTGTGTGACTCGTTGTAACTGATTCGCAGCTGTTTTGGTTATAATCGGGTGAAATAATGTCTAATTAGTTAAAATTTTCAAAATTTAAGAAAACATAGTTAGTACTTAGTTGTGAAACTTAAAATCATAAATCATGGAATATGATTAGAAAATGCCAAGAAATGGTCACGCACGAGTTGTGAAATGTCAATGTTATAGTTCCAATACACGTCTAGGTTCAATGTATGTCGTCGTTTCTCTACCCAGTTCTTTTAAATTCACACATACCTTATCGGTTCATTACATTTATCTTATGCTATTTCCGTGAAAAATTAGGGTTCAAATTGAAGCGAGGCTCATTACACTTATATTACTTGTTTTTATGTGTGTATGTGTACAATGGTACGGCAGGAAATTCGAATTCACTTTCTTGATCAAATCCAAGACGTTTGTACCGGTTGAACCAAAGGTACCATGCAATAAAATCATGTGTATATTTTGTAGTCGATTTTTAAAAAATTTATATTGCAAAACCAAGTGGGTTGTCAACTGCTTGAAATGTTTAGATGGAATATGCTTTTATGGATGCTGATCAGTGATCACTACCTCCTTGTCCTTACCTTACTAATTAATATTTATCATTGATCAAAATATCTCAATTAGATTTTAAAAACATCAAGTCACGTAAGAAACAAATGTTACGTGATCACCACCCTATATATACTATTAAAACTATAAACTAAGTTCCAATATTGTACCATCGCAAGATCAAGATAATTAAAAAAAGGGTGAAAACAAAAAGAATTTTAAAAAGGAAAATTTGGTGGCATAGTGGTTGATCCTACTCTTTCAAGAAAACCTTTTTGTCACACCGAACCTAAGAAGTTGAGAGTATAAAAGAATGGGCCAAGGCCTTAGGCCTTGTTATAAAGTTTGAGTCTCAAGAAATCGAACAGAAGATGGACAAACAATAAGAGGGAACTTGCGGCAAACAATGAGAGAAGACCAGTTGCTTTAGCTAGATCAGGCTTATAATTTGCCATTGTTCCTAGGTTGGCCAATGTGACATCGACCAAGGCTAATGTAAACCCTATTCAAGGACGTCTCCTTCTCCCTGATCCAAATGGAATCTACTTTAGATTTTGTCCTTGAAAATCCTACAAGTAAATCTAAATGCCTCTCTGGTCTAAACTATTCTGCATTTTGTCCTTGAAAAAGGCCATTATTTCTCTCGCATATCTAAGAAGTCTATCGACCTATTTGGTTTTTTGGGGCGATTGGAAAACTTTATGTCGTGTGTTTTCATGACGTCATGAGCAACGTCAGCAAAATTTGAGCACCTCCATAATTGCGAACCACGGGACCATCTCTCTCCACTCTCAAAAGCTGAAGGAACTCAAACCTTTAAAAATCAACTTTTGCACCATTTCTGTGTATTATCAAGAGCAGACTGATTGTTAATTTTTTTTTTTTGGGACAAGAGAATTGGTGATCAAATTATGACCTCGAAAACGTCAATGACGCAGTCAAATTGTGTTAAAGACAGGACACACTCTCAATCAAATTGTCTTGTGCGAATAGAAAAAATGTCGGCTTTGTGCCCCGTCTGCAACCTTACGCTTCCTCACGACCAAATCGAAAGGTAACGATAAATCCCTAATTTTTTTTTTCAATGCTCCTCTTGCAATCAATCTTCATCACGATTTTTGTTTTCGAGGTTTCAGCCATGTGAATGCCCACTTCGACGACGATAAAATCGATCCACAAATCGCAAGCGATCACCACTTGGCTCTGCAACTCGCCTCTACTTCTGATCCTTCTCCTTCTTCCTCTGCCTCATCATCCGTAAAGCTTTCTTCGACCCTAAAAAAATCGTCTTTTCTCGATTACAGAAAACCCCAGATGACAAAATCGTTTCTTTTCTGCAGAACCTCGACGACAAAGCTGCGTCCTTGGTGCGTTCACAGACCAAGAGCCCGTTTTACAGTGTAGGAAATGGTGGTTTGATTTGTTTGCTGAAGACTTGTCTGGAATCAGAGCTGAAATCGAAGTCGAAACCTTTAGAGTGCAGTACCAGTTTGCTCTCTGGCTTTGTTGATCATTTCCAAGCCTCAAAGGAGGATAAAGGTTGGGGTTGCGGATGGCGGAACATTCAAATGCAATGCTCTCACTTGCTTTCTCATAGACAAGAAGCTAAAAGAGTTCTCTTTGGTGGCTCTAACTTTGTTCCTGACATTCCCTCGCTCCAACGCTGGCTAGAGTTAGCCTGGAACAATGGTTTTGATGTCGCTGGAGCCCTCCATTTCAATAACCAAATCTGCGGTTCCAAGAGATGGATTGGAACCACTGAATGTGCTGCGCTGTTACGTTCTTTCGGGTTAAAAGCCAGAGTTGTTGATTTTGCTCCCAAGAAATCTCAAGCAATGTATCTTTCAGTCCCTGGTTCTACTATTGCTCCCAAGATAAAGTCATATGGTCCCATGGACAGATTTGTGATCAAAAAGGGCGAAAGTGGGAAGGGAAAAACAGTTGACTCTCATGGTTCTAATCTTTCTAGGACCAGCAAAGGAGCAGTTTTAATGGGTTGGGTTTGGAATTACTTCTCAGACAACAGATTAAACGTTTCCTCTGGTGTTCATATGACTAGCAAAGCGTTAGTGGTTCTGTTGCAGTTCTTGATCTCGGCAATGTCTTTTATAACCTCAAAACACATTACTGAGTAGTTGTAATCGTGTGTACTGCAGGCCCTTGTATTTTCAACATGAAGGGCACTCAAGAACAATTGTTGGGATTCAGAGACGGTTGCAAGGAACCACATTTACTCCTCAGTACAATCTCCTGATTTTGGACCCTGGTGATGTGAGTAAACTGATTTTTCATGAATAGGAGAGGGCAATCATGGATATGAACATCAGCGTTTTTACTAATGTTAAATGTGATTAATGATGGCGAGATTTGAATGTGAATGCAGTTTACTAGAGGCATAGAGAAAGCACTTGTAGAGAAGAGAGGGTGGGAGGGATTTCTTAAAAGAGGAGCTCACACACTGACGTGTCCCGAGTATCAGGTCTTAGCTTCGTTGTCTATCATTTCTTTTAATTATGGTATAAATAATCATAGTTGAGTGATTCGTGATTTGTTCCGAGCGTGATTGGGAAAGATTATGATGATGGATAGTATACATACAGATTTTGTACGTTGATAATGGGATCGCTGATGGAGAGGAGTTGGAGCAGCTAAAGACCATTGATAGTCACTTTGTTGAATTCTATTGTCTTCCATAAATTTGAAGAGGGGTTATCGATGGACTCTTAGATTAGTTGCAATTGTATACTGTATATTATATAACATTTTTGTGTACTATATAATGTGGTAAGAATTATTTCAAACAATTTTCATTTGTGCGGATTATAAGTTTCTTCAAAAAATTACCAAAATATTTTCTGGATCATATTATATACCAACATGGATTATTTAAAAAAAACGCTAAGAACATCAAAGATTTGGCTATTTATTAAAAACATTGAGGTGAAAATACAGAATGGCAATTTGAGATTTACCCAGAGATAGCATCACCACACCACCTAAAAAATAGAAATGTCTTTTTCCAAAAGCAAGTAAAAACTTGAGAGATTAAGTCATAAAGAAAAAAGCTATAGTCTTCTTCAAATCCCCCATTTTGGTGATTCCTTCATCTTCCTCTGGCAACAAAACTTTTCAAGCGTGCCTCATATCAAATGAACAACATAACCTCACTGTTGCTCTTCCATGGGCATCCTAAAATTGCGACATTTTTTGAGGTTTTGTTGGTTGTTTAAGAGGCAGATGCAGCAACCTTCTTCCGTACAATTCTCTTTCGCCGAGCCTTAGGAGGTGGAGAATCTGAAACCGAGTCCTCTTGCTTTATACCAAGTAGCCCTGAGACTATTGCGTTCTTTGAGATGAACCATCTTGAAGATGGCTTTGCTACTGCTTCCTCTGAGGATCGGGTGTATGCTTTTGCCAGTAGATCATCCGACTGAGCCAGCGGGTCTGCTTCCACACCTAGCCATATTTGTCTTGATCTTTCCCCTAACTGAACATTCATAATCCTGTGCCATATCCATTCATATTCATTATACAAATCCTTCTAATTCATGAGTGTAAATCTAAATCGACGTTTTTGATCCACAGACCAAAGATTTCTCAAGTCCTAAGACTAAGTTTTGCAATACAAACGTCCAGCGTGTGCCTATGTATGTATGTATGAGAGAGGAGAGTGGGTGAAAGAAAAGAATACCTCACGGCAGTGCCAAAGAAGAGTGCTACTCCTATGACATCAAAGTGGCTGCTCATTGTTCTTTCAAATCCGCATAACAGCTGATATCTCAAGTTTGCATATAATCCAAGAAATGCGCCATAACCAAGAGCGTTTGTGGTGATTGATGGGACTGTCACAGATACTCTGTCAGAACAAAGATACAATACGTCATAATAAGTAAGCAATGAGCTCGAAATAAAATAGATGCTGCCCAGCCAAGAATGTTATAATCACACGACAGAAACAGAAGATATGTGATGACCTGTTTTTCTTCTTTCCCGCCAGAAAGTTTGACAACGAACCCTGAAGAGCCCCTGTCGCGACTCCAAGAATGGACAACTCTGCGGCCTTGTAGAAAAGAGAATGAATTCTCTTTTGCAAGTCGAACTCTCTAAGAGGATAGCTCATTTCAAATATATTATTTGGTAGCTTTTGCAGTGTATTTTGCAGGTCAAACCGAAATGTGTTTCCATAGGAACGACATGGAGCTAGCAACCAAACAGCAGCTGCATTGCATGCTGACACAGTAAGAACATTTATCAGTGCAAGATCCCATTCCTCTTTAATTCTGCAAATGATAGAGAAACCAATTAATTAGAAACCAGAGGCTACAAAACCTATAAACGGGAGAAAGTTTACGTTCATGGAAAGGAAAATACCTATTCTTACGAGTCTTCACCTCCCACCAAACCGAGCATCCAACCGTGGCAGCTTGCTCCAAAAGAAGTCTATAGAGAAACGCAGGATCCGCTAACATCCTACACAAGGCAGTCACATAGTCAAGTATGTAGTCCGAAAACAAAGAAAATTCATGCATATTCCCAAAAGTATGGAAAGTTGAAATTTTTTTCTTTGCAGTAAGAAACTTATAATTTTCGAGACAATAAAGAACTCCACAGGGACATATAAATCTCAGAAGATACCCACAAAATTACCTGCCAACAAAGGCTCTCGACAATCCCTGAGGAAGAGCACGGGAGATCAATCTAGTTGTTGTTGGACGAGCATTTATGGCTAGGAATCTAACCATTTGAGCTGAGCTGACCAGTCCCTGAATACAAGTTTCCAAAAGTTTAAAGATGTCAGCTTCCCAAAACTGTTAAAGGAAAGCTTCAAGGATATCCTACCATTTCATATGCTTGACGGAGGCCAGCAGGCAAATCCATCATTGTTTTTTGCCATTCGTTCAGTACAGCATCAACAAATTTCCTATCAAAAAGCTGGAAAAAACATAAATCTCGTGACTGGGTGCCACCATGAAATCAAATACATGAAAACGAAATCAACAAAACACAAGCATAAAGATCTTTTACCTCGGCGAGGAACATCCTACGCCTAAAAAGTCCACCCTCATCTCCATCATCGTCATCATCGAATTCGTCAAAGTAATCATCATCATCCCCATCATCGTCACCTCCATCGCCACCACCAAAATTGACTGACTTTCCAATGTTTCCACCACCTCCTCCAGTTGCAATCTGCAATGAAACATGAATTAGAGATTCAAAAGGCTATTTTTTTTCTTATCAGTAGAAAATATATTTCACTGAAAAGCCTATATCATTCCGCAACTGCTATCTCCAAGGATCATACTATTCTTAATATCTTCTAAAGATACTACTGGAATTACTTGCATCCGCCGCTAGCACTTTTTTTAAGCTCCAGTATGCTTCATCTCCTTGATGATATCAATCTCGTACTATCAATTCGTTCGGCTTACAAAAATCAAGAAATGTCTGATCCAGAATCAATCTAGTAATTCACAGAAATTGCTAGAAATTGAGTCGAGTGCTACTAATAGCTCCCGAGAAGATTGACCAACTCTTTACCCTCAATAACCAACTTGATGAACCATCAGCATATAAGAACAGAGAAGATATAAGAACCAACGAAATGTTCATGTAGCCAGACGATAGATCAAAAGGATAAAATTTCACAACTGTTCTAAATTCTGGAATAAGATTGCTTAAGTCGGGAACAAGAAAACGCAGAAACTAAAAATTCACGCAATTGACCAAACTATTGCCTAAACGAGAACTGGAACAAGAAAGAAAAAGAAACAGGAGAAGAGAGAGAGAGAGACCTCAGGGCTTGACTCGACTTTCTTCTGGGTCATGTCGAGCTTCCCCTTTTCCAAAGTAACAGCTCCTACCGAGCCGAATTTCCCGCCTTTCATCACTGGACTCATCTGAGCACCTGAAGAAGCTGCAGAGAAGGAGCCAGAGGAAGATGTGCCTAATTCACCGGTACTTGGCAACTGTAAGCAGCGCTCGAGACCTGATACTGAATCTCCAACGGAATCGATAAGGGAAGAGGACGAGGCCCTAATGAAGCCGCGACGGAGCTTACAAGGCAGAGTCACGAGTGGGCGAGGGATGGGTAAACATGGTTTGAGCGGAGATAAGGGTTTGGGAGCGACGACGCTCTGAAAGACCATATGCGACATGGCTCTCGACGAGAAAACCAACCTTGACTTCGGATAAAGATTTTTTGGTGATTTTCCTGAAGAAAAAGGCGCAGAGCCTTTTCTTCTCTCTTAGGGCTGAGAGAGAGAGAGAGAGGGAGAGAGATGAGAAGAAGGAGAAGAGGATTTATCGCCAATCAGACGACTGCAGAAGAACCCAATCTCGCTTTCATCTTTTTCCACCAACTCGAGCTCAATACTTCTGGATGACATAGAGGGTCTCAAGTCGGTTGTAAGAGGCCAAAGAAAGCCTATCAACTATTTAATTCGCATCTTTTTGTTAGCATCTATGAATACGTCCAATTCGAAGTTCCATGGTTTAGTTATTGGCATATGTCAAAGGGAGACTAAATCGAATGAAAAATACAATTATTGGATTTTAATCTAAGATTACATATAATGTTAGGTTATTGGGTTCTATAGAATAGTATTCAGATATGTCAACAATATAAACAATAAACTCCTATCGATTTACGAAAATAACGGACAAAAACAACATTTTGATACTAATCACATCTCAATCAATCAGTTTACACGCTTCACAGATACTTTATCTCAGGGAGGTTTGTTTAAAATTTTAATAATAATAATACAAACCATTTAATGCAATGGACGAAAAAAACAAAAAAAGACATTACAAAATAGAACTAAATTAGAAACGCACATAGTGTGATGATGAATAACATCGTCCTCTTCCGGTGGTCAATTTCGCCACAAAGCTTGATTCTGAATATATCTAAAAGATATACACTCGTCTTTAATTCGGGATCCTTCGGCTTAGTCATTCAAGAAATCAAACTCAATTGGTTGGCTTCTTATTGGAGGACGGGTTACTACTTGTTGCCTCTCCGTTGCTGCATTATCTATTGGTTTCACTGTTGTTGTAACAGTTTCAGTCGGCGCCGGCGGTGGCAGCGGCGTTGTTGTTTGGCTATCATCCTCTGTGGCTACAGCTGTTTCTGTGTTTGGAGTTGAAGAAGGATCGCTTTTGTCTACCAAAGAAGTTTCCTCCTTCTCTACCACAGGAGGCTCAGACACTGTCTCTGTCACTGGTCCATCCACAGGTGCTGTTGACTCAGCATCAGGTGCAGTTTCCGGTGCTGCTGGCTCAGCAACATCTGCAGTTTCTGTTGCTGCTGACTCAGAAATAGCTGCAGTTTCAGGCGCTGACTCAGAAATAGCTGCAGTTTCAGGCGCTGACTCGGTCTGTGGTGGCTCAGAAGAAGGAGGAGCTTCAATAGCCAATGGCTTGGCTGGTTCTTCAATAGCCAATGGCTTAGTTGGTTCCTGTTGTGAGGTCTTCGGTGTGGGTAAGGGTTTTTTGGGAGCAGATATGGAAGCAAAAATCGAAGACATTCCGGGAGGTAGAATCTCGATTGGAGGCTTTTTGGATGCATCCGATAAACTCGTGAACTTTGGATCCTCAAGAGAAGCCAGAAACGCACTTGCAGCATCGGTTTTAGAAGTTGGAGCTTGCTCAATTTCTTTCTGCAGCGTTTTATTCCAAGCCTGGACCAAGTTCTTTAGAGTTGGGCGACCATGTGCCTGAGTGATTAATTACAGCAGGGGAAGTCAGAAACAATACAAGGTTCATAAGAAGGCAAATTGCAAAAAGAAAAACACAAAATTAGGTAAAATTGAAATCTTACATGGGCATGAAGCACGGCTTCTGCGAGCATTCCCGTGTCTTGCCATGCCTTCTCCATGAGCGCGTTGTCTCCCAAGACTGCAGCAGAAAAAGCTGATTCCCGCCCGAGGCCTATGGAGATGAGATTGTTTATCAGACCCTGCAACAAAGTTAAAATAGTCTCTCAATTAGGGACCTTCAAATACATAAGTAAAAAGTCAAATGCAGATTGAAAGAAAAATGACAAACATACAATTAAGCATGTCAATGATTTTTAGATTTCCGTAGCTATCTCAATGTACCAGAAACCAAATTAGAAACTGAAAGAAAGAAAATTGCAAACATACACTTAGGCGTGTCAATTCTCCATGGTTTGCTAGGCGTAATGCAAGGCCTCGCAACTCATGGCCCTGTAAAGCGCCTTTGACCGAACCTGCAGTGGCTAGTCTTTTGAGAGCTTCACGAGCGATGTCAGCGTGTCCGGTGGCATCTGCAGCATCTATTAGGTCAAGGAACTCCTTTGCAAATTTCACTATTCCCTCCACAGCTTCAACAACATCTTCTTTCTTCTCAGCTGTCAAAGAGAGAATGTCACTCAAATCAAGACCTACACCGTCCTGTCCAATGTCCCTACTATTACTCATTGTGAGAAGACAATGAAGAGCCCTCTTCAGATCATTGCTCTGCATCGCTAGATCAAACTCCAGCCTGAGAACCACATAAAGATAAGTCTGATTATTTTGCCTTCTGTGAAAAAGTGAAAATAATCGCTGATAGCATTTTGGTGTGAGTTGACAGCTAAAATGAAGGATACAACATATGTGAGTGACATACTGAATTCTGTTCACTGTCCAGCATATGCATTTCATAGACTAGAGAAATTGTGAATAGTAGGAACAAATCGATGAAACTAGCGGCGCCAAACTTTATATGCTTTTTTACCTCTTAGATATTCCAGGCAAATGAAGAGCTTCTGTTGCGTATCCCATCCCTAACATAAACTGTGCCAGGTCGTCATGATGTTCTCTTCCAAGCCTACTTGCCCTGCACAACAACAACAAAAATGTTGTATAAACATTCCAGCTTGTTTACTACTCACGGAAATACGATATTTAAGGAATGTATCAATACCATTTAACTGCACTAACAGCATCCCCATACGCAGCAAGACAGCGACAGCGTATACCAGGATGGTTCAGTGATATGGCATGGGCACACATGTACCTACCAAGAAAATGGAGGTGTCAGACAGTAATTTATCTCGTTTAAATATTAATATGATCATACAAGTGACTGGAATGAGGATATAGCAAGATATTGTATTCATCATGGTAACTCCGTGACTACATATATTTGTTGTCCGTTGAAACCTTGGAGTGAAAAGGTCAGATGTCAATGAGCCTAGCTAGTGCGTACTAAGAATGAAAAAGAGAAAGCCATAATCTAACTGAATATACATGTCTCCAACGAAGGAATGTTATAACAAAAGTCAGTTTTGTTTTGAGGTGAGAACAGGGAGACTCTTGATACCTGTCAATGAGCCAAAGAACTCCATCCCTTACACCAGCAACAACTAGAGGCCCCACTGGTCGTTTTTGCTCCACTGGGAAACGAGTAACAGCCACTGAAACACCCCCTCCACCTACAGCTACCTCATTGATCCTTCTTTCATCCATGTCATCGCCATCACCTCTAGATTGTCTCGGCAATGATAAAAACGGTGGAACAGATGGAGCATTTTGGAAAGAAGCTAAACGCACTACCTACAATAAAAAGTATACGCATGATGAAGAGACTTGCAAGTTTGACAAGAATTGAGATAGCTGTCGATACAAATGCGGTACAATCCAAGCTTAGACCTGAATTTTAAGCTTCAAAAATATACCTGCAGCATGGGAGACCTCAAAGATATCCTTTCTTGCTTGGCACTCTGGGCACCTTCTACTGTGATTAAGGCTAACTCTCCATGCTCCGCAACTGCTCTAGCCTGTGCCTCCTTAAGTTTCATTTCTTCCTTCATCTTCCTAGTCTCTATATCAAGTTCAGAAACTCCAGCGTCCACAAAAACACATCTGGAAATCCAGGCATGAAAGAAAGTTTTATTATTCCTTCCCAGATATATTGTTTCAGAAAGCAACTATCTGGGTAACCATGCCCTTAACGACGTCAGGATCAGGGAAAATACTTTCAAAAAGTTAGAATCTCTGAGAAGTTGGAATATGCACAGTTTAAATAACCAATACCTGTTGATACACATCTGCTGCCAATACAGGTCCTAAATTCGATTTTTAATTGTTTCAATTAAGTGGAAGCAGCATTCAAGGTAACTGATACAAAGCATAATGAAGTCCTTGTATCATATATAGAACATTAATCTTACTCAATCGTGGTTGGTGTAGCCACAAACAGCTGCCTGCGATGCCAAACAGCTCCAGTTGCATGTGAAATGGCGACATCACCAAGATATCTATACTGAGGGCGCAAGGACGATATGACCATGTACTGTTGATAAGCAAAAGCACAATACTCAACTGTTTGGTCCCATGCCGTCCATTCTGGCTGAGGTAGCATACCACCTACTGGCTCAAAATTTTCCCAACTACACATTGAAACTTCCATGTAGATTAATATGGAACTCAAATATTTCGAACATGATAAAATGCCACAAAATTAGTAGCCACTAATCACCTGTAGAGCTGATAGTTTAAGGGTGCGGACTCAGTAGATCTCTGAGAAGAACCATCATCATAGCTGGAAAACGAAGAAACATTACTGTTTCCAAATCCTGAGAGTGGCATCGACTGAATGGTTGAAATAGCTGTTGCAGCAACAGGACTAATCCTTCGGGATGTGCGATAGCCTATACCAAGTAAAGCACCACCATGCAGACCAATGACCTGCAAGGATAATTTTTGAAGCATAAGTTTGTTGCTTACCTAAGCTAACAAGTCAAGCATTGACATACTGCTCTCTGATAAATTTTCCAAGATTACAAAATATACCACCACCTGAAGTTAAAGGGTTAATCTCCATGCATAAGATTCTCATGTTCAACAACCTTATCCTTTCGGTCAAAATCAATTAATAAACTACTGGATTCCAAGTTAAAATATTTAAACTAATTTTCCAGTATTGTTAATGCAAACTTCAAACAAATTCTTGTGAGCATGATTAAATTTATTATCAATGGAACCACTTCAGTAGATCTGTATTAAGAGGATCTAAGATAAATGAAAAAAGGATGAACCAAACATGAAAGATGGTTATTGTCTAGGATTCTAATTCCCAACTGAGAGTAGAGCACATTAAAAGCGGTTACGAAATGCAATAACTCAAGTAAGATACACATACCGGTTCAGAGCGACCTCCTACAGATCTCATGAGTATGTTTGAGGTTCCATCATCTAAGAGAATACGAACTTGGACAGTAGCAGATGAAGCTGCATTAGCAGCAGCAGCAGCTTGAGCTGCGGCTGCAGCGGCTTCTTTCGCTTTTCTTGATGAGCCACCCTTTGGGATTATAGGC